AGGGGTAGTCCCCGTCGAGTGTGGAGGCGTCGAGTCGAAACGCCAGATTTCGCTCGATGAACGTGCAGATGTCCGGGGCGGAATGGACTGCGGCTCCCTTGGAACTGACGAAGCAGGCGTGGTCAATTGCGATTTGTTTTGTACCGTAGACGCAACTGACGAGAATTCGAGAGGAAGTGCTGGCTGTCCCGGTTGAAGTTCTGGTGTCTTCTGAGGCTTTCCCTCGTGGTTGGCCTCTAATAGTACACAAGAAAGCATCGCAACCATCTGTATGTCGCCGATTCGCTCAAAGTGTTCGAAAAGAGCTGGAACAAGCCAGTGACTCCCCATGGGATGGTCTCCCCATCGAATAACGCTCCCGGCTAGGTCCCTGTAGAGTGTGCTGCTTTCTAGCAAATGATTTGCATTCGTATCATTTCCGCGCAAAGCACACCTCAATCCTGTTCTTAAGTCGAGAGGTGAGCCAGGCTTTCGTCGAACGTGTAAGATCAACTTGATCAGACCCCAAATTTGGGCCAACTCGTAGCACCCTGCGTCCAGGGCAACGGCAGCATTATGAGAGCAAACATCCGTCCCTTTGCCGCAGATGCGATATTTGCTAGCAAGCTGTCGTTTGACCGGGAGCATATCACTGAGGTCGTGGATAGAGATCACATTCCTGGCCACCTCGGATGATTTCGCGGTCGCAGCGCCTCCGATCGATCTTCGGGAATGATCCGTAGATCGTGGTCGATAAATGCCGATGCTGCCAGAACTGCGCCATGTTTGTGGTGGTTGGAATCGCGTCGTCGGTAAACCGGATATCATGTCAGACGATGAACCTGACGAGCTAGAGGCGTCCGAGTATGAATCGTCAGAATAATCCGATGCCCCATCATCTGTACTTGCGATCGTCCCATTTGTGCGAGGTCCCGGGGAGCTTGTCTGCAGGCGCCCGAAGCCTTCAAAGACCTTGTCTGTTCTCGATAATCTGCTCATCTCTTTGAAACCAATATTGTCGAACAGCTCTGTTGACTTATCTTTCTTCGGTGGGAAGAAGCAAATCAAACGGCCGTCATTCGCCCAAAGTGCACCACATGCTTTGGCAACCGGTACCATGACATTGGCGTTCACGGGACGAAGCAGCTCGGAGCTCATCCCCAGTTCTTGACTTTGTGTCATTCCAACTTCGTCTTCGTCACTTGACTCGCCTTCTAACTCGCCGTTGACCGGTGACTTGACATTTTCACCAGTTTCGCCCAAGATCCAAGCGATACTCTCCTCCAGAGTGCTCTCCCCAAGAAGGTATCGAACGGCGCCCTCCAAACATCCCCGCTTCCTGGACATGTATGTTTCGGCGATCGTTCTAAGTTCGGCGGTGAGTTTGCCGGACAGTTCATCGGTAACGGAAGTAGTCTTTTGGCAAGAGAACGTCGGAATAGCAGACTTCGGGTAGCTAACAGGAAACTTGATATCCACTTTCAAGAAAAGCGAGTCGCTCTCCGCACCCCAAGGACCATTCAGAGAGATAGAGATTTTCCTTTGCCGTACATCGACCGACTCGAAGGCAACTTTCGTGAACTTCTCGCCCACGTGGCTAATCTCATCACCGAGAGTCTCAATATCCCAACCGGAGATCTTAACTCCACGCATCCAAGCGATTGGATTGGTATCGGCCCTCAGGTTCGACCGCGGTTGCATGCCCATATGATTGTCAACACGGGCATGTCGGGTATAGCCACGGGTATGGGGTACGGAAATAGCATTCATGCCAGGCCCACCAGGATAACCAGTGCTCGAATTATGGTGCATAACCGAAGAAGCAGACTCAATATCCTCGATATCCATATCTGAGTTGACATCTCTGAAGCTTCGATAGACGGCGCCCAGTCGGGTCACGTGCCGAGTAGAGATGTATGACTTGCCTTTCTCATATCCAACCCGTTCCAGGATCTCGGGATCGACTCGGTGCAGACGAAGTTCACGGTCGGTTCCCCACGTCACCAGCTGAAACTCGCGGTTATCGATTCCATCCGTCACACCTCCGCGTGGCCTCCATAAAAACTCTTTCACTTGGCCTTTATGTCCCGGGAAGCTGTGCACCAAAGGTAGATTGTCATCAGGATTGGCGCCATCGCCAGCCCTACGACTGTATAGATGGAGGTCACCATTTCCTCTCTGGGGCATTGCTAGGACACCCCATCCGAAAGGTGTATTTCTGGCTCTCCACACAGGGAATGGAGTTTTGATCATTTTCTCCGGTACGTCTGTATCCGAGGTATAGTCCCAGAACTTGACGGTCCTGTCGAGGGAACAAGTGGCCAAAGCGCCTCGTCGTACACGATTCCAATCGACTCCATAAATCTTGGTATCATGCGCCTCGATGGATCGAATTGGATAAGCACCCATACGGTCATCCCAGATCCGGAGAAATCGGTCATGAGAACTGGCGATGACATGGGGATCCTGCCGGTTCCACTTGACTTGGGTAGCACCGGTAAACCAATCCGAGAACGAGATAGCGGGGCGGGAAGGCGTACGCAAGTCCCAGCAGTGTATAAAGCTGTCGACAGAGCAGGTCGCAAGAAGGTCTGGATGAAAAGCGGAGAAGTTGACATCGGTGATGGCTCGCGAATGGGCATGCAGCACATGTTCAATTGAGTTCTGCCAGGTCTTCATCGCCAGGTTCCAGACCAGAGCTTTCTGGTTAGATGTGCTCACAACCCATTGGTCGCGAGAAGCGAATGGCGACCATTGTACATCGGCGACCTCCCAAGGTGTGTGATGGGGAAGATAGCGGGGTGGAGAATAGGGCGAATCGAGGTCAATGACGTGCAGGCCCTCCTTAGAAGCCAGCACGACATCCCGCCCACAAGGCGAGATTGACATAGCCCCAACCGGTTGTTCGACATGGAAAGAGCTGTTCTCATCGAAGGTCGGACTCTCGAAGGCCGATACGAGCGGCCGCGGCTCCATAGAGCTCGACATCGTAGCTATGATTAGCCTCGCGGGGGGGGCCAATCGAGCCGATGGAAGAGACGCGGGGTCACAGTGCTATGCGGAATGGTGCATCACATGAGTTGCAGGTAGTCGCATGGCGTATATAGGTGCAGGAGGTGGTTGACAGTGGTCGAGCCAGGATCAAGCAGATCGGACCTCGCGTGCCTCAGCGGAGTTGGAGATAACGCGGAGACGGAGACGGAGAGGAGCAACGGTTGTGGCTGAACCTGTGGCGGTGCTGCATGTGACCTCCGCCAAAGCCCCGCGGTGCAGCCCCTCCGCTCCCGCCGCGTTTACCTCTGCCTTTGCCTTTGCCTTTGCCCTTGTCCATTACTTTACATTCGCTGCGCATCACTTGCTCTCCACATTTCTCCTCTGTGGATTTATTTATTGACCATCTCGCTACACCCTTTTACCTCACTCCCGGCCGATAAGCGTTCGACATGGCTTTGCCAAAGCGCATTATCAAGGAAACGGAGCGCCTGATGGCGGAACCGTACGACATGCCCTATCCACTTTGTTTTGATGATCACTTTGACTGATTAGACTTTCTTTGGGGCTGCCAGGGTTCCTGGCATTAACGCCGTTCCTCACGACGATAACCTGCGATACTTCGACGTTTCCATCCATGGACCGGCACAGTCCCCATATGAGGGTAAATATCTCGATCCTATCTGCGTACGCCTCTAGGGCCTTTGGACGACCACTAAAATGAACTTCAACAGGTGGAATCTTCCGTCTTGAACTCTTCCTTCCCGATGACTACCCCATGACCCCGCCCAAGATCCGCTTCCTCACCAAGATCTACCACCCCAACATTGATCGTCTCGGCCGCATTTGTCTGGATGTCCTGAAGAGTGAGTGAAGATGCTACGGAACATTCACCAGGCGTATCTACCATTTACTAACCTCAATCCAGACAACTGGTCTCCGGCCCTTCAGATCCGCACGATCCTGCTCTCCATTCAGGCCCTCCTCGGCGCTCCCAACCCCGACGATCCCCTCGCAAACGACGTTGCCCAACGCTGGAAGGACGATGAGCCCGCAGCAATTCAAACAGCGAAGGAATGGACCCGCACTCATGCTATGACCTGAATGTGCCAAACTATGATGTGACCATGAAAAAAAGAATAAGCAAAGGGCGACGATTATGCTTCTGGCGTAGGCCAGATACCAATTCTTCCACTGCTAGTCGGTGCTGTATCTGATTAAGCGCAAAACCTTTTGTCCGCACTCCTCATCCTGTCTGAAATTTCGAATTGCTTCTTTCGGAAAGCGTTGCATAGAATCCAATACGTTGAGTGGAGTTTCACTGTTACGGTCTCCTTGAATGATATGATACGCTCTATACAATCGACACATTGCTCCGCTGTTCGCTAAAGCCGGGGAATATTGAATAATCTATGGTCCCTAATAAAAAAAAGGAATTCGAAATTGCGAGCGAAGAGGGTAACGATGTATTGATATGCTCAAGTTCTCGGCCCATTTTGAAAAATGTGCATTTAAACTTGTCTCATCTGTTCAAGTTCCAAAAACAAACATCCTGATAGTAATTTCTGAGCCCTCTTGTCGCATCCTCGAGCCACTACTGTCAAATCCCAGTAGCTACTCTAGGGACACCCGCATCTGTCCATGTCGCGATTAAGACTAGCCATAAACTCATGTCTATTGTGTATCCTCTTATTACGTCGAGTTAAAATATTTACGTATTATGAAATAGACTCGGAGTAACCATCAAGTAGTACTAGTTATTTGCTCCGAGTCGGGGCTAGCCTGTACTCCTGCTTGTGTCTGTTCGCTCCACTAAATTATATATTCCTAAACCAGGATCGTAAAAAGCTTGAGGTATCATAAAAGAACGATCTAGACATTCCATTCAACACTGAAAAAACCAAGCCTCTTGAATGACATGGGAGAAGCCAAGAATACACACATTAGCAAGTACAAACCATGATGCAAATATCCCGCATATCTAATGCGTACTTAAATTCCGCAAACCTCCAAAACAGAACCCTGGCCGATCACAGTATAACCCCGCATGGACCTTCAAACGAAAGGTGAATTTCATGGTCAGGATCCTCCAGGCACTCCGCCGTGTCAAGTTCAACCAAGCCATCGTTGACTAATGTGCCTCCGTCAAGGTCCAAAGAAGAGACGTGTGAAGCAACGGCCCATGTCGAACTCGAGTCGAGACTATGCTCAAGAGTCCGCTCTGGAGCTGACTCTGGATCGCGCCTGACCCAGTTGAAGAAACAACATTCGCAATTCGTCGATTCGGGTTCTTTCCGAGTCTGTGGCTCGTCCTGATTCCGGTACGAGGGTTGAGATGGAATGTTTTTGTTCCCCTGGTTTTTGTTAGTTCTTGAAGATTGGCGCCGGGAGGGAGGAGGAGGGACTATAGCCAACACACCCGGATATAAACATAATGAAGAAATGCGAATTTAAGCATAGAAATCCCAATCAGAATCTCCATAAAACTGTCGTGGCTATACATTTCGGATCGGTAGATGTTTTCCAGGAACCGAATCAGCCAGAGTTTGTATGCAGCAAGAAGAGTAATGTAAGCTATATTGGCAAATGTCATGTTGCCAGAGGATCTGTTCGATTTTGGGGTAATATCAAGTTCATGAAATATTGATATTTGGGGAGGATGTTTGGAAAAGAGAAGACGATGGTTCTTTCGAGGAAATTTAGGGGGTCGATTTGCCTGAACCTTTTAGAAGGAGCGTTCGAGCTCCGCGGCCTAATTAAGCAACCATGAATCCTTGGGAAGGAGTGTCCCACTGCCTAATAAGACATTATTATTTCCTTTTTCGTCTTATAATAGAGACTGGATTGGTTTAGTATCAATCAAAATTCCATTCGGGTCCAGCTAAGGCTCAATACATAGATAGAGGTGACGGCACGAGTCGAACCACTCTATAATTACTAAGTTCATTTCCTGCTCTCTTTGCTGTTATATTCGAATCAAGCTTTGCAAAAATATACACATGTGTTCTTTAGGTTCATTTAAGGCCTCTGAATGGAAGTATCAAGTAGATTGAATCGTGGAGCCCATATCTTGAGATCGTATAGGTATCCTAGGATGATCAAGTCCCATACTCGTACATTCCATTTTTTATTTTTTATTTTCAAAATCAAAAAATGCCTGTCTGAACCCAATTTTTCACGAAGTATTCAAGACTCGCTCGAGTAAGGATCAAGGAATATTCTTCAGGAATTCCTCGGTGTCTTTATGATCAGCTAGGACATCCATCATCCGAAAAGATATAGGTTCCCCGGTGGTAGTATCGCTGAGATTCGACAAGTGGAAAAGTATTGCACCGAGGATTGGACAGAGCCAAAACAGTATAGTAAGTCCAAGACCGATTGCAACCCACACTTCTGATGCTAAGGTATGCATAACTTGTGTGAACTTGAAACTTGAATAGGTTGATGTCGAGTTCGTTTGAATGTGAATAGCGGTTTTGGACGATGGTCTAAGAGCTCAGAACGATACAAAACTTCGCAGAGTAAAATAAATATATATCTCTATGGCCAACTAGACCAACTAGGCCATGTAGACTGGATAATGTCTCTAAATTCATACTAGTAGCCCCGATATAGTCCCAGAAATAGACTAGTCCTCATTAGGAATAGTGGGGTTTCTCGATGACGGTGGTCACATGATGTCGACCATCCGCAAAGGGCAGAGTGCAACACGTGACACGCTTTAGCGAGGCGCACCACAATTGGGCCCGCTTGTAGGAGTCAACCGCGATCCCGAATTTCGACCATCACCCCAACGCCAACCGATACCCCGTCAAGATGCGTACCTACGACGACGCTTTCTCCGGCCAGAAGATCTACCCCGGCAAGGTGCGTTCCAACACCCTCTATCGAAATTCGGACCTTGGTGCAATGGGAGAACGAATCTGTGCGGAATTCAACGACAAATCTACAAATCTTTATGCGGCCAACCACGAGATCCTACAACGCCAATCTCACCTCTCGAAACCATTTCGCACAATCGCCTTCTCCCCGCTGCGCACAGGGGACTGAAATATCACAAGCTCGACTTTTGCTAATATGGTTCTCTTTCGGTATTATAGGGTAAGATCTTCGTCCGTGGTGACTCCAAGATCTTCCGTTTCCAGAACGGAAAGTCCGAGTCCCTCTTCCTCCAGCGCAAGAACCCCCGCCGCATCGCCTGGACTGTCCTCTACCGTCGCCAACACAAGAAGGGTATCTCTGAGGTCGGTCATCACCAAACAACCCCCGCCGGGATATTTCGTGGATGTGAATGGATCGTGTGGACAAGAGGGGGAAGATGATCAACGTGAATATGAAGAAGCCAAATCAGCGACAAGGCTATAAATCAAGACAATCTCGTTCCCGCGTGATGATCACCGATCGCCAATCGCCAATCGCCACCCGTCATATTCTCGGCATCCGCAACTACAAGATCAAGAGGAGGAACTCTACCACACGATACATCCACATCTGAACGAAATATCCTGGCGAAACTGACCCTACATAACAATTGCTGACCTGGAATCTTTCCATGTATAGGAGGTTGCCAAGAAGCGTACCCGCCGTGTCGTGAAGGCCCAGCGTGCCATCGTCGGTGCCTCCCTTGATGTGATCAAGGAGCGCCGCTCTCAGCGCCCTGAGGCCCGTGAGGCCGCCCGCAAGCAGGCCATCAAGGAGGCCAAGGAGAAGAAGACCGCCGCCGCTGCCACCAAGAAGGCCGACAAGGCCAAGACCGCTGCCTCCGCCGCCAAGGGTGGTGCTGGTCGCATCCAGAGCAAGCAGGGCTCCAAGGGCTCTGCCCCCAAGGTCGCTGCCAAGTCTCGCTAAATCAGTTTTCTTTATTTCTCTCAACCAATAAAATGAAATGAAAAATGATTTTCAAGCGGAAAAACTTGCGGAATATCGGGTCGATATGATGGAACTTGTGCGCACTGGGGCCGTTGGTTGTGGACTTGGACTTCAAGTCTTCAACTGTCGAGGACTTGGCTTTAGGCCTATACCACCTTGTTTCTGAAACACTTTTTATGCAGTAAATTCAATGCAAAAATGGGAACAAAGGAACCTTTTAAAAATAAACCCTGCACTGGACATGATCGATTTCCGCATGGTAATTTATGCTACTACCTGGTATACTTCAACGTCAAACCTCGGAAGTTGCATGGTAGATATCGTTTAGCAGTGTCCATGCCAGTAGCTAGTACATACTACAGGGCTACCACCCCGACATAATTCTACAAGTACTACTAGACTATTACTAGAGGCAGTACTGCTAGTAATACTAACTTTCGAATTCTTGGATAACCCTTGGTGCTCGAGCCTTTTGCCCAGCTGCCCGCTATGACAGGAACCCCTTCGCCACGGCCCCTTGGGGATGTAGTAGACTACATAGGTATGTAAGCACTGGCAGTTCTACCAGTATGTACTGGAGGTAGTAATTTAAATCTAATCCAATTTGAACACTTTGAAATCATCCACAGTTACATACTATTTTGCAATGACATTGTCACACACCACATCTATACACCATATCCATATTCTAGCATCTAACCATCTCAAAAGAAAAGAAAAGACACGCCAATGATCTATGTAAGACCGAACAAAAAGCACTGATAGTACACAAGCAAAAGTCGACGCCGAAATATTCACACCATGCACAGCGCAGGATTCATCGACGAGAACGAGAAAGGGAGGGAAATACGATTGCCATGGGAAGTCACTCCAGGCCAAGCAAAGAAAGCAAAGCCAAGCCATCTCAGCACCTGCGCGCAGAACCAAAGGTCAACGCCGCTGGTCACTGATTTGATTCAAACCAATGCTGAGTGAGATAAACTCAGATTAGATCAGATCAACTGCCTGAAATGAGAGACCGGGCAGATTCTGCTTGTTTTCGTATTCGTCCAACATTCTGATTCTCATTTTCCATTTTTCTTTTCCATGTATATGACAGCGCAACGCAACGCAACGCAGTGCAGTGCAGTGCAGTGCCGTGTGGTTGTTGTGTATCCTGCAAGAAATGCACCAGCCCAATGATTACTGTTGGGCCTACTCGATAATCCAAATGAAATGCCTGAAAAAACGCCAGCCGCGAAACGAACGGGACTTGGTCCCGGATGGAGAAGCTCAGCTTATCTCAGCTCAGCTCAGTAGTAGTGAGCCATCTCCAGACCAGCACGCTTGAAACCGCACTTGATGTAGAAGCCCTCATTAACCTCCGAGCAGTCAAGAATGCTCTGCAAAAAAGAAAGTCAGCACCAGCTCTGCAAGCAACCAAAATCAGGAAACGGAACAAAAACAAACCTTATAACACCCAACCTGAGCAGCAACAAAATCCAAAGCCTGAATAATCCTCAACCCCAATTTCTTCCCCTGCTGATTCTTCTCAACAGCAATATCCTCAATATGACCGACAAGACCAAGCGAGTGAATAAACTTGCGCTCAACGATCAAACTTCCCGTTCCAACGACGCGGTCATCACCGTCACAAATAACAAGCATGTAATACTCGTCATTGCGGGAAGCGATCCAGTCGAATCGGGCGTTCCATTGTTCCTCGCTGATTTCGCCGACGGTTGTCAGGACTCGCAGGACGTCGAGGTAGCCCCGGTTGAAGTCTGAGCGGCGAAGGGGTCGGATTGTGTAGTCTGTTGGTAGGATGGCGATTATCTCGGGCGAAATTAGGGAGGCTGGGAAGAGGGGGCCGTCTTCTGTGTCTGTGGTGGAGGAGTTGATCGGGGTGATTGTTGAGGACATTGTTTGTTTGGGGGGGGAGGGGGTTTGTGGTTGTGGTGGTGGTGGTGGCGGGGGTTGACATTGTTATTTGTGGGTGTTTTGTGTGGTTGGTTGAGGTTGAGAGAGGAGGAGGAGAAGGAGGAGAAGAAGAAGGGAAGAGAAATTGCGGGATGTTGTTGATTCGATGAGATTAGGGGAGGGGCGAATCTTGAGACGGTGGGGGTTTAGCGCAAGGGAGATCGACAAGGAGAGTCACAGCGTAATGGGTAGGGTAGGGTGATTACCTGGTAGAGGAGAGGAGAGAGAATTGAAGAAAGTGAAAGTAGGAGAAAGGGAGAAAAGGAGAGAAATGATAAAAGAAGTTCAGCTGAAGCCAATCCTCGGATCGTCAACAATGTTGGACCAGGGTTCCTCAGGTTCTGCCAGGTGAGACATCGAGGGGGAAAAAGACTATTTGGTACTAGTCCTTTTCCTTTGAATGTATTAATAGTACCACATGAAATATCTGTCTTTTTAGGGCTGCTTTTTATTGCTATTTATTTTTATTTTTATCTTTATTTTTATTCTATTCTATTTACCCTTACTAAAAGAGAACAGAGTACGTAGCACTAGTATAGTAAAACAGAAATACAATTCTTTCATTCAGTATACAGACCCTATGGGTATTTGTCTATGGGAACAGCACTTATTTGTGCTCCTTAGGAGCCAGCATCAGCTCCGGGCGCACATACTGGTCGAACTCCTCAGAGCTCAGAGCCTTCAGCTCCATGGCGGACTCCTTCAGGGTGAGTCCCTTCTTGTGGGCGTTCTTGGCCACCTTGGAAGCCATATCGTAGCCAATCACGGGGTTCAGGCAGGTCACGAGCATCAGACTAGTCAAGTAGGGTTAGCTATTGTCGTAGGGCAAGGGTAGCTGCGAAATACATACCTCTCGTGGAGAAGGGAGTTGATGCGGGTCTCGTTGGCCTCCAGACCGTCAACCAGGTGGGTACGGAAGCTGTTCATGCCATCGGAGAGAATGCGCACGCTGTGGAGCAGGTTGCTGATCATGACGGGCTTGAAGACGTTCAGCTCGAACTGTCCGTTCATGCCACCGATGGTCGCGGCGACGTGGTTACCCATGACCTGGGCGCAGACCATGGTGAGCGACTCGCACTGGGTGGGGTTGACCTTGCCAGGCATGATGGAGCTGCCGGGCTCGTTCTCCGGCAGGCTCAGCTCACCCAGACCGCAACGGGGACCGGAGCCCAGGTAGCGGACATCCTGGGCGATCTTGAACAGAGAGCCGGCCAGGGTGTTCAGGGAGCCGGAGGCCTCGACGATAGAGTCGTGGGCGGCCAGGACCTCGAACTTGTTAGGCGCGGTCTTGAACTCGGTGCCGGTCAGCTTGCTGATCTCGGCAGCGACGGCCTCGTCGAAGCCCTTGAAGGTGTTCAGTCCGGTACCGACGGCGGTACCACCCTGGGCGAGGAAGCGCAGGTGGGGGAGGCTGGCCTGGACACGCTCAATGTTGCGGTCCAGCTGGGCGACGTAGCCGGAGAACTCCTGGCCCAGGGTGAGGGGGGTGGCATCCTGCAAGTGGGTGCGGCCAATCTTGATGATGTGGTCGAACTTCTCGACCTTCTCTTGCAGAGCATCGCGCAGCTTCTGCAGGGAGGGCAGCAGGGTGCTCTCGAGCTCGACAACGGCGGCGATGTGCATGACGGTGGGGAAGGAGTCGTTGGAGGAGGCGGACATGTTGACGTGGTCGTTGGGGTGGACGGGCTTCTTGGAGCCCTTGACGCCGCCCAGGATCTCAATGGCGCGGTTGGAGATGACCTCGTTGGAGTTCATGTTGGACTGGGTGCCGGAGCCGGTTTGCCAGACGACCAGAGGGAAGTGGTCGAGCAGCTTACCCTCGGCGACCTCGGCGGAAGCCTGCTGGATAGCAGCACCGACCTTGGGGTCTGTAGAAGAAGTGATGTTAATAGCCCGTATCTAGATAGACCCCGCATTGGCGTAGATGTCAAGGATCACTCACCAAGGCCGTACTTCATGTTGACAGTGGCGGCAGCACCCTTCAGGATACCGAAGGCCTTGACGATGGGGGCGGGCATGCGGTCCTGGGGCTGGTTGATGTCGAAGTTACCCAGGGAGCTGTTTCCATCGCGTCAGTTATCCTGTCTCTGTGCCAATATCCTATTCCAATATCTTTATCATCGACTCGGTGGCTCGTCTTACCGCTGGGTCTGGGCACCCCAGTACTTGTCCGCAGGGACCTATAATGCAAAGCATCATAATCAGCTTCTGTTGTCAAGGTAGAGACAGCACGATCGAGTCAACTCACCTGGATCTCGCCAAAGGCATCGCTCTCGACACGGATATCGGAAGACTAGATTGAGTGAATCAGCTGGAGGTTCCCATTGTACATTGTACATTGTACACTGTACACTGTACTGTACGGGATGCATCCTACCATGTTGACAGTTGTGCTGAAGGCTCGGTTGTTCAAGGACTGAAGGCGGGGGAGTGCAAGCTGACGGGTATTGGAGCTCAGAGCCCGACTGGACATCGGAAGACGAGCAGCAGCCGACAAGAAAGTGCGGGCTGCGGGGTTGGCAGCTCTGGCCGCATGTGTTAAGGTGGCCATAGAGCGCACCGCGGCTCGGGAGGTGACAGGGTTCATTGTGGCGTGTTTATAGGTGTGAGGTGAGAGGGAGGAGAGGAGAAAGCCGGAGATGCTGCGACAAAGTGAGTCTGCTTTCCCAATGGCTCACTGGGGGCGTCTGGGAGGGTAAAGAAGGCAAAAACAACCGGACTCCTTTAAAAAACGAGAAGCAGAAAAGAGGAACTCGTCCGACTTGCGATGCCGAAACTTCCCGGTATCGGCATTACCCAGGTAATACGCGTTGTCTTCGTCATTGGACAGAGATTGGGTGTGGTTTTGGTAACCCCGGTAACTCTGGTGGTATGGTATGGTATTCACACTAGTGTCCCTCTTATACATTCATCCATTCTCCATCTTCATTCATCAGGATCGACATGGATCCTGGGAAGATCTGATAAATATTATATCCACTGGTCATTGATTATCATGAATCTGGTTCATACATATAACATATAACATATAACATATACTATAGCTCAATCCAGTCCCTGTCCATTTACCTCATCCATCTACTACTGCCTTCAACGCAGCAATAACCCTGCGATTATACAACTGTCCACCCTCCATAATCCCATCAAGCGAAGCAATAAGATGCGGGGCACCCTTATATCGATTCAAACTAACCCCATTCCCCGCTGCTTGCAGTTTACCAGCATAAACCTCCCCTTCATCGCGCAGCGGATCTAGTTCCGCAGTCGACACCAGTGCTGGCGCCAGATTCTCGAAATTACTAGCAAGGATAGGCGAGATTTTCCAATCCTAAACACGAATTCAGCGTCAGCTTTGCCCATTCTGAATTTCAAAATTCAAATTAAAAATATTACTGCCACTGCTGCTCACTTACATCCCCCGAAGCCAATGGCCTCGGCACCCCAAGAAACTGCCGATGAAAATAAGCCATACGGGCCGCAGGAAGTGCCGGTGCAAATTCCATTTCCCGGTATGACTCGTACGGACAGTTGTCGCGGTCAAAGTGGCCATCAGCCGTGAAACTATTATGCATATCACACACGGGTACTGTCAATATCTGTAGTTTCAAAGGAATGTTCGCGTCACGGCAGAGATGGGCGATTACGGCGGCAAGGTGGCCTCCTGCTGATGCGCCGCCGATGGTGAAACGGTTAGGGTCGAGATTGAATTCTTTTGCTTTTTGTTCGCGGATCTATATATTTATACAATTGGATATTAGTTAGATGTTGATATCGATGGGGAGGGTGTGAGTTAGTTAGTGCTAGTAGTTAGTAGTAAACAAGACTTGAAGTAAACATGAACACACCCAGTTAAACGCCGCCCAACAATCCTCAACCGGAATCGGAAAAGGATTCTCAGGCGCAAGTCTATAATCCACATCGAAAACAACACACTCCCCCTCAAGCCCATCAACAATCGTCTTACAAAATTCATGATCAACCAATAACCCACCAAACACCCACCCGCCTCCATGAAAATTGAGATAAGCAGCTCTCTTCTTCGGCAGACCATTCTCCGGATCTAATTTAGGCGCAGGCTCGAAGATTCGAATCGTGATCTCTCCCCATCAACGGGACATTTCTGCTCTGTTATCGAGAAAATATCTGGACCTGGGGCGCGGCCGTAGGCGATGGTGTACCGGGATGGGTCTTTGCGGTAGTCTTCTATGGGTACTTCGTGCGTGTGGAGACGGCCGGCGTTGTATTTGTTGTAATACTCGACGTAGATTGGGTCGAAGCGGGAGACTAGTTCTGGGGGGATACTGTTGTGTAGTGGGAGTAGTTGGGTTGGGGGGGATTTGGAGGTTATGGAGTTTGGAGTCGCCTCGGCTGGTTTGGGGTGTCATGTTGAGTATAGTCGATATTTGGATGGGATGGGATGGGATAGAAGGGGAGGATGGTGGAAGTGTGATTGAATATTGTCCAAGGTTGGCAATGTTTTTTTGCATCCGAGGGGGGGACGAGCTTGCTGTCAAGTATGTTTAAAGACAGGGACTTGTCAGGACACTGATTGGTACCTCATGGTTGCATTGCGTGCGGGGTTGCTGTTGGAGATGATTATCATCCGATCCGATGGTGTATAGGGTTATCCGAAGGTAAATGAGTAGATGGGATCCATGGCTTTGACAGTCTTAGCTAGAGTCGACTCAATTCTTATGTTCATTTGTTCATTTTGTTCATTCTCTATGATTTCTATCATGATTTCGTCAACCCGTTGTGAGGATCAGTAACCCCGCATGATGCATATATGTAAGTGCCCAGAAAAATTGCCCAAAAAAAGGAATGCAGCTCGTTTTGTTGCGCTGTCTTGTGCACCAACTCTCAAATCCCCTAGTATAGTCGCATGTCAATTGCTTAAAGCACATTGCGGACAACGTCGTCAATGGCCAGGGCCACGTAGGCGACGTTCTTCTGGCTCACTGTGTTTACTTTGTCAGTATGCTCTTTTGAGTCTTGTGAGTTGCCGGAAAACTTACAGCCACTGATGGACGCACGGCCAGACTTGAGCAGGTAGACGTGGTACTTGTCCTTGAGGGCGTAGACCTGCTTTGGGGTGAGGCCAGTGTAGGAGAACATGCCGTTCTATAAGAAAAGCATATGGTTAGCCAAAGTCAAAGGGTAGATAGATCAACCGTATGCTCGTCTTACCTGCTCCACGATGTGCTCCCAAGTACCAGGAGTCTTGAGACGAACAAGTTCATTGTACAGGGCCTCGCGCATAGACTTAATGCGCGAGCTCATGACCTGCAAATCATTGTGCCAGTCCGCAGTCAACTCCTCGCTCGACATGATCTTCTTAACAATAGTGCAACCAATACGAGGACCCATAGAGAACTCTCCCCGAATCAAGTGGCACAGGTTGTTTACAACGACATCACGGATAGAAGTAGCGCTGCGGTTAGTAATGTAGTGGAAAGCACCAGTACGCTGACCGTAGAGTCCCATATTCTTCGAGAAACTCTGCGCAACACACATCTCCATATCAGGCTTGTTATCAAAGAAGTAGCGCACCGCCCACGCATCCTCCTCCAGCGAACCGGACGCAAAACCCTGATAAGCGGAATCGAAGAACGGGAAGAGCTTCTTGCGCTCACACAGATCCGCAATGGCAATCCACTGCTCCTTATTGGGGTCCAGGCCCGTGGGGTTATGCGCGCAAGCATGCAGCAAGACGACATCCCCTTCCTCAGCATCATTCTCAAGTGTAGACATCATGCCGTCAAAGTCGAAGGATCGCGTCGCGGCGTGGTAGTAGGGGTATGTCTTGCGCGGCACGCCGGCCAATTCCCAGATCGTCATGTGGTTGGCCCAGGAGGGGTTTGACAGCCAGACATTGCGCGGCTTCATGTGGTGAGCGAGGAAGAGCGCGCCTAGGTGGTTGGCGCCGGTTCCTGCGACCGTTTGCACGGATGCAATGCGTGCTTTCGCGGCTTCTTCGCTGGCCTTTCCTTCAAAGCCGAACATTAAGTCACGGGCGATCTTCAGGAAGGGCACATCGCCCTCAATGGCGGTGTACTCGTGTCGCATCAGGTCGTTCTCCTCGGCGAGTTGCTTCTCGGCTTTCTCGACGGCTGGAAGAGGCCAGGGCTTGCCATCGTCGGTTCGGTAGACGCCTACGCCCAGGCTGACCTTCTGAGGGTGGGTGTCGGCGAAGAAGGCACCGTTCAAGGCGAAGATCTCATCCGGTGGGACTGGGGCCACATTGAGACGGGTGGGAACTTTTTCCATGGTGGGTGTGGTGTGTTATTTTTGGGATATTGGGAGGGTGATTGGGTGTGTATGTGTATATACCCAGGTGTATGTGTGTAAGAATAGGGCAGTGGACTTGAAGGGAGAGAAGTGCGAGTTCATGTAACAAACTCGGTGCCGACGCTGAGTCAAGCCGATATCGCCCAAGTTCGCTTGCTTTTTCTCCCCTGCGGGAACTCCCGCTTAATGCCGGGCACTCAACCATCTCAATGTCCTTTTGCCTCCTAAAAGGGTTTTTTTGCTGGTCACGCGATCAGAATACCGCGAGTAGCCTGGGTTGAGCCTTGGTTCATCAAGGATGGAGAGTGTCAAAGAAGTGAGGAGGTTCAAGTTCAAGTTCACTGGCAAGTTGGGACAAAGGCTAAACCTTGTCAGCGGACGTCATCAAATGCGGGCTGACTGGCCAGCAAATCATATTTATACAAAAAGAAGTAGTGACACAGGTACTCGTAGGATGATTCTGGCCATGTACCAGAAGTATTAAACGTTCTTGAATAGGTATATTGTAAATACCTAGGTATTACTACTGGTGACTGCCCTAATACCGAGTCTCAAGGTGGTATATATATATCTAGGTATCAGGTCCCGAGGTCGGTTTATACAGCACAGGACCCCCATACTTCTAGTCCCAGTTGAACTCAGGCTTCACTGGTAACTTCCAAAGTTGAAGTTCCAAGTCCTTGAACCTTACAAGTTGAAACACTACCTAGGTACTAGTACTACTACTATTCCAACAATGATTGATCCTACCTGGCGCCTAAGTCTAATAGTTAAGAGCCGCCAATACATACCTAGGTACTTCTGGTACTATGCGCTATTCATCTGAAATTGAATAATATCAAGTGCATTAAAAGAGAAAGGCTGTCTACTATACATCAAAAACAGGGCGAGAATAACCAGGCAAGGGATATCGAATCATAAGTAAACACCCCCGCCTATAAGAAAAGCCCACAAAAACTTGAACACTGGGCGTCCAAAGTCCAACAAAAAACTGTACTGGATATAGTAGTCGTAGAGGCGTCGGTCTGGCAGGATGGCATATCTCTAAAGCGGCACTTCATTGAAGTCACCTTCACCCTCCTTGCCCTTGCCCTTTGGACTTGTCTTGTTCACCTCGTCATCTTCGTCCGGCATGTTCTGCGGGAGGGTACTCTCTCTTCTGTCACTCTCATCGCTCTCTGCATCCTTTCCTCCAAGATCTGTTTCGAGTTCTTTCTCCAGCGCAGCCTCACTCAGTTGCCCATTTGGCTGTACCGACTCTTCATCCTCCTCTGACTCGTCCTTCGGCGGCGGAGGCGGAGGCGGCAAATCATCCTCATCCTCCGACCCAACCTCCTGTGTCAAAGCCTGCGGCGGCGCACTTGTCTCACCACCCGGGAAAGGCGTCAGAGGGGGTTCCTCAATAGTAGACGAATCATGCTCAGGTACAGTTTCATGCGTGGGTGTAGGCGCAAGCGTAGGCTGCTGCGTCGTGCTGGGGCGATGCGCGAGCGTAGCATTCGACATGGTGGAAGTAGTTCTTTGGTGAGAATTGCCATGAAGCGTACCGAGCTGGCGAAGTTTAGGATCCGCATTGAGATAGTAACCGCGCACGCCAACAATTGTTCCTTCCGATTCACAAGCATCCACCCACTCCGGCACCACGACGGGGATATTCATCTCGACAGCCTTTTCCCACAGGGGACCCCGGCCCTCCGTGCAGACGAAGTGGGTAGTGTCAATGCGAACGGAATCGATCAGTTTGCCGCCTACGCGGTCCAGCGCAACGCCTAGTGCCTCCTTGCGGTGTGGATCGAGGACGCCCGGCGTCACGGTGATGCCGGACAGGTCGGTCATCTTGTGTGTCCGACATGTCAGCTTCTCGGATTGGTAGGTGCCGGCGGTTGTGCGCAGGACGAGGTGGAAGGTATATTCGGAATGAATGGCTAGACCGCTAATCTTTGTGCTGCGCGTGTCGAGGGGACGGGGTATGGAGCCGGCCTTTGAGCCGTTGCGGTAGAGGGAGAGGGATTTCAGAGACGCGGTTGCGAGGTCGATTGGGTCCCATTCTAGAACGAGGGAGGTCTGGGTTGCATTTCGTAGGCGGAGGATTGGAGGCGAGGGGGCCTTGACACCGTAGGTGTTTAGGATGCGCTTCTGGAGGGATTGGAAGGCGGTTGCGTTGGCGGTTTCGGCGGCGTGGTTGCGCGCAACGGTGATGTCGACGATACTTCCGCTGGAGATGTCGTTGGGGAGGAGAACGGAGGGGAACTCGATCTATATGTGTACTTATTAGCATGCAATTGAGTCTTGTCTTTGTGCGATAGAGAAGTGGGCATCGATTTGGGGGGTTGCCATGCGACCAGGGGCGAGGCACGCTTCTGCTTACAAGGCGATTATCCTGGGTGAGGAGGACGGCAACACCTGCGTCTACCTTGCCGACTGTCAAGGAGACGAGCATCGTGAGGTGTTTTATATGAAAGGAGGAGGGGGAGTGGTTGAGGGGAGATGGTTGAAAGAGAGAGGCAGGTGGATTCGGAGTCGGAGTCCAAGTGTTGATTCCGCCAGATCGGCATTAGCGAGGCTTAGAGATGGGGGAGTACCTAGTACTACTAGTACTTGGACATACCAACACAATCAACCAAGACCTGCCATTCTTAAGTTGTATATGTATTGATGCGATTATTATTTAATATATTCATTTAATAATAATAGTATATCCACATATTCAAAGGCTGCCCTGGAGGGCTGTTTTTATTCAGGAACAAGCTTCTGGTCTAGGCGGCTTCTATTTTGGGACCAGGGGAATTCGACATGATCGGCCATAGCGATTATTACTAGAACAAATAATGGAGTATCCATTGGTGTGTCTCTGAAATTCTGTTGTATAATGTCTTTGGGTACTCTTTACAGTACCAACCAACCCAAACGCCATGCAAATGCCCCTAATGTCCAGACCGGCGGGTCCACCGCTATAATACAATGAAGAATATGCCATAAACCGAGAGAAAAGCCAGAGTTCAAGGTTCTCCAGCTTTCCGTTGGCCAAGTTTCTGTTGGCCAGCCTTCTTTTGACCAGCCTTTTGTTGACCAGATTTCTCCCTAACCTGTTGCTCCTTATGCTTCTGGTTCCGTAGTTTCCTCCGATTGAGGATGGACAACACAAGATAATTCGCATCGTTCTGGAGCACATCAAATCTTTGATTCAAAAGTCCTTCTCGAACAAAGACTTCCATAGACCCAAGCAAGGGATCTGGTTGTTCGGTATCAGGAATAGAAGAGAGTGGATGCCCCAATGGATCAAGCCCATGGTGTGCCAACGCTTGCCGAAAAGCACTGCGCGCTCTTCGTGCAGCCCACGACCGAACCACTCGTTTGTAATTGCCCAGTTCAACGTTGATGTTGACTCGCCACCAAAGCTCATTCTTGCTTCGATTGTCCCACATATGCGCTATCTTGGGACGAATAGGATGGCCGGGAACAGTGAGGTAGCGACTTGCAACCGTTGGGATCGTGTGCTTGGGGTTGAATCGGACCATGAAGTTGTCAGAGGTGGCCGTCATTCTGGCCATTATTGAGTGAGCCTTCATAGTGGCAGGTGTTATCGGTTATTGGGGTACTCCAGTCCACTCTAGTCCAGTCCAGTCCAGTCCAGTACAGCCGTTAGAGGTTCGATGTAGGTGCAGTGGACGATTGGCTCATGGTGAACGAGGAAAAGAGGTGGAACGGTCGCCTTGGTTGCGCGGGGTATTTGAGTGTGCGACGCAGGATCGAATGCCAATCCCAAGTCAAAGCCAGCTTGGAACCCGGATTGAATTGAATTGAATTGAATTAATTGCTCATGACCGTCATCGTCATAACACTAAAAGTCACAAGACAAACAATTCTGCCCGGCGGTGTAGTTGATTCCTTGGTGCCTGGTTACGTCAGCACAAGATTTGCATTTGCAGGGCACAGACACCCCCCACTTACTGACCTTCTTTCCTTTCTTTCTTCTCTCAGCCAACTCCGGGGAAATCTACGAGTCTCCCTTCTCTTCTTCTTTTTTAAGAAAGAGAAAACAAAAAGCACCGACAGCTAGACTCAAGTCCAGTGCACGTCGTGCCCCACCGCTATGCCCAAGAACAAGGGAAAGGTAAGACCGCAAAATATTCAGCCCCTCCTTCTTGGAATGTGTCACCCCCGCCACCGTCTCTATGGATGCCCGACCACATTTTGTTGAAGGGTCAATCATCATGTCAAGTCGTGGGTTATGGTTTCATCTTCGAAATACTCGAAATACTCGAAATAAGGTCGCACAATACTACCCCGAACAATGCTGACTTTCTATCTTTGAAAAAATATAGGGCGGTAAGAACCGTCGTCGTGGAAAGAACGAGAACGACAACGAGAAGCGTGAGCTCGTCTTCAAAGAGGAGGGCCAAGAGTACGCTCAAGTCGTCAAGATGCTGGGTAACGGTCGTCTCGAGGCTCTCTGCTTCGATGGCGAGAAGCGTCTGGCCCACATCCGTGGCAAGCTCCGCAAGAAGGTCTGGATCAACCAGGGTGATATTATCCTGCTCTCGCTCCGTGACTACCAGGACGAGAAGGGTGATGTGATCATGAAGTACACCTCCGACGAGGCCCGCAGTCTCAAGGCCTACGGTGAACTTCCTGAGCACGCCAAGATCAACGAGACCGACACCTACGCCAACGATGGTCTCGAGGACAACGTCGAGTTCGACGAGGACCGCGAGAGTGAGGATGAGAAGGAAATCGATGTCGACGACCTCTAAGGTCACCCTCCACCAACCCCCCCCAGAGCTCGACTGCTCTCTACCCTGCAAGAATGCCACCACGAGATACCTCCCTTGTGGCATCCTTCACGTTTCGCCATATTACCTCCTACTGTGTATCGATATTGGCCTAGACGCCGTGGCTTCTCTTTGCTCCCGATCCCAGCTGAGACTTTTGTTTCTCTTTGAAGGGTGTAGGCTGCCTACCCCTATCAACGCGACCATCTGTTTCTTTGGGATCTGGACGATGTAACAAAGAGCCCTTTCCTTTTTGGGGGGCTCCAAGGACAACAGTCACGGCAACGCCCGCCATTTCGGCCCGGCAATGAGGATGAGGGTCACCCATTTACCCCTCAGGCGCTTTCTTACGACAAGATACCAGGGTATGAAAGCAGTTGATGCCAAGATGATTTCGAGATTTGGATGCATGGATGGTTGTTTGTTCTTTTGAGTTTTGTATCTCTTAAAAGATTCCCATATTTGTTTACTTCAAAATTCTCGGAGTCTTGCTTACGGAGAAGAAAAAAAGTGGTTGCAAGGCGTGCACGCATGATGAACCTGCGGGCTTGTTTCCTTGCATTGCATTGCATGCTATGTGTCTTGCTCTGTTTAGCCTCGCTTTCCTTCCATTCCTTTCGAGTGATAGATTATGTTTAAAAGTCACGAGAATTGAAAATACTTGGTACCTACTGGCATGCTCACTGTAAATCCTCTTCATGAATGCTATACGAGTCCTACTGGATGCCCCTCTGGCCTAATTTCCGCCTCAACATGATACTAACATGATATTTGATATATAGATAACCTTACTGATTAGCTGAACAGCCAGTCGGGCATCATTCAAGTTATAAAAGATGGTTGCGAATGGGGGCTAAAAAGCCTTCTTTCCTAGTTACTGCTTACTCATGATTCATCCCCTCCTCAGCCTCACTCACCACTCACCTCAACCTCAGTAGTTCATGATATTATTTCGCACCGCTTCCACGACATAAGACATCCCAATATCCATCTCCATGTATCATACACCATGTCCGTTCCGAAGGTCCCCTCATCGCATGACGCCCACGGGCAACCCAAACGTAGAAAGGTGCGCAAAGGCACCCACAGTTGCTGGGAATGCAAGCGCCGGAAGATGAAATGTATATTCGATCCGCGTATTTCGAGTACCTCCTGCAACGGGTGTCGACGACGTGGCTCCCCCTGTGTCGGCCAGGAATTCCCCGAGGACCAGGAAAATGTCCTCATGGACATTGGAACTAGTGGTGATGGCAGTTTCTTTGACGGCAGAACTCGCCATGCTACGCCCAACGAAAGGATAGACCATACTCTTACACCTGAGTCAACGATCATGGAGTCTTCACAATTCTATAAATCTTCTGAGGTCCGTCTCTCTTCACGCTCTTCTCTCCAATATGACATGATTGTTCCTGACAGCTTTCTAGCAATATCTGCCAACTACCAGAAGTGATAGCTCACAACGTAAATATGAAAGGCTATCCCAGTTCCTCTATGAATTACTCCCATCACGCGCAGATACCGAGAGTATCTGCAAAGCAAGTCGCCATTTGACCATCCTCTCTCACGAATTGTTGACGACGCCGTACATCACCCTCTCTCAGAATGGCCTCCAGACGCCCGAAAGTTTACTGATCACCCCGCAACCAAATACGCATCCTGTTTTGATCGCGAGACACATGCTCAAACTTGCCATTTTCTTACAGCATCTCCCCCCGGACTTTCATAAGAGGATCGAAGGCCTATCGGAACCACCCCGTATCATCATGGAACGCTTAGCAGATGTTGCCATCTGCCACGTCACGACAAACGAGGCACTGATCAGCAGTATAGAGAGCCTCGAGTGTATCATGCTCGAGAGCCTATACCAAGTGAACATTGGGAACCTTCGACGAGGCTGGGTCGCGGGCCGCAGAGCACTGAGCCTTGCCCAGTTAATGGGCTTTCATCGACCAGATAACCAGACCTTATACAAGACACTCGACCCTGAACTAAAATATGACACACGGATCATGTGGCTCCGCATCAACATCCTCGACCGTCAGCTCTGTCTCCTCCTCGGTCTACCCGAAGGTTGCCCCGACCATAGCATGGCTTTGGATACATACATCACCAATGATTGCCCCATGGGCCGTATCGAGCAGCGGCACTGTGTCGCCATGTCCCGAATTCTCGAACGGAACGCATCCAAGCCGAGTGGCCGAGACCTCGCCGCCACACGCGCCATCGACCTGGAATTGCAGACAGCGGCGGCCAGCCTACCAAGTAAGTGGTGGCTGGCCCCCAAACTCAACAATACATCCACCGACCTGCAAGCCGTGTTCTGGGATACACGCCGCCTGATCCTGCAGATCGGTCACTACAACCTTCTCAACCACCTGCATTTACCGTACATGCTGCGTCCCTGGTCCGCGGAGAACAAAAATGAGTATTCGCGAATCACATGCGTCAATGCATCACGGGAGGTTCTATCACGCTATAACTCGCTCCGCAGCTTCAATCGTATCGCTTACAGTTGTCGCACGGTCGACTTCCTCGCTCTCATCGCGGCGATGGCTCTCCTCCTCGCACACATGGATAGCCATTGTGATGGGGCGGAAAATCTACTTGCAAACCAGTATTTGAGCGATCGCGGGATGATCGAACAGGTACAGGAACACATGAGTGAGATCAACCGGCTGAATTCGGACGAATTGAGCGCACAAACTGCAGATTTGCTAAAGGCGTTATTGGCTATTGACCTGGAGAAAGGACATGAGCGAGTGAGTGTGCGGGAAGCGGGGGGTGAGGGTATGTTACCGCAGGATGGGAATGGGATGAGCTCGGAGGAAGACAGCGTGGTGCAGGTGTATATTCCGTGTTTTGGAATTGTCCGGATCACACGCGAGAAACAGCAAGCTGCGACGATTGGAACCAGCAGTATCAGTAGCAACAACTTCGAAGCCCAACTCCGCTTCTCCCCTTTGATACACCCCAGTGGTCCCCTGTCCACCGACTCCCTCTCTACTAACAATACTTCCAACTCACTCTCCTTCCCTGTCACCGGGACAGCTGCGCCCCTTGAATATCCCGCCGTCCCCTTCGCGCACCAACAACAGCAACAGTGCCAGACCACGTTCTTCGACCCCGGCTTTTCTCTAACACCATCCCCGTTAATGCAGGGCGAGCACCCTGGAGTCGCTGCTGGCGGCGAAGACTGGGCATTCCAGGGGGTGGATATGGCTTTTTTCGAGAGTATAATGAGGAATGCCGGGGGAGATGCTTGAACACTGCCTGTCTACTTTTGGGGACGATTGGATGCACTACCGATTAATCGATCAACAAAGAGCAAACAATATAGTACAGTCGCGCTCGAAATCAGTTTCACGTTTTTACTTTCTTCTATTCCCTGAACTCTCTTCTGAAACACGCTAGTCCGTCTTCGATCTAGTCTGTTGCAGGATTTCGAAATGTATTGTAACCTTCAATTACACGAGTTGTGGGTTTGTAACTTTCCAGAATTACTACTAGTCATATTGGGGTGTTGGATCGTACTGGAATCTCTATGCAGGAGAAGATTGCATGTCTGCGAAGGCATTTATGATACCTCAGTCCACTAATATACTACTGTCACGGGATCACCACTACAATATGTTATAACCAGTTTAGATGGGTTTGTGTTGAGGGGAGAAGGAAGTGTGTGTGAAGGACATGCGCCAACTAGGCAGCAAAAGAATGAATTGATTTTTAAGGAGTCCTCAGCGGTAATCAAGGCTAATTCCTCAACATTGTTCTCTCCAATATTAGCTTTTATCTCAGCAATATCGCTTCCTCGGCCCCAATTGTCAGCGTGGCTAACGGCTAGCATGGCACATTCGGACAGCTAATTCCCCATTTACAAGATTCGGAATCGGCGGCTTTCTGACACACTGCTGCCTTCACCTTGTTCCTTTCTGCATAGATACCGCACGATGTTTCGCAGTCACCCAGTCTTGTATAACCGAGGCCGACTTCACAAATACCCTTTTTATCCTCCACAATGCACCAGCACTTACACAATTGTGGCTGCTGTAGAATTAGAAAATCTGACCATGCATTGACGCTGGCCACACAGGTGAGGATAGTAATATGACATAGAAACTTCATGATCGATCAATGTAAAAACTAAGACAAGAATCAAACCTGGCTTAGCGCATTTGGATTGGAGAGACGACATTACCAGTAACAAATATAGGTTGTAAGATCGCTCGGTCATATATTTAGCGGTGGTAATAATAGAGCTTGCGTGTCCTCAGCAGGGGCTGATATGAGGAAAACGTAGGAATTTTTATAGGAAAAGCGTTTGAATTCCTCTGCATGAACTGTAGTATCCGGGCATTCCTTGATTTCTACACATGCATGAAACGCCTTCTTATCCTTATGGCTCAGCGTGGCTTATTCAGCCGCCGTATTCCCAACGAGTAGGTGAACCTAAAATTGAGATCTATACACTCTCAAACGTCATGCATATGAGTCTAGAACCTTACATTTATGTCCTTTGACTAGTTCCGCTCCCAGGGTGCAGGCCGGGGCCGCGCGGTCGGGGAGGGGGGGGCGCTCGGCTCCTAGATAGTTTGACTTTTAGAATACAATCTGTGGCAGTGAGGCTAGTGCCTATTACATAGATCTGTACAGTTACAGGGAACATTTGAACATGGTTCTCCAGACTCCCTATAACCGCAAGTCTGAATATCACCATCCTTCCTGCACCAGTCACCTGGAATTTTGAGCCTGCTAGCTGCGGTGCCGCAACTATTGATACACTCAGTCCACGAGCCCACACGACCCAGTGATATCTCGCATGGCAAACGCGGTTTGTCAAGGATATAGCAATAGCAATTGCATGACTGGTCTGGGTTTAAGAGGTATTGGTCCTGATCTCCAGCCGCGAGACATGAAAGAAAGCAGGAGGCAAGAATATATGTCAATTTCATAGTATGGAAATAGAGATAAGCTCTCAAGTGGATGTAGCCGTGAATGATTTGGATCAGAACAGAGGCTCTCTCTTTAAGAGTTAGCAATATAATGAAAAGTGGCATCCAGTTTGTGATACCTACTACATATAATAGATAGGGTCAATGAGATGGACATAGGCTACGCCTTTCAAGTCTTGGGAGACATTACTTGTACTACTTGCATCACCATCTATCATGTAGAAAGTTAAAAACAAAAATGTTACAGCGTTTTAAGTATCAATTTTTGTGGTATTGTCGAGGATTCAGTAAGTCCCATTTCATATCTATCCGCTTGCGGATGTTGTACGTCATATCCTCTATAGTCCGGGATAAAGTGCAAGATGGCGTTAACAGATAGTCACACGACCCGTCATAACTAGTCCCAGAATAGCTCTCGTTAGTCTCGGCAGCGTAGGGTCAGCAACACGGGTCCAAGGGCGGTCCTTTCAAGGCTAACAATATAACAGGAAAAACCGAGTTGCCATCGAATACTGCCATCGATCTACGCCTGGGTCTTCTAGGTTCATGCGAGCAATGCGGCCTGCTATGAGAGAAGTCTGCGCGACTTTGCCGACCGAGCTAAGATTCCTGGGCGCTAAGACCGCAAAACCAATATATTCGCACTCGTTGGGGTCTAGCTGGAAAATAGATCCTTGTCCTAGATAACGTTGATATTGACGAGCTCCTTCGCAAACCTTCGGCGACTAGTACGGAGACCCAAGGAAATGCCCAGAGCTATTACCTCGACGCAGCCACCGCCACGGTACTGTACCTTCTCGAAAGGTCAAATAGCTCCATTATTTTCACAAGTCGGAACTGTTACGGGTCAATTGAAAAGAACAATATCAATGCGGTACCTACGGACGAAATTATCGACGCTAGAGGGGAGAAGAGAAAAATAGGAAGAAAGGCAGAAGGGAGGGATCCTTAAGGGCATTTCAATGGAGAAAAGCAGACAAAATTTTCCAGGAAGACAAATACTGTCCATCCTCCGCTCCACACAGTCCTCTATCCTCAATCCGTCATCCGCTGTTAGCCATAATCATAACATCCACAGGCCTTTCCGTAACAGAGCAGATGGTGAAGCCGCCCTCAATAGCACTTTATCCAAGAAATGGCAAGCACAATAAATATTCCGCGAAGAATGCCGAAATAGAAGATAAGGCAGGTCCCACAACATGCAAAGTTTGGCCCGATGAGAGTACAGTACTGTGACACGAATTGAGGAACAAACATCCGCCTTATAATTTACTGCTACTGCAGAATCACAGAAAATATCACAGAAAAGACCAACTAATAAACGATGAAATTGCTCGTTTGAAGTAATCCATTGGCAATTCAGTCGGCTTTTCAACAATCCACGAGCTCAATCTTGATCGGAATATAAATTTCAGGAATTTTCTCGTGACCTATAGCATTATATTGGAAGAATTCCGAGCGTCTGGAAATAATAACATACCTGGAAAAAATCTCATTAACCATTGTGATGCCTCCTCACCTGTCCCTTGCCCCTGGAGCTCCTGCTCGGGTTCCAAATCAAATGCGAGAACCGGCGGTACTGCGTACCACCGTGAATGCAACCGATCCTCGTAGCTCAAAATATTTTGACGCGAAAGCTGGGTATCTGGAAACGAAGAGACAATCCATGAATTCCATCTAATTCAATCAGGAACCACGCGCTCTGGAGGTTTATCTTGAAAGCTCTGGACGTATCCAGATTGCGTAGAGCTTGATCCAAACCAAAGTTTAGCTTAAAGCGTCTGTAATCCAATGGTCTTGTACCGTACTAGTATTCCAAGAATGTGGGCGTGGTGGACTAAACATGAAAGGCATGGCGTCATCCAAAGCAAAGCTCGACAACGAATCAAGAGTAAAGAGGTGAAATTGATTTCGAACGCGTCTGTATATTAAACACTCTAGGTATGTACACAAGATACCCCTAAGCTGAATCTGATGTATCACTTTGGAAATGAACATGTTGCCACCCCCAAGCCGAAGCTCACTCGCCTGTAAAATACTTTGCCATCAGCCACCTGCCATATCAGGTAGCAGCTCTACCAGCGCAAACCTAACCAATTTTAAGATCGATCCCTATTCTTCTCTTCCACTACAGCCTCATCTGCCGTCGGCTTATCCTTCTTCCCATGATCCGGCAGCCTCTTAAACGGAATAATCAGCGACAAGAGGACCGCAAACGCCGCACACGCCAACGAAAACGCAAACACATCCTTGATACCGACCATATACGCTGCGATCACCTCCTTCAGATCATCCCCGCTGAACACGTCCTGAATGTCGGAGGCGCCGGTGCCCAGGACCAGGGTGATATCGTGGTGACCTTCACCGGAGAGGACGGTCTGGAGCATCCGATTGGCGAAGAGGGATTGTGCGATGGCGACGAAGTAAGCTCCGCTAAGGGTTTGACACACTGTGGTGAAGTTCGGTGTTAGTGCTCATGTATATAAGGTACTCGAGTGCGCGATACTTATATTGCCGAGTAAGCGAGAACAAATACTAGTACTTACTAACCATGATTCCAGTCGCGCTGGAAACATCTTCAAGCTTCGAGAAGCCCTGCACAGCCGTCATGGGGATCTGGTTGCAGATCCCAACCCCAAATCCAAAAAGCACCTCGGCACCGATGTACATGGCTTTAGAGGAGTCAACATCCAGGATATAAATCAGGGCCATTCCGGCGGTCATGATGAGGGCGCCGAGGAGCTCGTAGGGTTGTGTGTAGCGGGTCTTTCCTATGACGCCGCCGCTGATAACGGCTCCAAGGGCGAAGAAGGCGAGGAATGGGAGGGTGTTCACGCCGCTTGTCACGGCTGATTGGCCGTGGATGGATTGGAAGTAAATGGGAAGATAGAACATGACTTGGTAGAGGGCGCCATATGAACTAAAGTGGGTTAGTCATGGGTGGGAGATGGGTAGATGTATAAGCCATGAAGAACGTACATGAGGCAGAATAGGGCATTACTCCATGTCATGCGCGGTTTGAGGATGCTGAAGGGGGCCATGGCACGATGGCCCTGAAACCATTCAGTAATAAAGAAGCCAATGCTGAGGACAATCCACATAACCAAGGTCGCGATGACAGAGCCATCATTCCATGATTTAGTCTGTCCACCCCATTGCAATGCCAGCGTCAAACAAATAAGAGACACAAGTAATAAGCAGAAGCCTGGGAGATCCAGTGCGAGGATGATCTCCTGCCATGTTGCTGTTACTTTCTTAATGTGCTTGGGGATGCGCAGGAATAATAGTAACAGCACGATAATTGGTCCACCAACGGGCAAATTAATCCAGAAACACCATCTCCAAGTAACACCACTCGTGAATGCGCCGCCAATCACCGGTCCCAGAATAGTCGAGACCATAAAGACTGCCATCCAAGTGCCAATGAGAAGCGGATGGTTTCTCGGCGGGGCGACGTAGTTTATGACAATGAGGGTGCCTCCGAGGACACCAGAGGCCCCCCCATCCTTGGATGGCACGTCCAATGATGACGGACACGCTATTCGGAGCTGCTGCGGCCACAATACTGCCCACCAAAAAGATGCCGACTGCGCTGAGATAAACCCACTTCACGTCGAGGTACTTGAACAGCTTTCCCCACAGCGGCGAGGCCGAGGCTGCGAGGATGAAAGTAGCACTTCCATACCACCCCACGTCGTCGAGCTTGCGAAAATCATTGGTGATGCCGGGGATTGCGGTTGCGATGATACCAATCTCCAAGGAGACGAGAATGGTACTCACGAAGATCGTGAACATGATGAGGATGAGTCGGACACCAGTCGCATAGTCGGGAGGAATATCGACAGGGTCTTTTTCCTTTTGTTGTTCGGAAGCATCGCTGACACTAGCCGAGCTGGGCTGACTTCTGTCCAGCTCAGTCTTGTTGCTGTTATCGAGGTCTGAACCGTCTGCCATCATTCAAGTCCAAATAACAATGTTGGATATTCTGCGCCACGGCAACCTGTCAAAGGGTCACACGGAGATTGTAACTTATAGTCTCGAGCTCACAAATAGATATGCTGAAGCCATCTTGATGACGAAAATTCCACGCAAGGAAGCCTCTGATTGACACGGTCGAATAAGAGAACGAGACAATTCGACCGCCGTGTTTTGTATATAAATCTTGGCAATGGAGCTATTAATGGACCACTGAATTAGTCATAACGGCGGTCGAATCAACCCGAAAATCGCCAAGACATGCCGCAGCATTCGTCCGCCGTGTGCTAAGGACTAGCTGACTGATACTACTAGTATTAGAATTAGAAATTGTTCTTTTTCACCCTCGACCGACAGGTTTAAGGTTCGACCGTAGGGTTAGACTCCAGGATTTCGTAGGTAGCATGCTTACCGCAGCCGATAGGGTAAGTAGGCCAAAATTAGTAAACAGGAAAATGAATTGACAGCCGATATTGGAGTTATTTATTATTAAGAGTTCAATGTTGGTAATATAAAGAGATGCCGTTAATTGAAACTTGCTATAACCTTAGAAGATAAAATACTGATTACTACTAGTACTCTACTGATAGCAGTCACTCTATATATCCGCACGGCTAGGGTCTAAGTGAATAAAGATGCCACTGAATTCCCGAGGTCGGAACTTCACAAAGTGCGTGTGTTGGGCAATTTTTAAGGACAAAGAGGGTAGTAGTAGTAGCTTCACTTTATTAGAATTTGCTGGCAGAATATTCTCAATTCATGTCAAAGTTCGAATGGTAATATAATGGCCTGGATAGATGTTTAACACAGCTTAATTTATGCAATGGGCACCCCAAGACCATGATTCACTAAATCTGGAGACAAAATCATCCTCTGGTCCTTTGATCTAGTGGTGAGGATGTCAGATTTTGAAGGTTAACCCTTCCCCGCTTAGTGTGGTGATCGATTTTCTGAATGCCCCGGTTCGAACCCGGGAAGGACCTCAATCATTTCATTTTTGTTCAGATCTGTTCTCTCTTAATCAATTTTTATTTTCTTTTAGATTTTTGATTACACACATTCAATTAAACCTGATCCAACACGGTCCATATTTTAACCGAACGCCATCCATGGATCAACACTTTCTCGTCACATTCTAAGGTTTATGACCAGAGCTATATGAATTTGAACCTGAATATTTTTATATCCTATTGACCGACTATAAGAGTCAATCTCTTCATCACAGAAACTAAATTCGATTTCTACATACAATGCAAACACCGTGAACTTCACGCATCCAGACTTCCCTCCCCACTAGTCGACCCCTTAACACACCCTGCATCCCCAAACATCGACCCCACAGCATCTTGCCAAGTAGTCTCCTGCTGAAGGTAATTCTGCAGCGTATAAAAGCGCCGACACTCCGCAGCTTCATAGACGAATTGCAACGGAGTCTCACCATCCTCGGGATCATACTCGTTGCGAAGATTGATATTCCCACTCCAGGAATACGACGGTGTCAGGTTTGGACTCGTCTCGTTGAACCGTTTCCACTCAGACGTGCTCAGGATAGGGGACGAGGTCCCCGCGGCTTTTTGGATGGCCTGATTTGCTTGCTGAATGTAGCCGTTGAGATAGTTGATTTGTAGCGACTGGCCTCCCTTGACGCCGCCGGCTCCTTGCATGGGGCTTTCGGTAGGTCGTCCGCCGAATGCAATGGTGCGGACGCCTTGGCGTTTCATTAATTTGAGGAAGAGGGCGCAGGTTGAGGCACATTCACCATTGGTAAGCTGAATTTTGATACTGGTTAGTTCCGTGATTTTTTTCCCCTGAAACTTTCGAGGTGGATGCAACTTACGATTGCGATGTTTTTCGCTGGGAAGAGGGCGTTCTTGGGGTCCACAGCGATGGGTCCGTATCCATTGATGGGGAAAATGGTAGACGAGAGAGCCGTGTAGTTGAAATTAGCCAGCAAGCTGGACGATGAGCTTCCAAGAGTATCGTGCGGACCATAGAGATCATCCCAGGACTTGAAGTCGGTTTTTTGATCAGGTTGGACATTCATCTTGTACCCGAATGGGTTGCTAGCACCTGCGCTGGGGTCGGATGATTCGGCCTTTGTGAGGTACTTCGCTGCATCATGTGCTCTATAACGTGTCGCTGTGTAGGGTGTTTCTTCTGGGAAGAAAATCTTGAACAGATCAAGCCCAATTGAGATAGATCCACCCGGGTTGCCGGTCAGATCGATCAGGATATTCTTCTTGCCAGCCTCTGTGGCGTTTTTCAAAAACTCGACGGTGACCCGGGAAACATCATTCGGACTGGAAGAGAATGTCGGGAGGAAGAGAATTCCCGTGTCCTCCAGGCCCGTAAGCTTAGAGAAATAGCCTGCAACGGAATTTGCCGAGTTCTTCCAAGTCGTATCGGGAAGCCCTGGTACTTCGGATGAAGCTTCCTCGGTACTGGATGTGCTTAAAGCGGAGTTTAGTGTTCGAGGAATGCAATTGACGGTGTATAGCTCGGTGCCATTGTCATATGAGAAGAACCTCTCAGTGGGGGAGGCTTTCTTCTCTATGGTCTGTTTGGTCCCGTTGCCGTACTCGATGGTCAGCTCTGGGCCTTCGCTCCATTCGGTAGAGGAGGTCCAAAGGCCATTGACACTGATGGGTGTATTGGTGACGCTGCGAGCTGAAGCTGGGAATATTCGGTTATATCTGCATATATTAGCCGATGTGATCACAATGGATTGCGTAAAGATTGGAAAACATACTGCGCATCCTGGTCTTGAAGAGCTTGGCTAAATGCGTATGTTTCGAGAAACTTCGCTGCATCTGTGCCATTGATAGAAACAAGGGGTGAGACATCCTTGGGATTTTGCTCTTTGACATTTGCGTCGTCTGTGGGTCATAGTCAGCTGGGTATGTCTTGCATCTGGTGCTAGTAAGCATGTACTCACTCAAAGTATAGATTTCGGGGAGCGACAGCCCATCTGATGAAACCGACACAAGCGGAAGATCGATGACATAGTTGAAAATGGTCTGGGAACAAAGCTGAAAGACCAAGTGACTATCATGCGCGGATTTTATGAGTTTGGAAATTTCGAAATCCATCTCAAACTGGCTCGAGTAGCCATCGCCCTTGGCTTTGTCTAGGATTGTATCGATTCCCCCCAAAAGGTCGACAGATGGCATCTTGTATCCAGATGGAGGTGCTGTTCACTTGCTTTAGCCTAAATTAAAATGCACATATGGCCGCGATGTTGCTCACATTTAAGAAAGTCGACAGTGGACTGAAACTCGAGGATTTTGCGCACATTGGTCAAAAATGTTGTCGCTAGATCCGATTCAAACGGCATCGACTTAAGACATTGATATGCCAAATCATGCGGCACCGTTGCATCGACTATGACCGTTAGCTAGTGCCTTTCACTCTGACTGCTGATAAAACCATCGATGCTCCCTCCCAATATGACGTACCCTTTTTTTCATTGGCATCTGCCACGAGATGAGTGATCTGCGCACATGGATCGATATCGCGCACATTTCTGCTTGCTGCAACAACGGCCCCAAGCGCGACCGGGGCTAATAAGGTCGTCTTTAAATGCATCACTAGAGAGATGGTGATGTTAAAATCGTGAAGTCGAGAGGTTCGATCTGCAGCATTTGGGGGCTTGGGGGCTTCTCCACTCTCAGGGGCGTCGGTGGACCCTTGCGTGTCGTTCGTTGCTATTTTGGCAGATCAACGTGGATCCCCAGAGAGTGCCAAGACGAAATGTGAGCGTTGAGGATTGCGAAACGATCTGGATGTCTCGGCTAGTGGCGTTTTCTACGAACGTCTGGTTAACACCAAGTGGGATGATCAAGGGGGTGGCTTTTTTCGGAGCTTCTTTGTTGTTTGTGTTGGTTGTTAGGGTGAGGAAGTAAACATTGAGTCAGTCTGGCCCGAGATCGCTTAGGCTACTCGTAAGCCAACCGGAAGTGACAAAATAATTGAAGAAAGGGATCGGCAGAGACAGGATACGAGTACATCTGTAAAGGCCTAGCCAAACATTTGATTTCTCATGAACCTACTAATGCTACTAGAAGGAGAGACAGTACTATATTTTCTTAATCCGAGAACAGCACCAAAACTTCAACAAGAGCAATAAAAGACCAAAACATACGGCTTTAAAGCAAAGCCCAACACAAATTAAGAACTATCCACAGGTCTATCTGTGAGTGACAATTCTAGTGTCAACATCGTGAGGGAACTTGCAACCCTGAACCGTACAAATCTTCTGCGGACACCGATGTCCACTAACACAATTCTCATCATCACATCCCAGGCCCTTTTGACAAGAACTCAAGCGGGCGATCCACATTAGATCAGTTACTTCTTCGCCCTTAAGTTTTGGTCCATGTTTATGGGTACAGGTTTCTCCATATGAGCACGAACCCAATATGTGAAACAGGTTGCAAAATTTATTTTGCTTCAGAGTCTCAATATTCGACTTCGATGAAAAGCGCAACTGGGCATCAACTCGCTGACCGCTAGCATTTTTACAAACAAAAAGCTTCGGGTTATTTGGCTTTGGTATACCTGTCGGCGGATTTGTTGTCTTGGTGAGGTCTTCGGCAGCTGTCTTCGCTACGGAGGCGTAGTTTGGGGTCGGCGTTCGTGGCGGCGTGATTGCTGGTGTCACGGTGGTATCGCCGACAGACACCCTTCTAGATAGTAGTTTCTTCGATCTAAATACCGTCGAGAAGGAGGTTGTCTCAAAATCCGGTACCAAAGCCTTAAGTTCATGCGCAAACGGTGGACCCTCTACCAGCAAAATCCGATTCGATCCACGATGAGGTCCTAATATACGCGCATAACCATTATCTGCAGACCCACAGAAGACAATGTGTTGGCAATGAATATTCAGAAGATCACGATCAAAGTGCGCTGGAAATATATTAGAGCTGTTTTGCTAGTATTGAGAATATGGCGGATGAACACGACGTGCACCGTACCTCGAATCTTCACATCAACACACTCCTTTCCGTTGCCGGCATTCACAAAGTCACACAGAACATTCTCCATGTTAAATCCTCGGATAAACGCCTCCAGAGTATCGTTAGAACTGACGGTATCCGTACCACGATAAGTCTTTGTCAAGCCAGCCACGTTCGCGTATACCCGGATACAATATTGGATATTCGGACTGGATTTGGGTATGAGTGTTTGGACATGTCCTTGAACAGCTTCGATGAGCGCCTTCGCTGCTGAACGACCGCCGTTTTGTCCATCTTGCACAAAGCTATCCAGAAACTAGACAAGTCAGTCGAAACGAAATTGGTACTGGAAGTGGTAGTCTCACATTCATATGGTCACCATCAACCAAAACAGATACAAAACTTAACATCGCCTATTATCGCCAAATATCAGTAAGGAAGTAGACCATGTAGCTAGTGAGTATTGGGATCCACAAAGTATACCTTCTTTCTCTGTTCCTCTCCCAGCTCATCCCGACTTTTTTTGGCCTTCTCCTTGTAGGACCGGGCCAATTCCTTCTGGTCGGTGAACTCGCTTTTTTCGTTCCGAAGATCGGCAAGGAGCTTCTCAACATGAGAAACGAGGTCCTGAAATCGCAACGTCGTTAGCCAGTCCTACTGCGAGTGTGTTTTCCAAAACATACGGCGATCAATTTGTCCTTATTATCTTCGATGGCACTCAAGGCCTCGTGCCTTCTCTTTAACTCTGCCACGTCCACCATTTTCTCTTCTCAGAAATGTCGATATGTGCGTATATTGGAGGAGGGGGGAAAGCAAGCAGCAATGAACTAATCCTCGATGAAGGAACCTTTTATTGTTATACCCGACCCGCGACTTATGCCCAAGGCTGAAGCCCACTCGGCCCTGTACTTTGCTGCCACGTCAGATTCCAAGGTTGGAACAGCACAGGTGCATGAATTCATGTTTCCTCTGAGTAGTTTGTGTAGCCGATATTGGATCGCGATGCTAATTGGCCTTGCACTGCAAGCCATGCCAACATTGGGATAATGAGTGGTAGTTGCAGGGTTTATGTTAGCGCCCCGTGGAATTGCGGCAGCATTAACAGGACAGACCAATCTGTAGCTACAAATTCTTGTTAGATTTTCCTTGAAAAGTCAACCTGTTATAACACAGCTTGAAAAAAAGAAAATCAAGTAAGGAGCTTCAATTATTTGGATGATAAAGCTGGCTCAAAGGGATCATAGACTAAAACCAGCGACCTTGAAAGCTATTCTATTCAGAATATTTAACTCTTGCCACCCCGCAGATACATATCTGAAGTAGAAAAAAGAAAGAGTGGTAACCAATTAAAAGCTAAGCGCCGACAAGGCGGAATGGGTGCTCCAGGGCTTGGTTTGATGACGTGGCGGATTCAGCCTCATGAACCAGCATGAGGAATCGGAAGTAACGCATGTACATTACGAAAGTACGCGTATTTTTTTTATCAAGGAGATTTCAATTTAGAGCTGTCAGGCTAAAGGCAAATACCATAAAAATAAACAAGTTGAAAAAAGCAAACTCATGGGATGAGCACAAAAATATACAGTTTGCTTCGCTCAACCTTTGCTCCCATTAGCCTCTCAATGATACCTTTCAAAGTATCTGACTCAAAAGGTGCAGTCATTGACATAGAAACAAAGACCAAAGATCTCCAAAATCGATACTAGAGATAATGGTACCTGTTAGATACTTTGAAGATACCCTGGGAGTATCATGAAGACTCACAATTCCCTTTTTGCAGTCGGCAACACGACAGAAAGCTTCACCAGGGTGGACAAGGACGTCATTTCCAGTCTCCTATCATTGGATATAATCAGTAAGAGTAAGTTTACCTCAGGGTACCTGTAAGGTATTTCCAGATCTCGCCTCAAATTCCGGCAATTCCACTTGGCAAATCAATACCTTCTGGATTTTGCTAGAGGGCATAGCAGTAGGGGGATTCTGTCATCAGAGGTTGTTCAACGAGCAACTTCTGGTTGAGCCAATCCATCAAACAGGGGAGCTCAAATGCCCAATCTCCCCGAGACACGAAAGTCGTCTCCTTAGAAGCCCGAATGCGTTTGAATGATAATTCTCATCACGACATCGGAATGGCTGGAATGACATGGGCTGCTCGGTTGGTATTCGAAGTGACCTGCTGCCTTGAATCTTCATTTCCTTGACCGCCGTGACTATTCCCGAGAGCAACGTGTTCAGGCGAACACGAAAGGATGTCTCGCTGAGACGGCTGAATTGCTGGCGGATGAGCACACCAGGGACGGAAGGATTTCCCAGTCCAGATTTGTCTCTCCGACAAATTGATCATGAACGAAGCTGCACTCGGAGTAAAGTCCATTATTCATCATCCAGGTTGTTGGATCAAGATATTACCAAGGTGGATAGAGAAGTGACAGAACTCAGCGGAACGAAATATTGCGATTGTTCCATAGCTGAGATAAGTTCAATAGACAAAGATGAACCATAGAACCATCAAAGGTTTTTCTCGGTTAGCGGAAGCATAGGAAGATGCCCTGGAATGAGAGGGAGAGGTTTTCTCTCGGATTGGCAGAAGCGGAAGAATCTGCACTGGGGTGAGAGTGACAGGTTTCTCTGCCATGCTTCGATGACATGGCTTATGGAGACGAGGATGCTCTGAGTTAGTAAACCCCTTGCAAGCTCCTCATTTCGAGTCCGATTTCTCGTGGCATACCGAGAAGACCCCCATTCCCAACAGTGATGCTTCCACCTGCGATGCAGTCACACTTGAAAATCGCTTCAACGAAGACTAGAATCGCGTACGGGACCACGGAGACCCTGGAAAGACCATGTATACTGTGAGTTGTTTGGATTTGAAGTCGGGAGTCAAGACCGAGATATTGAAGGAATGAAAACAGGAGTAGAAGAGTCTCCCCTGTAAATAAACAAATAAGTAAACAAACAACCAAAAAAGTGTTCAAGTGGGAAGGCGCGCTGGCGGTGTTGAAAATGCAGGAGCGATGGAGTAGACCCTGGGCCACTTCCATTTTAACTCTACTAGTAAGGAGTAGTAGTAGGTAGGTGGTTAATAGAAGAGAGAGAAGAAACAAGAATGGAGAAATATGATTGACCAACTTATATAAGAAAAGCATGACAAAGCCCTGGGTATGTGAAATCTGCAAGGCTTCTGGGCGGAAGCAAAGATCGCTATGACATGCACGCTTCACAAAAGAGTTAGAAAGAAAAGCAAAACTTGAAGCACACCCCCTCCTCCGAAATCCCCTTGTCGAAACATTTATACTCTGATTGAGTAGTAGGTTGGACCTGGGAGGTAGAATATCCCTCCACACAACCCACAAACTAAATAGTTCTAGCCCGATACAAATTCCTCCGACTCCCCAACGAAGAACTTGAACTTGAACTTGAACCTTTCATATCCCAATCCTGCAAAGAAAGACTATGCCAGCCCTTAACAATCCCCCTTTCCAGATGTGTATTAGGCCACAACTCGCGCAGGACCAATTCCACAGGTTTCGGGACGGAAGTCGACTCCTCATCATCTCGAACTTGACTCTCCCACCAAAGTTCCCAGGCAATGCGGCCGATTTCCTGAATTTCCAGCCTAACCTCGCCGACGCGTGGCGGTTGCACGAGGAATGATCGACCCAGTTGGCCTAGGATTTGTTGTTCTAATTTATCGAAGAATTCCATTCCAACCGGTGTGATTCGAAGATTCTTCAACCGCCGACTGAACTGATTTGATGAGATGAGGTGCCAGATCTTTGAGACGAGGACTTCGTCGACGGCTGCGTTTGAAAATGTTCGTCTTAGGATATCTGGTTCTGTTGCAGGCTCGATTGGCCAGGGAGTTATTGGTCGCTCGCGCGGATCGTAGTGCAAGTCCAAAACCAGGGTATGCAGTTTTGAAAAGCTACCGAGCTCTTTATATAGCCCGCATTCCTGGGGACTACCTTCGCTGCGTTTGATTGGGAGGCAGAGCTCCTCTAGATTAGGACAGCTTTGCGATATCTCCCTTATTTGGCCGGCGGTCCAGATGGGGTATTTGAAACCTGTGTCGACGACGTTGGAGATTCGGCGCATGTGGGTGCTTGATTGGACGAGGAGGCCTTTTAAGGAATTTCCGTGCTGAGATAGGATTTCGCGGAGCGAGGTGAAGCTTCGTAGTCCCTCTAGAGAGTAGATATCGGAGGGGGCGGAAGGCTTGTACTGCGGCGACCATTTGCTCGTCGTCGGCATGGATGTCTTCGTGGTGGAGTTTCCATGGGTGCATGTTGATGTAAAGTCGTTTGAGTCCGTGTAATTCCGACGCGACATTTTTGAGTATGGCTGGATTGCTGTATACGCCGATCTCGAGGGAGCGGAGTTGCGAGAGATCGACTAGTTGCGACATGCTTGATAACACTTCTTCCCAGGGGCTCATGGGCGGATGGGCGTCGAAGGAAAGTGAATCGAGAGATGCCCTTGGCGTGAAATCTCCCGTGAGAGAAAAAATCCTCCCATTTCTTCTTGACCAGTAGCATATCTTCTGTCGTCAGGCATCCTAGGTCTTGGAAAGAAAGATGTTTGAGATTTGCAGCCGTGAGGGCGAAGAGGAGGGTTTCCGTCAATTGGGTTCTCTTTGAACCGTTTGGTAGAGTTGGTGGTCTTGAGTGGTACATCGAAAATGCATGGAGTTGTGATGAGCGCAGGACATTTAGATCGAACGGGTCGTTGAATTTGGATGGAGGTCCTGGATATGGGTCTCCATAGTCTGGCAGGTTCAAGTTTAAAGATTGGTGAGTCCAGACATTTATTCGACACCTTGGGTGGTACTGGTTGAGAACTGCAAAGAGTTCGGACGGGAAGATATTTTGGATGACATAGTTGAGTTCGGTCAAACGTTCCAACCGGGCGATTAATGAAACCAGCGGTTTCCAGTTTCTCTCTCTGTAGTAAACGGATTCCGTGGCCAGGAATGGGAGGACTTGGTCATGGCAGCGCTTCAGTCGATGCTCTAAAAAGGTATCTACAGATGCGGGGGACCTGAAGTCGATAGACTGGAGGGCTCTATTCTTAACATCGCGGATCTGGAGAGCTTTGGTTGTCTTCCGAGATGGATCCGGCAGACAGACGATATCAAGTCTGCGGGCATATTTTAGAAAGGGCTCGCCATGTGTATGATTGCTCACTTCGGAGACCAGAGTCGGAAGACTCCCATCGTTATGAAAGGCGATGCTCAAAGTGTCATAGACGAAGGGGGCCGCAGTGTAGTACCATGCGTGATTAATCCGGCTCACGGAGGAGAGATCTTGGTGCGAATCCGCTTTTACCTGAACAAAAGCAGTATTAGGGTTAGTGTAGATACCCAGAAAGTCTCATAGAGTTAATCGCATACAAAGCGGCATATTATATGCTTGATCTCTACCGGTAAAGAATCCATGGTAGTGTCTAGAAGTGTAGGGAGGGGGTTGGGCGAAGTAAGTAAGGAGTTGGGTAGAGTCAGTCTATTAAATTATTCAATCGGAAAGGCAGAAAGTCAGATCTCACGGGCAACCTTCCACACGAACAACCTTCCTAGGGTATACGAATACTACTATTACTACTCTGCAACTAATCCTACTCCAAATAAATGCACCTGCATGGCCTATTGCTCATTGCTAGGATTGTATGGAAACCCCATATCCTCGGGTATGCAACCGGTTTAGGGGGAAAACATCACCCCACTACGCCCCCACCGGTATTTCCCGCTTGGACTCCGAGCAAACCATCGTGTGCGACGCTTAACAAGTGGACCTAGCGTTACAACTTATGCCAGGTTTTGGAGGTCTGTTCCCGTGCAGCTCGTGCGCGCATCACTGTACTCCGTGCTCTCCGTCTCTGCGTCTCCTGACTCGACCCCCGCACGCTCGATTCTCAACTCCAACCCGACACTCACGAGACTGATCTATGTATGGTTTGTCTTTAAACTTTGTAAGAAATGTAGTATGATGTAGTGGAAATAAAGTAGATCTAGAGGAAGTCTTTTTTGCCGAGGAACCAAGGGTTTTCCTTCTATCTTGAAAGTCAACTTTGGCAACTGACATACCCTTGGGTGATATTCGTACAACTAGGAGTAGAATGGATGTCAAAGAAAGATCTAGATGACAGTTTGCGGGCACCCCTCATTTCGCGTATGCAACACAGTCATCTCAATGTACCTATTGCTTGGCAACACTATTCTCTTCAGGGACACTAACCACAATCGTCAAGGCAGACAGGGATGCCAAGGGTATCATCTCCGAATTCCACCGGACCGGCCTCAAATGAAATTCGCCAACCTATTACGAGTAGTTCCGGGAGGCCTATAGTAAGGTTTCTCCGTGACTTCTCAATCATTTTGATCATTCGAGTTTCCCGTGTTGAGGGATTTGCAAGAATGCCGAGTTTAACCCCGGGTCCCGTCACCGTCTGCCGAGACTCCCATGGAGACATTTTCTGGGTTCATATGGTAGATAGACGGACTAGGAAGAAATGGAAATTTGTCTGCCGGAGGTTTGATTGGGGCTGACGCTATTCAACCCGAATACTACCTACTGCACTAATCTTCAAAAACGCTTTTCTGGAAGAAGCCGACAATTTTCCGCGCAGCCTCCTTACCAACTAGCGGATCCAACTGCTCAACTTCCATATTAGCAATCTCGGTGAGATTATCGGTCTCGAGAATTAGCCGTTCCAGAGCTTGTGGCGAAACCCCCGGGACCGCGCGTAACATATCCTGCGGAAGAGGATTGAAAGTTCGGTGCTCAATCCCAGCTGTCCCTGTCGTGCCAGTGCCCGAATCGGACATATCCGTCCACTCTATGCCAGTACCAATCATAACCGCTTGATTTGGGTTCGGCTCAGGGGCGTTCTTCTTGAGTTCAGCGAAGATTTCCGCGGTCTGGTAGGGTGAAGAAGACCATATGATCTTGAGACGGGGGATGCAAGGGTTAAGAGGACGAGGAGGTGTTGAAGAGATTTGGGGTTGGAAGGATTGGCAAGTGCACTCGTGCTCGAGCTGATCGCTGCCCCGGTTGATGAAAATCCGGATTCAGTCATGAAGGAAGGTCCCGTGGAGAAAGCGTCGAAGGTAAAGGACTTGTTCTGGTCGAACTCGATGAGAAGTAAGGGGCTCTTGTAGTGTTGAAGCATGCTTTCAGCTTGGTTGTAGAGACGGCCATTTCTCAGGGAGGATATCAAATCCTGAACAGATTTCCGCTCAACACAGATATCTGGCGTGAGGACATAATCGCCCACAGTCAGTACACCGGGCTTGATTACCATGTTGCTACCGTGTAGAAGGGAAGGGAGAGCACTTCGGAACTCTCGCAGATCAACCACTACTAACGGAGGGGCTGCGGTGGCTGCCAATCTACCTCCTCCGGCGATACGAGTATTGACGGTCCGGAGGAATTGCTCTTGGGGGTCTTCGGAACTTTTATCGTGGGATAATGTTACGGCCATGTTCTGTGAAGAATGAGGTTAGGTAAATGTGCTGGGAATTCAGCAGGACTTGAAAGACTTGACTTACCCCCTTCTCCTTGATCAATTTTGTGAAAGAGTCCTTCTCTCGCCGCACCGCGCTGAGATAACGCTGTTCCTCCACAGATCCACCGTAGTATATGAAATACACTTTCACATTTCTTCCAACGTGAGAGCTGCGATAGACCTCGACCCGTTCGGATGAATGCCGGGTCCGGCTCATACATGATGATGTATCGCGGTCGCACCTCTTCAAGTATTTGACTGTCCATCTCTTCATCATAGGGGTGAATCATGATTAGATCGTCCATGTCGTAAAGTTCGTAATAGTCCTCTATATCCATCATATCATCAATAATGATTTCTTCTTTCTGTTCTTCTTCGACTTCAGTAGGTTGGATCTCATTAAGCAAGCTCGCAACTTGATCGGGCAATTCAACATTCGTCTGAACACTGGCATTTGGCACGCGTCCAGAGGCTGAGTTGACAGCTCCACCACCGCGAACTCGACGACGCTTATTTGGCGGGGGCCTTCCTTGTTGACCCTGAGCGGACCCTGGTTTCCCAGTGTCATTTCCGCCGACAGATAGAGAGAGGTTCTTATTAATATTGGAGAGAGATCGTTTCCAGTTGAGGTAGTCACGCAGATAACGACGCATCATAATGCTTGCAGATGAAGTATCTTCGACGGATTCATCCCCATCAGGGGCAGCTTTTGTGTTACCAACTTTCGTATGCATCGTGCTGATGTATTCACGGAGCTGCCGGCATATTCGCTGATCGCTGCACATTATCAGAATAGTGCCGTTGGATCCATCATGGCTTGATGGGTGAAGGTAAGCATCATGCTCAATCTCGCCGAGGACTTCAGTGAGAACATCCCACTTTGGGAGCGGTTCAAGCACAGGCTGTAGCTCAGAGGAGAAGGTCGTAGATCCGTAGGGACGATGCAAATCCTTGCTTATTTTTCCTTCGTATGCTCTTGCCTTCGCTGTTTGGAATAGTACATGCGCAGCGTCAAGGAAAAGCCAAGGAGAGTCGTTGTGTCTGTTTGACCCAGGGGCTGGTGAGTTAGCCGTAACGATTGTGTCTAAATATTTCACGAAAGACACAGAATCATAGGTAAGCAGCGCATGGAGAATGCCCCGAAGATCGCGAAGAGCATTGGTAATTTGTCTCGTTCGGTAGCTGACGCGGTGCCAGATCGGTTCGATCTGTCGCCGAATCATGACATCGAAATTGCGATGCAAAGCACTATCCAGGGTCCACTCCTCCATATCTAAGCCGGTATTTGATTTTCGTAGTTCTGCAATGCTGATATCGACGCATTCAAGGACGGCATTTTGAATCTCGCGCATTTTCGTACTCATCGGAACTTCGAGTTCAATCACCTCAGCCTTCCGATTACCCTCTAAAGCTTCGGCTACGGAGACATGGAATCGGGGCCATAGAGATGCCTTCCGCAGAAACAGATTTCGGAGCATATTGGCCAAAGGGGCAAAGCCGGTGGTAAACGGTTCGGGTGAGTCGGAGAAGGCTTTCAAAAATCCATTTTTGTTCTTTTGTCGGTAGACACGAGCGATGAATGCTTCTAGGGACGTCGCAACGACTCTAAGACCATATCAGCTAGGAGATCATAGAAACTCCGCTCAATATATTCCATACTTTTCGGCATGTAGAATAATCATGCCCGTGATCTTGTCAGGGTCGACCAGATCTAGAGACTTGGTTAGTTGATTGTTCGCAGGGAGTGGGAGTGTACAATGTACCCAAAAGCAGATCTGAGATCAATATCCTGGAGGTCACACTCAAGATACCACCCTGGCTGTAGAGTCGCTCCCTACTGCGAGTTTAGTTCGAGATCGGATCAGAGTGGAGCATCGAACTGGACGCACCGCATAGGCACCGATGCCCTATCCGTGTTGATCTTCTTCAAGCCCCTAGCTAAAGGGGATTTACTGATCGCAGCCTGTTCCGCCAATGCTATCCAACCAAAGTATAAGCATTCTGTCGATTCTGATAGAATTGCGCGAGAGCCGTAGGGATAGGCGTACCCTCTCCGAGCCAATCATTCTCCCGATCATCCGCTCCCACCAACAGAACTAGGTTGTTTCCAGCCGCATCGTAGAAGTGTAGAAGGTTCGCGATCAGATGGAGGAGACCGAGGCCGCGGGCCAGAATGACTAGCTCATCCTCGGTTCGTAGTTCGGTGAAGATGTCCTGCTGGTATTGCTGCGCGAGAGGTTAGCTATCGCGTGCGGAGGGTAATTTCGGCGGGGGGTGATCCGTATTTACCAATGGAAGGGACAGCTTCACCGGGGCATTTGCTCGTTCCGGAGGCATGAGGAGCCCTTCACCTGCATCTGCACCTGGACCTTCAGCCTTGACGCGTTCAAGTTGGCGAATGTCGAGGTTGAAGTCGAGATCGATCGGCCAGGCCAGCATCACGCGTGGTCACGTGTCTATGATGTAATACTGGGTATACTGAGAGTAGTCATACTAGAGGGAGAGAAATAAAATCTTGCATTCGAGTACATAATAAAATTTAATGAGACCAGACATAGTTCCTAAATGGTCGGCTTATTCAGCTCCTTCATGCGTGCTTCGATTTCCTCCCTCGTCGCCTTGGGTGGCAGGTCTGCAATACATATTAGTATGGCATGTTGGGGGGAGTGGTTTCTCTCGAAGAACTTGAACTTGAACTCGAAAGAATATACCACTAGTACCAGTGCAGATAGTAGTACTAATAGAGCTTGAATCTCACTTACTATCAGAAATCGCGGGACCCTTCGATATGAAATCCTGAGCCGATGCCTTTTGCTGTTCGCCTGGTTTGGTGGAGGTTTCTTTAGGATCCTTCTGCGGAACCGAAGGAAATTCCGAGGACTCTGGGATGACAGGCATTTTGGAAGTTGCGTTTGGTTAACAATAAATTGGAGGTAGTACTAATTTGCCAGTGATCTGGAAATCTGGAAATCTGGGAAAATAAGAAATCAAGATGGTCATGTTGCGCAGATGATTTATATAGATCCTGGCGGGATGACGTCGGCGGTCGTCAGGTATCTCTGCGACACAGGCAGAGCAGGACTAGATTGGATGGTGTTAAGTTACATAAAAATTCAAGTTAAATGGAAGTAAATATGTAGTACTGAAGTATTACTAGTAGGACTAACTGGAGGTAGGGAAAAAAACAAAGCAGGTACCAGTAGTACTACTACGAGATTACTCATAGTACTCATTGTACTCGTAGTATTACCTACTTCGGTCTTGGCTAGGCAGACGAGAAGTACACCGTAGCCTTTATAATTGCAGCATCTAGTGCCACTACTATACTCTAATTATAATTATTGTAGTTAACATATAGTATATAGTATATATAGTATACATAGTATATATAATATATTATCTAGAGTCTCACTGGGAGATACTTCCGAGTACACGTGCTCCTTAGTAGGCTGACGCGGGTGCCAAGTACTGCGGCGTACCTCGTCTTTCTTCCCCCACCACCGTGACCACTTCACCTCTTTCTCACCTTCATTCTCTCCTCTCCTCCTCCTCCAACTTGAAGGCAACCGCCGGTCGGCTCCTTTCTCACCTCAAACATTCCCCCGATCCAACCTGGTTGTATCCCTCGCCCTCTCCCTCCTCCATCATCCGCCCTTCTCCTATCGTGTTGGGGTCCACTCTTTGCACCGCCCGTTTGGTCTGCCATGCGCCTTCGACCAGCCTAACTCCCCACCCGCAACCTCACCCTATCTCACCATCCACCCCGGCATACGTTAATTCGTCATGCCCTCCATCCTGAGTGATGCCGACAAGGAAACGGTGAAGCGAAATGTCCCCAAACCCGCCAACAAGATCTTTGCCGTAGCTGTCGCACGACTCTACGTTGCCTATCCAGACCCCGGACGATGGACCTACACCGGCATACAAGGCGCCGCCGTCATTTGCAATGATCTCGTCGGCCGAACATGCTGGCTGAAGATTGTCGATGTCTCGGTATGAGATCCTCATCCCCGGGAGATCAATTTGCCCACATACTGACCAACGACCTACTCGCTATAGCCCGCCGGAAGAGGTGTGATTTGGGACCAAGAACTCTACGACAACTTCGCCTATAACCAGGATCGAACCTTTTTCCATACCTTCGAACTCGAAGACTGCGCCGCTGGTCTCTCTTTCGCCGACGAGAAGGAAGCGAAAACTTTCATCAAGAAGGTGCACGAACGGGAGAAGACTGTCAGCAAAGAGACTAAGCAGACTCCCTTTGCTTCTTCTCGCGGCCAGGGACCTGCGCCGGTTTCCAATGGTAAGCGGTCCCTCTTCGGGAGCTTGCTGCATCGTGGTAGCCACAGTCACCATGCTCCCCCCAACGCAGTCGATCATACCTGCAGCTGCACCTCCATCGTCGCAACCTCCTTCACTGCCTCCTAGCGCGCCTGCGCCTGTACCTGCACCAGCCGCCCATGCAGATTTGCCGTTTGATCCAAGAGACCCGGAGTGGAAGCCATTGATGGATGAACTGCATAGTATGGGTATAACGGAGGACCAAATCGCAGAGAACTCCGATTTCATCATGGGCTATATACAGCAGAAGCAAAGCGCAAGCGAACCTGCTCCTCCCGCTGACGATCAACCGAAACCCCGCGCTCCTCCGCCACCACCTCCCGGTGTACCCAAAGTGAATACAATTAGCCCCCAGGGCACTGGGACAAACTCAGGCAGCCGACGCGGCCCACCACCACCACCCCCGTCCCGCAAAGCTCGTACAGATCCGACCGAAGAAGCTATATCCCCGCCCCCTCGTGAACCTTCGCCCCCGGCGCCGCCAGCGCAACCAGTTCGAAGATTCAATGCACCACCTCCGCTTGCTGATGCAGGAAAATACGCCGAGCCCGCGGGTCCTGTCCCGCCGAGGCGGCCTCGAGCAACGTCAAACGTAACCCCAGGTGCAGCCCCCGGCCCCCCACCACCACCACGGCCACCAAAGGAGGCCATGGATGGCACCCAGCCTCGATTTGGAGTAGCTCCGCCATTCACGGGAGATCGCAAGGTTTCCGCTCCGCCCGCGCCTCCGAGCCGCAGCCCAGTTCCTCCCGGTCCTCCACCTCCACCTCCTCGCGCTGTGAGCCCAGCAGCTCCACCTCAGCTACCTCCCAAAGTTCCCAATGCATCTACTCCTTCCGGTCCTCCACCACCCCCGCCTGCTAGAGGACCGATATCACCCCCTCCGCCCGCTCCTCGGCATGTGCCATCAACACCTGCCGCGCCCCCCACCACCGCCGCCAAGAGCTCCTATATCACCAACAACGGATCACGGTCCACCAGGAGGACTCCCACCTCCACCTCCTGCTCGCTCTGTCCCTCAACTGCCTCCGCCCCCTCCACCTCCAGCTTCCGTGCCTGGCGGACCTCCTCCGCCGCCCCCCACCTGGGGGAAGCTCTGGTGCTCCTGGATTGCCTCCTCCTCCACCACCACCTGGGCGCTCTGGGCCTTCAGCTCCACCACCTCCACCACCTCCTGGTGGACCTGGTGGACCACCACCGCCGCCGCCCCCAGGAAGATCAGCTGGAGGACCACCTCCACCCCCTGCACCTGCGGGAGGACCAGCCCCGCCATTGCCACAGAGTACAGGTGGGCGAGATGATCTCCTAGCCGCCATTAGAGCCTCAGGTGGTCAAGGCGGAGGCGGACTCAAGAAAGTCAAGGACTCGGAGAAGAAAGACCGAAGCGCCGCAGCCGTCCCAGGAAGTGCAGCCGAATCATCTGCTGCAGCATCTGGCGGTGGAGGTGCTCAACAAGGTGGCCTGGCTGGCGCCTTGCAGGATGCACTGAGCAAGAGAAAGCAGCGGGTTAGCGGAAGTGGTAAGTCGACCCTATGAGATTCATACATTAAGCCAACTCGATATACTGACCATGTTCCACAGATGACGAAAAGGATGATGACGACGACTGGTGATCTATTAACTTTGGACCCTTTCCATCAACCTTTTTCCAGCCTGTCTTTTTCTTCTTCTTTTTATCTTTTTGTTCATGATACCTACCGGTTCATTGCGGGCATGATTTTGCGGATGGGACATTGTGCATTTTTCTTTCTTCTCGCCCCTTCTCTCTCTACGTTACAGCGTTGTCTCCAAAATTCTGGCTTCCAGTGAGTGCTCATGGGATGGGAACTGTGTACATTGTATATATTCTCGCAGATTTGGTGCAAGTGGTTAGGTTAGGTTAGGCTCGGTCTCAGATACACTGAACGCGATTTGCTTGAGATGTTTCCCAATGCTTTATTTCCTATCGTTCAAGGTTCCAACGACCATGAACTAAGCTTGGTAGGCTTGGTAGGAGCAAAGGAGGGACAGGTCAAGTTCAAGTTTGTTTGCCGACGCTTGTCTAGCGCAGACTCGGAGATACCGAGGATGCCCTGGGGGAAATCGCACCAATCACAAATTGAATAAAGCACAGTTGTAAGCCAAACCTTGATGTTTACCCTGTTTAGTTTATTAAATTAAATCGGTCCCTGGCTAAGCTCATATAAATCCCATTTTGACCCAATCACTATCTCGGTGGTCCCCATGTGCCGTCGGACTCCAGCCGGGCAGGGTTAGGGCTGACTCTAGGGCGACTCTAGAGCAACTTCAGACGCGCTAAACCTTCGAAGCCTTAACGCTAACTGACACCCGGCTACTTCGGATACGGGATAGAATGTTATCGCTTAAAGGATACCCAATGGCTCCAAGATGAATATGCACGTGGAAACTACCCGACGCGACGTTTACGAGCCCCAGGTCATTTCGAGACCGATCCAGGAACGCGCCACAGACATGCGCGATCGCAGTGTAACAAGATAAAAGGAAATGCCCTCGCTGATCCTTTTGGAAAGATAAGAAAGACAACTTCAATTACTTTCATCATGAAGGCTACCGTTGTTTCGACGTTGCTGGCCCTTTCGGTCGCTGTCAATGGCCACCCGGCAGTTGATACGACCTATGCGTACAAAGGTCCCGAAGTGCCTGTTGGTGATTGGGTTGATCCCACGATCAATGGTAATGGAAAGGGATTCCCTCGTCTTGTGGAGCCACCGGCCGTGAAGCCTGCCTCGTCGCATCCGACCAACAATGTCAATGTCATTTCTTTGTCGTATATTCCCGATGGTATTCACATCCATTATCAGACGCCTTTCGGACTTGGAAAGACACCGGCTGTCAAATGGGGGAAGAATCCTCACAAGTTGGATCGTGTTGCGAAAGGATATACTCATACGTAAGTGGATCGATCCATGTTGGCCGGCAGCTCGCTGGTTGCTCAGATCTGACTTCGTTTCTCCAGCTATGGCCGCACACCTTCGTGCTCGCAGATCAAAGCCATCACACAGTGCAGTGAATTCTTCCACGAAGTTTCTCTGGACAACCTCGAGTCGGGAAAGACTTACTACTATCAAATTCCCGGATCCAATGGTACAACTACCTCCGAGGTTCTGAGTTTCACCACAGCTCGCAAAGCCGGTGACCCTACAGAGTTTAGTGTCGCTGTCTTGAACGATATGGGATATACCAATGCCCAAGGTACCCACAAATACCTGACCAAAGCTGCCAACGAGGGCACTGCATTTGCTTGGCACGGTGGTGATATCAGTTATGCCGATGACTGGTATTCAGGCATTCTGCCCTGCGAGGATAGCTGGCCCGTGTGCTACAACGGTACGAGCACCACTCTTCCAGGTGGAACCGTGCCGGATGAGTACAAGAAGCCTCTGCCAAAGGGCGAGGTCGCCAATCAAGGTGGACCCCAGGGTGGCGACATGAGCGTCCTCTACGAGTCCAACTGGGATCTTTGGCAACAATGGCTAGGAAGTGTTACCAAGAAGATCCCCTACATGGTTCTCCCCGGTAACCACGAAGCTGCATGTGCAGAATTCGACGGACCAGGCAATGTCCTGACAGCCTATTTGAACGAGGACAAGTCGAATTCCACCGCAGCCAAGGAGGGTCTCACGTACTACAGCTGCCCACCTTCGCAGCGAAACTTCACTGCTTACCAGCACCGTTTCCGCATGCCGGGTGCTGAGACTGGCGGCGTGAGCAATTTCTGGTACTCGTTTGACTATGGCCTTGCTCATTTTGTTTCTGTGGATGGTGAGACTGGCGGCGTGAGCAATTTCTGGTACTCGTTTGACTATGGCCTTGCTCATTTTGTTTCTGTGGATGGTGAGACGGACTATGCTAACAGTCCTGAGTGGTCTTTTGCGGAGGAGCTTTCCGGAAATGAAACTCACCCCACAGAGTCGGAGACTTATTTGACTGATAGCGGACCCTTTGGTCGCGTTGGAAATGTTAAGGATACCAAGTCCTATGAGCAATACCAATGGTTGAAGAAGGACTTGGCTAGTGTTGATCGAAAGAAGACACCGTGGGTGATCGTCATGAGCCATCGCCCCATGTACAGCTCCGCCTACTCTTCCTACCAGAAGAACATCCGCGCAGCATTCGAGGGCCTGATGCTTGAGAATGGTGTAGATGCCTATCTCTCCGGGTAAGAATTCCCTTCTTTGCTCATATTTGTATGCGGAGACTAATCAATTACCACAGACACATCCACTGGTACGAACGACTGTTCCCGTTGGGAACTAACGGAACTATCGACGTCGCTTCTATTGTCAACAACAACACCTATACTACCAACGCTGGCAAATCGATGACCCACATTATCAATGGAATGGCTGGTAACATTGAAAGTCACAGTGAATTCAGCAGCGGCCAGGGCTTGACGAACATCACTGCGGTGCTGAACACCAAGGAGTACGGATTCAGCAAATTGACTGTTGTGAACTCCACCGCGTTGAAATGGGAGTATATCCGTGGCAGTGACGGGTCAGTCGGTGATAAGCTTTGGCTAGTCAAGCCTAGCCAGGAGGGTCACGGTCATAATGGTAAGAGTCCTGTCGGTGCGAAGAAGTCTCATGGTTCCTTCTCAAGAGAGAACTTGATGTTTGGAATAAATGAAATGAGTTAAGATTTTTGCTGCAATATGCAACTTTCTGCGTTGTTATCAAGGAGAATTATTTTTCCATCAAGAGACCGGTCATTTGCCTGGTCGTTCAGGGGTCATTTTCGGCCCAATCACTATCTCAGTGGCCCCTATGTGCAGGACTCGGGCGACTCTAGAGGGCTAGATGTATTCTCTGGAATGTAAATAACTTCAATTTTTAAAAGGTCAGAGGTTCCAAGGTTAAGTTAATTGTGTGGCATGCACACAGATTCCGACAGAATGTCCCGGTAGCAGGAATCTTCTGATTGGCGGAATCTTCTGACTGGCCCCTTGTATAACTACTGGATGGACAAGAGGAATGAACATTTTGCTGGAATCCGTGCGCATACCATACACCTCCGACCTTTTTTGTAGAGGCTGAAGTTACCTTTTACATTCCGAGGTTCCAGGGAATATAGTATCTAAGCATGTTAATCATAGTAATAGCAATTATGAGACATTGGCACTGACAGTTAACCAGAGGCCGTGAACCCACTACATTAAGCCCCTTCGGTGGGATGGTAGGACAACTTGGTCTTCTAGTCAAACCACCTGGGCACAAGCGGTACGGCCGGTATCAACTGATACTCTCTTCCTCCAAAATATCTTTTCGTTTCAAATAAACGATCTGCAAAATGCGCTTCGCTGTTCCTACCCTGTTGTTCTGTGCTTCTGTCACTGCCCTCTCTGGAGACGATGCCATAGAAAAGTGGGGTGGTGGGTATAGGGGTGGGGATAAGGTTGCCCACGGGGGCAACAATATTGGAAATGGGAATGGCGGTGGGATTAATATCGACACTGGGGGTGGTGACCTTGGAGCTATTGGTGTTGGGGTTGGAGGTGGAGGTACGGGTGGTTGCGACCAGGCCGCTTGCGACGCCAAGGTAAGGAAATGAAGAGTTCGGGATATGCGGAGCGCTGCTGATACTGTATTAACATTGTTGTTGTATTTCAGTGTCGAAGTTTAGGTAATAAATCAGGATACTGTCACAACGATAGTGGATCACCTGGTTTACTTGGACTTCTCCTTGGACAGTCTACTACCTCGTCAGTCTTTCTCGATTGTCTTGAAATTGCAGAGCAATCTAAAAGCTAATATAAATAGGTCATGTGTTTGTATACCAACAAATTGTGATTCTTCTTCTTCATGTGACGGGCAATGTGTAAGGCCGCAGACTGACTCCATTTTGTGACGACGACTAAATGATGCCCGATAGTGTGCGTCCGGCCTGGCCTGTTGCAATGGTGCTTGCACGGACCTTAACAGTCCTAGTAATTGTGGAACCTGTGGGAACACTGTGAGCTGTCATTTATTGTTACTCGAAGCGAGATCATTGACCAACGATATTATAGTGCTCTGGTGGGTCGACCTGCTCATCAGGCACCTGTACATGTATGGGTTTCCAGGGCTTCCAGCTGCAAACCACACTCCCTGTTGGGTCGTTACCGTTTAGTCTTGCTGTGGATGACTTCAACGGAGATGGCTATCTTGATATCGTGGCTTCGAATTCTGCTGATAATACAGTAAGCGTCCTCCTCGGCACTGGATCTGGTGGCTTCCAGCCACAGACTACATATCCTACAGGGTCTAGGCCAGCTGGTGTTGCTGTGGGGGACTTGAACACAGATGGCTTTCTTGATATTGTGGTTGTGAACCAGCTTGGTAACTCAATAAGCATCTTGATTGGGAATGGGCTAGGCAGCTTTCAGCCACAGCCTGAGATACCCTTACCTGTGCAGTACAATCCATTGGATGTTGCAGTTGGTTACTTTAACGGAGATGGCGATCTTGATATTGTGGTTACAAATCCTAGCTTTGGGAGAGTGACTGTCTTATATGGGACTGGATCTGGGAGTTTCCAGCAGGTCCCATTCCAAGCAGGGTTCACGCCATCCCGTGTCGCAGTTGGTGACCTTAATGCAGATGGCCTACTTGATATTGTGACTGTCGATCTCAGTGGCAATTCGGTGGGCGTTTTGCTCGGGGCTGGACCCCCCCCAGGACTTCCAGTCACAGGTCACATACCCTGTAGGGAGTAGGCCGCTTGGTGTTGCGGTGGGCGATTTCAACAGTGATGGGTATCTTGATATTGTCACTTCTAATGCCGATGACAGTACAGTTAGTGTCTTGCTTAATACTGGATCAGGAAGCTTTCAGCAACAGACTACATTTTCTGTGGGATCTGCTCCATATGGTGTTGCCGTGGGAGATTTTGACGAAGATGGCAATCTGGATATTGTAGCTACGAATGTTGACGACAACACAGTGAGCGTCTTGCTCGGAACTGGATCGGGAAGCTTTCAACAGCAGGTCATATTCCCTGTCGGAACCAGGCCACAGCGTGTTGCAGTGGGCGACCTCAATGGAGATGGCCAGCTTGATATTGTGACCACAAATTTTGGCGACAATACACTGAGTATCTTGTTTGGGAAATCTTGCGACTCATAGAATCCATCTAACCGGTCTGCTGACCTTGTACCGGGTATATGCAAGAGATTCGTATATTTTTGCGATATAGTGGAGGTATTTCGGGCCCGGATATCATCACACTTCTTATTGGGAGCCGAGAGGTCTGCAGGAGAAGAAGGAAGCGTCCAGCGTGTTTCACAGACAGTCATGTATCAATTTGAATTGTAGCTAGACAAAGGAGGTGCTCCCATAATTAAAACCCATGCGAATCGAATTGCGGGCGGGATATGATAGCTTCGTGAAGGCATGATGACTTTATCACATAATACCGCTGTCTTTCCTGATTTGGATTGCCCAGCTGATAAAGCCTCAGCCATGGAATGCGGTTCTTGTTCGTTATAAGCCTTAGCCCGGCCGTATTAGCAAGAGCCCCGTCGATGGGAAAAAGCCTCATGGCTCCTTCTAGCATGAACTTGAAGTTATGATATTCAGTTGAGTATAATAAAATTGAGTACTTCAAGTGATCTTTGCAACTGCTTTCAGTTTTTGAATTTTTATATGCTACTAGTAGTTTCCAAGGTTATACAGTCTTTCCTCGAACAAAAATCCTAGACCTAGTTACCTTTACCCTTGTTCTGATTATCCCGCTCAGAAGTTGTTGCTTCGTCATTTTCAATTGTCTCAGAGGTATTTGCTCGTCCACTCTCATCCAGTTTGATATTCTTTAGGAAGAACATCACAATGAGCATCAGCGACAAGGAAACCAATCCCGCAATTTCCAAAAGTCTCTGTGACTCGCGATAACTGCGATCGATTGCATTTCGAGCATCAGTGCCCTCAGCATACTTTTTAGCAACGACTATGGAGCTGAATATGGAGTTGGCTTGACTTTTCAGCTCCTCCGGTAGATACTGCCGAAGTTTGCTCGGGAGAGTATTTCTCCAAATTGCGCCAGCCACACTGATATCAGAACGAATTAGAAAAAAGCATCACCAAGGTCCAGCTAAGAATGCATTTGATTGAAAAACATACCTAGTACCAATAGCACCACCAACACTCATTGAAGCAAAGAAAACCGCAGTAACAACAGAGACTTCTTGGCGTGTTACGACTGCTTGAACCGAGACTTGAGCGGCGGTTTGGTTGAAGCCACGACCAATTCCGATGAGTGATTTGGCCGTTATAAATGAGACTTCGCTACCCACTCGGCCACCACCCATATCTACTAGATATAGCAGAACACCCATTCCAAGAACACAAAGTGGAACACCAATCAGAACCCAAATCTGGGATCGCTTGGTATACTTCATAAAGAATGCGGCAAATATGCCGGCAACCTGGAAAGCGACGCGAAGCGAGTTGCTATAAATGTGAGAAATATGCGCCGGTGATACCCAAGGAAGGGTTTGACTTACTCAATTCGCGTTGCAGGACCCGCGGAGAAGTGCCCTGCGACTTGCAGGTAGCTAGTGAAGAAAACAGTGAAGACTGAATAATGAAAGAAGTCAAGTGCCCCGAGAAGACAAGCAGCTGCAACGGTGCGGTTGTTGATCATGCGGTATGGTACGAAAGGTTGTTGGGCAAACCATGCGTCCCAAATAAAAAAGACAATTAGAAAAACAACGCCAAGAGCCAGCATAGCGATAAATGATCCACGGGTCCAAGAATCGCTATTTGTCGTGCCGGTCAAGGAAAGCGGAACGAGGAGAAGAGACAATCCGGCGAGAAGAAATATCGCACCGGGCAGATCAAGTTGAAACCAGAACAATTGAAATACCTTTTCCCACAAAGGCTGTCCAGGATCCAGGTCTAGTGAGCTGCTCGTCTGTGATTTTGTCTTCGGGATTCGGCGTTGATAGAAGAGCATTGTCCCTATAAGAGGCACTGATGCCACAGGTAAAACTATCGCCCACATTCCCCATCCCCAGCGCCATGTAGAATTATCGAGGATGCGTTCTGCGACGGTTGTCCCGATGTAAAGGGTTGGAATGGTTGTTAAGGAGTCTGGGAGGGTAGACCATACGCCGCGATTGACGAGCGAAGTCATGTCTGCCACAAAGACTTGTTGTGTAAGAGCGTATCCAGTGGATCCGATAGCCTCAAATATACCGGCTGCCTATTATTTGGGTAAGAGTTCATTAGAAAATGGAAGTGGATTGAGTTTGAAAACGCATGAAACGTACAATGTATTGAGCAATATTTGTGCAAGCAGCATAAATCACGTACCCGAGAGCCGAAGCAAAGATTGAGAAGATGAACATCTCAGCTCTGCCAAAGACCTAGAATAAAATCAACACCATGTTTCCAGTATTTTATAGTTCGTTCTCATACTGACATCACCTAGTTTAGCGATGATAGGATACGCTGAAATGCGTGCAATGTTCATCACGACCTTCGCCGCGCTCATGGCGGAATGTTGTTTGAATGAGCTGGTTGTGTAGGGCGTATACACTTGAGTCGAATAATCCGCGAAGTTGATGGCAAATGTACATAGTAAAAGACTGGAATAGTCAGCTCATGCTCTCATAAAATAGGATGACGTTGATCCAACCCTGAAAAAACCATCACAAGACCTTGCTTCGTCCATGCTTCGCGCAATAGATCAGCTTTTTGTACTCCGGCCTGCATATTTGATGAAGGTTGCGATTCCTTCTCCAGATCAGACGAAAGTCCGTGGTCATCTTGAGTATTGCTTGACTCATTGCCCACCGGGGCAATGTCGATATCACGTTGCTTCGACATGAGCAGAGTTGTATGTCCGATTTTTCATGATCTGAAATCATACAAAAGCGAATGTAGGCTTTAATATGACCATCTTAGATAGAATGGGGCCATTCTTGTATGCAGCGGATCTCTACAATAACCGAGGTCCTTAGTATCCAAATGGCGTCCAATTTAAGAAATGTAGGGCTTGCCAAGACGTTGGAATGGCGATGCTTACGTTGATATTGACATCAAACCAAGAAAAAGGTTTCACAGAGTGGATGGGCCATGCCTAAACCCGAAAAAAGCCAAGAAGGAAACAAATTTCGAGCATCACCAAGACAAAAAAGTAAATCTTATCAGATGAGCACGAATTTCTTCCCTCTAGCCCACGTGTCCTATAACCAAGATCGAATCAGATAACTTCTGCCAAGCTGCGGAAGGGCGCGCAAAGACAAACCGCCATTGACTAGCAGGCCACAGACCCGAACAAGTCAATTTTCACGAGTGTTCAGGGAAGCTGACATCGTTGCGGAGGTCAGATTCCGGGATTTCCTCGGCGTTCCACCCCCCCATGGGCCCGGAGAGTGGGGGATCCAGTGGCTCCACGTTTCGCATTCTACCCACCTTTCCAGGAACCTCGCCTATTTTCGCCATAAATAGCTGGCTAAGTTGATATCCAGAGAAGCTGGCTAAATCATCAGCCCTGACACTCTAATAGACTTCGGATCTACCTTGCCGATACTCAATCGATCCTTCTTTACATACGAAAAGACCTCGATTGAACACACCACCATGGACAATGAATGGAAGTTTGACAGGGCAAATGGGACCCCTATTCCCAATATCGAGAACTGGAACGCGACAAGCCCTAATGGCGAGCCCTATTTGATCCAAGTTTCATGGCCCTTGGGCTGGCCTCCAATTGAACGAACACATGAATGCTCGCAGGTAGCTAATGTAATGTAAGATGAGTTTCTGACCCAAATCGTAGTAATAGCCATGGCCACCATCTGATAATTCATAAACAGCTACGTTGTGGATGGCAACGCAATGTTTTTGTCAGCGACAGATGTCGTACGACGGAATGGGCTCGGTCGTCACAATATCGGAACAATCGTTGTCGGAATTTCCTATCCGATTTCGGATGCTGTTTATAGTGCCCGTCGAGGCTTCGATCTCACGCCTCCTTGCGAAAGCTACAACCCGCCGAAAGACACAGATGGAAAGCCGTACCCACAGCCCTATGGAGGAGCTGATTTTCTTCTTGGTTTTATAAAAAAGGTTCATAGCTTTTTATTTGCCTCAGTCTTCCCTCAAGTTTCAATTCGGCAAACTGCGATTTTCGGCCATTCTTATGGTGCGCTCTTCGCTCTTCACGCGCTCTTCACTGCGCCTGCATCATTTGACGCATACCTGGCGGCCAGTCCTTCAATTTGGTGGAATGACAAGTTCATCATCCAGGAGGAACGCGAATTTTACGCGAAACCAGATCTTCAACATCGACCCCTAGTGTGGATGTCGTATGGGTCTTTGGAGCAGGTGCCTGATCGGCAAAAAGGGGAGTCAGAGGTGGATTACGAAAAACGACTACGCAGTTCGTCTGAGCGTCTCATGGCAGATAATTGCGATGAGATATACCTATGCTTGAAAGCTAGCGAGCGATTAGGATATATGAGGAAGAGGGTTTATGAAGCAGAGGACCACGGAAGTGTCATTGCTACCTCCTTGAGTGGAGCTATTCTCTGCTTTATTGAAAATTCATCCCATTCAGGTGATGCAAATGCTGAGTGCTGAAATATCATGATTTATTGTATCTCGAATGAGGAAAGAAAGATTATCTTCATAACCCAGAGAATTTTGGGTGTCTAAAATTATTTGAGGAAAAGTCTCATTGTACCGTTAACTTGGTAGTGTCTCTGGACCATTGAGTACCTTCTCAATCTCCAACCAATCCATGTAATCAACACCCGTTAAGGGAAGAGTTGGGTTGTTGAAACTGGAGTATATGTCTTCTGCCTCTCCAGATAAGTCAATATTCCAGTCATCCCGCGTACCAAAAACCGTATCCGTGGATAGAAGATTTGCCCATGGCTCAAGCAATTGGCTCTCATCATGATGATTGCGTCGACTACCGGCTTCAAATGACATGCTTGGTCGAGGCTGTATTGGATAATTTCCGAAGGGGCGCCTGTCTCCACTCTCGTCCGGAGTTAGATTAAGTCCTCTTGGTCGTGAAGTCATGCTGAATTGAGGAGATCCTTCACTCGATGAAGCTTTGTTGAAAATATGGCTTGGCCACACGTGTGAGCAAGACTGAGAAATATCCTGGAGTCGCTGCTCAGCTGCAAAGTTTCCAGACCGAGCTAAAAATTGTAGGACCTCGTAGGCTTGGCTCAATGCCGGAGGAGGTTCATCCTGGGAGCTATTGATAAAGCCACCCATAACGAGTACAAATGCGGCCGAGAATGTCGCATCTAAATCGAAAAATCCGAAGCGTGCTAGCAACAAACGAAATCAGCGACTTATACAATGACAGAATTTCATAGGATAGACTGACGTATTGTTCTTTGGCGTTGTAGGGAGTGCAATATTGCCAAGCTTCGCGTGGCCGCTTCGTTGCAAGTATCGCAAAGCCGTGAAAGCATATCGGGTACTATCTCAGAGGCCTCTAGCTTTTGCTGCCGTTGGACCCTTAAGCGGACACTGCGTAGCAATATGGGTCGAGTACATAAAATGATAGCCTAATTATGTCTTCTGTCAGTACATGGAGCATACATACCAGGCCACCATTCGGATAAACGAACCTGAAAAAGCATTAGATATAGAGATGCACCTGTACGGGTCACATTGCCAAGAGGTCGGGTAAAATCAAGAACTAGAGCTTGAGGAAACGACCGACCGATGTCAGACAATTCTTTCAAGATATCTTGGATTCTTTTGACCAAGTCAAGCTCTGTGATGGAAGAATTCCCATACAGTGCTGTACAAGTCAGCATATGGCTCGAAGCTGGTAGGGTGAAGCATACATGACATGATCTCATCTGTTATACGAGCAATACGAACGTTGATATTTAGTGCAACGGGGGATTGAAAGCCTGCGACATGTCGGGGAAAGCCAGCTCGGAGTTGTCGCTCATCAGCTCCGGCGGCCAAACCTAGACCGGACGACAATCGCCTTCTCTTATTAGTACATACCCGTTTTCAATGCATGAGGGAATGGCATACCGATCCAGCATATAAACAGTCCACCACAGCCGCACTCTATGAGCACTCTGCGATGGAAGGCAGTTTTGTTCACTTTCGGGAAGATTGCAACCGAGCGCAATGGCCAGGCGCAAAGCAAGGCCAATCTTGCTCTGTTAGTCTCTAGCGGAAATTTTTTGGAAATGTGGGCTTACATGAATATATGCATCATGTTTGCGGTCGCACCACTGGAGATATGTGGCCATAAGCGTAAGTATCTCGACAGCGATGACACCCTCTCCCCCAAGATGATGTAATTGGGGAAGCCGACTCAGTGCCTCTGTGAAAAGGGCGGAGCCAGGTGGCTGACTGGTTGGGCTTTCCACGTCCATGAGCTTGGCCATCGCCATGACAAGAAGATATTCGGTGTACCAGGTAGATCTTTTCACTTCTTCGCGGGTCTCTGGAGACTGAAAAAGAAGCATAAGAGAATCCGAGAATGTCCTCGAGTCAAAGAAATGCTGGCTGACACCCAAGTAAAAAAGGAATTGCTCAAGCAAATATTGTGATTGCTCAAGTGACGGCCATGATTCGTTACTATCTTCGAGCAATGTGTCGACCGATGTCCATTGAGAGTGTGAACGACTATGATCTCTGCTTCTCGTATAGTCTCGAGCCGCAAAAGGACTCAATTGTGACCTATCCAGTAGAGATCTGGCCTGAGATTCAAATGCCGGCCCAGATGCGAGATCCGTTGCTTCAAGTTGTTCTCCATTTAGATTATATTTCGTATAAAATGACAGGGTAATCACTTACCGGGACTAATTGCAGAAACGCTTTCATCGTATGAGAATCCCCTGGATGGGTTATCGGGCCCACTGGTGACTGGCGTTTCGGTATCGGCTTCCCGAGGTGCACGGCTCGGGCCTGGACCGGAACCAACGGGAGAAAGAATCGATGACTCTGAGGTATGTCAATAAATATTCGTGGATTATTCATTGCATGCCCATTGAGAAAGTACCCGAGGGTTGGCCTGCAAGCCTCTCTTCATACGACCTTATCTTATCCAGGAGATGCTGCACTTGGCTAGGAGACGATCAGCATCGGTCGTTATTCAGAAAGATAGAACCCACGCTTCAGAGAATCTTCTTCGACCTGTATGCCCAAATGTACAGCTCCAGCCATGTTTTAAACACCCTCGGCATGGTTGCTCGCCGGAGCATTTCACCTTTCTTCGACGGCATGCCTCGCATCTGGACCGAGGTTAGCGCACATTGCTCACAACGTGCGAAGCACAACACGCGACAAGAATAAGGAGATTGAGAAAGTCCTACGCATTAGCCGATCGCGGATTTGAAGCTACCATCGTATAGATGATCGGTAAATATCACTTTCGCTCATGGATCTCGAGGTTGTAGAAGTTGAGTTGAGTCGGGAGGTCGGTCCGATGATGTGGGGCAAGTCCGGATAAGCTTCCGAGCGCTGCCAGTAAGGACTAGGTAGTATATTCCAACTTGAAGGCATCATTGTTGCTTCTTTGGCTTAAGATAATGTCATTTGTCAATAACATACTCATAATCCTACAGGCAAGCCTCTGCTAAATCGTGGCAATACCTAGGTATATCTTAGAACGACAATAACGTCAATGACTCGAAGAACATGAAGATGGCCCTGGAGTTAGGTTGAAATCACATGGTTCAGGCTCGTCCATCAATTTAATTCCTCGGCACAGCATAGGAGATGGAAAAATAAAATTTGCCACGATAGGGAGTTGGAGTTAAGCTGAAATTGGATATAAGGCCATCATGAGGTGTCCTATCCATGACTTCAGATGACAACGGACAGACAGTGCCGTTCTTCCCGCATGGCGAGATACTATAACACACGTCATTATAGGATCTGAGTGGAACTTCACTTCATCCTGGGATGTCATCAAGAGCTCCTCACTTTTCGTAACCGAGAGGATGGATGTGCTGCGTGAAATAGCCCCAGACTCCGGTGCCTACATGAGTGAAGCTGATCTTCTCGAGCCGAACCTCCAAGAAGCGTTCTATGGTACCAATTACCCCCTTCTCTATACACTCAAGCAGGAACACGAGCCCACCGGTCTCTTCTTTGCTCTTACAGCCGTCGGCGCCGAGGATTGGGAGGTCCAGACCGTTGATCCTCTACCGTACTCTTGGAACAATAACGAACGACTGTGCCCAAAGTCTTCTTGACTTGACATATGCGATTGAAAAACATGCTTCTATATATGATTTTAATATTTATAGCCTTTCAGTGGCGTATATAGCCGGTATCAATAATATTGAAACGATGCCTTCTAGTAGCTATTAGTACTACCCGTTACTCCGGGTAGAGACCAGGCTGGACACATACTCGTAAAAATACGGGCTACATCCATATCGCGTCTGTATGACTATTATGGGCGATGAGATTAACATATTCATACGCCAAGAAGATCTTATCTAGCAGTTTCAATCAAACAGGAGATTTCTCCGCAGCCGGTTATCGGAAACTCGTGGCACGCTCAGATGTCTTAATTCATAATTCCCCGCACCAAGAGCTCTAGATAGGATGTAACATCCGAGGAAATCCTCTTTTACGCCGGGTGTTACACAAATATCGAGTAAATTTCTTCGCTCAGCCACCTAATTGTCCTTGGACCCATTCGAATTTCAAGGCATAGGAAGTAAGCTTATTTCTCCCAGAAAGTTAGACTTCATCAACAATCAACATGACCAACAACCTAAGTGTCAAGCCGTGGTTGCCTCAGACACCACCACCCGAGGTCATTTTCTTTAATGTGAATCTGGTTGATACTGAGTTAGGTGACGTGATTCCTAACTCTATTGTGAAGATCAAGGATGGTCTCATCGTTGATGTAACGACTGGAAGCGCAGAGTCTCACTCTCTGCTCAATGGAACCAACGCAGTGGATCTGGAGGGCCAATACCTCTGCCCAGGACTTATCGACTGCCATGTTCATCTGACGGCGACACCTGGGGCTCTTTTACTGAAGGATTTGTTTGCAGCAAGTCCTAATAGCATTGCATACCGTACGGCATTTGTCGCGCGAGAGATGCTGCTGCGTGGATTTACTACAGCTCGCGATACTGGTGGAGCGGACTCTTCCCTCCGCGAAGCTATTCGAGAAGGCCTCATCATTGGTCCTCGGCTGTTTATCGCTGGGAAAGCCCTGTCTCAAACAGGAGGCCATGGAGACCTTCGGGCTAGCTACGAGGGAGAAGAGCACAAGTGCTGCGGGGGTCATTCGCCCGCCTTCGCGCGTGTATGTGACGGCGTTCCCGAATGCCTCAGTGCGGTGCGAGATGAGCTACGACAGGGCGCGAATTTCATCAAAATCATGTGCGGAGGGGGTGTTGCCACTCCAGCAGATGCCCTCGACATGCTTCAGTTCAATGCGGAAGAGATACGTGCGATAACAACGACTGCTAGATACTCCAAGACATATGTGACAGCTCATGCATACACTATTGATGCAATCCGTCATGCTGTCGATAACGGGGTGATGGGAATTGAGCATGGAAATTTCATCGACGAGGAGACCGCAGCTTACTGCACCAAAAAAGGAGTAGTTTTTACTCCGACACTCGTCACTTATAAAAGCATGAGTCGACCTCCATTCGACAATTTTCTCGACAAATTTAGCCAGGAAAAAAAATCGCCAGGTTCTTGCAAGTGGGTTAGGTGCGCTTTCAGTTCTTCAGAAAGTAGGAGCAACAATCTGTTATGGATCGGATCTCCTGGCAGGTCTGCACTCTCTGCAAAATGAGGAGTTTTCGATTCGTTCTTCTGTTTTGAGTGCAAAAGAAATTCTCCAGTCTGCCACAGTGAATGCTGCCAAGCTTCTAGGAATGGAGAATCGACTAGGATGCATCAAGAAGGGGGGCATTGCAGACATTCTCATTCTGAAAAGCAATCCGCTAGAAGACATTACGATCTTAGATCGGATTGATGAAAGCCTTGTGGCTATTATTAAGGAAGGTCGAGTTGTTTTCAAGCGATCGAGTTGGTTGGCAGTAGACCCGATGTACGACCCCTGCCGTGTTCAAGCCGAATAAGCAGGACTCCTTTTGCTGTTATGAATGATTTTTATTCCGAGAGTGACATTAAATCAACGCCAAATTGCATCTCAAAAAGAATCATAGCACCATGCTGTAAAATAAAAGAAATTTTACTCAAGTATGAAGCATATGCAGGGTCTGTAGTGTCGGAAGCTCAAGCCGACAAAACCTCGGATGTCATCCGAAGGAATGAGGGGGAGATCTGCGGGTGAATCTTTTTTCGAATTTGCAAAATCACGTTTGGAAGAGCAACTCATTTGAGTTGATAGGCTGGTTTTTTAGCGATTGGCTGCTTTATCCGGATTGGGTACAGAATTATTGTCCACTGGCATCTCCGGACTGCCGTTATTGAGCATACTCGCTGCCTTCTCGCATTTTTTCGTCTCCTTTACTTTTCCGCAATGCCTCTTATAACCCCGATTGGTGAGGAATCTCCTCAAAACCACGTTCACGTCGCAGTGCTTGACACCGATGTACCATGTCCCGCCGTCTACGCGAAACGCGGCATGCACAGCTCGCGATTTCGTGTTCTTCTCCAAGCTGCCGCGGAGCGTCTCAACCAAGATGCACAAAAGTTGCAGCATGGAAATATCGGAATCCATGTGACGGCTTTTGACGCTGTGGGTGGCTCATATCCGCCACTTTCGTTCCTAAGATCTAGTCCACGATCTTTGAATAGGACAAATGCCCGTGATTCGCCTGGGCCGATCGATGTGATTTTGGTTACTGGTGCTGCTGCCGCCGCGTATGATGATTTGCCATGGATTCCAGCCCTCCGTTCATTCATCCAAAAAGTCTATGCGGATTATCCCTTTGTTAAGATTTACGGATCTTGTTTCGGGCACCAGCTTATAGGTCAGGCATTACTTGAAGGCCAGGAGTGTTCCATGGGCAAAGATTTCCCTTCAAAAATCTCAGTTGAACCATCAGTGCTGGGCCATGAAATTGGAGTTCAATTTATTGTACTGAATGTTCAATTCAGCCGCCGATTTTCATCACTCGCTCAGTTTTCGTCAGAACGGCCAGTTCAATTACAAGTCATTCACGGTGATATTGTGACCCCCTCACAAGAGATTCCCTCGCATATAGGCCAAAATGAGCTTTTACTCCCTGAGCCATGGATGAATATTGGAAGCAGCTCCAAATGCCTCATTCAAGGGCTCTTTTATCCTGGTCGTGTCCTCACATTGCAAGGTCATTTTGAATTTGACGCATTTGCTTCAGGCGAACTATGCCGCCAGTTCGCACGGACATACAACTGGACACAATCTTCTTTGGAAGCTCATCTATCAAATATATGGGGCTCTTTTGAATCTATTGATGGGCCTTCAGGGCCTTATGATGACGCGAAAGCGGTAGCGGAGATGGTTGTGCTATTCTTTGCAGATGAAGACCGGTTTTTGGCTGCAATTCCGGGAAAGTCCTCATGAGCAAGGCGGGTTCAGAGGACCACCGCTATTGATACACCCTATAGATACCGATAGAACAAACAACTCCATTTTATTTGGTTCTGTGAAGTCGTTCGTTCCAAGCAGTTCACATCACCGAGCATATTTTAGCTCACCGTCAATGAAATAGGCTCAGTGAGTTCACTGAGTACAATAGCTCAGTTAATTTTGAGGTATTTCCCCTATATTCCAAAATTAAACAAAAACGATGAGGCATTTATCCATTTATCCAATCCAATCTCCGTCGTTGGCTGCAGTATACTTCGCCTCGGAATAACCTTCTTCCGGCTTGCGGCGTACGCGCGGGAAAAAAGCCGCGACTGAGAGATTATCGCTTCTTCCGCAGCGCTCTTTGACATCCCGAGGCATGTTGTCTCCGTTGAAGCCGTCTGTGCCATCGGCCTCGCTATTGCGATTCTTACGATCACAGTCAGAAGTCTCGATCGGCTCTGCCTGCGCTCAACCCCGACCTCGACTTCATTGCCAGGTGCAATTCGCGACCGGGTCATCTCGCAGATCGTCAAGTTTGGTTCGCCCCAGTCAGTCGCAGTATGCCTTGGTCTCTACAGGAGACTCTATTATCGGTACATACTCTAGACCAAAAGCCACAAGCCCAAGACCGATTTCGGAGCCCTTGATCATTTCCCGAAATACTTCTACAACCCGCCGACCGCTTCTCCGGAGACTCTTCGACCTCAAACGAAACAAAAACGCCGAATATAAGAATGCTCGTCCAGGTCCTGCGCTTATCGATGATACCGCGGAGGGAATGTTCAACATTGGCCGTGGGCTTGCTGCGAGAGCTTCCAACGAACTACGCATTCGGTGTACTGAATTCGATAACAATGGGAATGTCACGCTCGTGAATGGAGAGTTTCGGAAGCTAGAATTAATTGCAAAGGTTAGTCTAACACACGCCATGCTTCCCGACAATCTTTGGCATCCTGCTAACTCAATTGGCGCCGTTATAGTACGGTCTCCTTCCTCGAGACCTCCGCAAGATCGACTCCTCTACCCTGCCACACATCCTAGTCCGACCGAGCGCCATTCTTATCAATCTGCTACACCTGCGAGTACTGATAAAGTCGGACCGCGTTCTAGTGTTCGACGCATATGGGTCAACAGACTCCTACATGCAATCGCTGTTTATTTATGACCTGGAAGCGAAACTCCGTCAGAAATCATCGCAGGTGGCACAAGGCGGCCAATCTCTTCCTTACGAACTCCGCGCACTAGAAGCCGTTCTCATCAGTGTTACAACGGGGTTGGAAGAAGAATTTAATGGAGTGAGAGACCCAGTTGTTCGGGTTCTCCGTGCGCTGGAAGAAGACATCGACCGCGATAAACTCCGACACCTGCTGGTCTACTCCAAGAAACTTGGCACCTTTGAGCAGAAGGCTCGACTGGTTCGAGATGCCATTGACGATTTGCTTGAGGCCGATGACGATCTTGCTGCTATGTACCTCACCGAGAGATCACATGGCAAGGAGCGAGAAGAGGATGACCACCAGGAGGTGGAGATGCTTCTAGAATCTTATCACAAAGTTTGCGATGAAATTGTCCAGGCTAGCGGCAGCTTGGTGACTGGAATTCGTAATACAGAGGAAATGTGAGTCCTGAAAGTCCCTGCAAAAAAACAAAAATCGCAAACCAGTATTAACCCACAACAGTGTCAAGGCCATTCTCGATGCCAATCGCAACTCACTCATGCTTCTTGACCTCAAGTTCAGCATAGGAACCCTCGGCCTTGCCGCAGGAACCCTTTTCTCTGCTCTTTACGGAATGAACTTGAAAAACTTCATCGAGGAAGACGATTTCGGATTCGGTGGCGTCTCAGCCGTCTGCTTTATACTCACTGGAATTGTCTGTTATTATGGGCTTGGAAGACTACGCAAGCTTCAGCGCGTGCGTATGTGGGGAGAGGGTGGTGTTGGAACTGCCAGCTTGGCCCCACCACTATCACCGAGACGGACAAGCATCCCCTCTACTCGCAGCAACTGGCGTGCCGAATCTATTGAGCCAGTCTGGGGCAGTCTACCTGGCGAAGCACGATCTGAACGAATGAAAAGGCTTCGTCAGACTGCTGCCGCGAGCGCGGCTAGTGTTGCTTCCAGAACTCCTGGGGCCAATATCCCGAATTCATCGGCTGCGGCGTCTGCGGCTTTTGAGTCTGCATTGAACTCCGAGGCGTCCAAGTCTGGCGGAGAAGACCAGTCCGATGAGCCACAAGAAAAACAGGATGGCACAGGTGCAAACAAGTCCTCTTAGATACAGTCTGCATTAATCTCTGCATTTGATGGAATAGCGAGTTGCATTTGCTTTGGCGTTTGATACAGGAAGCCTCAGCTATCCAGTCTCTTTGTACATTATCAATTACTATCATTCTCCTCTACAAGCCCCACTCTGTGCTATGTGTCCAGGCCAATATGATATCCATCTCTCTTGAACGTCATTTGAAGTCCAATCAATCTTTATTTCGGGGTATCTAAAGTGGGTGATCAATGTACCGTGCTTCCTTCCTCGTCACCTCGATGGACATTACGAGCACGTTCGACCCATTTCCTCGCGGCGGCTTGAATGCCGCCATCATCTTCGCATTCTCGGCGAATAATTTGCATGGTCTTTTCCTGGAGCTCTTCATTGGCTAAATTTCCCTCTTGACATCCGGTGATACCCATATCTCGCGTACTTGGAATCTGAAGCTTGGATCTTTGTACTTCATAGCCAACCTCTTGGGCAATCCCCATGGTTTTCGCTGTCAGCGATCCATACATTGAAGTGAACATGCCCTCTTCTGTCTTCTCTTTCTGCTTCAACAACCTCAGTGCTCGCAGGTCTCCCGAGGCTGGTTGTGGATTTTGGTCAATTGAAGCCTTCTTTTGACAACTGTTATCGCCCTGGTCGAGCGGCTGCGTTCCTGTTTCCGATGGTGGATAACGGAATTTATCTCCAGAGAGAGAATGAGAGCAGCAAGGAATAGCAAGAAACGGCAGGGGTGACGTGGGGCAGGCCAGAGCCGCTATCAATGGCGTCCAAACTGTAAGCTCATCGGCATGATTTGATATGAGAAATGTGCCCTTCGGATAATTGCCCAATTCAGCATCCACGCCAATCTCCTCTGGCTCGAGGACATCTATGAATGGCTTGGGAATGAAGACCTTCTCCACCAATCGATCCTGCACGGGCTCTGGGAAAGTCCTCCACGAGATCCTTCGGCGCGCATCAAAGCCGAGTCCTGAATATCCTTCCATTAGAAGTACATATACGAGAACACCATTTCCGCAAGCCATATCCACGAATCCTGGGAAATCCGCCGGGCAGCTATTTTCGGACGATTCACTCTTCGGAACTGTGCCATATAGACTTCTCCACAGCTCAATGATAAATGCAGCTATGGCCAGGTCTTCGAATACGTGTTTGGCTGGCTCGGCTTCCTCCGCCCAATTTTTGATTAGATTTTGGGCGTAGATATCATTCAGTCGCGCATATGTTTTCTCGACCAGGTTGTGCGGGACCACACCGTTCTTGTCATTTAATTTATCATTTCCGATGATATCTGTACCAGGCGATGGTAATCTCCGCCATTGGTCTGCATCCGTTCTGACGGTTTGCGAGGAGATCTTCATGATTTTGCTTGTTGTTGGAACAAATCACCTTGTTCCCAGGCACTTCGTGTTCGTGTCGTTGGTGAAAGAACCAGTGTGCGCGGTTCGTTGGCCGAATGGCAAATTTCGAGGGCTCTTCAAATATAAATATCTTCTATTGATACATACATCCTGCAAATGCCGCTGGCCTAGGTAAAAGACGGCGAATCGTTGGGGTTCAAGTTGTTGTATACGAGCTGATTGTGGAGCACAAAAAGAGAAGCCGCGCCGGAAAAAGAAAGCGGCAGAAATTGCCATCACGTGGGATCGCATCAAAACACTTTCTTCCCATTCAAACCTCCAAAGGTCTCAGATTCAACGACTAAAGCATGAAGCAAAGACCCAATTTCAAGGAATTGCCCATCCAACCCTCGGGCCTCTATTGGGAAAATGACTTTGTGGACGCGGAACACGAGCAACGACTCATCTCAATCTTCACCAAAGAATTGGTATGGCCTGATCGACCAGGCAGGATATCCTTACACTACGGATATACCTTCGACTACAAGACATTCGGCATAGACCCGGAGATTCCATACAAGGAGTTCCCGGACTGGTTGCAGCCTCTCATTCCGACCACTGAAGATCGACTTCCAGATCAGGTCTGCCTGCAATTTTACCCACCAGGTGCCGGGATTCCCCCACATGTAGATGCACATGCACCATATGATCAACTCTATGCACTTTCGCTGGGCGCGCCGGCGATGATGGTTTTTGGTCAGGGTGAGAAGCGCATCGAGGTCGATCTGAACCCACGGAGCATGATGCAGATGACTGGGGATTCCCGATTACATTGGACCCACGGTATCAAAAAGCGCAAGACTGATACTCTGCCCGACGGCACGGTCCGTCTTCGCGAGAACAGATGGAGTATTACCTACCGTTGGCTTCGAGAGGGAGACTGTGAATGTGGGAATCTTACCTATTGCGATACGGCGCAGAGCCGGAACGGGACAGAAAAGGAGAAAAGATCGGTCAAGGCGCTTGCTGAGAAGGCGAATTCCGAAGATCCAGCCAGTTGATCTGCGCTTATTATTCCCATGGATTGAATTTGTATCCTAGTCTATACATATACCCAAACAAGCAAATGTTACGTCTTCAAAGAGGTCTCCTTGACTTCAGGCGTATATTCAGGAGGGGGAGCAGACGTTGCTATCTTCGGTGCAGACCCCATTTCTCCTCCTCTGGACTTTCGCTTTTCCTTGCGCTTTTCTGTCGTGTGGTTGCGAATCATCATGGTGATTTCTGGGTTGTAGGATGCCTGCTCTGGGGTCTCATTCGATCCGTTCTTCACATTGAGCGAAGGTCCGTACTCGAGCAATAGGCGAACCATATCAACGTCCTTCTCTTTGACAGCCACATGAATCGCTCTGTTTGAATCCCATCCTTTCATGTTGATATCAGTTCCGCTGTCCAGGAACAATTTGACAAGTTCGCAATTGCCTGATTTCACAGCGTCGTGAAAAAGAGGTCTCTTAGAGCTGTTCATTTCCTTCCCTGACACCATGCCACTGCGAAAAAAGGTTTTGATTATCTGTAAATTGCCACCGTCGATGGCGAGGGCGAATGGTGTTGCCATATTTCGATCCCTAGCCTTGACCTCGGTCTTATCCCCGAGCATTCGAAGAACAAGGGGGATTTTGAACGTTTTGTCGTAGTCTAGAAGAGTTTCGCACATTTCCCGATGTCCATTTTGAACGGCCATGTGAAGAGCAGTCCATTTCATGGAAGTGCTTCGTGAAGTGTCGGCCTTGAATTCCAAAAGCAGCTGAACCATTTCAAGATCTCCATTCTCGGCGGCGATGTGGATTGGATAGTAAAGCTTTTTATTCCAACACGTTAATGCTGAGCTTTCGCACTCGAGTAGTAGCCGTGTGAGCTGTTTGTGGCCGCCTTTCACTGCTAAATGCAACGGCACTGAATCGCTGGCATTTTTGACCACGGGTGACGCTTTTCTCTCGAGAAGAAGTCTGGCAATATCCCAGTACCCCTGATCTGCCGCATGGTGAAGCGCAGTGTACCCGGTACCATCAATCTCGTTGGGATCGACTCCTTCATCTAATAGCGATCTCACGGTGTCGATCCGATTTTGAGATGCGGCTTCAGGCAATGCCATGCCGGAATTTGCAGAGTTTTTCGTGTCGCTTGCCATCATAACATGGGGTGGGGGGGTTTTCCCTCGCTGGGGGCTTTGGAGCTTTGTTTCATCTTCAATCGCCAGCGCTTGTTTCAGGGAACAGTGTCATTTTAAATGCCCTCGGCTCGGTATAGATTGGCATGCCAAGTCACCCTAAGCCCTTTCCGTTATTGACAAGCGAACCGCGCCCGGGGCCGTTAGCTTGTCAGCGCTATTTTAGTTGAACCGGGCGCTCTGCGCTCGAGCCAACTTCTAGAAAGCATTTTAAAGGGGTTTTATGGAGTAGCAGCAGGTAATGTATGAACCCGATCTGGCGTCGCTCCATTGCCTTAGTTAGCTTGGGCACAACTTAAAATCCTCTTTTATTTACGCAAGATGAATCCTTGGATTTTATGCTATAGCGTATCGCTTTGATCGATACGGTCTTCCCCACCTTGACCTTGGACAGTTAAAAAATCATTCTCAGCTATTAGTTGAGCCATCCTTCGGTTATGTGCTACTTCATGCTATTTTCGGCTTTCTTCAACACCCTGCTTTGTGGTAGTCTTTGCCATCGAAATATGTACTGCCCTTTCTCTAGTACAATGCGTCTCGAACGCTCACCCGTTTGCCAAACGGTTTCTCCATCCTCTGTCTCTTAACCTACTCCCAAAGATCATCAACCAGATGCTAGATATTCATTGAACATGGTGTTGAAAGTACCGCCCTTGATCGGATTTTTGGCTAGCCACAAATATCACTACCTCACTACTGAGACCCTACGGCCTTAGGCCGGTGGCTTTCCAGCTCACACTCTCTACATGAAGAATTAATCACTTTCATCGGCCATTGGACACCGATTGAACGCCGTTTGTCATTAGATAAATAAATAAAGCGTGTAGATTCCCTCATCTATCGCATAGATCCATCATCTTCCATCTTATCTTTCTGCCTCTCACGCCGATCAAGACCAAAGGGAAACTACTGCAAGAAGATGCAAACCGTTTATTTTTCCTATGAGAGAATTTTCTACGATAGAAGCGATTACATACTGCCTTTGTTCCATTAGCAATTGAATTTGCATGATGCGTTTACCCACTAGTACTGCGCGCTTTCAACCCTTCGCCAGAACAGACAAGTCCTTCACAATTTCATCTCCCTAGTCGATGTCAACATTGGGATCCCCAGGTTACCGCGGAGCTATAGTCCTTGTTAAATTGCCCCCTTGCCCTTTCATCTCGTTCGCCCATCTTTATCATGTCTGATATTCGCTTTCTTGTACTAAAGAACCATCTCTCTTCGGTTGGCTTCCTGCCTCCTTTGCTTTCGCCGCCCCATCAAGCACACTATCGGTAGATGAGTCCTGCTGCCCAAATTAACTACAGGCAAAGGTTCGGGAAAATCGATTACACCGGCCTCATCAGCCTTTTAGTTTGCTCTCAACCTTCACAACGAAGAAATTCCCTCCTTGCGGACTACTGTCCCGGATGTTTAATTTGGATGCTGGTCACGATTATCCAAATACTGGATCCTTGGAACGCTTAACATGTACCAATAGGTCATCTCCTTCAATGGCCAATTTGATTCACACAAAATGTCTTGAAAGGTGCAAATGTGGTTTGTATAGGAAAAGAAATGTCTCTCCTACATTGGTATCGGTGTAGAATCGTTGGTCCATTCTTCATTATTTTTGAAGTACTAGTAACAAAGTGACTGAATTCCTGCCTAAGACTTGGAGGCTTACATCTGTACATTTCGCGAATACCAATAGACTCTTACCATGAAAGATCACCCAGGACTTTTCTTCCGCCGACCACGCTTTGTAGCAAAGACCGTTAGCAAGTGTCCTTCATAGCCAATTCGTAGACTAAATAAGCAAACTCTGCACCGTATGAAGTCTAGTTTTCGGATACTGCGGATGTTTTACAACTGTTCTCTGGGTCTTCCCTTCACCAGCCCGTTAATCCACGGTCGATAGCATCAAGTAGCTGTCACGCCGACGTAACACTTACACGATGTCAAAGTATTCAACTATCCAACTGCTGACTTCAGAGGAATCCTCTTCCGAATATATTTTCCCTAACAATTGATCTGTCACTCTTGTCAATTCTTCCCTTTCGAAGCTCCCTCGTCGCAAACACGCTACAACCATAACCACCTCACCTCACCTCGCCTCGCCCATCAAGATCTACCTACCAATTCCACAACCAATCAAAAATACCCCACCAAAAATGAAGCTTCAGACCACACATTTGACCGCTGTCCTTGCCCTCTTCTCCTCTCCCGCCCTGGCAGCCGCTGTCCCTGACCCAGCCCCTGACCCAGCACCAGCCCAGGCCTCAGCAACAAGCAACAGCCCAAGCACACAATACAACTGGCACTTCGATCTATTCAAAAACAAGCGCTGCAGCGATGCAGCAATCAACATCAGCGGCACCGGATCCAGCGGATGCAGAACAGATGTTCCAAAGGGTGGTATTGTCGCATTCACCAGGGTGGATGTTGATCCGCACTGCACTGTGACGCTGTACAAGGATAGCAAGTGCTCGAAGGGTGATGATATTGGTAGTATTCGTTCTGATTCGAAGACTACTTGTGCTTTGGCTTCGAAGAAGAAGAAGCATATTAAGAGTTTCCAGGTGAAGTGTTAGGCACTACGAGCTATGGGGCGGTTAGCAACGTTGTCGTTTTGACTAGTCTTGGTGAACGAGACTGTTTGTTCTAATGGTATGGTTGTGCTTTGAGATTTTCAAACGAAATTTTGATTTATACATCTCCTTTTCTGGTTGTAGGATGATTCCCCATATTCTACCATAAAGTATCCTGGGAGTATTTGCAATGACCGAGTCGTGAAAGTCATGTAGGAACCTTGTCCGTAGGAGGGGTGATGCCATTGATACTTCCTGGGAGTAGAAACCATCGTCATTCAGAATATCAAAGAGCCAGAGAAGCTGTAGTTCGGAATATCTCCAATTAATCCCACATCCTAGCATACCTCCCGGGTAATGTACCTAAGGTAGTCAGTCCCACAACCATGGTTCCTACCGTGACCCCACAGATAAGCTTATCAGCCGCGATGACGATGTAATCCACCCTGCCCTCCCATGCCATCAGGTCAAACCGGCTTACTTCACTCCCCTTCCCTCCAACCCCCCATAAGCATTCACTCATTCACACACACCAATTCACCAATTCATCCCATCACCACCCAAAATGGCCCCCCGCTGCTTCATAGTCCGCCACGGCGAAACAGAATGGTCCCTAAACGGCCGACACACCGGCGAAACAGACCTCCCCCCTCACAGCAAACGGCGAGAAGCGAGTTAGAGCAACGGGGAAAGCCCTCCTCGGCAATGACAGACTAATTGTTCCTAAGAATCTGGTTCACGTGTACGTAACGACTCCCCTCTCAGCAGTGTGGCTAAGCGAGCCCGAGTCCGGGAGTAAGCGTAAGCAAGCCTAACTGACTATGTTATAATATTACAGCTACGTCTCCCCCCCGCACCCGCGCCCAACGAACCCTCGAACTCCTCGAACTCGGCTGCCGCGAGCGTCTCCCCTGGACCGAATCACGACAAGCAGAAGAAAAAGAGCCGATTCGGACAGAAGCCAAGGTGTCAATCACGGACGCGGTGCGCGAGTGGGATTATGGTGATTATGAGGGTTTGACGAGTAAGCAGATTAAGGCTCTGCGGGAGGAGAGTGGGGAGAAACCTTGGAATATTTGGACGGATGGGTGTCCTGGGGGAGAGTATGTGGACGATTTCGCTTTTTTATTCACTTTTCCTTTCTTTCTTTATCTGGTGATATTGTGTTGCTGAGATAATAAGTGTCCGAGTATGAGATGTCCCGCTAACGCGAACCTCACGAACAGATCCCCCGACGACGTCGTCAAACGCCTCGACGCTCTAATCGCTGATATCAAAGAGAAGTACCATCGGCCCTGTCTTGAGAGTGGTTCGGAGGCTGGAAAGGGTGACGTCCTGGTCGTTGCGCATGGGCATATCCTCCGCGCATTTGCGATGCGGTGGACTGGGAAGCCTTTGATGGAGACGTCGTTGATTCTGGATGCTGGTGGTGTTGGAACGTTGAGGTAAGTTACTTGCGTAATGCCCTTTTCCCTCGCTCCCTCTCCTCTTTTGTTTCCTGCGCTGCGTCGAATTTCGTCGCATGCGTAGAAAGGAAGTGAAGAGCTGGGGTATGTCTGTGAGTGACATGGGCTGATAACGATATCCACAGCTATGAACATCACAACCTCGATGAGCCTGCCATTATTCTCGGTGGAGGGTTTGTGGTTGAGTAAATGCGTGATGATATGCATACTGCATATAGAAGAGCAGTGCAAATAGCGGGGCGCAGTCTAGTAGAGCTGGAGTGGCATAGCATGGCGTAGGTGGAGCAGCATGGTATAGCTTCATGCTATGCGGATCAGATACTGCTGTATATACCATCGTTTAGCAGAGATTCGCAGCATAAACCGATAGAGTCCAACTGGGCCCTCCTCACCTCGGTTCAGTTCTGGACTTATGCTCACCAAGACCACCACAATAATAACACTACCCACCACACATCCATAATTAAAATTGAACTTGAATTCAATCCATAGCCACCTTTCCCCATAAAACTCAATCCAATCACTCCTCATCCCCCTCAACCTTAACAGCAACCTCATGACCCCGACCCTGACCCTGCGGATCAGGATCAGCCTGCCCCTTAACCCCCTCCTCCCCAATAACCTTCGCAGACCCCATAAACAACGCACCGACATACCCGCCCAAAAAACGCATATCACCCGCCTGCACGGCCGTCATGCGGAGCAGGTTCTCCGTATCGGCTAGGTTGGCGTTTAATTGCGCTAGTTGGGAGTGGAGGTGGGCGTATTGGCGTTGTTTGGCTGTTGACATTGAGCTTGGGCCGCTGCTGCTGCTAGTGCTGGGTCCGGGGTTGGTGGTGGTGGTGGTGGTTTGGGTACTGTTGTAAGGTGTTGATGAGCCTGTTGTGTTTGGGAGGATTGAGGTTCTGTATGTTGGTTGGGAGTCTGTTCGGCGGTGGGGGTTTAGAGGCATTCTGTTTGGTGGGTGGGGGTTTTGTGGGTGAAGTTGTTGTTTTGGGGTTGTGGTATTTGATTGAGCGAGAGATTGAGGGTGTGAAATTGGATTGGACGGTTGGAGGTAAGAGTTGAAGATTGTTCGAGATGAAAGTTGAAGTGGGGAGGCCATTTGTTTACATCGGGTCGGCCACGTGATGTGCATGTATACAACGGACTACGAGTCCTACCACAATAGTAATAGCGACTGCGATGCCACAACCATTACATTTTTATTACAAATTACTACCAGGTTACACATTGTATGGAAACTTGAAAGTAAGCAATGATATAGGAAGTCTATTTGTGCGCTCATGAGGATACAAGTCTGTCCACAGGCACTTTGGCCCATGGCCCCGTCATTAATTCCCCCGTCCAGCGCGAGCCAGCCAAAGCAGATCCAAGAACAACTCAGTTCAATCTCCTCTCAGCTCAACTCAATTCAACTCAACCGAATATATCGAACCCCCCTTCGCTCTTTTCATAATGCGCCAGGGACCAGACAAAAGGATAAGGCTGGTTCCGCCCGCCGGGAGACAACAGCAAATAAGGAAAATGACATTGGACAAATGAAGGAAACGTCGGCCAGGCTAGGCACAGATGATGATAGTGAAGACAATAAGGGAAAAGAAAAGGAGGGAGCAGACGTATACTAGCTCGTGTAGAGTCGAGGTAATGAGAAAGGAAGGCGCCAGTAGTGTACAGTCATGCAGAGGGAGGTGAGTATGGAAGTGGTTGAATTGTGTGTGACTGGGTCGATTTTTGAGACGAGTAGCGAATAACCAAAGAGACGCGTATCGACAAACTGAAATAAGGAGGTTCCCAGTCGCGGCAATGCTCAAAGAGCCTTAGTAAAACAATCGACATGTCGTAGGACAAGATGAGTATCAATGCAGTGGTAAAAGGCGAAAACAAAAAGCAGAACCCGCATCCCCACCACTCCGAAATGAAAACAGCAAATAAGCGATGAAAGCCCCTATGTCCCTCATGTATATGTAAAAGCGAGCCGCAGAGTATTAACCCGATATCGCATTCCACGGGAGGGTAACCGACGAAAACAATAGTCCCGTGGAATGACACGCAAATCGATGCAAAAATCCAAACATGAAGAGCACGAATTGTTGGTCGTCCAGGTGAGATGGAGAAGGAGAAGGATGATAGGATGGGAGAGAGGGAGAGAGAGGTGGGTGAAGTATCATGAGAATATTCAGTCGGTCATTATCGAAGCGACTCAGTGCACAGCAGGGGCCGCGATGTGTTGTTGTTGGTGTTGTTGGCCACCTAAACTGGCTTGACTACTATGAGCCGACACTTCGGAATCAATATTGGCACTGGCTCCACTATCACCACTCTCCGCGCTGGCGCTCGCACTGCCGGTCAGACTTTTGTTCTTGGGGGGGGGCCCTTGGCGGGGAAGGAGTTGCTCACCCCGTAGTGTTGCTCAATCTGTTGGGGTCCAACCGGGCCTTGTCCTGACGGATGCCGGGGAACCGGTGTCCGCATGTTTCCAGGCGGCGATGGATGGCCGTTATAGGGAGGTCCACCAGGGGGTCCAAGATTCTGGTCGTGCGCGGTGGGTGGGCGACCCATTCGGGGTCCAGGGCCGCCGGGGCCACCAGGGCCACCAGGGCCAGGTGCTCCTGGGAAAGGTCCCCCAGGAGACTGGCTGTTACGCCGGCTTTGCGGGTAGGGACGAGGAGGGAAGTCTCCCATCTGGCTTGCGGTCATCGAGTTGGCTCGCGAGTCGGCGTGAAGCTGGTTGCGGTCGACGGCACCATATCTGTTGGAAGAGTAGCTCAACATGGGATTGTCCATAAGGGAATCGTGGAGGCCAGGGATATCGGCCATTGCGCGATCACTCGCGCGTTTGCGTCCGAAGTAGCGACCAAAAGCTGATGACGAGGGTCGGCTGGCGTGCATCGCAGGGCCGCCGGCGGCCATCTCGGGATTCTTGCGGAATTGGGTGTTGCTGGGGCCCTTGCGACGGCGCGAAGTCATGCTCATCATGTCCACTTGGTCGGGGTCGATATGGGGGATCGCCATGGTGTCCATGGGGTCGAAATAATCCTCATCCTCTTCATCAAAGACCGACGCAGGAGCTCGGGGAGGAGGTGGGCCTCGACGTCCAGGGCCAGGGCCTCCAGGTCCAGGTCCAGGTCCAGGTCCGCGTCGCATTCCCATGCCCATACCCATGCCCATGCCCATCTCTTGTTCACGAAGCTGCAGTTCTCGTTGGCGAAGAGCGAGCTCTCGCTCCCGAATAGCCAAATCAGCGCCGCCCTCTGGGTGACCATTGCCATTGGGGCGTGGAGAACCGCCTTCCATCACATCGTCGTACAATACTAGATGGCTAAACTCCTCCAGACCCTCCAATGATGGGTCGCGAGGAACGCGGTTGGCTTGAGGCGGCATCGGTCCACCAGGTGGCGGACGCATCATGCCCGGAGGTGGGCCTCGTCGCGCACCAGGAGGCATCCCCATACTCGAATGTGTCCGACTCGCTCGCATCGCGCCGTTCCCATTAAGAGGCGGCCGCTGTCCTTGTTGCTGCGGGGGTACGGAGGACATCCGGGGAGGGGGCTGGCCCATGATAGATGCAGGCGGAGAATCCCCATGGCGGGGTTTGGACTGGTTTGTGATATTGATGTGGTGAAGCATGGCGTAGAGCGCCTCGATCCGGGGCACAGACGTGTCGGATTCGGTGGCCATTTTAATGGGGGATCCCAAGAAGTTCTCAATCTCCATCGGGCGCCTGGAAGTGAAGTCCTGATACATTGTGCTTGGGGCGTCGGAGGCGGTCATCTTCTCGATTGTCTTCTCGCGGAAATCGCTAGGGAAATTGCAACCATGGGAGGAAGCCAGCATCACCAACTCGTCGAGAATTCCTGTAACTAGCTGACGCACGCCGGTCTTCTCCAGGAGCTGGGTCGGGTTCGGGCACTCAAAGGCCACACTGGCCGGGTGAAATGCGATCGGGCTGTACGAAATTAGCAACCAAAACGCTAGGGGAAGGAGAGCATCTGCAGGCCGACTTACCCGATCATCCGCTCGAACTGCTCCTGTCTGATATTTGGAGACACCTTGCAATCGACCTGGCCGGTATTGAGGGTCATTGCCAGGGCGGACGCCATGTCATTCTGTATAGAGGTCGGGATTGAGGATTTTCTACTGGTCGCGCCCACGTGAATTTCGCTGGAATTAAGGTGCTCGAACTCGGCGGGGCCGGTCTGGGTGATTTCGACGTTGGAGACGAGGGAGAGGACGACATTTGTCGGGTATCGTTGCTCGATATGGGACTCGATTCCGAGTGTATTTGTCGTGTTGACGAGGATGCAGGTGTGCTGGGAGAGTGACGACCGACTCAATGACCGAGGCGAGGTCGTAGACATCCGGGAGAGCCTTGACGCAGAGAATCACGTAGTCGTAGGCGGTTTCGCGGGATGAGGCTTCTTCGGGGGCGCGGACAACTGGAAATCACAAGAATAATAGATTAGAAACATGGCCATGGGTCGGGAGCGGAGAGAGGGGTGAGTGCGATCGGAAGAGGGCGCCGCAAACGGGGATAACAGGGAGAGTCGTACCATGACGGGGTTTGAAACGCTCATTGCCGAAAGCTTTTGATCTGGAGGAAGAAGAAATTGTGAGTCGAAGGCGACGGGCGCGAAAGTGATGGGTGGGACGTACTTGAAGGAGACGCCATATTGGGAGACGGCCTCAAAGCCGGATTTCCAGACGAGAGTCACGTCGCAGGAGGTGGTGGCCTGCAATCGCCATGACAGGAAGGCGGAAATGGCATTGCCACCGACTATACAGACCAGTTTTAGTTTGCAGCTCATGATGGGATGGAGATAAGAGGGGGAAATAGTGGAAGAAGTGAGGTGAAGTGGTGACTTGAGTGTGACTGGGACTGACCGGACAAAATGCGCAAGCGTGGAGGAGGCGCCATCGAGAAGAATTATCGAAGGAAGGAAAAGAAAAGAAAAAGAAAGACGGAAAAACAGGAAGGAACAAGTCGAATCGAAGTTCGACAAGTTTGGCACAAGGCCAGGGCAAGCGAGGGAGGGAGGAGGGGAGCAGGGGGGGAAAGGAGGAGGAAGGGGAATAAGTGAAGGTGAAGGTTGGAAGGTTGAGAATGAAGTTGGTTGAGTTGGGAGTTGAAGAGGGGAGAAGAGGAGGAGAGAGAAGAGAGGGAGGGAGTTGAGGAGGCTAGGTTGCAGCCTCAACTTTCTTTTTTTTTGCGTAGATGGGAGACACCCGATTCAGCGATTGCTAAGAACAATCCGGCTTGCTGCTTTCTTTTCCTCTCAAATCATTTCTCTTTTCCCATTTTTCCCTTTTCCTTTCCCCGTTCTAACGGCGTGGATCCCCCGCCAGTCTCGATCCGGAAGCGTCGATAAGCCGAATGCGGATATTTGTTGCATTCGGGGAGTAGAGTAGAGTAGAGTAGAGCATAGTACACTATAGTATAGAAGAATACTAGAATTCTACTCTACTCTACTCTACTCTACTATAGTATACTACTATGGTCTACTAGTAAAGAAAGTGGAAGTCGCCGCGTCGCCCTCCACGCAATCGCCGTATGTGGCAGTAGCAGTGGCTGATGTATCAGTATCACTATCACTATCACTATCAGTATCACTGTACATAGTATACCATCTATACCTAGGTGTATAGTGATGAGTGATACTAGTATCCGTATTCTATATATTCATTGTATTTTAGCTGCGAGTATAGGGCACTCGTAGATAATATTCACATCTACCACTGTAGGTATGCTGGTGCTGCTAAAATTAGGCCCATTTTAATTTTTCCAAATTGGCTCGGAGCCACTCTGGCTCCACCAACACTCCGATCGGCATGCTCGAAGTATACTCAGTAGGAGTAGGATAGTACAGTATATTCAATGAAGTATATTTACTACAATAATATTCTATACACATTTGGGCATTTACGCTACCTACTATTTAGAATATTACTTCTGACTATCTAATCCTAACAAAACCACAACCGGCAGTACTCGTGGAGGAACACGTATACCGGGTCCCGGTCCCACTCTACCAGAGGAAAGTAGAAGTACCCAGGTACCGTACCTATGCTGTACCCTATGTCCGGAGTACTGCATGCTGCACTCTCTTCACTTGATGATACTAGCATATGAAGACAACAGACAACAGAGTACAGAGGTAGATAAAAGTACAAGTACTCCTACTTGTACTCTACCCTCCTCTGTACCACTAAATCAAAACAAAACATCGTACCACCCACACCCGAGTGTCCCACAGAATAGTGTATGTACGTAGGGCCCACGCAGACGCAGACAGATCCATTTGAATTCGACTTCAAATTCAAATTCACATTCACATCACATCCATGTACGGATATCCATGCAGCCTATGCACATGCTACATACTAAAAGTACAGTACCCACTGTACCCCGTCCAGGGTACTCGTACCAACCAACGGCTAGACCAGGTCAACACTCAGGACAGGCACAACCTGTCACGACAGCTGCAGCTGATTTCTTTTTTCAGACTAGGGCAGGGAAGGGCAGGGATGCATATGCGCCAGGAAGGGGGAGGCGGTGTTGATGGACAACATGCCAGTGCCAGTTGGGATCGACGCGCGTGCCGAATGCAAACGCAAACAGCATCCCTTGTGGAAATAGAGTCCGGTAAAATGCTCCTACGAGCGAACTTACCGAGTGTACAGAGTGTACAGAGTGTACAGAGTGTACGGAGTACGAGTATTTATATTTATTTGTATGATAGAGCACTGAATAGATGCTACTATTCTATAATATCAATTATTGTCTGTACGAGTATCATGTATCCAAGTCCAGACTCCGGTGGACCCAAATCACCACTGGCACGATTCTTTCACGGCCCACGGTGGAGCCCATCGGGTGGGTTCAAGTTTTCTCCGAGAATAATACAGGTACATACTTTACTTTACTGTAAGTCCCATGGCATACCATTGTTATCGACACGTCCCGTGGGAACCACGTTTGCAGTAAATCCCCGGAAGCGGACATGTGTTGTCTTTCTCGCACAGGGGCAATCTCTCTCTCTCTCTCTGTACGAGTACCCTATGCAAAGAAAAACTTTTGACCATGAAAACATCTCTTGCTCCGCCACCTCATGAGGTCATGCTCGACCGGGGGCAAAGTGATGGGCAATCGATGATTTCACTACTTTGGCGATCTTCAGGAGGTCAATTCGGCGTCCGCCACTTAGCATAGCGTTGCGGATGGCTTGCGATGTGATGGCTACCGATTTAATTTAATCTACACTCGTGCGTACGGAGTACATAATTAATAACTAGTTATTGGTTGTGTACATACGGTTGACAGCCTCGCACTCGCACTGGCTGAAACAAACCCATGGGTCCAGTGCGCCCAGACAACGGCCTGCCACAGGAACAACGCTAAGCCCACTGGCAGATGGCCGGTGGCACACTAGGGACGATAGATAGCATTGGCGCGATGCAATCGAAGCATCTAGGAATACTCGGACAGAAAGTGCCAAAGTTACTGTACTCTGTAGACGGACTACGGGGCCGGACCGCTGGAATCGGGCGGGAAAGGGGCCAAGCTCGCCCAACAAAGTATCAAAGTACGAGACGAATGCCAGTTAGTACTAACTCTGAGCAAACTCGGACTAACACTAGTCTACTCCTGTAGTGTCTTAGTGTCTCAGGCACCTGGGCTGCGTCTCTGGCTTCCACTTGAGTCAGTGGCGGTCGGCACACTCCCAACCCGCAACCCGCGGAGGGCACCGGATGCACTCGGCAGGAAGAGTAAACTAAGGGAAAAAAAATTCAAATTCTCAGCACCAAAGTCCTCCGTTCTCGCTGAGACAATGGGTGCTCGTAACATCGACGCTAAAGCAAGACAGAGGGGTCGGGTGGGCGTTGGTGCGAGGCCCGAGACAGACTTGGAGTTGGTTAGCTTGTCTGCTGCCTTGTTTTTGTGCGGCTGATTTGGACTAGTTTCTGTCAAGTTCAGGGGATACCAGGTACGGAGTACGGAGTGCAGGGAATTGAAAACCGTTACTGAATAAAGTTCAAGTTGCCATCCATGGATGTCGGTTTAATTCCGCTCCTCTCGGTCGCGAACACATCCGTGCTGAGGTCTGAGGTCCTTCAGGGCTACCGTGACCCTGTCGATGTCCCAGATATATTGATCATGATGTACTCTGGACCAACACCCCGCATTGAATGTAAAACTTGGAACCCATGGACTCGGACTAAACTGAAATCAATTAAGATTAAATTTAATTTAATTGCTACTCGTACCTACAGTAAGCAAGCTCAGTCGACCATCATCTCCTTCCTCCCGCCCAACCCAACCACTACCGAGACATACTCCAGACAGCTGCCCATCAGGCAACAAATGCCGATCAACAGATCACCATCGCATAGCCCATCCCCCAAACCTTAACCCGCTATCCCGAGTACTAGCACTAGTATAGTTCATGCCAGGTAAAGAAGAAAAAAACCGGTCCTTCAGCTCTGTCGATCCCACTAGTAGTAGTCACGCCACAAACACATACTAGGCCCATCGCAGTATCCCGTACAGCCAGTCCCCTTATTTTAGTACCTGTGGACAACAGATTGGCACTGTTCAGTTCGTGCGAATTGGTCGCGATTTTTTTTTTCAGCTTAGCGCAACGGCTGTGGAGGGGTGGAGGGGTGGAGGAGCCCAGGAGCTGGAGGGTGCACGGGGGAGGGAAAGTGGTGCTACTGGTGGATGCAAATTTGGTGGCCCAGTAGCTAAGAAGCAGAGTATACTATTAGTATATACAAATACAGGGCTATACTACCCATAAAAATCCCTGGATGCACATGCTGACCTGGTACATAATTCATTCGGAATTCATGTTCATCGATATGATGTTGCCACTATTCAAGGCGTCGAACCGAGCTCTTGAACGGTTACCCACGAGTTCTCTTCGATTGCAGTATTGCAGACATTAAAAAGAAAAACCAATGGCAGGGGGTGAATTTGAAGACTCCATAATAAATTATGCAGTTACTCTTGAGAAGAGCGGAAGTGGCGACTTCCAAAGGTTGCAGAGTACAGGAATAACAATATCATAACAATCATAATCACGGAGCGCAAAGTAGCCATTTCACGGAATATAAAAGGAACAAAGAATTTAATATATATCCACTACTATAAAAGTTCAATCAACAACTTGAAAAGAACGCACAATACCTGACGGCGGGGCCCGGTCTTGTCCCGTAACAACGGTATACTTCGATGGCTGGACCCTCAACTACCCTCTTGTACATTGCAAGTGTTCAATTGAAAGGTAACTAATTTTAAGCGGTCTTACCGAAGCGACAGATTGCTTGCCTAATACCACTTTTCTAGTTACTCCTATAAGCTCCTATTAGCATGCTTTGAAAATCCTGGGATCACCTGCCCGACATTCGAAACATCTAATATAGAATGAATCATGGATCTAGAGCTACTAGTATTGCTTTCCATTCATCCCCAGCATCCACGGTCAGCTACTAGTCACCAAATCCGCATATCAGGCATTAGTGGAGGAAATTGCATTGGCATTGTTGCTCGAACAACCTGAAATCACCACGCTGGAGCTAGATAGTCCTATGTTATGTATCTGGCTGACGTCAAGAACTGAGATTCGCATTTTAGGAAGTTCCACGGTTGATAAATACTAGTAAGATCACGAAAGAAGATGTACAACGATTCGGAGCTTTGAAGGGAAAGCCTTTTGATATCAATGTAAGCCTTGGAAGCTTGGAAATGTACATAATTCATGGTTTAATTGCGAGATCTTCGCTCGTTCAACCTTTGGAAGCCATTGTTAGCCCACCTCGAGCCAGACACACGCTACTAAACTAGACAATATGCGTGGTGGCCTTACACTATGCTACTCAGACTACAGTTTGATCTATGGATCCTGACCTAGGAAACTTGAAGTGTCCAAGTTTCAACTGAGCTCGCTGCTCGGTAATTCCCGTTTCTTCACTCGGTTCAATTGATGTTTTCGAATTCAGCCTTCCTTCGCAATCGAGTGCAGGTTGGATACGATAAAATTAGTTGGAGGCTGTCAACGGATGTTTTTCCAATTTATATTCACATTAAGGCCTCTTTTTGAAATCGGTCTAGTCCGTTGCCGGGGCGTTGATGGGCGGGGCGGATTTCCTTTTTGGCGAGTACTCCGGCAGCCGAACGGGGCTCTCATGCGGCTCATGCATCTCAGGGTCCAACCATCACGGACATGGTGTACGCCCAGATTAATGTCCAGCTGGAGTCCCAGAGGTTTCAACACTCTTTCTGATACATAAATAGGGAATCTATCTACAAGCTCATGGTCAGTGAAGGGAAAATCACGTTCTGACAAATCTGCCCTTGTTAGTCTCAAATATCCCTGTCTAGTTTCTTCTCTATGGAGCTAGATACATAGGCTCGTGTGTCCTCCTGCATGGAAATGATGACAAGTCTATTCCATTTATTGAACACACCCCAGCCCCCACCTTGGCACAAGATTGCAACCCCTGAGATTCCTCCTGGCACTGTATCTTGTCTTCCTGCCATCCTCATAATCCTTTCACAGAACTAAAAAGAACACCTCTTATAGCCCCGGAAACAAACAATATGGAAAAACCAACGGCGACCAATGCTGATTCTGAGGCTCAAGGGACGGCAATTGCTTCGGCGACCAATTTCGATTCTGGACCAACGGCGACCAATGCTGATTCTGAGGCTCAAGGGACGGCAATTGCTTCCTCGGAAGAAGCCACTCCTAGCTATGCGCCCACTATCACTACATTGAGCAGCGGCGAATCGACGGTAGTCGTCACCCTTATCCAAACCGACCCCGGCACCGCCAGCAGTTCTGCAACCGCAACCTCAACCGACCCCGGCACCGCCAGCAGTTCTGCAACCGCAACCTCAACCGGACCCGACTCCCCATCCCTATCTGGATTAATCACATCCAATTTACCAAAAACCTCATCCCCAGGGGGACTTTCAGCAGGAGCATCAGCGGGAATTGGAGTTGGCGTCGCGCTGGGCGTAATCATCCTCGCAGTCCTGGCATTCTTCTTCTATCGCCGGCACCGAAATCGTCGATCGATACATCAAGTACCAGAGCTGGGGACCGAGGGCCAGAAACATGAGTTATCCGCGGAGGATACTACACGGGTAGAGCTTGGTGTGGATGGACAAAAACATGAGCTTTCTGCGGATAGCACTAGGGATAACTTCAATTTGAAGACAGGCTCTGAGTCGAAGGGGAGTCGTTTGCATGAGTTGGAGTGATGTGATGTTATTTGTTATATACCCATTGTTTTTTTGCGTTTACGCCTACGCATTGGTTGATGAATGTTAGCCCGTTGAATTGTTTAGAAGGGTTTTATATACTTGGTTTATATCTAGTTTGATGTCTAGGTGGCTGCTTTTGATAGTTCATATACACCGGCAACCTTATTGATAGTAATTAGGTATCGTTGAGGATACCAACACAAGGATTCATATAATAAGCACGCACCGGAGAGATTTGACGAGCAGTCGTAAAAGTACCAGTAAGATATTACACACCCAAGATACAAGAGATGACCTTGAAAAAGGATGGTGGGAAGAATAGAGGGCTTCAGGAGGAAAGAAGACTGCATGGGTCATGGTTCAACATTGGAATGCTTCAGGATTTCTTTCCTGGTGAGCGTGTCCCAGTTTGAAGAAGACTTATATACGCCTCATAGTACTACACAGCTTGCTACTTAAGTACAGTACAAGATAACTTGGAAGACCCTGGGAGCGGGACAAGCTACTCGTACGACTGCCCGCCCAGGTGAGTGGATACACTTTTGAACCATTTTGATTCCTCGAGATACATGGGTCCGCCACATGCGGCCCGGAAAAAGCCCATAGCTATTGCGCCATATCAAAACAGGTAAGAAACAAGAACGTAATGCCCCAGTGGGAGATTGTTGGGTTTCGCGAGACGGCACCTAAGCCATGTAGGTGGTGGAGTCGACACCACCCTCGGGGTACTCAGGGAGGGCAACCTCGAAGCGCTTCTCAATATCCTTCAGGACCTTCTCGTCATCCTCGTTGCTGACGAAGGAGATGGACAGACCCTTGGTACCGAAACGACCGGCACGACCGACACGGTGCAGGTAGGAGTCGGCATCGGCGGGCAGATCGTAGTTGATGGCCAGGTTGATACGCTCGATATCGATACCACGGCCGAAGACATCGGTGGCGACACAGATACGCTTGTTAAATTCCTTGAACTCCTTGTAGCGTTTGATACTGGGGTAGTTGTCAGTGGGGGTCCTTGCCAAACGCTGCGGCGGGTGTAGGGGGACTTACCGCTCCTCCTGGCTGACACCGGAGTGGACAGCGATACTGGGGAAGTTGCACTCGCGGAGCAGCTTGTCGAGTTCGTTAGCACGGAGGGTGCTCTTCACGAAGATGATGACCTGGTTGAACTCCAGGTTGTCAAGGAGCTCGTTGAGCTTGCGGTTCTTCTCCTGCTCACTCAGCTTGATGTAGTATTGCTGAAGACCGTGCAGGGTGAGCTTGGTGTCATCATCGACGTAGACCTCAAGAGGGTTACGCATGAACTTCTTGCAGATGGGGCGGATCTCTTGGGAGAGGGTGGCGCTGAACATCATAACCTGCTTGTCGGCGGGGGTGGCACGGAAGATCTCCTGGACATCGCGACGCATGTCTGCAACAAAGGTGTATTAGAAAAATCAGAACAATGGCGTGCAGGATCGCCCGAAACTTACCAATCTGGTCAAGCATCTTGTCACACTCATCGAGGACGAAGGACTTGACATTGCGCAGGGAGAGCTTCTTGTCACGGACCAGGGCGTTCAGACGACCGGGGGTGGCGACAATGATGTTGGGGTGGGTCTCCTTGTTCTGGAGAACCTCAATGTCCTTCTGGATGGGGGTACCACCGAAGAAAACATTGGTCTTGACGTCGGGGAGGTACTTGGAGAAACGAGTGTACTCGTTCTTAATCTGGTAGGCCAGTTCGCGGGTGTGGCACATCACGAGGATTTGGCACTCGCCGGCAACGGGCTCCAGCTGGTGAAGGGTGGTCAAGACGAAGACCGCAGTCTTACCAAGACCAGACTTGGCCTGGCAGAGAACGTCGACATTGAGAATGGCAGTCGGGATACACACTTGTTGGACTGTAGGTAGGCGGAGTGGTGGTTAGACTCGTGTTCGATCAAGATGAGTAGCAGAAACAGATCGCGTCGCAAATGTCCATCCATCTCCCGAAACCAACAAACGAATATCGTGGAAGACTTATATCATCCTCTAGATCCCATAACTGAGAGCCAGAACTGCCAATAGCAGTTTTACCGCGCAAAGTCAGACTCTGCACTGAGGGATCTGCCTACAGACGACATGAGGGACATCCGTCATTGGGATATGAATACCAACGATCGAGGTCGCATTGCATTCCACATGGCACGATGAAGACCCAGGGAGGAGGCAAAGAGAAAGGCAAGGCAAGCAAGAGTGCGCGCTGCGTGGAAGAAATGACGACCATCGTGGGGGGGGAGGGGGGACCCATGACTTGGCTAATCTGATGTGATGCGCCAGAAGGCAGCAGCCACATGCGGCCACATGAGGCGGCAGATCCGCTTCATTCATTGTCCAGGAAGTATGTGCTCCTCATGTCGTCTGCAGATTGTGGGGGACGACTAAGTCGCCAAGATACCGGCCGATTGTGGATTCTCGCGGAGATGGATGGACGTTGAAGCTTGAAAAGATGGAGGAAGGTGGGTGGGAGAAATGTTAGACTAACCCTCCGATGGATGCTCGAAGCCGCAGTCGGTAATGGCGCGAAGGAGTTCACCCTTCAGCAGGAAATCACGGAAACCAGTCGAATGGATACCGACATAGCTACCCTTCTTGTCGGGGCGGCCAGAGACGGTCAGATCACCCTCCTTGGCGGCATCGCCATTGGAGTCAGCGGGGGCGGCAGTGGTCGCGGGCGCCGCGGTGGTCTGAAGCTCCTCGTCGGAGTAATCGATGAGATCTTCCTCGTGAGACATTTTGTGGGTGGATGAGATTAAGTTGAGGCTAAAGGTGGTCGATGCGTGTTCTTCTCGTTCGCGAGAAGCTCGAAGGAAGGAAAGAGGAAAGGAAACGGGGGAGTGGGAAGCGGGGAATTGGGAAAAAGGTAAATCGTCGATGAGCAACGAACTTTGGAGGGTTGAATGGGAGAAGGACCAAATTCAACTGGAGGGGGGCGAGATGACAGAGCGAGATGCGGCGAGGGATGAGCCACAGCAGGAACATCACGTGATTCGGAGAGTCCGAATGCGGGGATCACGTGGTATCAAACTGCTCTTGCTGAAAGAACCCTTTGATTTTGGATATTTGGATGGATATCTTTGACACTTCCGTGACAACCAGGAGAACTTGCGACACCCAGCTCACAGTGTCAGGCTCTTCACAATGGGGAAAGCCAAAAACCTCAAAGAAGGCAAAAATGCCAAAAATGCGAAGAGTCACTTCAAAGCCCGAATGGAGTTCTTGGAGAAGGCCGCGAATTATTTGCAGGCAGCAACGACCGCCACAGTTCCAGTCTCAGTACCAGCACAAGAAACTGAAAGAGATGATCAAGAAACCTGCAACAAAGAGCCAGGAGAACACATGGTGCCGGAGCACACTTTCAACGCTGCAAAAGATGTTGTGGATTTGGAAACCAGCATTCAAAGCTGTGAAACGAGCAAAAAGCCCTTGGCAAACATCTCAAGAGTCTATATCTCACACATGCGCGGAGTGTCCCTCAAGACACTGACCCGTCTTCCCATACCAACCAAACGATCGTTTTGCAAGCGTTGTGAAACACCTCTCGGCTCCGGGGTAACCTGCTCCAGGAGATCCAAAACGCCAGCCGAGGACGCAAGAAACCATGGGCTGATGTGAAAGTCATACGTTGTCTAGTATGTGGAACCGAGAAGCGATTCCCCATGACAGGGCGTAAAAGCAAGAAGCTTGTGGAACGGCGACAGCAGAAGCAGGCACAGGCAGAGGCAGAAGTGCTGGTGCCAGCGCAGGCGCAAACGCAAACCACCCAAATCCAGAACGAAATATCGTGAAGCTAGCCAAGTCTCAGATCAGCAATCTTTCAGCCTCATGTCCCACCCGCTTGCGTGGAGTGCATTGCATGAACTTCAGCGGCCGGACTACCGGACTACTGTATCAACATGTGAACATGCAGGAACTAAGATCTCTGGCATGCTACAATCCCACACTGATAGTGGTTATGCGGCACTAAGAATCTAACTCGCATTAGCCGTGATACTAGCCGTGCACCGTTACCGCGATCATATGGCCACCAAACTAGTAATTAGCCACCAATCCGGGGTCGGCCATTTGTCGGCCAAAGGTCCGTTCTCTGTTTGGCGTGGAGGGGGAGGGGAAGGGCAATATACTATACTACCCTAGTATATTGCGAGCTATAGGAAGATTCGCACGTGCAGCAAACTCCCAGGGCCTTTGCGCATGCGCACGCCTTCTTTCTACTGGCGATCCGCATCCGCCGACGTGCATGAGCCTCCCCGCCGGCAGGTACAACTATGACCTCGGCAAAGCGGGATACTTTTCGCAAAGCAAATACCGACTGGACTACGTGGAGAAAATCTCGGGACATGGAGTGAGTCTGTGATCACCTGGAGTTGATGGGGCCAAAAAAGCAGACAACCTAAACCAATATACACAAAACATGCAGAGAGGGGAATCGAAACCACAGGGTGTAATCATAAGTCACAAGCAAATCAGAGCAGAGAAGAGAACCAGATCATGTTTATGCGCTCGAATCGAGAAGAGAAAGGAACAACCATTAAAGGAGAAGAAAAAAGAAGAATCCATCGTCATGATAGTCGTAAACTTGGGCGGCGGGCCTTGGAAGCGAATGTTCGAGTATTCAAAACGATGTAGAGGGGTTCGTAAAGGTAAAGTGAAAGCGGTAAATACGATAGAGAAAATCTCGGCGCCATCAATTTACTGCAGTTCCTGGGGACGGCGGGCTCGTGAGTCTGCTGGTCCGAAAAGGTGCCGCGAGGCGTGCAGTTCTTTCATCCAACTGTCGATTATTCAAAATGAAACCCAAGGAGGGGTATAAGGTGAGACGAATGCAAATTATCGAGTAGAGACTAAACGAAAGATGTCCGCGAGGACTGCGCTCATATATAAGCTTATTCTTTTTTTGTATTTTGGATTTTTGGGTTTGTTGATGGCGGTGGGCGGAGATGCGGTGAGGTGGAGGGATGGCGTGACAATGTGGAGGTGTAGGTGTAGGATTTGTTTGGAGCAGTTGAAGAAGGGTAGTATTTATGTTGTGTAGAAGAGAGAAGCCATGTCAAAGCGGTGGCGTGCGTTTTGGGGGATGTTGTTATAAGCTTATGGTGGTGAAGATGTTGGAGGTGTAGGTTTGGAGAGGAAGGTCGGTCAGCGTCGCCGCCGCGAGCTTTGATCCATGCGATGATCAATAGTCTCGATACGACCCCGAAAAGACTTGACGATATCTCGAATGTGGGAGATCTTGGCCAACTCGTTATCTAGGTCGTCGATGGCGGCGAGGATGGAGCGGGTGCGGGCGATTTCGGCATCGGCATTACGAATGACATTTCCGGCGCGGTCGTAGCTGTTCTGGATGGAGGCTTGCATCTGATCCTCTAGCTAGAAGGTAGATCGGTTAGCGAGGGGGAGTCGATGGAATTGCCAGTCGGTAAGAGGGACACACATATTCGATGCGGCCGCGAATCTGAGCCTGCAGGCCATCGAGCTGGTGCGACAGGGCGCGCAAACTCATGGGATCCAGCAGCAAGCGGCCCTGACTGCTGGCGGCGCTGGTGGCGCGTGAACTGGAGTTGCTGGTTCTCCCCGTTCCCCTGCCCCTGGAAACCCCATTGCCGGCATGGCCGCCCTGCAGGGCAATCTGCTGCTGCTGTCGGAGGATCTGGATCTCGGAGGAGGTGAGGCCAAGCGAGGTATCGGGGATCGAGGCTGCTGAGACGGACATTTGGTCCCGGCAGAGACATGCTCCTACGAGCCGATCAAAGATGTGAGGCCGAGCGGACCGTAGGTCATGATGGACGGGGGAGAGGGGAGGGAGGGGTTGAAGAATACGAAGAGGGAGAGGAGAGGGAGAGAGAGAGAGAGAGGAGGGGAGGAGTGAAGCTTAGGTGGAGAAGCGAACAGAGCAGAGAGAGAGGAGAGACAAAAAGTCGGGGAGGGGAGAATTCTGGCGGCCCGTGACACCGAAGTGGGAGGTGGGATTGGGAGGTGGAGGAGAGAGGGGATAATGAGATCTGATACTAGTAGGAGTAGCTAATTAATAGTACTAGTAGTCATTAATATACTAATGGTTGCTACTATATTCAAGTTATTACTATTAGTTATAGCTAGTATATTATACTATGCTAGTAGGAGATCTATATCTAGTAGTAGGATATACTACTATATTTTATATTTGATTTATTCCAAGTCTGTATACAGATAGTAAGTACTATTTAATGGTAACAGCACTAGTACTAACTAATAGTATAGTATAGTTGTGAGTATACTACGTAGTATACCAGTGATGCAGTAGCTATCACTACTCCGCTCCGCCTTCCATTCCTCCTCCTCCACCTCCTCCACTTCACCCATTTCTACCACAACCAACCACCATCTCTACCATCACCACTGCCCGAAGTGAGGCTGAACCTCCCAGCGTATCTGCAAGCTCCAAAATCATCCACAGACGCGATCTTTCCCCCCCTCCCCACGCCGCTTCCTTTTAGTCGCCCAGTCCAGCTCGCTCATTGCTCCGAGCCCTCCTGCGGGTCCTTCCAACCTGACTTGACGGCCCGACTGCAAAACTGCGCAACGGCCCATTGGGAGCCACCGCGCGCTTTGGTCACGCCTTGCTGCACGCTTCTTGCATCCGCGAGAGTCTCGCCCGCCTGTCATCGCCCTCGCTCGTACCGATCCCTGACAATCGGGTCTTTGGGCTCGCCCGCACCCTCTTTTTTCCTCCGCACGTGAAACGCTCGTCCATCGAGACGCGCCCAGAATCCTAGCCCAAGGCGTTCGGACGAGGCTGACGACGCCATCGACGTTGATTCGACAATTCGCGGCTCTTTCCTTCCCCGGTTCTAACCCCGATCTGCGAGTCCTCACGAGACTGACCACTACCACCACGACTACGACTACCTACGATCGGGATTCACCATCATCATGGCCAAGGATAAGGAAAGATCGGTCAACCCTGCCGCTGCGCAGCGGAAGCAGGATAAGCAGAAGAGCCTAAAAAAAGGCAAAGCGGAGGCGCTAGCTCGCCGCAATGAAAAACTGGCTCGTCGCAATCCCGAACGAATCGAGCGACAGATCAATGACCTCAAATCCATGGAAGAATCGGGTCAAAAATTACGACCCCGTGATAAGGAGATCCTCGAAGCGCTCGAGAAAGATCATCGGGCCGTTTTGAAAGCTCGCGAAGCTCTCGGTGACAAGGCACCCAAGTTCCATAGTGGAGGAGGTGGTGGTGGCCAAAATCAGAGACAGGACAGGGACGGTGGCGATGCAGTTCTCGGGAAACGGAGGCGTGATTCCCAGTTTGCGCGATACCAGGAGAGTGATAGTAGCGAGACGGATGAGGATGTACGCAGGATACCAATGCCCCGGGATACACCTCCTCCGATTCCGCGCCCGCAGAGAAGACGTGGTGGCGGTGCGCAGAATGAAGCCTCGGAGCGTCGGGGACCACACGGGCTGCCTTCCAAGCCTGCAGCGGTTGTCGAGTCTAAGTCGGTCTACGAAGCTCAGCCTGAGATTCGGAATTTACGGCAGGAGGCTGTGAATAAGTTCATCCCCGCGGCTGTCCGGATGAAGCAAGATTCCATTAAGGGCCAAGGGAAACTGCTTGAGCCGGAGGAAATGGACAAGTTAGAAAAGGCGGGATATAAGGCAAATGTAGGAGCTTCACAGACGGACCAGCCATCTACAGATGAGCAAAGGTCATTGGAGGAAGAAGAGGCTCGCTTCAATCGCGAGATGCGGACTGTTCAGATTGAAGAAGTGCCGGACGAAGACGCTTAGCCTAGCACAGCCACCATTGAAATGTAATATAACGCCTAGTACTAGTATGCAAATAGTTTGCTGTATGCAGCTCCACACGGAGTGCCGCTTTGCCGGCTTGAAGACGTTGGCGATCGTCCTTTTAATTACACCCCACGAACGTTCCTGTAGGGCTGGGTAAGATTGTACATCGAAGACAGCAACGTCTACTCGTAGTTACTACTTGTACTAGTTTCGAGCTTGAGGCTCTACTTGAGGTGGGTACGCTGTTGAGTGTAAGGCCAAATCACTCGCGCCATTTGTCAGGTATTCAAGTTCCTCCAAGCCCGAGTCTTCATGCAGAACATTTTCAATCTGAATTGAATAGTCATTGAAATATTAAGCAGCTACTTACGAGTATTCTTGAGGATAACACGGTGCGCCATTTCGACGGGAGCAGTTATCCCACTGTAGCCCATATTAATACCTACTAGTTCAATCAAACACAACAACTTGTAATACATCCAAATATGCACCTCATTATACTCCGTATTCGATACGACAGCACTTATTTCTACGTCATGAACCAGCTTCATACACCAGGGGCAAAGTTGCCTCAAAATCTTCAATCTTGGATCTTCAAGCTCATCATGGCTGCTGCGCCCCATAAAACCCACACAAACCACAAAAAAACCCGGGAGCCAAGGAAAATCCTCAGGGCCAAGTCTGTAGAAAAGCTGAAAAAGGGCCCTTAAGTGGGGAATCGGTCAGGGTCCGCGGAAGTGTGAACAGCAACGGTTGGGACCGAAACTTGCTGGAAGCAGTATTGACCATCGGCCGTTCTTCCTCTTGCAGATAGGGTTAAGTGGAGCTACCGTCAATTTAGCAAAAAATGTTTCAGTTCGGTCAAATTCAAAGTTTGGGACTTGCTTTAAAGACATTCAAGGCCTTCTGGAAAGGAGGCTTGCAGGAGAGTGGGGATTTTTTTTTTCTCTTTTCTTTGGCCCTTCATATCGCCAGTTTTTAACGATTGTCGAATGTGGTGCCATCTCAACACTCATTTATCGCGAACGGTATAAATAATGGCAAAGCGATTTTCTGGAAATGAATGGGGTTTCGCTGGGGTCATGGCCGTACAGGCTCTGGTCATCCTGGCATTAGAAATGTAAGTCAAATCATACCCCCGCAGGGTCATCTCTCTCTCTCTCTCTCTATTGCCTATGGATACAAATTCTAGAACCATATCTCTCCTCCCCTCCCCTTGAAATGAGAATGAGACATCGTCTAACCTATTCAATCCAGCTACATCCTCACACAATGGCAAAACTGGGTCACACCCATAGTCCTACAAGTCACGGTCTCCTATACGGTACCGATAGACATCGCCATTGTGATCTTCGCCTGCTTCTATACGGGTGTTCTGGCCTTCGATGCAATCTATTTCAAGAACAATATCCAACTTCTAGCGATTTGCATCAGCAACTGTCTGATTCTTGCATTCGCGGCGATGCAGTACCGCGAACTGCTAGAAACCTCTATTTCCCTACCTCAACAGTATGATATGTACTATCAGCCCCTGGTACATAAGGAGATGGATTGGTGGGCCTATGTCCAACCTGCGGAATTGGCTGTCAATCTTATTCTAGGCATTTGCATTTTACCTACTTGGTTCTTTGCGTATCAGGTGCATAAGGAGTATAAGTGGGTTATTTACCGCCGAATTCATGGTGACACGAGCGTCAAGATTAGATATCTTGCGTACGAGGTGAGAATTCATGTTTTTCTTCCTTATATTGCCCGTTCCAAGTCTTGCTTGAGTGTGAACTTTTGCTGATTTCTTTTCTAGGTCTTCCTCGTTTTGACTAAGCTCAACTTCTTTTTCTCTGTTGGCTTTATCGTCCAGTATAACCTTATCGATGTCCACTTCGAAGAACCGGAGTATTCGCTCACCATGGCCTTGATCCCGGTCGTATTCTTCACTTTGGTCCTTGGTATTTGGTTCGTTAGAAAGGAGTGGAAATGGGCAATGATTGGGATAATCGTAAGTCCCTCATTTCTTCATAGCCAATGTCTCATTGCCATTTGCTAACGTGCTCCTCAGATCTGCTACCTCGCACTCATCGCCTATTTCCTCAGTCGAATCATCACCCTTTACGGCCACGGCTGGAGGGCTCTTACAGCAGGTAAAGACAAAATGTTGCTCTTTTCAATAACAGCAGTCGTTCTGTCGCTATTGAGTTTGGTTTGCGCGATTCAATGCGTCATTAATTTCGGTTACGGTTTGAGGTCGGTCATTAGTGATAACGGAAAGGGTGAGCAGGACTCTTACCAATTTCGCAATATCTCGAGTCCGCCATCGAGCGTCAGTTCGCGGTTTGGCGTTGATTAGACGTGATTACTGTATACTGCTATTATGATAGGACTTTAATTTTTAATACTTAATGAGATATGAATATAAAATGTTAATTATACTTGAATGTTGCTTGCAAGGCATCGGTTTATTTTCAATCGGGATGCAACTAGAGCTTGAAGTTCAGATTTATCTTATCTCATGGTAGTTCGGTGGATTGGTGGGCTGGTATCTCCGTAAGTCAATTTGGTAGAATATGGAATCGGGGAAAAGGCCACTTGGGTGTCCAAAATAAAGAATATTCTAATATACCACATGCCCTGGGCTAACAGTCGGAGCGAAGATCATGTCTTATTATTGGTCCGGCGCTCATTTTGAGTTACATGGTACGATGGACTCGTGTGGGACTGATTGTAGAATATAGTAGCGGCTAGGCTTGGGATAAGAAATCTTGAATGAATGTTCTGGAGCTGTGTAACTGTTCCCGTAATAAAATGAGCACCCAAAGGCCGGCGGAGATATTTCCATGGCTAATCCGTACTCCAGCTTGTATCACTGCTGTCCTATGAGAAACAACGCCAAGATACTTCCATTGTATAGCCCCGAGAGTTTAAAGAACGTGCATCCTTTTTCTTTTTCCGTTCCTGTCTTCAAAACAGTGATACAATGACGAAAGAATCTACTCAAAAATACGTAGGTAACAAAATATCTACAGTATAAATATGAGGACGATCTCGCGGCGAATTGTCATTTCCTAATGCTACGTGGACGTAGCCGGATTCAAGTTTTGTTCACATAATGCGGCTTCGATCGGGTTTCTTCGTGCTGATACACTACATCCTCGGCCTCGCTGTTGCTCAGGGTGGCTTCGCAGATAGCTGCGAAGACCTCAGGCTCCCTCGTGATAGTACGATTCTTCATGCAAATTGCCGCCGGAAGTCGGGTGAATATGTGGAGAATTGGCTAGAGCTGAACAATTGCATCGAAAATATTAATGGAGACCTCACGGTAAGATAACTATAAAATCTTCATGTTCCAAGGTTTCTAGCCGGTAATCACTACTAAAATTTGCTCAGTGTCGTAGGTGAGCTTAGGCGTACAGAAGGAGCTAGGTTCGATTTTTTAACGCAAAGCAGTGCCGGTTACGGGCATTCTTGCATGAGCTGTTCAATTAGTCGCAAGCATATTCTTTGGTGCAGGTGTCGTATTGCAGCCGATCAAATCGTCTATGTTACTACCGCTCGGGATCTCAGTAAGTTGAAACCAATTTATAACATTAGAGAGATGCTTGATAAAGCACTTCGACTGATTCACTTGTCATTTTGAGATGAATGCCTCACCAATATGGACGGCAATCTAGTTTGTTAAGTGGGATTGCCATTATGAGATAAAACAATTAACTTGCTGAAAATTTGAACATCGAAGCAATCCTTCCGATCGCGACTTTGCCATGTGCTATCCAATACTTCAGGATTCTAAACCCGGAAAAATCACCCACACAGGATGAGGGTCAATGGATAATATGATTAGATCGGCGTGGGCAAGTGAGACGACCTCCTTGAGATATGAGCTGAAAATCGAATAATTGTCAAAATTCAACTCGATTATACCTATGATTTTGAATTCATGCTCTCCTCGGAGTTCTTTGTGGATGCCATCTCGTATACCAGCTCATAGAAGAGACAAGTGGGCCCCGGGGTCGAACCTAGAAATGCGGACCAACCTTAAAAGTTAACTTTGGCTTCGGATAGGATTAAAGTATCTTTAGATTGAACTTGATGGGTCGATCTGTCTCCACTGATTTTATATAAGTAGCAGTGATGATGGGGGAGGGGGAGGCGTACTGCATACGGCCTCGAAGGCCCAAGGCGTCACCCACCACACGGGCATATCAACACTGAAAGTCACCAATAAGCCCCGGAGAGCTAGAAATTTCCTGGAAATTACTTCCCGACATTGAATGATGATGTGAATGTGAAGACTTCAAATAACTGAGGATCATTTGATTAAATTATTATTCGAGCAATAGCTGTACGATGCAAGTCGTTATGTACTCTATCCAAAGGCTTCTTGAGAAGGTGCCTCCAGGGCATTTTAACCAGCTTGGGTGTAAACAGTGTTGTTGGTGACAGCCTCAGCGGGCAGCCAGTGACCAGCGATGGTGTTGTTGTAGGTGAGTTGGGCGAGTGTGAATGTGTGGAGCTCAGACACCAAAACAGTCTTATCCAGGGGAAGAACACGGTGCACCATGGCGTTCTGTGTGAGCATAGAGATGTACTCTTCGCCAGCAACAGACTTTATACCGGCATCAAAAGTAACGCGGATCAGGGCATCGGGGGAGTTGGTGCTCAGCAAAGACGTCGACAGGAGCCACAGGGCTGGGCCACCGGCGTCGGTCGATGCGTCGGCGATATGCAGGAGGCCAGCATTGGTGCCGAGCAACGGGTGCTTGAGCTTGAAGAATTGGAACTTGCCGTTGGCTCCGATGTGGCCAAAAGTTCCGGTGCCGCCAGTGGCATTACCAGCGAGGGTGAACCATACGCCACTCAAGGCACCGGAGCCAGTGATCATTCCGACGGCGTTGTTGCCGACGCTGGGAGGAATGTGCATCTGCTTGGTCGCGCCGCTGGTGGCGTTAATGCGCATTATAGACGAGTCGGTGTCCTGGGTGACGTAGATCAAGCCGGTGGTAGGCTCCTCCTTGATAAACACGGGGCTGTTGAGGCATGGGTACAAGTGGTGGTTGGTGGAGTTGGAGATATCGGCAGAGAACACATAGTACTTGCCAGTCTGCTCAGATGCAACCTTGAGACCAGCCCAGACACGGTTACCAATTTCAAAAACACAGTGAGGGCCATTTCCGAGGACCGGGATATCAATTGTTTGGATGATGGTCGGCTTAGTCGAGAGGTCGTAGCCGGGGTCGACGAGGATCAGCTTGTTGTCGGCCTGCAGCGACAGCCACATCTTTCCAGGGTGCACCGTGGATGGCCACACGCCGTGAAGCATGGAAGAGTTGTCTTTTCCCATGGGGAATGCTTGGAAGGCAATGGGTTCCTCGGTAGTTGCGTCAAGTTCGATCTTGATCAGCTGGCTGTTAGACATCTGTGTCAACAGCACGAAATTCGTGTCCGGCACGCGGGCGAACTCGTGCGTCTCAGTGGCAACTGGCATCAAATACTCAGTGAGGCGCCGGCTCACGAGCGAAGTGGAAGATTGCTGTGCCGACACGCTGGCAGCTCCAAACGCCAGCGCGACCGCGAGCGACTTCAAAGCATGGTAAAACATCTTTGAAGTTCAAATTTGTTAGAATATTCTTTTCCCAAGGTTTTGCTTGACAATTAGCATTGGGCGAACACCTCCTATTTGAACCAACCGGCAAATGATTATGAGGAACGCCACGATCTCACACTAGTTCACACTAGTGACTTAACAACTCATTTTGTTTTCAGCTCGTATCGTGTACAGATCGAAACGCACCAAGAGCTTATTGTCTACCCGCAAGGGCCATCAACAAAACCGATCCAATACCATGGAAGCCAAAGACTAAAGCGTGTTGGTGCTAATGTTGGAGCCTTGGGCTTGAACAATTTTCTTCATTGGTAGCCTATAATGTTTTCTACTTACTCAGGGGTATAGTTTCCGAGACCGAGATGGCGATCAGCTCTTTTTTCAGAGACGCTTCTCTGGACTTTGCTGTAAGCGAATTGACATGATTGAACACCCACTGGCGAGGCTGTACCTCTTGCTCCTTAGTGGAGTCTGCCGATTATTACTCCGTGTAACCTACCGAATCCGAAGTCACTTTTTTTTTGGAAATTGTCTACAGTTATTTTCGCTACGAGTATTCAGGTTGCAGGAGAACGGGAAGATATTCAAGTGGTTCCCGATCTCCCGATTTGGCGCCCTTACGGTACTAAGCAGCTCGAGACATCCCGAGGTCCTCAGCCAAAAATCAGCATTTTCCCGGATAGGACCTTATCATTTTCAAGCTGTAACTCATTCATGGTTTCCGCCGTTCATATATATGAGCTCTCATGTACCATTGAACAGGGACACGACATCTCCCTAGTAAGCATTTTATGCTACTAAAATTGGCACCCTCAAAATTGCCAGGTTCTCTTTACGATCTGCCACTTGTGGATTCGCCCCATAGCTAACAACATCCTGACAATCTCGGCAGACCCATGCTCCGCTGGAAATAATACTATGCAAAGGGGGTTGGCCAAAGTTACTGGGTAAATTGATATTTGTTATGTCAATCTTCAAAAGGGTCCCCGCTACTCGGTCTCACTATGCCAAAGAGCAGTTGCCCGCAGAGGGAGGGAGTCAGACGTGAGAAGTTGGCCAGCCTTGGAAGCTTGTATTCACGCCCAATTCTAGAAGGTGTCGGATTGATCTGCTAGGCTCTACTTTGGCTGTCTCTAGCTTGGCCGGGTTATAAAATTCACAAATTCCAACTTTTCCCAAGATTAGTTATATCATTGGAACATGTTGCTGGAGTTTTGAGTCCGAGTAGTATTCCTAGTGTTTGTATGTCGTCTGCCATTTTCATAAGCCTTTGAAAAGGTGTGTCCCACAGTAGTAAAAATATCAAACCGAATGACATAAACAAGCCTCCGTCTCACCTTCCGCTGTGCAAATATTCTCAAGAAGATTTGAATGTACGGAAAGTAACCATCCTAATATTCGATATGTATATTTCAAAGAGATCATTGTTATGAACCTTTTTTGTTTTGCTTTTTCTGGAAGTATGGTCGAGCTTTCAGAGAGCATAGCAAAATTTCCACGTGAGTCTTATTATGGTTGCCTCTATTTCCGCATGCAGAGACGAGTGGTGACGAAGGTAAAACACCTCACATAACGTGCGATTAAAACCGTGAAGATCAATACGGTGCATATTATTCGTTTATGGTGTTTCAACTAGCCCTTATATTCTACTCGTTCGTGAAAGATATTATTCTCTATCTAGTATTCCCCCCCCCCCCCCGGCCCCCCATCATTCTGTCGTCCTTTATTCGATATCGATACACCGGTAAGGCGGATAGAAATGACTTCATAAATCGGGGAGAGTTCTTGATTATTAAAATCCTAGATAACCAACAAGATTCTAGCTTTTTGTTCTATTAAACTTTTGATGATTAATATGGGAATTGGTAGGATGGTTGGTAGTTGAAGACGAAAGGTTTAAATTAATTGACGCGTTTCCAGCGGTGTGGCCAGCTTGGTAGTGAATTATATCTAGCGCACCCTACTAGGGCATCGGTGGGACCCCCTCCATCAAACCGAATATCTAAGCACCTGAGGCAAGGCTGCCTGATGAGCAACTCGATGTTCATGCAAGATTGCACTATCGCGTGACAATTCATCATGTTAGCAATAAGAACAGTGACGGAATAGCAAAGATTATAGAAGTATGAATATTAGGTTCAACTCACCGACTCCACCTGGTACCCACAGCCTCCACAGTTGTTTATATCGGTATTAGTGTTGACGCATTGTCCATTGCAGCAGGTCTCGTAGTTCCGGCACTATCGAGCACCAATCAGTCGTTATTATCATCAAATATTGTCTGCAGTACACTTACCTGGGGATAACAATTCGGCGGGTTTGGGACACAAACGCAGTTTCTATTTCATATTAGCTTCCAGAGAGCTCTGCAATCTCAAGACTATCAAGGGAAATACTCACTGCATACTAGTTTGTCCAAGGACAAGTCCAAGTATACTGGGAGATTGACTCCCAGTGTAGCAGTAACCAGATTGGTAACCCTTTTGCACACACTTCAAGAAAGCAGTATATCAGTATGAGCACCCTCTTTGGATATCCACGAATCTTACCTCCCAGTTACAAGTGCTTTGGTCGCAAGTTCCCCCAGTACCCCCTCCACCAAGCCCGACCCCGAGGCCAATGTCTCCGACATTACCACCACCAGTGTCAATGTTGATACCACCACCATTCCCATTGCCAATATTGTTACCCACTTGGGAATGGCCACCCTTACCCCACTTACCCCCATGATCCTTATCCCACCCCTTACCACTCCCGTACTTTTCCATAGCTTCTTCCCCGGAGAGCGCAGCGACTAGAGCGCCGGAGAAAAGGGTAAGAAGAGCGATACGCATATTTGCAAAGGCGTTTGGTTGGATCGAAGAATGGTGGTAGGAAAGGAATATGAGTCGAAACCGTGGTACTGCTCGTAGTCAAGAAGAAGAAGTTGTCCTACTCGTCGAGCGGAGGGGGCTATATATAGTGTTCACGCCTGGCGGTCGTCCATTAAAGGTCTAAATTCTGTACCAGGGCAGCCTTGGAAACCTTCAAGTTGGAATGGAATGTTTGAAGATGTTTCTTAGAATGTAGTAAGCCTTGGAATCATTCACATTCTCTTTAGTTTTACCGATGATAAAGAACTAGTACTAACATTCTTTTGCTCGGCTAGTCTACGAGAGGCCTACAAAGCACTGTAAGGAACAGCATCAAGCGCCCTAGAAAAGGGTACACGCACGAGTGGGGGTAGTTCTGGCGTCCTGTCACGCTAGGCCCGAAAGTAGTATATCGTAGGAACTAGCGGTTGTGTAGTAATTACGCACTTGAACTTTAAACAGTCAATATTATCCACCGTTCTTAGGCCTTTCTTCTCGCTAAATGGAGACTGGTAGTGTGAGATTGAATGAAGTATAAGAATAGTATATTATGTTGTGAGAATAAAACTCGCTACCTCTTCCAAATCCTCATGGCACCTCTATCACACTCGATAATAATTTGAGAAGGCGCTGGGAATGTAGAACAGGTACAAAAACACGAAGTAATAACATTTGACGGGATAGGGTGTTATCGTGTTATTCCTCAGACGCACGGGCGGCCAATTAGATTCCACAAACCCCTCTTCTGGTTGGCGGATGATTTTGCCGGGACTCGTCCACATATCACAAGCCCCTGCGCTTCTGAAAAAAAAAAACTTATCTCGGGGTTTGCCCAAGTATTTCAATATAGGAATAAAGCTTACTAGACAGTGAACAATTAAATGACCGGGAGCACACTTACGGGCGCCAAAACCAGGACTAAAAAATAACTAACAGTGTTGGGCGGAAGATTTTGCCGGGATTCGTCCACATATCACAAGCCCCTGCGCTCCTGGGAAAAAAAGCTTCCCTCCAATTATGTCCAAGTATTTCAATCATAGTAATAAAGCTTACTAGACAGCGAATAAATAAATGTCCGTGAGCACACTTACTGATGCTAACATCAGGAATGAAGGAAACCCAACAGCACAGGGCGGATGCGAAATAACAGTCTCCTTAGCGATGCTAAGGCACGCGATATATAGTAAAATAAAGCTTCAAACGCCCGCGTATCGCACGAGATAGCACAGTTCAGTGCTCTTCATACCAAATATGCCAATCGCAAATGGCAGATAAAATAGAGAGACCGGAGCAGGCAAAGGGGCATAAAGCGAATAAGGCATCACAATTGGGACTATTTGACACGCCCTGGCCAGATCGGGGCAGGGGACAGATCGGGGCCAGGGACAGATCGGGCGTATAGGCCCCCGGGGAGAATGTTAGTGGCGTTCTGGGGACGCGGTCAAGCGGCGGCTCGACATCAAAGCTACGGGTGGGGAGGAGGCCGTTCTTGTTTCGAAAGCCGTTATTCTCGGCGTCAATCCCAGATGCCCTCATATTCTATGTGTAAATCTCACTCTATGCCAAAGTATTACTGCGTGAGACCGGTCCGAGTCGTGCAGCACAAATACCGAGACTCGGATCCTATAGGCTACCTACTCTAGTAGTTGTGTGAAATGTATATATTTCTGGGCAATCGATATGTTAGTTATCGTTACCATTGATGGAGAGTCCCATGTGCAGTACCTAGGTACAGACTAATTAATTGTGACGCCAATGCCAACAGTTCGAGGAAGGAGGACACTCGCAGATGCCTCAGCTTTTGCTCTTGGCCTACATTGCCAAGGAACATAACACACGGGGAGGGGAAGGGGAGTGGGTGGCCTGATAGCCTGATGAAGCATGCTGAACTATCCTGCATCAAATTGAAATTTCCCCTAATACAACATACGGGCAGAGCAAGAATATCGCAGGCTAAAACTATTGTTCCCATGCAATTGATACCAATGCCAGAGCTACGATTGTCTAGACTGTGACAATATATCAGTCTCAGTATAAGCCAACACTTGATCTAGTAGTGTATGGGCGATGTCCTTTTCAAGCTGGAAAGGTCGAGCAAATGCGCCCGGCGACCCCACAGAAGTCAGCCGTGGCATGCATATAGACGACGCTGTCATCTTCAAGGGGCTAGGCGGGAAATCACGAGGCGACGATCTACCGTGTCGATCTCAACGCCCGAGCTTTTCCCGCCCTCTGATGGGTCGGAGGGTATGGAGTATCGTATTCGCCGAGCTTCTGCCGGATAACAAAAGCCTCAAATACAGCATCGAATCCCATCTAGGTAGATAAATGTTATGTAAGAATGTCAGGGCTCCTAGTTGGAATTCAAACGTTTAACTCTTTGTAGAAAGAGGCCGGCCGGAGATCATCGCCAATAGATCCCAGGGTGGTGATCGACATACAACCAAGGCTGAGTTCTTGTACCCACACAGAAAACCTACATCAGGTTACACGGCGCTGGCTTTTTCCTGTTTGAGACGAAGCCGTAGGGACATAATGGTATAAAGTGGAGGAAATATCCTCTCTTCATCATCCTCATCATCACGCAATCATCAATCAAACTTTAATCCATCAAATACTATATCTCAATCAAACTCTTGTTCAATATGCGCCTCATTGCCATCTTTACTGCCCTTCTGGCCGTTGCCTTCGCTGCGCCTGGCAATCTTGAAGCCAGACAGCAGGGTGAAGCCTGCGAGGTATGTATCTTGGTTGACAACCAGTTTAGTTTGGAAGTTGGAAAAATCTAATATATTGATAGCTCGTCCACGGCCTGGCAAGCTGCCAGTCCAAGTATGTATTTTCGAATGATTTTTAATTCACTCAAGAGGTCCTGACATGTCAATAGGGGCTTAGTCCAGTGTGGTGCTTCCTCCGGAAATGTCAAAGTCTGCTGCGTATGTTCTATTCCTCCCAAATACTATTACTGCGGGGGGGATATTTCTGACTTGTCATAGAAACGCTGCTATTAAACGACTTTCGTGGTGTGGAGGGAACCGATTTGAATCATCGTTACCTGATAAACGGTTTCAGCATGTCAGGACTGGCATACATGGCAATCAAATTCTCCAGATGTAGCTACTTGGGTTCAATGTCAACCCACACAAATACATAACACAAACACAAAGCGGATGGGAAGTAATGTGAAGATCAAATACTTCTCTAGTTACTACGAACTATGCCATTCTTTTTGTCGAACATCTTGATTTTCTCCACTGTGTTTGTTCAGAAGCGATATCGCCCTTCCCATGTAGAGTATATTGAGCTATGCAATCGGATCGTTTAAGCACCCTAATGTATCTCGTCTCTCTTGCCACCTTCCAGAGGATCCAAGACGCACCGTAGCAGTTATAAATGAGGTTAGGGGAAATTTGCATTATGTAGACCTTGAAGCTCTGTGCTAGCACCAGCTTCACAAGTCAATATCGAGTAGTGTGCCTTCGACGCGTAAAGTAGTAATTCAATGGTAAAATATACTTCTTGCAAAGCTTCCAAAGATCTCGGTTCTTACTAGTAACATACCATGAATTGAAGTAATCACTAACTATAGAAAATTTGATGTTGCCCTTTTCCCCAAGTGGTAAGCTAACTTTTCGTGAAAGGGATTCTATTCTAGAACACCGCTCATTGCAAAGGACTCATTATCCACAGCACCGAACCTAAAACTCAAATCATGGCTCGCAAGAATTTTTAAATATGTCTAGAAGTTGAAGCACTGGCGCTTTAAGTGAAGTTGAACTTTTTAGCCATCTCAATACCCTCCGCGATAGCACCAATCCGCGAATCAATCGCGTACCCCTCAGCCTCGAGTTTCCGCAATCCATCGTACAAATTCGCCAATGGAAGGGTAAATGAGTCAATGAATTCATCCTCCTCTAGATCAGGCTTTGGGTCCTGGTTCTCGGGCAAGGTCATATTAACTTTGACATGGACGAGGTTAAAATTGGTATTGCAGAACCCGGGATCTACTCACAATGTCGTCAGCAACACCCCCGGTTAATATCGAGATTTCGTTTTAGCAGTTTCAACAAGAGATAAACTGACCATTGAACATAATAAAGCTCGATTTGATCGCAACGCCGACAAACCCCGTCTCCTCTTTGAGCTCGCGCTCGGCACACTGCTGGATCGTCTCGCCAGCATCAATCATCCCCGCTGGCGTTTCGATGACAACGCGGTTTAGTGGCGGGCGATACTGCTTTTGAAGAAGCAGTTCCGGGCCAGATGGCTTTTCCAGAATAGCGACGATTCCGACGCCATCGACTAGCGAACCGGCGGGTCTTGTCTGTGCTAGGTTGTTAAGGACCACTCGAAAAATGGGATTGAAGAAAATAAAAAGGCAAATTACCACACGCTCAGCAGATTCCCACGTCCTCGTGACCCCATTGGGGTCAAGATATGTAGTCTTGACTAGACGTTTCCATTTTGCCTCTGACGGGTCCTGAAATATCGGTGAGAGGTCAATTCTTCGGATTGGGCAGAAATTCAGGGGGCACACAAACCAGGGGTTCTTGGTGATAGACTTTCGATTTTAAATTTGTCATTTCGAATGCTTATCACGAAAGAGGAATATGATCTAGGAAATAGGACAGGGTTGGATTGGTGATCGCAAAAGGTTTTCTGTTCGTGCAATAGTCGGTCTGATGCCCTGGTAACCATGCGATGACAAAGCAGCTGAAATGCAAGTGTTAAAGAACTACGACCAATTGGGAACTGAAGAAGATAACTTGGATAGAATCTTGAACTGAACAACCGTGTTCTGAAAATGTATGTACCTAGTCCGAAGGCGTATGCCATCCTAGAAACGCCTTCCATATCCACACCCCAAACACCAAGAACCGATCAAAGAAAGGAGAACAACGGCGGGAGAGGTATCCAAAAGAGAGGCAGAATTCAAGAAATCCAGGAACATATCAAAGAGACGCCGCGAAATGCAAAGCAGCGGAGATAATCCCAGTACCCCACAAAGGGGGTAGAAATCGCATGCAAGCCCAGAGCACAGCTTGATGTTGAAGAAGTAAGAAAAGCAAAAAAGCAAAAAGGCCGTCACCAGTAGAAAACTGGGGCATAAAAAATGTACATGAAACTCCCCTTCCGGGGAATGATTAAAAAGCAAAGGATTTGGGGGGCATCACAGCGTGACAAAGGAAAAACAAAGGAAAAAAAAGTGTCAGTCGAGTCAGGGGCCAGCAAAAGCTGGCGAAAAAAGACCACACAAATCGTTGTGATAGTGTGAAAAAGAAAATCTCCAAGCCCAACTCCATGACATAACAGATAGGTATGCGCAAGAAGAGAAAAATGAAAAGAAAAACCAGAGATCTTCCCCGGGACAATCACCGTCGATCTCAACGCCATTGCAAGAATAAAAGTCTGCGCCAAAATATGGTTGGAAAAAAGTCGGGAAGATCATAGTTTACCGCAGATTGCGGATGATCTTCTTGCCTCGGGCCAGGAACGGGCTGGGCATCTCATCGCGCTCGGGGTCCCAAATCGCAGGAGGCTCGCGCTCAGAGCATCTGAGGCTGGAGGTCGCGCGCGAGTCACTAGCACATCGCTTAACCTCGTCCATCGAGCGGCCACCAGCACGGGCCTGGGCAAGCTCGACCAAGGTACGGCCACCCATGTTGCGCTGCATCACAGCCTTGTACATCTCATCACCGCCAGCGTTGAGCTTGGATGGTGATTGCTTCGAACCAGTCTTACGGGTTGGAGAACCAGCATCTGCGGCGAGGTTGGCGGAGGATGGGATCTTGGAGAGACGTCGGTGGGGGGGACTTCGAGCGGCTGTCGCTCATGCTGCTGCGGTCGTCGGAGCGAGTAGGGGAGACGGATGTTGATTGAGGCAGGCGAGATCCGTTAGAGGGGAAAAGTGGTGGCTGAGTGTTGAGTTTTTGCACGAGGGTCGCTGTGTTCTGGCGGAGGAGCTGTCGGGGGTGAGCCTTGAAGGGATCAGGCTTGACCTTGGGGCGGGTGGGTGATGGGAGGTCTGGTGTGTCGTCTTCGTCATCTGAGTAGGCTAGGGTTGGTTCCCATTTCGCCTTTTGGCGCTCAGCTTCGGCGAAGATGTTTCGAGAACCCGCAGTCGCGGACGTTCGGCGTGGCGACAAGGAAAGGGAAGCGATGGAGATAGGAGAAGGCTCGGCCATCTGAACATCCTGCGGAGAATCCACCACAGTCGTTTTGGAGCGACAGAGGGGAGTGCGAGTCTCTCGCTTTTGCTTTCTGGTGTTGGATGTGGGAGATTCTAACGAAAGCTGGCTGATATCGGTGCTGGGAGGGGTACCGGCATCATCGGTGGTTGAAGAGCGTGAGGTCTGGCCGCTGGCTCGAGATGATGTTCGAGAGCCTGAACGACGGAGGCTTGCACGAAAGGCTTCCTCGCGAGAGCTGCTATTGCTCTTCTGCTTCTGTTTCTCCTTTTCGACTTCGATGGAGACTCGTTCCTGGACCTCACTCTCGAATCGCTTGCGGAGTCGGTCCAATTCATTCTGCACCTGTCGGTCGATCTCCAACCGCGCCTTCACCTCCCACTCTCTTCGAACGCTGTTTTCGATCTCGGTCTTCAATTGTTGTTTTTCCTTCTCCGCCTTGGCCAGAGTTTGCTCGATCTCGCGAACCTTCTGAACGGCAACCTCTTCGCGGCGTCGGAGAATCTTACCAAGATCTACAACCTCCTTCTCCTTTCGCATGAGACGGATGATAGGGAGGTTGATCAGCGCGGCAGTGTCAGGGCGGTGATCGGGATTGACTCGCAAGCAGCTCCCAATGACATTCTTCAACTCCGGGGAGTAGCAATCAGGGAGAGCATTGAATTTGCCCTCGCGGATCTTCTGGACGAGCTGGATGTGGGTTCGAGCGTTGAAGGGGGGCTCTTTGGCGCAAAGCTCATACATGATACATCCGACAGCCCAGATGTCTGAGCGGAGAGTGTACTTTTCGGCAGCACAGATCTCTGGAGACATGTAGAATGGGGTACCGACATATGTGGAGGCAAAGTCGTGGGACTGCATCTGCTTGGAAAGACCAAAATCGCCCAGCTTGACCGTGTTGTCGCTTCCAAGGAAGATGTTCTCGGGCTTCAGGTCTCGGTGGAGGATAGTGACCTGTCCTTGCTTTCCCTTGAGACCGGATGCTTTGGCCTGTGGTCCCAGAATATTGGATCCAACCTCAGCGGGATCGTGGCCATAATGGCAGCGGAAAAGGGCGGTCACGAGTTGAGACAGAATACGCCAAACGAACTCCTCCTCCGCATATTTGTTAACCTTCTTAAGGTTCTTGATGACCATGCTCAGATCTCCACCACCGCAGTATTCCATGTACAGATACAGATCCTGGCTGGCCTTGAGGTGTTCGCGATGGTAGTAAGCGACGATGTTCGGGTGTCGGAGGGAGCTTAAGATGTTGAACTCGGCGGTGAGTTGCTCTCGTTCTTTTTGGGACATTTTGATGTAGTTGATCTCCTTGCGGCAGAGAATCTGTGAATCTGTTAGGGCCAATCCAAGAATTGCAACATCGAACCGGACGAAAGGCTACTCACGAATCCATCTGTCTTCCGCTTCACCTTGCGAATGATCCCGAAGGAACCGCAACCTATAGGAGATATTTGTTAAGTGGGTCACAAGCAGATGAGAGAAAACATAGGGCTGGGTCAAAACATACCGATCTTTTCCAAGATCTCATACTTGTCCGCCTCAGCCAAAGCAATCGCCATGGCTGTAGATGTATGTAGCAGACAAGGGGGATGATTCAAAAGGTGTCGAGTTTAGAAGAAAGAGGAAGAGGGACAAGTCGAATGCTCAATGAGCAGGAGGCGAGCAAAAATAGAGGACCCTGTCTTGTTAGTTGAGGAAATTGAAGAAAGAAAAGGTACGCAACGGTGCTTCGAATAGAAGAAGATCGCTGGTCGTTAGCCGGTTGTTTGGGTGGAGGCGGTTGCTCAGCAACGACCAACTGTCATGGAGCCTATCCTTTCCCGGAAGGCGGTCAACCCGCTCACGTCAAGGGTGTAGCATCCACGCAGTCCTCACAGAGTGGAACCATTGGAATAGTTGACACAAGGGATTTGTGGGAAATTGGTAAATTCATGAGTCCGTGAATTTACTAATTGTCTGTTAATCAAATATTCACCTATTCAAAGCAGCGACTGAACATGGAGAGTTCTATACTTCCAATTGACCTGATTGGCTGCCGCGGAGTCCCGGCCCGATCCTGTATCACATGACCGCTTATCGATAAGCTGCCCATGTCTGCGGGCAATTGAGATGGACCTTAGTGCCCGCATTTCATCATCCCACTTTGTGCTTCGTGCTCTGTGGCAGGTTTTCCTCCCAATTCAACACCGGCTACCTGCAGATAGCCTTCTGGCGGATGGAAATGGAGGAGCCAACGGTATTGCGCAAGGACCAGTTGGAGATAAGTTTCCACAAGGAGAAGAAATTGATCCAGGAGGGCACCATCAAGGATGACAACCCATTGGACCTGAGTGAGCCATTCCGGGACCTCTGCAGTGCTTGCCGAAAGGGCGATCTGAAAGTCTGTCAGGAAAAAATCACCGAAGGGGTCAATGTCAATGCCCGCGATCTTTACGACTATACGCCTTTGATTTTGGTGGGTGCTGGTAACCGCGGCAAACGCACATCTCGATCATGCAGTTAACCGAAATCACACCAAACAGGCCAGCCTGTGCGGGCATTATGAAGTCGCGCGGCTGCTGCTAGAATCTGGGGCCTTGTGTGAACGAGACACATTCCAGGGTGAAAGGTAACTACAATACCCAACAGGACGGACACTGGAATACCCCACTGGTGATGAGGAGGGTTGATCATTGTAAGCGTCGTGGGCTGACGAAGATATCTCTCTTGCACTGTAGATGCCTGTATAATGCTCTCAACGACCGTATCCGCAATCTCCTTCTTGAATATGACTACTCCAAGTCTACCGATCCTCTGCAGCCCCTCGCTGCCCATATAGCCTCACTCCTTACTCGAGACTCCCCCATCACCACCGATATCGTGGTAACTTCGAATGATGAGTCCATCCACCTGCACAAATTTATCCTCGCTGCTCGCTCCCCTTACTTCAAGGGTAAACTCTCCACCGCCCCTGATTCAACAGCGTGGAATATCCCCAGCCACATTCCACCACAGGCATTTAGCGCTGCCATCAGGTATCTTTACTTGGGCGAAGCTCCACGGGAGCTACGGGGTGGCCCCGGAACTGGGTTCACCGAGACGGAGGTCTTTGCGGGGATCGACAGGATTGCGAAATATCTTGAGATTGAAACCCTGGTGGATAGTATACTTGAAAGTGGAGATCGGCGACTTGCTCGACAGAGAAGGACGTTGGAATTATCTAAAGGCAGAGATCAATTAGAGAACTGGTTCCGCACGAATGTGCTTGGCAACAAGATTGTCGTTGAGACATCGAAGGCGGGCGAAGTGAAATGGGATCATGACAATCACATCTTTGCAGATGTTCTTCTCCGCGCGGATGAGCTACCCGAAGACGCCGAGGATGCTGGCACAGCCGATGGCCAGCAAAAGTCCACATTATTCCCATGCCACCGGGCGATGCTGCTCCGCTCGGAGTTCTTCCAAGCCATGTTCACATCTTCTTTCCGCGAGGCCCATGTCACGGATAACCTGCACATTATTGACGTCGATTGTTCACCAGAAGTATTAGAGATCATTCTGACATTCTTATACACTGAAAGGGCCGATTTCCCTCTCGATGTCGCTGTCGATGTATTATTTGCAGCCGACATGCTTTTCATCGAGAAGCTCAAGACCAAGGCTGCTGTTGTCATCAGTACCCTAGGAAGTGGAGGGCTATCACAAGAAGAAGCAGCGAGAACAAGAGGCGATGTCGACGAGGACGACATTGACGTTTACGCAATTATGCGCGCTGCTTGGTTAACCAGAGTCCAGCGACTTGAAGAATTCGCTGCTCGGTACCTTGCCTACCGGTTGGAAGCTCACATTGATTCGGCCGACTTCGCGGAGCTCATACAAGAATCCGCATCGCGTATTCAAGTACGACAGGAGACTGATACCATTGAATTGCTGGATGACATTCGATTCTATCTGAACGAGCGATTCCGGTTACGGTTTGACGATGCTGGCCTCGACGAGATGTTGAATGGGCAACAGGCGCCTCCAGCGGACGCCGCAAAGGAAATTACCGAAATTACCGATCGTGTCGACGCGTTAAATGTTTCTCGGTCGGTTGAGCAGCCCGTTGAAGCTGATGGGCACCGTGAAATTCGTACCTTAGACGGTGCGATCGTTGAAGATGAATTCTCCGAAGACGCGATGAACTACGAAATTCTGATGGAAAAACTGGATGCTCTTCTGGAAAATCTCAACCTTGAAGCTTAGATGCATTGGACGACTATGAATATAAGTGAAGAATATATCAACACCTGGGCATGAATACGAAATAGAGTTTGTACGCTTCGCGTTTTAGAACAGCGACTTCAAGTTTTTGTGCTGGTACCTAGGTATACGCCGGGCGTGACGCGATCCATGCCCAGGTGTCTCCGAGCCATACTAGTAGTAGGTAGATAGTATAGGTAGTGGAGATATATATCTCGCCAGAATTCGACCTCGGGAGACGGCAAAACGTGACCAAGGAATACTACTACTAGGACTATTTTTGTATAAAGAGTTCAATAATTAAATCTTCCAAAATCTAATGATATATATATAGGTATCCAAGTTCAAGTAGTATTATATTTACAAATAATGTACAAAGTATTATAGAATTTGATGTCGTTGTCCGCCATGTCAGCGCAATTCCGGAGACCCGCCCGCCCTGGTGACATAGAGGTAGCTTGGCAAAGTTCAAGTCCATACCACATCCCAATAAAACGGTTTCGGTCATATGGGCCATGCATTCGGTATGATGTGTGTAGACACCGTCGATTCCAGACGCAATTGGTGGTAGGCGTTAAGGTCGGCGGGAAGTAGACTCATCTGGATATATTTCCCAGACAAATAAATGGGCGATAGATACCACGGTACGGAGTAGATATCAACTCACCATTCAGCAGAGAAGAGAGTTTCTTTCAGTCAAGTACCGGGATAAGACGTCATGAGGTGGGAAATGAGCATGGCACATGGCATCCGCCACGCAAGTCCTCGGTGATACCCGGTTCGAGACTCAAGGTCTGAATCTGACATCGGCCGCCTTTGTTGTTTTTGAAAGACAAATACAGGAGCCCTTCAGTTATTGACCCCCACCTGGTTGGTTCTGATTGTCGGAGGCCTTCATTTCTTTCTTCTTCTGGATCTTCTCCTCTAGCTCGCGAATTTGGGTTTCGATTAGCCCTTTCCGGGCAGTCAAGTTGGATCGCATGCCCTGCAGAGCCTTCATTTGTTCGTCAAAGGTAGCTTCCTGGCGTTGCTTTTGGGTCTATTTGTGAAACAAAGAAACACAGGTCAGTGGCTCATCCGATAACATCGCGCAAATCCCGGCTCACCTGGGCGATCTCCTCTGTAGTCTTGATTCCAGCCCCATAGAGGGATCCTGCAATTGTGATTGAGGTGATAGCCGCCGTCAAAATCAGACGGCGAACATTTTGAGGTGACGGCATCGTTCGGAGACTGCGGAGAGCAGCTAAGCAAAGCAAGCCAGGCCAAGTCAAGCAGAACCAAAGGCCGCGGAGGCCCACACCGCCTTGAGCTTTCCGCCTTCCTCATTGGGTCAGATAGTCGACGCGTCGACGCGATTCGCGGGCCAGTCAGCATCATTATACTCGTTTGCTCTCCCAGTTTCTCCAGTCTCTCCCAGTTTCTCTTGTCGCTATTCCTGCGCCTTTCATGGCTTCGCATGCCGCCGACTTGTGAAAATGCCATCCAAAACTTCGGTCCCTCAACGTCGAAGCCACGAGGATTCCGACGAGGATGACTCCGACTCATCCCACCCCACCTCAGGTCCCAACATCAAGCGCCAACGCCTGAGCCCTACGGAGGAAGCCAGTGAGGAGGACGAAAGTGGAAACACTGAGGCCAGCGAGGGGGCCAATGATAGTAATGACGATGACGACGACGACGACGAAGATGACGACAACCAGAGCGAAACAAGTGAGGACATGGATGCTGCAGGCGCAAGAGCTATCGCTCAGCAGCCAGTCGTTGACCATGGACTCGGCCCGGGAGGTTACAAGCCGGGTGCAATTGTGCGCATCAAGGTGACCAACTTTGTGACCTACGCCTCGGCAGAGTTCTTCCCTGGTCCCAAGTTAAACATGGTCATTGGGCCCAACGGTACGGGCAAGAGTACCTTGGTCTGCGCTATTTGTCTGGGTCTCGGATGGGGTCCTCAGGTAATACAAATTCCGTTGGATACATGATTCTTACTGTGAAAGCTCATAGCTAATGCGACATGGGATCAATAGCACCTCGGACGCGCAAAAGACGTCGGCGAATTCGTCAAACATGGCTGTTCAGAAGCTAAAATCGAGATCGAGCTTGCTGGACGACCAAAACTGTCCTTCAACCCGGTGATCACCCGCACAATCAAACGCGACGGAAACAAAAATGTATACACCTTGAACAGGGCCCCCTCTGGATGGAAGGAAGTCCGCAAGCTAGCACAATCATTTGCGATCCAGGTCGACAACCTGTGCCAGTTCCTGCCTCAAGACAAAGTCTCCGAGTTTGCAGCTTTGTCACCCATCGAACTTCTTCACTCTACACAGCGAGCAGTAGCTGGGCCGGAGATGGTAGAATGGCACAACGGCCTCAAGACTTATCGCAGCGAGCAAAAGCAAGTCGAGATAGACAGTCGCGCGGACCGGGAAATGTTGAAAAATCTCGAGGACCGACAGGAAAGCCAGCGAGAGGTCGTGCTAAGGATGCGCGAGCGAGATGTCATCAAGTACAAGATGGAACTCCTTGAATTCATACGCCCCGTAGTCGAATACAGAGACTACCACGCTGAGTTCCTAGCGCTGAAAGAAAGGAAGGCCGCTATTGACCAGGCCTATGATCGACTTAAGCTGGAAGTCGAACCCGCGTTGCGATCTATCAAAGCGAAGCAAGAATATTCCGAACAAATCACCGCTGCGAAACAGTATCGCAAGGAGCAGGTGGAGAAGTTGTCAAGGATAGCTGAAACGCGCGGGAAGAAGATCGAAGACTTGAAAGGCTCTATCAAAGCACTGGATAACGATATCGAGGCAGAACGAAAGTCTGGCCAAAAGCACAAACAAGAGGCCACAAATGCCTCGCAAACCATCGCTCGACTGAAAAGGGAGTACGAGGAAGAACCTGTGGAATTTGATCCAGACCACTACAATGAACGGCTGGTAAGAGGGACCCATGAAACCCTTAGGGTGCCATTTCCACTTGCTGACCCCTATGTCACAGAGAGAGAAACGCCTTGAAAGGCGTGAGCTTGACACCAAGGTAGAAGAATTGAAAGCACGGAGGACCCCAATGGTCGAGCGAGGGAAGGCTCTGAAGTCAAAAATCGAGGAATCTGAGCAACAACTGGAACACTTAGATTCAGCGATCGGAAAACAAGAGTTGAAGTTGAAAATGGTGTCAAACGACTCTCTGAGACTCTACCACTGGATTCTCAAGAATCAAGACAAATTCGAACACGAAGTCTTCGGGCCTCCCATGGTGACCTGCTCTGTGCCTGATCCAAAGTATGCCGATGTCATTGAATCCCTTTTCCATAAGTCCGATTATACGGTTTTCACAGTGCAGAGCAGGAACGACTTCCGCACGCTTCAGAGGAATGTCGCCGAACAGAAGCTTGCCGATATCAGTATTAAAACATGTTCCCAACCACTTGGCCACTTTACCGCGCCTGACTTCGATATTCAAAGTCTTGGATTTGACGGATGGGCCAATGATTTTCTGACCGGGCCCGATCCAGTTATTGCCATGCTTTGTATGGAGAATCGGCTGAACCAAACACCGGTTGGTCTGCGTGAAATTTCCGAAGCAGCTTTTTCGCAGATGGAAAACGGCTCTCTCAATTCCTGGGTATCTGGCAAGCACAGTTACAACGTCACTCGCCGCCGAGAGTATGGTCCTGGTGCCCAATCAACTCGTGTTCGCCAGGTCAAGCCTGCGCAAGCCTGGACAGTAAAGCCAGCTGATGCATCTGTCAAGCAACGGCACCTGGATGATATTCGCCAAAGCAGGGAAGAGTTCGCCGAGCTCCAGGCCAAGTTGAAAACAGACAATGCCGCGGCAGCTGAGGTTACAGCTGATTACAGGCGAATTCAAGATGAATACGTACGCTTTCCCTCAAGATCTCTAGTAAAATTATACTAACTTGCTACAAGGAAAATATCGAGAGCGAGAAGTCTGAGAAGCAGACTGCACACACAAATTGGCGGTCCATTCCCGATAGACTTGGTATGCCAATAAATAATCTTCCTACTGGTCCAGTTTGCTAATCACCCTACAGTCCAGCACGAGCAGAGGCAGAAGACATTCACCGATCTTTTCGAAGAAGTAAGAGAACGGGTGTACAGCCACCGAAATAGGCAGGATGAAATCTCCATCGAAAGGGCTAAGGCTACAATCGAATACTCTGTAAGATGACTATCAAGATTGGAACTGACCAGAGACGAGTGCTAATGGCCTTTAGGATGCTGTCGAGAAACTTCGCCAAGCCCACGAGGAACTCATGAAAGCTGAGATACGACATCTGGAAGCGAATTCTGATCTTCAAACCCTGAAAATCCGAGAGAGTGATGTAACGAATATGCTCGAGGAGAAACGCCTAGAGTCCGTTCAGGTTTCCGACGAATACAAAGAAGGAACCAAAAAGGGAAGAATCATGCTGGCCAAGGCAAAGCAGACTACCACTGCAATCAAACAGAAAGAAGGCGGGGGTGAGCTCCTCGATTCAATCAGGGAAGATGGTTATAACGCAGACCAACTCAATGCAGACATTGACTCTAAAAGAGCCGAGCTTGAGTTCACCCATGGTGGAAACGAGAATATGATCCAAGAGTTTGAGCAACGCGAGCGCCAGATCGACAAGCTACAGAGCAAACTTGGTGAGCTGAACAAGAAGCTGAGCTACTACAGTGAGGCCATCAACGACCTCCGCCAAAAATGGGAGCCAGTGTTGGATGCCCTCGTCAGCAAAATCAGTCACGCTTTCTCCGACTCATTTGCACGCATTGGCTGTGCTGGCCAATGCACTTTGGAAAAGGTGAGAACCGAGGCTGGGCCCAACAACGACCCTCCCGCCGAGTATGAGTATGATCAATGGGCGATTAAAATCCACGTCAAGTTCCGCGAAAGCGAAGAGTTGGCACATTTGGATGCTTATCGCCAATCTGGCGGCGAGCGAGCCGTTAGTACCATCTTCTACCTGATGGCTCTGCAATCGCTCTCAGCCTCTCCATTCCGCGTCGTCGACGAGATCAACCAGGGTATGGACCCTCGAAATGAGCGTATGGTGCACGGTCGCTTGGTTGACCTTGCGTGTGCGTCGAGCATTGGAGAGACAGACGAGACAGGTAATGTGATCGGCGGCGGCGGCGGAGGTCAATACTTCCTCATCACGCCGAAGCTGCTCAGCGGACTGGTCTACAGGGAAGGTATGAAGGTGCTCTGTATCTACAGTGGTGAACACATGCCCGAGGATTACACGAAACTGGACTTTGGCCTGGCGATTCGAAACAGGAAAGCGATCGTTGCGGAAAGTGGAAGGTCGACTGGCAACGATCAGGCCCGAGCCATCGCAAACCATCACCAAGTGGAAGTTTATGCCTAGCGGTGATCGAGATTTCTGCTTAATTTTTGTTCTTTACTTTTACATATTATTTTCTTTTGAGATACTCAACGCTGGTTTTTGTTTTGAGCGACACTCTATCTATTCATCAGCAGCCAATTCATGTCAGATTCATTTCATTCGAGCAATCAATCATGGGAGGGGACCATGGTCGGCGCACTGAGCGTTGTGGTTCCTATACATTTTTCTCTCTATAAACTCTACAACTGTCATTCTTCCTTATGCATGTCTTGGTAGCATTTTTCGAAATCTCGTGTCTGCACCGGCTGACCTTGTTGAGTGCTCAATGGCCCTAGAGATGAGATTCTAGAATCTAGATTCTCATCGTTTTCGAAGCGGGTACCGGTCAAAGCACACTCAATTTCAGCTTTACGGACATCATACACCCATTTCTCTTCAACCCCTCCCTGGAACTACATCATGAGGGGTTGAATGCTTCATCTCAAATCCTCACTGCCTTGAATCATCTCAACTTGAACATATCAAGGCAGAGTCAAGGCAGCTCCAATGCAGCAGTATCAACGAGTTGTATCAACCAAGGCAGCTGGAGCCTGGCCCCACTAGGAGGTTAATTAATATCCATCCATTCATGCATCATCGGCCGCTCCGTGTCCGTGCCCATGTCCACTCATCCCCTCTCCCAGCCTCTCGGTAGTTGGGAATCGGAGATTAGAAGCAAGAAAGAAAGTCATGAGCATCAAAGACCAAAAATCACAGGTGGGCCAAGGCCAGGGCCAGCGAAGATGTGACGAGGCTGCATCAAACGAGGCGTTACATTATGATTACATAGCGATCGCCGTCGATCAAGCAAAATGCCGCAAGGTCAATGCCGGAAGATTGGCGAAGTGGTGGGAGACGGGGGCCTCCGTCGAAGGTTCTCTCTCCACCGCCGACGATCCCCAATTAAACAGAATGGCATCCATGCTCGGATCGGACCAGACGACCGAAGTGGACAAGATCGGGTCTTGGCCTGCGCAAAGGCTCGCTCTCTGCTTTTTCCCTGCCCCCTTGCGACTTCGCTTCGGCGGCGAGCAGATCCTCGTGGAAGAAAGGCCAGTTGGGTTAGGAGGCGAAGAGACGCTTCGTTACGCTGTGTCATGCAGATCGACCACCGGGCGTTTCCGCCGCAGATCACAGGCTCCATCTCGGAGGTTTTGCATGCCAATCGTTGGGCGACGTTGGGCAGTCCCTCGCTACGACCAACTCTAAATTGTCTCTTTGTGTGGCTCACAGCACAGGTCCCCAGTTCTGCTTTGCCTTTGTCTTTTGGGAAACTTTTCCCTTTACGCCCCCATCCCTTCCCCTCCTTGTCTCTCTCGGCCACAGTCCGCACCCGAAATGTGGCCTGGGTCTCATGCTGACCGTGGTGCCATCCACTTTCTACGAGTACGAGTATCTGGTTGTTGTGGATTTCTTATTGCTTATGCTCTCGATTTTTGGGCCCTTTGGGATTGCTGCAACTTCATGCGTTGTCCATCTGCGCTCTTCCCTGCCCCTCCATCCCAGCGTAAACGTACAGCATGCACATACATACATAGGATATGTACTGTACAGGGCTGATCGCCACTGCGCCCCATCTGCTTGGTGGAGGCTGGGAAAGGGATGATTGGCCCGATATTCCACGATCCTGTCGAGAATCCTCATGGCGATCCGGCCAGTCAAATCCACACTATGAGCGTGGAGTGGTTGGTTTCACCTGAGCAAACCGGTCTCAACCAACACGTTGCATGGCCCATATGTCCCGCGCATGGACCAAGATGTGCTGCCTCCGCATGTTTGGCGGGGCCCTACGCTTGGACTGTATTCCAAAAGGTGTACTCGTAAAGTTAACTCTGCAGTGCTACTCGACAAAGTTGTGGTTCAATTCACCGCCCTTCCTTTTTCGCCTCCGGTGATGGCATCCCACATCCATCCACATCCACGTCCCACATTCGGATCCCACATCTTATATCCCACATCCGTTTTCTATGCAATCTGGTTGGTGGCGGTGGTGCTCATGGTTACTGGGACCCCACGGGAAAAAAGGAGAGAAAAAAAAAATGACGCACCAAACGAACTAAACCAACCCACCTCGATATCGGAAAGGATGCGATGCCCCCCCAATAAGACCCCCTGTTTAATTCAATGTCCTTGCGAATATGTAGTACTCCATACTCTGTATAGCGTACAGCGTACAATACGCGGTCATCCGTTCGCCCGTCATATTTCGAGAATCGAGAGCTTACTCGTACGAGTAGAATTCTGACCAGCCCCTACCCCCTGCAAAGTGAGGGTCCCTTCGGAAACTTATCACCCTGTAGGATCACCGGTCCAAAACGGCGGCTTGATTGTGGTCGACGCATCGAACCCTCTAGCCAGACCGTTGATTTCCCAGCATCCAGCCTCCCGGACGCCATGACGAGGGTGGCAGACGATGTATCATGTTTCCATGACCGAGCCAGCTGATGCGTGAGCTGTCCGAGTATGGAGACGAAGTACAATGAACAAAGTAAAAAAGTAAAAATAAATGCGGGCGGCTACAATGCCCAAACAGAAGGCCCCAACGGGCTTTTCTGTATGTATAGCAAGGTCACAGTTCCAGTTCCCCCAAGCCTGAAATGAAGCACGGGCCGCCGGGGGATAGATGTGAAATGAAATGACAAGGCGCGACCGGTCGATCCTCGGCGCCTACAGTACAGCCACAGGGTTAACAGCGCATCACGCTTTAGCAGCATGCGGTGCGTCTCACAGATACCGTATGTACCAAGAGTACCGAAGTACCTTCCATACGAACAAGGCTGGGGATATGTAGGGGGGAGGATCGGATCTTCTCCAACGGCCCATAACGTGGTCGAGGCTCGGAGATATATCGACAGGGGCGGCCAATCTACAGTGGCACATACAACTAGTATCATTATCCATACCATGATGCCCAGGCGTGCAATGATGGCACAACGCAGACCAATTTAGGGGTGTGTTCCGATCCCAGCGTCGCACGACGTGTCGCACAATCGCGACCACGAATTGACAGGGCGGATTCAGATCTGGACGAGCAGATGACATCCCCTGAAACCGAGCCTTTGGGCGAGGGGGTGTGTGTGGGTGGATGCGAGGTATGTTCATAGGTACCAGGCGGGTTGGAGGAAGAAGCAAAAGCAGGTCAGCTCATCTCATTTCATCTCACCACACCACACCTCATTTCCCGGAGGTTGCCTTACTGGCTGCATTTACTTTGCACTTGCATTCATTGCTGGCCTGGACAGGGCATTGGCTTTAACAAACCCCAACAACTCCGTACCCCATACGTTCAAGCTCCAAACCAACCCAACCCAACCCAGTCCAATCCAATCCGAGCAGCGAAGCCTAAAGTGAAACACACAGCGATGTCCGTGGGACTACGGAGTATGGACATACATACAGCTCAGCGGCAGTGGATAAACTACCACCAGGATGGGATCCAATGGAGATGGTAGCGTGCATTCCCTTACACCGGGCTGGGACAATTCAGGCCGAGAACTTGTCGCATGGCAATGCAACCATGCAACCGTGGGATGATCTACCAGTCACAGCAACGAAGGGAGCGGATGGGAGGATGGGGGTGTAAAGTGTAAAAGTGAAGCAAAGTACTCCGTACTCCGTACATACGAATTAAAACAAAGCAAAGAAATGGAGAGTTTCGAGAGATCCGCCATGCTCGCGAGTCGCGGTCGAGCATCTCAGATGCACATTGACTTGCTTCGTATCTACTGTAAGTATGTGAGTATGTATGTATGTACACACCGTACCCTGTACAGTATTACTCCATACATACGCAAATATCGGTCATCCTGGATAATAGAACAATCCTTGTTCGAAGCATGTGCTGAACTCTGTTCTTCGGTAAACCCTGTCGAAGGATGGAAGAATTCATTACCGATGGCGAGGGCGATCATTCTAGGATCTGCCTTTAGTGTACTCTGTTCGTACATACACTTTACGAATTAGTTCGGGGTAGGTGTACTTGTGATCAAACTTGTGCTCGGGTTCTCCGAGTGACTCGACAGGGATGGCTAGGTGCGTTGCGCTGCCACCGTATTGCTTTTTTTTTCTCTTTGCAGGGCATGAAACGATCGCCGTGGGCTTGCTTCGGGAACTGGATGGCATGAAGACTGAAAAACAGATCCTGGAATCCGTAGTGCATACGTACCTGGGTTCCTCGCTGCCGCGCAATTTGATGATGACTACGGATACGGTGTGCACGGGATATACTCCGGAACGGAGGACCATATAATGGGGAGTCAACTCAAACTACTAACTAGTACGAAGTAAGAAGGCAGAAAAAAACAAACCAAAAACAAAAACAACGAAATATCCTTGTCCACGCTACTTACGAGCATTGGATCGTAATTTTATACGGTGTCCCAAATTATGCTTCTGGCCCCCAAGCTAGTCTACAACACCTGGATCCAACCCACTTGAAAGGATTGCAAACAAGGGGGTCATCGTCGTGGTTGCCTTGCCTTACCGTACGATGCGATGCGATGGCCGAGGCATTTCCGTTCTCCGAGTTCACCGTAGCGCCAATCCTGATCTGCTACGACAATCCTGTTCCTGCACACTCCAGAATGCCATCTCTCATCTCACATCCTCCACAATAAACCTCCACTAAGTACGGAGTACAGCCAGGGTAAAATATGTCCGATAAGTCCGGAGATCATAAGTAAACCAAACCACCTCCCCAAAACAGCTACTGCATAACGCCTCGACCTAGCCAAAGAGGAAAGGCCAAAAACACAAAGGAAAGAAAAAAGGGAAAAAAAGAAAGAAAGGGGCCCCACGGCCGATCCCACACGGGGTTTATACCCAATGTAGACTGGCGTGGAAGGTCGTCCATGCGGCATGCGGTGGGCAGTGTGGATGGTCGCTAAGATCCCGGCACTAAAACCCTAGTCTACACATCGACAGGGGGAAGGTCGATCGTCGATGTGTGACCTTGACCCTCGGTCCCTGGTGACGAACAGGTGAAGTGTTTCACCACGGCTGACACAGTCGTAGGCCGAGGCGAGATCGTTTGATCTTCCGTCGATCTGCGCAGCCTCCCGCCCAGCGTCGCTTGGATGTATTTCCTGTTTAGCTGGCAGCCCAGCCCAGCCCAGTCCCAAGCCCAGTCCAGCCCGTGGCCGAGCCCCTAATGCTAATGCTACCCTAGGTGTCTATACTTCTGTGCATAGCATAGGGGGTAGGGTGTTTCCTCACTGGGAGTACTATACTTGATGATTTGCACTCCTGATGATCATGCTGAATGTTGATGATCATGCTAGCTCTTCGTACCCCTTCTACTCCGTGTTCTACCGGATTTGGGTTTCACGATAGTTTGTGTTTGCTTTTACTTTTAAGTTATTTTACGATCGGGAAGAGCAGGCACGGCAGGTCCAGAATCCTGGGAAGGGCTGGAAGTGAGAAGGTGTTTCATTTCCATCGTCATCATGTCTCTGAAGAGGATTAATAATGAATGCCGACTTACTACCCGTACTCCGTACCCTTTCTACATTCTACTCCATAGTCCGTTCTCCGTACCCCGTTGAGCGTTGGACCCTCGGCTCCCTACTACTAGTACAATATAGAAGGAGGAGCATAGCTATCAGTGCGTCGGAGACACTGCCCGAAAGGAGCTATGGCCAGCGGTTGTCTGGGTTGTCTGGATGGGATGATCCACCGGGGCGATCCCGCCGGAAAAGGAAGGAGGTTAGGCGCCTGTGACAGGTCCGCGTCAGTAGAACACGTCAGTCCACGTGAGGAAGCATAATTCATATAATGATGGTGATGGTGATGGTGATATGTACGGAGGAGTACTCTGTACTCCGTAATGTATGATCTTATCATGCCAGTAAGTTGGGATATTCTTAGAATGGACTATCGATTCGGAAAGCACTAGGGGAGGATTACGATATTACAGGAGCAGGAGCAGGAGCAGGAGCAGGAGCATCGGGCGAATGACCAGAAGAGTTCAAGCGAAACCTTATGCAACATGAATCTACGTCTGCAGATGCATCTGCGCCTGCATCTGCAACTACGGGGGACGTTAGATGAAGGCCGGATCCGGGGTGATACTACTAGTATTCCTAGTATACCTGGGTATGGTATGTATTTACGTATGGTATAATACATACCCGTGCTTTCCCGCGATTCCCGGATTCCCAGATTGCCGGGTCAAAACCAGTCCAAACCACCTTCCCAAGACGGGCAACGCCGGACTCGCAGATCTTCGTAGAGTTCTAGTAGGGAGAAGATGGCATTTGCCTCAATTTTCAGTTCGGCACAGACATGACATGTACGGAGTATGGATATCGAGTACGAGTTCAAGTACGAGTAAGACTATCTCTACTGTACATACCTTATGCACATTATACTCCGTATAACATCACATTGATCCCTGATCACCATCACAGATCACTGGCCACTGGCAGATAGGTCAGATGCATCTGCATGCAAGTGCCATGTGTTCGTCAACCCGCGTGGCTCGCTCCTTGTGCTTGTGCGACACCGCAGTGCGCTGCACTGCACTGCAGTCTGCGGCCCCACTGGTAACGATGGGACAAATGAGTACTCGTACTCCGTAGCAAAAGCAAAACTGTTTGAGAAATCAAGGGATGATGATGATGGATATTGCGTATGTTCCAAACTGTCACAGCCCAGAATACGACCAAATACGGAACACGGGTAGAAAAGGGGGGAGGATCTCGCGTGGCACTGGGGCCCATGCCCCGGATGATCCCCGATCGATCCCCACGAATCCGGGCGAATAGCTGAAAAGGGAACACTGACTCAGGGATTATTCAGGTGCGGTGTGCAGCAAGCTAGGCGTTGTATCCGACCCTAGCTATTCCTCCGTCACTATCGCAACACATCCTAGCCATCTAACACATAGTTAGCCCATAGTCCCTGGAGAGTGGTAATTGGGATCCGGGAATAAATCTAGGGGGTTGGGTGGGCTGGGACCCCAAAAACAAATTAAATTTATCACCGACACACTGGACCGGGCCACACTTTTTCCCCTATGCGTACGGAGTACCTAGGTATTCCTTCAAAACCTTAGGCTGGGCAATACGAGAAGGGAAGGAAAAGTCGACAGAGTTCCAGCAGTCCCAGCAGTCCCAGCAGTTCCAGCAAAGTTCTGTGGAAATGAAGAGCGACCGCACCCACCAGAGTTAAAATCTCGGCAGAGTTGAAGTCAAAAAAAGAGAAAAAAAAAGGTTGCTTTGACTTTTTGACCTTCCTTCGTGGGATAAATGGGGGTCGTGGAGGGTCGTGGACGTTCTGGACTCTTGATTAATCTGGTACGACCGGGTCCTGGGAATGTCCCACTAGGAGGGGGGGGGCCACTGACGGGGGGGGAGCAGGCAGAGAGCCCCATCATCGCCGTGGTGGTTGATTACTGATTACCCAGGGGTACTCAACATTCCTGGTTACCAGAGCCGCATCCAATCAAGGCGGGTGGAATCGTAACGCCGGGTCTAGCGCTAGTCGATCCCGAGTGAAATGCCGAGGGTTGAGGTGGTGGGTTTCCAGAAGGCGATCAGGAGGATCGTCGCGGATCATGACATAGTAGAACAGGCATGGCAGGGAGCAGGCCAGCAGGCCAGCCGGCCAGCCACGGTGGCTGGATAATGTGATAATACAGTACGAGTACTCGTAGTGGTCTCGGTATGACCATCAACTAAGTGACATGCTGTAAAGAGATATCCCCTTCCCTATGCGTCCATGCTTCTATGTCCATGTCCTTGTCTACGTCCATGCTCATGCCCCCCCCCTATACGAATGAATGTCTCTGCTGTCCCCTGCCCTGCCTCCCTCTCCCTGCCTGCTCTCAGTCCACTGCATTCAACGGCACGCACAGAGCAGGCGATCCCACCCAAAACGACCGAGTGGAGCTCGCTTCCACGAGGCCGGGATGGCGGGTCCCACCAACGGCCAATCCCCGATGTGCAGAATGTGCACAGACTGAGCAGATTATCAGGATACTCGTACCTGAGACTAGACGGGGCTGGTACGAATACCATGCTGTATGGTACTGAGTTCGGAAACTGGAGTCGACTGGAGTCAAAGCATGATCACCTTCCAGAACTGCAGATCGACGATCATTTCTTAGGAGCTTCTCCGTTGGTCTATGGGTATCGACCGTGGGTCGATTGGATCTTCAGGAGACCTTGCGATCACCGACCTTCTTAGAATAGTAACAGCGACAGCAATCCATAATCTGTGATCGGCAATCACAAGTTTGTCACTTGGTCTTTGTGCCCTTGACCTTGGTCATGTGGGCACCAGCATACGGAGTACAGAGAGAGATTGACATTCTCAGTGCTCTCTCTGGTAGAAGGCAAAGCTAAGGCAAAGCAAGGGTTACGAACAAGGTTGCCGTAAGCGAGCCACATGGCAAGCGCTTTAAGCCGCCACCCGTCATTCAATACTGGTATTGTGTGTATTCTGTGTACCGAGTGTACTGGTGTACTGTATTCTAAGGTTAAGTAAGGAGGATCGGAGTTATGCACAGATCAGGTTAGTGGTGGTGTTCTCACCTTCCCTTTTTGGTTGCCACGCGACAATCTGACAAGAAATCTGGGGCGACCTTGGAGTGTAGAATAGATGAGGCGTATGAGTATGAGTATGAGTATATTGGTGGGAATAGTAGTAGTAGTAGAGTAGAGTGTATGGTATACTGTTAGAGTATATACCATTTGCCATATGGTATATGAATATGCTATACTCTACTCCTCCAACGATCAAATCATTCTTAGTTCAACTACTGCAAAAGTGAAACAAGATCGACACGATCAGTTCGGTGCGATCAACCGTTTATGGAGCTGAGCGCGATGTGACAGGTAAGCAGGATCTGCACTAACCGTAGCCGAGGACGGGGACTTTCCGGGCTTCCAATCTGGGTTAGCTCGGTACAGCGGTACAGCAGTACACAGCAGGGTGGAAAGCATCCTCCATCGTATAGTATGATGTACTGTACTCCGTACTGTACGTACTGTCCATACTGTATCAGTATCGCGTGGCCCCCCACTGGTTAATCTCCGACTCTGGTACGAGTATACTCGTACTCCTCCTTTCTCATTAATCTCTAATTTAATTCTTTTTCTTTTTCTTTTTAATATCTTTTCTCTCAATTAAGCTTTGGAACCGACCGTCTCACTTGGTAAATTAAAATTACATCCACTTTCTCCCCCGTCGGCATCGGCCGGCGATCATCCACGCGAGATTTCCCACTTCCACTCCATCCATACATAACCCTCGTGTTTGCCCATCTTCTTCACCTTTTCTTCCCCAAGTCCACTCAATCACCACTCCTCACCCTCACACATCCTTATCCTCATCATGGATCTGGCCAATCTCCTCCACGCCGCTCCCAAGCGCGCCTGCCCCGAGGACTATGAATATCCTACTACATACAAGCGCTCCCCGCAACCACCTCTCTCGCCCCCAGTGGAGGACCAGCCCAAGTGCTCGCTGCCTTCGATCACTGCTCTCCTTGAAGGTGCTGATGGTCATTCTGCCAGTGAGTATATCAAACTCCATAGGAAACCATATCAGATCCACTTTATACTAACCCACCTCCCAGAACGTCAACGCCTGAGCCCACCCGCTCACCAGCGTGATGCCCGTTACGACACTATCCATCTCCCACCAACACCACCATTGCGCCCTGGTTCCGGCTCCGGTCACCACCACAGCCACAGCAGCTCTCCAGTCGAGGCCAAAGATGTCCACCGCGCCTCCATCTCCTCGACAAGCTCTCACTCCCACCACCACCATCACCACGGGCCCTACGCCTCACCCGCACCAAGCGTCTCATCATACACCTCCCCAGTTGATGGACCCATGTACTACCGCCCTCAAACAACCACAACCTTCGCGCCTAGCATCCCACCAACCCTCTCCCACCCTCAATCAGGCTCCCCGCCACACACCCAGCAGTCTCTGCCCCAACAACCTCAGTCTCAAACTGCTGGCCCTGCTACCGCCGCACCCCCCCACATCTTCTTCTCCATCTCTCATCTCCCCAGTCACTCCCGCCTGGCAACACCACCACTACTTCCCCCCTTCAACCGCAACACCTTACCAGCAAAACCACGACCGATATATCTGCCGCACTTGCCACAAGGCTTTCTCCCGCCCTTCTTCGCTGCGCATCCACTCCCACTCGCACACCGGTGAGAAGCCATTCCGCTGCACACACGCTGGCTGTGGGAAGGCGTTTTCCGTGCGCAGCAACATGAAGCGTCACGAGCGTGGTTGTCACTCTGGCCGTGCGGTGCCACCTCCTGCTACGGCTCTGGTTGCCTAAGTTGATACTCGAGAGTTGAGAACCTGGTGTTCTTTGATCTGATCTGTGCTTGATTTTTAAAGATTCCTGTTTTAGATAAACGGATTCTTGTTTTGTTGGGGGGTTGTTTCCTCTCTCTCCCTTTTTTACACTGCCTACATTTTCGGCGGAGAGAGAGTGATGGATACTTTACCCTTGAGATGGCGTTTTTTTTTTGAGTGGTTGGCTTGGCTTATTTGCCGTGATACCCTTTTGATATTTTTATGATTTTACTTTGTCTGGACTGGATGGATTTGGATTGGATTGGGTATAGATGGGATAATCCTTTCCTGGAATGGATGGATGGATCTCTTGATAAATTATCTTATGAGAAATGTATTATTTACTATGTCTGACACTTTCATTCCTTGATTTCATTCATTTTATTCCGTAATCTACTTCGTATGAGTGTTGGGAGCCGGCCTTCAGAGGGCTGGGCTAGGCTAGAATGTTTCGACTATTCTGCTCGTCATTGTCATTATCATCGTCATGGATTATTCTAACATAACTTCCTTATCTCTGCCCCCTGCCCCTCGTGTAGGAATATACTCCGTTCATACAGCTAAGTGGAGGGAGGACATTATCCTGATCGGAGTGGGGAGGAGGGGAGGGGGACTGCGGCATTTTCGGGGTTGGTGGGTTTCTGCGGGTTTCACTTGTGAGGGGTTGGTGAGTTAGGTTGGGGTACGAGTAGTAGAGTTGTGGCTGGCTCGGATTGAATTGAATTGAATTCGGGATTTGGGTTTATTGACTTGTTTTGAGTTGGATTTGGAGCGGGTTGTTCGAGTTCAAGTTTAACCTTGGAAGTTCTTGGCTGGTGGCGTGATGGTGGTGGTGGCGGCGGAGTTAGGGCATGGAAATGATATTGCGGTGGCGTTGAGGACTTGGACTTGGGCTCGGAGAATGTCAAGTCCGGGAAAGTACAGTAGTTTTTCAAAACCAGTATACCTTGACACGCGTATTCTGTACAGCTAACCTGGGTAGGCGATGTTGTTTCTCTATTTCGAAGAATTCTATCCCCGATCACGGCTTTCATTCGTTTTATCTCACTCTGGAGCCTGAAGCGTGGGGACAGAACTCGGACTCGCACCCCGGGGTAGTTTGGCAGACCCGAATGATATACGGGTATAGATACATGACGAAGGGGGGTAATGAAGGTGATGAGGGTGGATGGTAAATATATGAAGACAAAGAGGTTATCTCAAAAAAAGGCATGGCATCCTGTAGGCTCGCCACACAGGCCTCAACACTACACAACTTAAATGCAACAGTCTCGATGGCCTAATATGTGATCTGAAATCCACATTCACATTGGCATGTTTCCCGACACTTGTATACAAATTCGTCGGTGCCCGCGTATAGAATGCGGCGAGCGAATTGTCGCTCCTGGTGCACAGATGAGGCGCGATGTAGCATGTTAAAGTGCTCCTCTCGCTTCATTCCCTCGTAGAATGGGGCGTGGATGGAGCTGTACCCAGACTCCACGGCATAGGATCCTAGACCATTTACATCAGCCGAGCGGAGTTTTCTAACAGGATATTTGGAGCCTTCATTCATGAAGCACCCTTCGGCACAGCTCCCTGGACCTCGAAGGGAGGGCTGCTAATTGGACCACCCCTCTGCATCAATTTTCCTTACTACTTCCAGTTGGACCATTGCACCTTCCAACCTTTGATTGGTACTAGTTAGTAGTATGTATTTGCCATACAACCTTTGGTTGCACTCCGCCACATTCCTTGAACCCCAATGCTGAGCCACGTCGTCTCGATCTCATGTGTTCGCGTTAGCCAAAGTCTCCCTCTTCCACCATTACTACTACTACTACCACCACGACCACCTAGGTCTTTGCCCGCCTGGTACTAGTATAGGGCCCTACGATCTAACTGAAGCCTCGTCCTGAGTATGAGTATCATCCATATCGTCCTAATAGCTTATTATCTAACTCGCTGAGCGAGTCATAGCCAAGTTCAAGCTCAAGCTCAAGACCCCAAACCTTAGAAAACTAATTAGGAACAAGGGCCCGGGGGTGGTATGATAGCAACCTCGGAAAATAATAAAACAAGAGCTTTTACTACTGTGCTCATGATATTTGAAATGGACTTGTCTATCTATATCTATGTATGCCATCAACTTTATTGTACCCTGCGGGCGTATATGTAGTATTCAATTCCAAGTCATTCCCTCTATTAATCCTTTCCCGCTGCCAGGCAATCAAACAAAACCCAAACCCAAAAGTATTCCCAACATCTTCGCCCCATACCCATGCCCGTATCCATACCAATCATAAATTCCAAAAAAAGATCAAGTCATAATCATCAATCACCTCATTTCCATCATCCCACCACCCACTTACCCTCTCACTCATCAAGAACACCCCTCGCCAACGCCGCAAGACTAGTCTCGTACCTCGCCGGATTATGATCACTCAACATCCCCCCAGCAAACCTCAACTCCCCAAACCAAGCATCCACATCCCTAACAAACCTCATCTGCACCCTAGTAGCCGGCCTCCCAAGCCTAGGATACCCATCCAACCCGGGCACCGCACTCGAAAAGTCCGGCACAGGCGTAAACGCCTCCCGCTGCAGAACGCGCATAGTCTCAACAACAAAAACCTCACCGGGCGGCATGAGTTTCGGCGCACGCATCTCATCACGCAGCAAATTAAGCGTTCTCCAAGCCCAAGCGTCCTCGCCAACACCGTCACCGGCATTAATGACCAGCGGCGGCTGATTGACGTAGAATTTGTGAATGATGCTTTGGCGCAGTGATTCGTGGAGACGCTGGCGGATGTGAGATTTTGCTCCGCTGATGTCGGATTTGAATGATAGGGAGACTGTGTGCATGTCGTGGAGGATTCCTAGGGATAGACTTGGGACCACGTCGTGGCCGTTTACGATTGTGGTTATTAGGCCTCGTGTTGCGAGTCGGAGGAATGGGGACATTACGGCCGGTGGTCCGTAGGCGTAGACATGGATTGGTCGGCCGCTGGGTAGGGTGTAGGTTTGTGATGGTGGTGGTGTGGCGTGATGGCTTGTTTCGGTGTCGACTGTTAAGAGTCGTGGACGGGGGGTTGGCTCGTAGGATGATGTTACGAAGGAAGTTCCTGTTCCAGTCCTTTTCCCTGTTGTTGCTGTTGGGGCAAGATTTGGTTCGGAGATCATCGTTGCGAGGAGAGCTGCGACGCCTCCGCCCAAAGAGTGCCCACAGAGAACGACGCCGTAGTCTGTGAATTCTTCCAATGCGGCGCGGAGGGTGATCATGACTCGTCCGCCGCCGCCTTCGAGGAGTCGTTTTGCCGAAGCGTGCATGCCTTTGTGCACTTTCCAGTTCTTGCCTTGCCATTCCAGATCGTCATAGTCACAGGTCATATCAGTGAGAATATCTTCGAAGCCCCAGGTTCCGCGCAGTGTTAGGACGACTGCTTTTGAATCGTGATCGATGGAGAGATAGTGGACGAGCGGGAAGCCGCTTTCTGTTTCGCCGGCTGCATTAGAGCCACCGGCCGGATCGAAGAAGGAAGAGAGTAGGATTGTAGACGGTGGGAGGCCAGCGTAGTCTGAGAATGCACTGTGCTCGTGGCTATCCGATGCATTTTGGGGAATACCTTTGGAGCTGCCTCCTTTTGGTACGCCCATCACTTTTAAGGCATTGGATCCGTATGAGGCCGACGAGAAACGGCAGAAACGGCGGATATTCTGTACAAAGTGTCTCTCTGGAAAGATGCCTGGGACAAGGCCGTCGCGATTGAGCGCCTGGATGGTGTCTATATCTTCGTATGCGCTCTTCCGCGGTCGATGGGCTAGGATGAGGGAAGTTTCGGAGCCGGCTGTGGCCACAGAGTACATACTCGGCGTATACGATTTGGACCGACCATGTAGTGCCGAAGAACTGGGACGATGGCCATTGACCGAGGCGGGACCATCTGTTTCGGATCTAGCAACAGACATCGAGCTACTACTGCGGACATGGCGAGTTGTAGCTGGGGACCCTGGACGTAGTTCTCCGGCGCGGCGATGGGAAAAGGCATCAGTCTGGGTGAGCAAGCATTCTTGACTCTTTTCACGGACGGCAAAGTTCCCCGTTCTGGGGTTCTTTCGTTCATGAGCATCGCGAGGGACCGGTCTCGCTGGTGTCCGCGGTGACTGAGGTGAGCCAGGGTATGGTGATCGTGGCAAGCCGCGGTTCGGAACAGGAGTGCTTGGTCGGTTTGGTATCTCGCCCGTGCGTCTCTTTGGGTCTGCTCGGTTAGAAACCTCACGCGTTGTCGCTTCTTTCACTGAGGCCGTTCCTCGGACAGGCTTCGAAGGGGGCCGAATAGTAGGTACCCCCGATGGAGCTGGCGGCCTCGAGGCCGGTTTTTTAGGAGGTGGTCGTTTAGGACCCCTCGGACCTTTCTGTCATGCTTGGCTTGACACGCTGTGCGAATTTTGAAAAAGAGCCTCTGCCGAATGGCGGTTTTTGACTTTGTTCGCCGGACGGGTCGGGGCTGGACACCTGTCTTTTCACGGCAGGGTGCCCAACCTCGGGGTAGGATTGTGATCTTTGCGGATGAGGTTTGGCATTCCCTGGTGATGATGCATGGTCTGCTAAAGGACTTCGAGGTCGCTCCGCTGCGGGCGGGCTTGTCATATTTGGAACATCTTGAGGGCGTAGCTGCGTGCTGTGAGACTTGTTGAAAGCTGTTCGGAAGACAACCGTATGCCTTGGAAGCCTTTGATTATCAGGCTTTTTGGTCGCATCATAGTCTTGATCGTGGTGAAACCGCTCTTCGACCATGGTGGTGCCAGGGGGAGCGGCGATTTCTGCCATGTCGTCGTCGAAGATATCCACCGTGATCGTACGGGCCGTCAAGACTTCGGATTTGATTGAGGCATGGCAGCCATGTGGTAACTGACTCATGATATATGATTGAATGTCTTCGTCGGATATCTGGTGCTGATTATCCAAGGAGATTGACAGTCGGTGGCTAGCGAGGGAATCGCCAATGCTAGATCGACGACGCACCGCCCCGAAAGCCTCGTCATCATTTCCAGGCATGACGAACGATGCCCTTTCAGGCTCCGCGGGAAGTTCCTCACGATCCGTATCTGCGTTTCTAAACTGCAGTTGGTGGGTCCCGAGCACGTCCGCTCGGGCACCGTTGTCCAAGATGACGGTATCCCAGACGACTTCATCTCCACCATTTTCTCGAAGTACTCGCTCGGATTTCTTTTTTCCCCAGCGTTGTAAGAGTGCAAAGCCCACTGATCCGATAAATAGATCCCCGACACCAATCTTCTCGGCATTTGTATTGGCATTGGCGTCGACGGACCTGAACTCGCGGCGGATGAGAGTGATGATGGCGGCAATGGCTCGAGATGACTCGGTAGAACCTAGAATAGCATCTAATGTCGATAGGAGAGCCTGCGAGAAGTTCGCCACCGATGCGAGTGTTGTAGAGGAGAAGTGGAATGTGGCAGCGGCAAAGAACGAAGCCGAGGTCACTGTTGTATGCAATGTTGCTAACTAGATCTATATTAGTACAGAGATTTCGCAAGTCTATATTCACGGAGATCAATTTAGGACATACACTTCGCTCCAATAATGACTCCGCCTCCATTCTCCCGTGTTCATCCCCGCTGCGAATAGCCACATCACGCCCGGCGCGCGTAAGAATCCCCTCGATCACGGCGCGTCCCAGTTCGAGGCTAGTTAGAGTTGTTGCTCGCGCGCCATCGAGGGCTACACCTCCGAAAAAGGTCCCCACGCGTAACGAGAGCGAAGTAGACTGGGTCAATAAGGATACTAACGATGCGACTGGTCGTGGAAGTAGGGTTGTGCCCGAGGTAGCGGGGGGATTAGAGAGCGCGACTGCGTTTGTAGGTGGATCTGAATCCGTATCTTCGGTATTATGTGCAATAGTAAGCGGTGCCTTCATTATGAGCCATGAAAATAGATATGAGAATATAAAACTGCATCTATACAGTAAGATTGATTGATTGATGAGTAGTTCATGGGGGGGGGTTGTTGTAGTTGAGAATGAAGAAACCAGGATTGGCTAGACTTGACATGTGATAATCGGGAAAATGACAATGACGTAGAGGTACTTCTTCCTTCGCCGGTGTTGCCCCCAAATATCAAGTATTTCTACTTCTATCTATACTTAACCTACGAGTACACCCGTGTAGCCAGTCTAGAACACTGACTCACTTCCCCTACATCATTGCTTTGACATCGCCTGCGTGTTGTACCTTGCGGATCAACTGCCGGTTACACTCGCCAACCGTGCGGATCCCTGCCAATCCCATACTCTGCCAGAAATCTGCCAGCAGACCCTGGAGTACCTGGCGAGCTCCATTGCGACCGTCAATCCCAAAGCCATATATGACTGGGCGACCGACAAGTACAGCCTTTGCACCCAGGCACAGTGCTTTGACAACGTCCACCCCAGTGCGAACGCCTGAATCGAACAGCACGGTCATTTTGTGGCCGACCGCATCGACGATTTCCGGGAGAACATCCAGGGACCCGATGGCTCCATCGACTTGACGACCTGCGAGCGAATTAGTACGGTTCGGCTTATCTTGAGAAATATACCACGGTTCTAGACCATGAGGAGTGGAGACATACCGCCGTGATTAGACACTGCGATCCCATCAATTCCATATTCCAACGCCTTCTTCGCATCATCCACATGTTGAATACCCTTCAACACAATCGGCCCGTCCCAATGCTTCCGAACGAATGCCAGATCTTCCCACGAATGGGGGCTGCTAGAGAGAACCTGCCCAATCCAGGCCCGAGACGCGCCTAACACATCATCCTCAACTGTAGACCCAGTCTCCTTTTCAAACTTCTCCCGGAACACCGGATCGCTAAACCCAACTTGGCACCCAACCCCTTTGATAAAAGGTACGTAGGCATTGTCCAGGTCCGCCGGTCGCCACGCGAGCGACCACGTATCCAGCGTAATCACCAAGACCTCAAACCCACTCGCCTTGGCCCGGTTAAGCAACGATAATGTGACATCGTTGTCTTGTGGCCAGTACAGCTGATACCAACGTTTGCCATCCCCGTTGGCTGCAGCCACTTCTTCAATGGTACTGGTGGCTGCTGTGCTCATCGTGTAGGGAACGCCAACTTCTTCGCAGACGCTGGCGAGACCGGTTTCCCGATCTTCATGAAAAATCCCCTGGACCCCGATCGGTGCCATAATGAGCGGGTGGTCGTATTTCTTGCCAAAGAACTCAACCGAGACATCTTGGCCATCCATCTATATGCACATAAAGTTAGTTTATCTAGGACTTTATCTTATCATATAGATGGTACGAAGACCAACACTGCGCATCATCCGCGGGATCCTGCATTGCAATAGTTAGTGTCAATGAATAACGCTTCAAGTTGCAAGAGCATAATCAAACAGACAATTTCCACTGGCGAAATGCCAGCCGATTGCTATCCATCGTTGCCTTCTCGCCCGCGCCCCCGGCGACATAATTGAAAGCACGCACGCCCAATGTTCGCTTTGCTTGCTCTTCCAACTGCCGGGGGTCGGTGGTCACACTGGGCAGGATGCCTGCCAGGGCCCCCCTTGCCGTAAATTTCGGTCTGATAGCTTCCGTAGTTATCCGACATTGTTTCCCTTTTTCAAAAAATAGAAAGAATAAAATAGCTTCGCTCGCTGTCAGGAATCCTGCAGGGAAGATGATGCAAAACCGGGGAATAAGCGACCCCAGATCCGGATGGGGTGGAGTCGGTTACTCCATTGAAATGGACCTCGGCCGAAGAAAACGGGGCCTTCAGGCTAGTTAGTCGCCCTGTCAGGGGCGTTCGTTCGCAGGTGACAAGGCGGAAGTGACAGGCAGCCTATTTTTGTCTCAAAAAAGACTTTAAAATGTATAAATCAGAATTTCCTTCGATCTTACTTATTTTAACTCATATGATCATTATTTTCTGAAAAAAATATACATTCTCTCGGACGATTTACGGCTTCGGGAATGGTTCGTGGCAGGGGATGCGGGAATGTGCATTCCGCTGCGCGGCCGGAGATCGACAGAAGATCGCCTACGGGAAGTTCGAGGCTATCGATTGCCGCAATATTGAGTCTTTCAAGATATATGCAGCTATGCGCGTAGAAAAATTTCCGGTGGTTAGCTAAGCGTTACTATCTACGACATGGCCCATTATCTCTGGATTATTCTACTTCTAGGTCTTTTGCACGTAAAGGTATTCAAATGTAGACTCGATTTTTATGTAGATCAACGTGAAAAACAAAAGGAAGAACGAAAACGATATCGAAAATGAAATGGTTAGACAACTGATAAAATACTGTGCACATACATGTAATTCAGTTCAAATCCTCAATGTCAAAACGCATGCACAGAGGAAGCGGCCAGGTGACGACCCGGGCAATTCTTCGAGTACCCTGGGATACGCGCTAAGAACTAAGTAGGCAATAATCTTACCAAATGCAGTTCCAAGCAGGGCATCATACTCTGCCGTGCCATTTTCCCAAGCAATAGGGGGGAAATCCTTTGTTTCTGCATCGTCTGCCGGCCAGGTGAGATTGTTGTCCTCGGTGTATAGGCGCTCACTGATAAAGCGCCTTGTGTTAACATTCAGGATGCGAGTAACAAACACATGCTCTAAAGTCTGAAGGGAAAACTTATATTCGTATATAGCTTTAGTCACGTATGCATGGCGTGGAGTGGCTGACCAAGGTTCTCTGTATGCAACATCAATAACGATGATCCCCGGACCGGTACTGCCCTCCCAATTAAAGTCTTCGGTCATTGCACCGCATTGAAATTTCAGATACACAGAAGGTTTGGTATCCTTGTCGGATTCGGAAGCACTAGAAACATCAACATTAAATTGAGATCCCGCGTCGGAACCGAACTCATCAGGAAGCCCAAGTTCCTTCACCTGATCCTCAAGTAATCTGCTAATATTTTTGGCCTGAGGTTCGCCAAACCGATGGTGATTCTTTTTGAGATAATCATATGTCAACGTAGTAATCTGGACAGGACAACCTGCTTCATTAGCATCTTCCATCCAACCCCGAACGTTGGGCCCCGACATCTTGGAACTTGTTATACTTGAGATGCGCGAGAGCAGGATCATTGTCAAAAAGAGGGTCATGTGCTTTCATCCATTGCCGTAGTCTATTACCAGTATTGCCAGAGCCGAGGACCTCCTCGAAAGGGCGAGGGGGCGCCTCGAACGCGGCTTCAAGTATACCTAGATTCCGAGTCCGTGGACGAGGCCCTGGACGAGATCCTGAAGGGCCTGCTATCGGCTGAGTAGGTGTTGTAGTAGGTGCCGCCTTGGCAGCAGCTTGGGGCTGGGCAGCAGGAGATATCTGCAATGGAGTCTGTGGCTGTGGCTGCTGATTTGAGCCCGCGGCTGGGGCTGCTCCTGTTGCGGCTGGGGTAGATTGGGCAGGTGCTGGGACGCCCTGCTCTTCATCACTGGAGTTGTCGCCAATGCAGCCGCAAGTTGTTGAATTGCCTAGGCAGCGAAGACAGCTCATAAAAGCCTCACTTAGACGCCGAGACATGATGTCACTGAAAATGGTATATATTCTGGTTCTAGATAATCTGGCTGCTGGGTTTGGTGTGTGTTTCGATGAAAAATCTGGAAATATATAGTCTTTAAATAGTGTTGAATTATCTTGGAATTTAGCTGGAGAATACTGATTCAAACTTGAAGCTTGGGCGAATCCTTTCATCATATCGGAAAACAAATCCACGAGTAGATAATTCCAAGTCCATAAACGGGGTATATATTTTAAAGACAATAACTAGTATGTGAAACCTTGTGATGAGTTCGAGACTTAGCAGTTCAAACTACCATTCATTGTATTACGGAATCATTCAAGGATATTTCTTGACTAAAGAACAACACATCGGAAGCAGGTGAAGGAAATCATTGTTTATTCGAGAAAAATTATTTATTGAAAGTAACAAACAATGAACTAAAAAATAATGTTTAGTTTAATAGGTATTGCGGATTGAATAAGCTTTGCATCCAAGTTTGTGATTTGTTCAAGTCCGCCTTTGTTTGCGCTCGCTTTTTTCTCGTCAGAACAATCCTTCTGTCTGTTATGTTTATTTTTAGCCACTCATTACTTTAGAATCCCATTGTACTTAATCTCGAGTATAAGTTATAAAAAGGCGCAAGATTCCAAAATTGGAGATTGCATCCAAACACGCCCGGATTTCACAAGCTTGATACTGCTTATTGCAGTTCGAATAGAAAGCAACATGTCTCGACGCTTGAGTGAGATCGTCACCAGCGGCATACGTGCCCTCAGTATCTCGAGCTGTTGTGATGGCGAGTCAGATTCCTCTAGCGACGGTGGTGGCCCGGGAAGACAAGACCCAGCTAACCCGGCTTCGGCATCAACAGCAGCCTAGCCCGTCACCGTGGAATTGGCTACTAGACCTGCTGCTCAGCATAGATCCGCTCAGAATCAGTCCCAGACACAGGCTCCAGCTAACCATCCCAAGCCAACGGCAGCCAAGCCTGCCACTCAGCAGGGGGCTGGCGAAGGGGACGGTAGGCGCTCCGTGGGGTCTTCTAGACGAGCATCTTTTCAAACGGCAGTCTCTCAGTTGTCTGAATACGAATCTGCAGCCTCAAAAATAGAACAGGCCGAGACAAAACCGCAGGCGGGTAGCGCTGCGGTGCCAGGCTATAAATACGGTAAGCTCCAGAGGGATGGTGAGCAACGGCGGCGGTGGATTGAAGATCCCAATGATACAAGCTGCACTATCCAGAGCTCTCAACTAACCATGGATGACCTTCAGACCCAATATACACCAGGTGAGGCTAATTATGAAAATGTTCCTCCCACTCTTCGTGATCAGGTAGTTGAGCTAGGTCTTCCTGACGAATTCAATAACCGGCCTGAACAATCCGTCTACCGTAGTTGGTTCATTGATGAAGACGATATGAAATGGGATGGCGTCATGTGGGATATTATGATCGTTCTCGTAGATATCGAAAGGACACCGGACTCCAATGCACCTCAGATGTCTGAGATTACCCTGGCTTTGCTTAAGCACCTTTTTGATGTCGACTATCTCCGGTATATCTTTGTACATACCGTTATCAATCTGGAAACGCTGGGATTCATAGCTAGGATAATGGCCTATTCTGGGCAATCTCCCAATCAGATGTTTATTTGGACGATTCTGAGACCTGGGAGCATGGAACACCTAAGTATGATGCTTTGCTTGGCACTAGAATTGGGAAATTGATCTCTTATATTGTTCTTGGTGGCTTTGAGAGGGGCTCCTTTAGAATTGCTCGAGTTGTTACTTGGTCTTCGTGGCTTCTGGGTGCTCGTGCCAATATGCGGTTTGACATTGAGCCGGTTGATGGCTCAAGTTAAATAACCCCAGAATCGACTTGTTTAGTAATTGGAGTCAATGAAATCGATCGTGTATGTATTATGTTTTGAATTGAATAAAATAGCATAAACTTCAAACTTTGTCAACCCAATTTTTGTACAATTGTAACCAGTCACTATCTAGTAAAATGTTGTCTTGGATGTTTCATGCTGGATGATCATAACTTGGCAAAGCAAAACTACTTAAATATAATTATTGACGAGAATATAAATCCGAGACTCGAGCTACTAGGTACTGGTTACCACACTCGGTGAAGTATTGGAAGAATGCGACAGAGCAAATTTGAAGTACCCAAGAGCATAATTGAATACTAAATTTTAGATTGATAAACCTGATCAAATTCTTTGCTTTGTTCCGAGGGGTAAATATACATATTTCTTTTCCAGCGCGAGAGAACTGACTTGTGGAGTAGTTAGATGTCAAGGAGTTAGTACAATTTCAAGTTTGGGATAAGGGACAAAATGAACCTGAACTAAATTTAAAACTCCCAGCTTCTAGTAGCTGGCCTGGTAGATATTATAAACGTTATTTGCTGTCGAGTTTCTATATATAAGGTAGTATTCAAGATACGAGGTCTATAGAAATACATAGTTTGAGAAGAAAAATAAAAAATATTGGTCAATTAGTAGGGGAAAAAGGAGATACCATATGGGATTTTCTATGATATTTGATTCATGACAAATATTCTTTAAGACCTACACATTTCACTGCCCTGGACCATCCGAGCCGGAAGAACTCCCCCAACGAAGAGTCGCGGTAGAGTGTGAAGACGGGCTTCGTCCCATGTGGACTAGCTCTGGATCAGACTGCCGTGGGTGAGCTTCGTCGTGATGGGTCTCAGTGTGTGACTGGGCAGAAAGGTATTCTGACGTGGATGCTGTTGATGCAGATAAACGGGTTAGCGCTGGATTGGATGGGGGCGACTGACCTTGAACACGATCCCGGTTGGCATCATTCCAAGCGGAGATAGATCTCATATCATCGTCCCCTTGGCTGGATGATTGGAGATCTCTTTGCAACTCTAGAAGAGCAGATTCTGTGAGATGTTGTTGTGGTGCTTGAGATGTGGCCTGCGAACTTGAAGAGTCTTGCTGCCGTCTTGCCGCCATCGGCGAGTAAGCTGTATACTGTTGATGCACTGCTCCATTTGAAGTGGAAGGAGTAGTCGTTGCACGGCCATGATTTTCCGTGTTTGTGTTTTCTCCATTCATTCTATAGTAAGCACAGGTGGCCTGTGAGCATACAGGACAGTTTTCTGAAGATCGAGACATGATGTTGCTACTTTGAATGGCGCTTCTCGCTTATATAGAATACTATTATATGAAATTGTGCTTTGGAATAGTATCCGAGGCGTGGGATTGAAGGGATTTTATAGGTCATCCTCGAGTCCTTGGCAAATTAATAGAGCGAACAAAGGTTAGAGAAAACAAAGAGTGCGCAATATTTTTCAGTAGGATAAATTAAGACAATCCATTTCAAAGCTCATTCATACAAAGAGATTGTGGAGATTAATCTCAGTCGTTAGCACAGTGCTATCCGTTTATCGGCATGAAAGCTCGCATAACTTCCGTAACTAAGCTATTGACAATGCACACAAATAACCCATGAGAGTTCTAAGACCGAGGTTGATTCCGAGACCACGGTCATACTTTGAAGGTTTATCCACATACTATGCCATTTCCCTCCAATGCCAGGTAGAGGTTAAGACTTATGAAGGATTTCCGCATAGCGTAGAATAATGATAAATTCGCGGTCTCTCCTGGCCAGTGGTACGAATTCGGGCTTCAACCCACGCGCCATGTTGCTAATAAAATAGAAAACTACACCCACTTGACTTATAATTTAAGCAAGTCCAAGGTTTGTAAGTTTGTAAGGGAATTATGTGGCTTATTAATATAGTATTGATGAATGATAACTGTGATGGATAACAAGATTCAATAAGACTCTCAAAGGCCAGTCGTATCTAGCGCCCATTCAAGAAAGGGTGTCCATTCAGAATCTAGTTTTTCTTTAATCGCCACAAGCACGCGCTCTCCCCAAAATGAGATCCACCAGAGCCATCTGAAATGGTGAAGAGCAACACAGTAATGCCCGAATATGACTAATGCAAAGGGGTGGCGTTGCAGCAGAAAATGATGAAATCGAGTCGGCAGTTCAGAAATGGACATGAAAACCCCGGCAAGCGGCTCCAATCCGCTGTCTATACAAGCAAAGGCATCTCCAAGTTGACTGATGGTTTGGTGGAACACTTGATGATCTGCTGGATCCAGCATGTGGATGGCGTTGAGCTCGTACAGCCTAGATATTGCAGAGTATGAAGGCCCCGTCAAAACTGACTTTGTTTGCTTAACATGTGTCAACCGACTTAGTTCATCGGATTTAACCCCTGTCAGTATTGGGGCTGAGAAGTTCATCGTTGATCTTATGAACGTAATAACCTGAATCAATTCTTCTAGTGGCTCAAGTAGCCTTTGAGCCGATCCAGCAACGGCGAGCGGAAAGGCAAAAGCGAAGCCCATGAGAAGACTCGAGAGAAGAGAATCTCTGATGTGCTTGGGCCGAGTATTTTTCTCCACGGTACGAGTGAATAAATTGATCGCTTCACTTTGGTGGTACTCAGCAATACCAATCCATTTTTCGCGTTGATCATCTTGCAGTGAATTAATAAGTGCAAGATGAATCGCTGTAAGCGCCAAAACCCCGTGCAATAAATATGGGCTAGACAACGCCTCGCGGGGCAGCAGAGTCTGCCATATTTGGCGATCCGTATCGTTTCTAGATATACTGAGGGCAGTCACGTTTACCCAGTGCCGAAGGAGCATATCTTGTGAGGTATCCAGGCCTCGGGAGGGGATAGTGAGAGATATGACACCAGAGGGTGTTTCACTTTCTTGGTCACCTCTACTTGACGTGCTTTCGTTGAATATCGCCTCTTGATACTCTGTGGAAGCATGCCCGGCAACAGCAGCATTCGTCCATAGCCAAGGGCCGGAAGAACTATATTCGCAGACATCTAGGCGGCTCTCACATTTCGCACAATTGGGTCGCTGTTCATCGCACTGCATTCGGCGTTAGTGAATCCGACCGCAAGGCCATCGATTCTGAAGAACTCGGTCATACCTTTACCCCGCGTCGTTTGCATTGTCGACAACCAAGCCGTGAGTTCCTCGGGGCTCTGCGACGAGGAGGCATATGCGTCAACAATGCCCCGGGTAATCATGCATGGGATAGCTTTAAAGGTACGACTTCGGTGAAGGATGAAAAGAATGAAGTTAAGAATTGGTTTTACGAGCGGTGGCCCGCACAATCGACATCAGATCGGATCCATACCAACGCAAGACGTGATAAAATATACCGCTAGTCCGAAACGAGGCAGATATGAAATTTTGATTCATTCCTGGTATTTTTCATACTGCCTCCCAAGGCCGGGCACCAGGGAATTGTGCAACTCGCCTTGGCTGACCTTGAACTAAAATATCCACGGAAGGAAAGAAAATGAAATAAAACTCCAACAAAAGAGAGAGTCAAATACAAAAACCAGACCACAATCCTGGAAAAGTGATCCGATGCTTCGTTGTATCGAGCATGGTACAAATCCGACAACTCTCAGCTACCGTCTATACCATATTCGTGTAGTCTGAGTTCTCCGTATCTTCTTTTGAATGAGTAGAAGCCCGTAGATTAAGGCTTCCGAGGTTGGTGGACCTTCATCGAAATACAAAATTAGTTCTGCGGCTTTGGCCGTGCATTAAGTTGGAGGTTACAAAACTCACAGCCTGGCACGTATACATCCACCGGTACTATCCGATCGCAACCTCTAACGACAGAATAGCTATAGTGGTAATAGCCGCCACCATTTGCACAACTTCCCATGCTTATAACATAACGGGGGTCGGGCATTTGGTCATAAACCTGCCGCAGCGCAGGCGCCATTTTATTTGTCAACGTGCCGGCCACAATCATCACATCAGATTGTCTTGGTGAAGCTCTGAACAAAAGACCCAAGCGGTCGCCATCGTAACGCGGACCAGCCATGTGCATCATCTCCACGGCACAGCATGCAAGGCCAAATGTCATCGGATATAAAGAACTCTGTCGGGCCCAGTTGATGAGTTTATCGAGAGTTGTTCTAGATAGCAAGTACTAGTTAGCCCCCGTAAGAAAATATTGTTTCGGAAGCACAAACAAAGTGTATTCTGTCGGACTAGAAGGGCTGGTCTCGTGAGACAAAGCGACCTCCTTTTTAGTTTTACCGCTAATAGTCAGGGAATGTGTTGATCGTCTGAGATGCGTAGGCATTTTTTTGGCCACTGCGGGTTCGCGTGAAAACCATAGTTGGTCTGTTTTGAAACAGTCATCAGGAATCATTCGAGTTCTCAGTTTAGCCGGTGCCAACGTACAATTTTGGGCAGTGAATATCGTTGCTCTGGAATGAGCGGCAAGAAATGACGGCGGTGGCATCCAGAGAAAGAATACTATTTGACTAACATAAAATCTTGAGACTGGTTAGAAAAATAGAATGGAGATTCTCAAAAAGGACATACTGGAAAGCGTGGAAGTTAAAGAAAACGAGAATGTAATGTACTTCAAGTGACAATGCACAATTGAAGAGAGGTGCCGAACTCAATATGAACAGGAAGCTTAGGCAAGGCGTGCTGGTCTCGAAAGCAAATCTGGATTCTTGAAAGATTATTGAAGGAAGATAATAAACAAATCCTTGGGAAAAAAGGATTTACCATCCCCTGATATTGCTTTTCGATGGCAGTGCTACTAGTAGACCCAGAGCATGGTCTCTTTTTGGTATATCTTACGAATACCACGCTAATACAACATTTCGGATCTCTTTTGGGGTAAATCTTACGAAATATACCACTAGTAACCTTACTAGTGGTTATTCCATTGGAATGGAATAACCCGATATACGGTGTCATCGTTCAATTTTTTTTTCTAATTCCAAGCCACAGGTTACATTCTCATGAGAAGTGCGGTTAGGAATACCTGTAAGACTCGGGGTTTCTAGCCTCAACTTTTTTTTTCCTAGAATTAAGAAAGCGTTGCTCCCGTAATGCCCAACTGGCCTCGTCTGATGGCCTCTACGATGTTGGTGAGGCTAGGACATCTAGCTGTGTCCATGCAGGGTTTCTATAAAACCCAATTATTTAGTGATACTAGTAGATTCTCCCCAAATAGACACTCTATAATGCTGGTCAAAGTTTTATGATGAAAATTTCTTACTATTTCTTACACAAAACACAGCATTTAATTAACCATTGGGAGTTTCATTATTCATAAAAGAGGCCACTAAATGTAACGCAAAACTAAGAGAGGTCTCCAAACTCATGAGATCGGCTGGATATCAAAGCGGAGACAAGGTTGTCCTCTTTTATCAGCCCATACGGCGATCCTCTCAATCTGCCGAGTACCTCGCGGAAATGCACCTAGCATAAAGTAAGCAACTACTCTGCCAAGCTTAGATCCTAGTATAGCTTCATACGCTTGAGTAGAAGAGTCCCATAACTGTGGCTGATGTACTGGCCATGTCACCCCTCCCATTGGATATAGTACCTTAGTGATATAGAAGCTGGTATCAAGCGAATCAAGTATACTTGTACAGTTGACAATGTTAGTCAAGAAAATGTATCTGAGATCTTGAAGAGAGAAATCCCTCTCATAAATCGCCTGGGTTATTTGCGAAATCTTCGGTTCAAAGAGATCAAAATTAGAGGCTCTGCGCATATTGTGAATACAAATCATTCCTGGTCCGGTGCAACCAACCCAATCAAGTACCGCGCAGCGGATATCAAAATGACGATACTGAGATATCTCATTAGCCCTACGGCCAAGCCCATAAGGAAGCCCAATGTCGCTTGCCTGCTTTAAAAATTCATGTCCGAAATGCACCTCATAAGGGTCCAGTCGTCCCTCATTGGGCTCCAGTCGTCCACCAATACCAGGATACTTTTCAAACTGGCTCAGAGTTAGAGTACTTCTCTCAATATGGCATTTCGGCAAATCTGGATCATGCATCCATGATCGTAGCAGTGCTCCCATTTGCAGTATTTCGGTGTGGGGAGGAGCGTAATATCTACGTTGAGGGCCGGACATTCTGAAAATTCAGGAGTATAATCAGCTTAAATTTCTCCTCCGAATACGGAGTGTTGGTGATCGGAAATTTGTTGCAAGATCTCGAAATGATTGAAGCCGTGCCAGACTTTTGCTTAGTTGCTAAAAATTCTTTCTATGGTGCTCGATTGCTGGCTTGGATAATAATATGCTTGACGGAATGATTATTTTGATTTTCTACCTAGTAAACGGCAGTTTATATACCTCTCAAGAGTGCGTGGTAATTATCAAATCGGAATAAAGAGTCTTTGGTAATTTTCAAGACACAGCTCAGATTGAGAATAGACAAAGATGCAAAGAAAACAAAGATCATGAATATTTGGAACGAGAAGGTTTAAGCGTAGACGGAAACAAAGAAACGCAGACGAGTATTGGAAGCAGGTTTCCGATCGAGAGCTCAAATGGGTTCAGGGAGTTCAGTGTCCTAGCAAACCGGTACAAATTTTATGAGAAGGTAATTAGCATCTCGGGTCACACAATCTTGGATGTCTTTATTCAGAGTACATGATAAAAAGGTGAACCCCATGTATATGCATAAATTATTATGAATTATTTTTGAAGAGTCACCTGGGCACCAGGAAAATTTGTACCAATAGCCGAAAGGAATTGAGAGAGTATTCGTGCCTTGGCAGCTAAGAAAGTTTATTTATTATGACTACAGATCTGCCAGTCACTTTAAAAGCCTAGTAATACTTCTGTATGATCCAACTTGCCAGGAAAACAACATTTACACTATCTGGAAATTATCACTCGATTACTAAAATATGATTAGGAATTAAGTGCTGGGCTTTTTATCAGAAAACCTTGGAACCTCTTGGCGCGGCCATAAAGCCGAGTTCGGTTGTACATTTCGGCTCTGAACAAACAAAACGCTCCACTCTATCCTGGTTGACTGCTGTGATTTGAAATTGAACCTCAAGATATCGGTCTATCTCCGCAAAATGCAATGTTTGTGGAGTGGACAGTGGGGTACATATCCCCGCATTGGGGACGGTGTAATAATTTCTCGCCGTTATAAGACGAGGCTGGACGACCCGAGTTGTTTTCCAAACCCCTAGAAATCCTTTTCATAAATAAGCCATCATGGCTAAAGGTGCATCGCTTCACTTGCTGCAAACAATTTTTGCTACTTTTCCATGCTTTTTTCTATTTGGTTACAATCAAGTTGTGGTAGGAGGACTCATTTCCTTCGAAAGCTGGACCGAGTTTTTCCCTCAGCTTGATACTGCGCACGCCACCGGGTCTTTGAAATCCCACCGTTCAGTCATTCAAGGGATTTATGTTTCTTCATTTACCCTTGGAGCCTTCTTTGGGTCCTTGTGCTGCTTTGTCGTCGGAGATCTGCTAGGGCGCCGGAAGACCATATTCCTCGGAGGTGCTTTGACATTCATTGGCGAAGCTATCTCATGCACATCTTTCCAAATATCGCAGCTCTTTGTGGGAAGAATTTTAACAGGATTCGGAGTTGGAATTCTTGCCACAATTGTTCCTGTGTGGCAGTCTGAGTCTTCTGAAGCTACAAACCGTGGCAGACATGTGGTGATCGATGGGATATTTATCACTAGCGGTTATGTGGCAAGCTACTGGCTCAACTTCGGCTTTTCGCATGTTCAAAATCACGCAGTGTCATGGCGAGTACCACTTGCCATTCCCACAATTGCATCTGTGGTCCTGTGTGTGTCCATCTTCTTCTTCCCCGAATCGCCTCGCTGGCTTGTCCGCGCTGGGGAAGTTGAACAGGCCTCTCTCGAGCTTTCTCGGATCAAAAATAAGGATAGAGATTCCGATGAGATCATACGTGAGATAGCATCCATCGAGCTGTCCCTTGAGGAAACGGCTCGCAATGCCGCGTCACTTAAGGATATCTTCACCACCAAGAACGGCAAACTCTTCTATCGCTTTATGTTGTGCATGGGCCTACAGTTCTGGATTCAGATGACAGGGGCGCAAGTCATCAGTACATATACAACCACTATATTCCAGAATAATCTGAATCTGTCAGATGGGATTACGCGTATCCTAGCGGCATGCGCTCTCACGTGGAAATGTCTCGCTTCCTTCATCGCCTTCTTCACTATTGACCGTTTCGGTCGGCGAAAGCTTTTCCTCTTTTGTGGAGTTGGAATCACGACATGTATGATGTGCATGGCAATTACATCCAGCTTTGGCAGCAGAAATCGTGGGGCTGCAATAGGAAGTACATTCTTTGTGTTCCTTTACAACTTCTTTTTCCCCATCGGCTTCCTTGGTCCAAGCTTTCTTTATGGTACGGAGATTGCCCCAGTTAGATTGCGAGTCGCTATGACATCCGTTTCGATTGCAAATCATTGGCTATGGTAAGCTTCATGATACCTATTCTAATACTTCATCTAACATTCGGTAGGAACTTCGTTGTTCAGATGGTCACGCCTATCGCTTTGGCGAGTATCGGCTACCGCTACTACATTATCTACACCATCACTGGACTTACTTATGTTGTAGCGGTGTATTTCTTCTATCCAGAAACAATGGGCCAGAGCCTCGAACAACTTGAGGACTTATTCCAGCAGGATATTTCCGTCTCGGAGACTGTTCATTTTGCCAGTAAATTGGCCAATCTTCCGAAGGATGAAGAGAACCGAGAAGAACCGTTGAAGGTCCAGCTTGAACAGATTGAGCATAGTGAGGCTAGCCCAAAGGCGGCTGTGCCATGAACCCCATTTCTAGGATAGAAAAAAACTGCAATTTCTGTATTCTTCAATAGAAATAGAATTTTTGTTTCCTCGCCTTGGGTGTTTTATAATGAAACATGGGGAGTTCTAGAGACTTAGTCTATCTCATCTAATCATGACCGAAATTTAATAAAAAAAGAAAATAAGGAGGATCCAAAGATAGAAATATACAGCCTCACTTCAAGTGCTGTAGCGGAACCGGGGATTCCGGTCGCCGAGTTCTTGGATATCTGCCTCCGACATTGAGGCAATCTTTTCATCCTCGAGGCCTTGTGCCCGTCGCTTGTTTATGACACGAAGGCAAAACCACATAACACCGTACACAATGCCAGCGAAGCCTACCAAGCCAAGCGTGACAGCATTTCCTCGAACATATCGAGGTGCTTCCGAAGTTTTGTACAAAAAGGGAGACATGACACCACTGATATTGCCGAACGTGAGTTGCAGACCTGTGGCAAAAGTGCGCTTTCCATATCGAGGCAAATTCGTAGGGAGCCAGGCAAGTGGTAGGCCGACAGCAACGTAAAGGCCCAGGGCAACCATCAGTGCACCAAAATAATGAACCCCAGACGAAGAGTCCGAGATCAGGATACCATACCCGACCACAGAAATTGCACTGAATAGACAGACGAATAATGCACGATGCTGAGTTCGATCACTGATCCAAGCGGTGATCAGATAAGCGATTGCACCCACTGCGTAACAAGGATGGTCAAAGCCTGCACTTGAGGAACCGACCAATCCCCCATTCCCTCGATAATACTCGGCAAAAATGTGCTGTACCCGTAAAGCATTGTATCAACACCGAACTGACCAATACAGAATGCATAGATTTTCCAGTCGAGAGCACCTTCTTTGACATCTGCCCAGTGGAACTTTTGTGCAGATTCAGTCTGTCCGATGTACCGACTCCGACGGCGTGCGACGAGTGCGCGTTCTTCTTCGTTCAGATACCAAGCGGTATCGGGGTCATCCGCCAGGAAGAACCAAGTTGCGACACCCAATATGACAGTTGGAATTCCTTCGATTATCATGATCCATCGCCAACCACGCAGTCCACTGATGCCATCCATGAATCCGATTCCATAAGCGAGAAGTCCACCGCAGGCCCCGGCAATCGCAGCGCTGCTGAAAAGATACGCTGTTCTCACAGCAAGTTCGCGCTTGCTGTAGAAAAGGGTGAGATAGGTAATGAAACCCGGAAAGAGGCCTGCCTCGACAACGCCAAGCAGGACCCGGCAGGCAATGAGGCCGCTGTAGTTTTGGACGATTCCAGTGAGAGTTGCAATGATACCCCAGATAACGGATATGGCAGCGATATACCGTGATGGCCTCAATTTCTTAAGGACGAGATTCGAAGGAACCTCAAAGAACTGGAAGTAGCATTAGCAAACGGCGTCAAGTGGGAGAAGGGGATAGTTAGTGCATACGCAGTAAGTAACAAAGAGGATCGAAACCGCGATTTGATACTGATCTCCAACCAAGCCAAGGTCCTCTTCCAGGCCATACAAACGAGCATTTCCGATATTCACTAGAAATCTTTGTCAGCATCATGGCTCCGGGCGATAGTCGCAAACAAAATGGTGAGTCAGACTCGGAATGGCACCACTCACCTCGATCGAGAAAGCTAAACAAATATAACAGCACGACAACAGGCAGGATATTCATATCGATCTTCCTAACAAGCGTGCGCTCCATCTTCTCCTCTAAAATCGTCGGTACCTCACTGGACTCATCGTCGTCGCGAGTAACGGGGGGACCCACGTCGCGGTCCCCCTTGATCTCGAGCTGCCCCTCCATGTCCAAATCAGACAATTGAACGCGATGTGCGCGATAACACGGTTAAATTCACTCCGAAATATTTGGGTTACGGCCGAGGCTGCATGTCGCTATTATGACAAGCAAAGGATAGGGTTTTCCGGGGAGGGTCTGGGGAAGAAAGCCGTGGAAAAATTGAGTTGATTTCAAGGTTGCCGAGTGCCAAGGGATCGCAAGGGGAGAATGCGGGATCGGAGCGAGATTTTCGTAATTTAACCGCATTAATTGCCGGCTGACGTTGTAAGGTTTTGCTATTAGCAGATGTATATGCTCTTTAAATCTATGTTGTAAGAGATATGTTTCCTTATAACTAAAATACAAATAAAATTATGTATGCTTGAGAATTTGCTTCTATGAAACTTCATTTTGTAGTAGTATTTCGCGATCTTCAGGGTCTGCTTACGAATCCGCGGCGGCACTGCAGATCATCTCTAATCCTGCCGACACGAGAGTTCGCATTGATCTGCTTTACATTTTCCCGCCTGTTTATAAATTATTTCCTGAATATCGCAGCGCAACTACTCCTTTCTATGAAGACTATTAAGGTTTTCATTTTGTGGAGGCAGAAGCGTAATGCTATAGCCCTGCATATTCTAACGAGCTGTTATCGCATCTCGAACTTTCCTGTACTGCCTTTGTTTCTCAATCGCATAATCTACCACGTCAACCATATTTTCTAGTCCTGACTTTGGTCTATTTTGATCTGCTTTGTTCATCTCCTAGAGACATAGTCCTTTGTTTTGTGAAGAGCCTCAAAAAGCCCAAAGAATTCCATTGTTCTATTATCTATCAACATGCTTAAACCTTTTTATCACAGATCCCCTCAAGTCTATAAAATGACTCTCGAATACCAGTATTTATCATGATATACCACCAATTCAGCCCTTCAGCAAGCTATTCATTCAGATATAGACAAGATGATGCGCCGTTTGAGCACTTGTATTTTTGGCTGCTGTGCCGCGGGCTCGGATTCCTCAAACGATGGGGACCACGCAAGTCACCATCATTCACAGATAAGTTCCACCGGTGCTTTGTATGTTTCTAGTGAGATTCAAGACTCTGTTGGTAGTCAAATATCTGACGATAGTGAGAATAGTGACGACCCTAATGTACTGCGTCTTCGATACGCCAGATTTAAAGAGCATGGGTCACAGCGGCGGCGATGGATGCAAGATCCCAATGAACCGGGTTGTTTCGTCGCCCAAGTAACTATAGACTGGGAAACTCTATCGGGCACATACGATCTAAATTGGCTCGGCCTGCCGATCAGACACGTAAAGTCCCACCAGATAATGGACCATCAGGTTTTAGGTCTCGATACCAACCTCGATTATTTAGAGGGTTCCTGGGGCTGTGATGAGTTTTCCTGGTGGGGATACACCGCACCGGGTGTCATCATGATGATGGGAGCCAGGAGAGATATAGAGTCAACGACTCCTCAAATTTCGGAAGTTAACCATGCCATCTATACTAAAGATCACCCCATCGACACTCTAAAACAAGTATATGTGTGCCTAGTTGAGAACAGGGAGACGTTACCCTTTATTCGAAAGCATGTGTATACAGAAGCTAACAACCTCACCTGGCCAACTAGTGGTGAGCAAACTTGGGACTTTGCTACCAATCCGGATATATTTGATATGATTCTGGGAACTCGCATTGGTAAAGTGGTTTCTTACATAGTACTGGGTTCGTTCCCTCGAGGTACTCGGCACATCGCACGAATTGTCACTATACCCTCTTTTGCGGAAACCGTTCATATCCGGTTTGATATTGAGCCGATTCAGTAGTTCCAGAAAAACGGTGTTGTACTTTTCCCCTTCTTTGGGTTCTATCCCTATGTTTACTTTGGCCTAGTTTTAGTTTTCAATAACAAGTACTTTCAACCTGGCAAGAAATGGCGGCAAATTAATATAATTCGTAACGTAAGCGTTTTTGACTATCATGTAATCTGAAGAGTGGCCTTTGCATGTTCACATGTTCATTAAATAGGTTCTTTAAGTATTCATTAATAATTTCCTTCGTATCTATACATCGTCCTGGTGTGGCGGGTGGCACTTCCCCCCCCATTCATCCCTGGCTTGGCATGAGCGGATGATCGCCCAACCTCGCATGACTCGCCTCTCTCCACAACACCGCAACCTCCATGGCTGAGTACGCGGCCTGCTGCACAGCCAGGACCAAGCAATGCTATTTACACGCTCGCTTGTGAAGCTTTCAATTCTCCTTCTTGTGCTCGTCAGCGCCATTACATTTTACAATCATGAATCGAGATCCTTGCCAATAATACAGCAATTCACTCCGCCCGGGAGAGACCGCGATCTTCCATCTCCCCATGTTGGCAGTTGGAAAACCTGGTTTCACCCTCTCCAAGTTTCTGTAGAAGGCGGGCCCAGGACGCATCGCAAGGGTGGAACTTGCTGCAGCACCTTGGTGGCAATGGGCCTTGGATCGAGAAGATCGATGATCGCGAGGAGTCGTCTAATCTCGCACCTCCGGAAGGGTGTTCGATTGAGCAAGTGCATTTGGTATGCATGAATACTCGTTCTTCCTCGTGGTGATGCTCCGCGACTCTGATGGAGAAACTAATGGATGGGTTTAGATGTCGCGTCATGGAGAAAGATACCCCACAAACTCCGCAGGAAATCGTATGTTGATCTTCCTCTTTCATCGTTTCCACAATTAACAAATTCCGTCCAGGCCATCTTGAATTACTCGACCGTTTCAAAGCACTCCAAGTCCCTCTGAATGGTCCCCTGGCGTTTCTCAACAATTGGACCTACTTCACCGACATCCCGTCTCGAGATTTTGGTCAACTAACCAGCACCGGCCCATACGCGGGTACCTTGAACGCATTCACAACGGGAGCTCGCTTCCGAACACGATATAGTCGACTAATCCCCGATAACGCGACAACACGGCTATGGGCCAGCGACTCCCAGCGCGTCATAGATACGGCTTATCATTTCACCACCGGTCTGTTCGGACTTCACTGGGAACTGAACGGTCGTGCAAAATTAGAAGTCATCCCCGAGACATTCGAGCGCGGTGCCGACACGCTGACCCCAGGTGATACCTGCCAAAAGTATATCGAGGATCTAAAGTATGGGCACGACTATGGAGCGAACATGCTTGCGCAGTTCCAGGATATTTATATCCCGCCTATAACGAAGCGACTGCTCGAGGATCACCCTGCTCTTGGGGAAATTGGAAATACAGAAGTGTACAGCATGCAGGAGATGTGTGGATTTGAAACTATGATTCGCGGGTCGAGTCCGTGGTGCGATGTTTTTACGGAGGACGATTGGCTGAACTTTGAGTATTCTCGGGACCTTGTTCACTATTATCGAGCTGGGCCAGGGAACTCCTATGCAGGTGCAATGGGGTGGCTGTGGCTGAATGCTACGACTTCTCTGCTTCAGGTCGGCCCGGCCGCTGGGACTTTATTCTTGAGCTTGTGAGTGTCGCCCCTTTTTCACAAGCCCGAAACAGAAACACAATTAGGCGACTGACGACTTTGCGTAGTGTTCATGATGGAGATATGGCCCCGTTACTCGCAGCGTTGGGCATCTTGTCGAACCTGAGTGAAACGAATCTCCCCCACAACGTATGCCCTGACCGACCGACTATGGAAAACGTCCTCAGTTCTTCCCATGGGCGCACGAATCACCTTCGAACGACTAGGCTGCTCGTCTGTGGAAAACGAGACGTATATTCGGATCAATATCAACGATCGCATCGTACCCTTGCCTTCCTGCCGATCGGGGCCCGGGGGTTCCTGCGCGTTACCGAATTTCGTAGAATATGTGCAACGCCGCGGGGCGGCATTCGGTGATTTCGGCGAGGTGTGTGGATTAAAGGGACATGCTGAGCGAATTACGTTCTTGCGACAAGACTAGAATGTTTCGGGCTAGGGTTAGTGTTGGTGGTTGGCGCTTGACAGGCCCGATCGATGACAGCTTCGCCAAGATAGATCCAGATGAGAAGATGGAATGAAAGATACCCTAGGAGCCCACCACAACAAGTCATGGGAGAGATAAAATCACGGTCGCAGTTGATCTATCTGAAACGAGGCAATTCTGATGGATCCAAATGCAAAGTGTTTCAGCCACGAAGACTCCATGCCGATTGACTTCATTATTAGCTCATCAAAACAAAGTTGTCAAACAAATAGAACGAACACCTTGCAGATCGATTGGACATCCCTAGAGTTCCCTTTTCTCCATACCTCATATCTCCCCAGATTCTTTCATCCAGTTCTTTACCAGCATAACATAACATAACAACCGCCTTCAAATTCCAACTTCCGTTACATCATTACCACCATGGGTAAAGCCGAGGAAGTAAGTTCAACCTGATCGGTAGATATCACTGCTATCATCAGTGCTAACGAGTCCTCCAGGTCAAAGCGCTCCAAGAACAGTTGCAGCAACTTCAACAAGAGTAAGGTGTTGCGATTTTATTTTATTCTCTTCGTCAGTCTCTTACAACCCGATGTTCACCCAGGATCCGCGATGCCGAGATGAAGGCCGAGGTGGTGGAGGGACAACTACAGACCTCCAAGACCGAGCGACAGAAGCTGGAAGGCAAGGATGAGAAATTGAACCACGTTCAAGTTTCAGCTCATCATACGGAGTCTACGCCAAAGTTAGGCGCTGAATGGGCGAATGCTCAGCTTGAGAATTTCTGAGCTGGGCCTCCTCGGTTGCATCATGCCAGTGTTTATATGGTTGATTTGTACTCTATTTGTATGTTAGTAGATGAGTGTTCCGCGGCATTCCGGTGAAGTGCCGGTGCCACTGGCAACGAAATAATACTATATTTCGAAGCTTCATTATGGATGTGCTGTGTAGTAGTTCAAGTTGTACTTCAGTGACCGATATCCTGGATATATACTTCGCGGATAATTGGAATATTAGAAATCTACCAACAGTCTTATAATTAATCAGGTCCAAACTGCCCAGGTGAAATTGAAACTCAAAACTTGAAATCCATAAATCCAAGTTCTCACGTACCTAGGTATACTCTACTATTGCTGTTCAATAGTGGGATTGTCCTTCGATATCCATCACGTGACCCGTTGCTCCCCGTTGGTGTTTACCAAAAAAGTTCCCGCGCCGATTTTGATACTCGCCCGACTGGTGCTATTCATTCCAGATCCTCCATCTTTCTCATCTCTCCTTCCTCCCATTTTGAAGTTCCAATTTAATACTGCCCTGTCCCACCCTACCTGCTCTGCCCACCCACCATGGAGTACCACGCTGTGCCGCCCGAGGAGCGCGCACGAGATGAGAACGGCAACCTACTACCCTGGGGTTATGTCTATAAAGAGTGAGCTCTCCTTTCCATCTCTATTGCTACATTGAGCTCCCAAAGACTAACCTCCAGCTCGCAGTGAAACTCGTAACCCCCGCCGACCAGTGGAAGAACATGGACCCTTTGGCAAGAGGAGGAACGCTCGCTGGGACAACGCCCGATCTCGAACCCGCACCGGCACCCCAGCCAAACGCGAGAACCCCAACGTCGCAGAATTTGGCCAGCTATTTGCCAAGCAGCAAGAGGACGAAAAGGTCCAGGGTATCCCCAAGTCAACATCCTCCTCCAGTCTCGACAACCCCCGCAAACAAACCGAAAAGGTCGCGACCGAGTGTATCCTGCGCGGCTACAAGGCCAAGGACAGCGAGTGGAAGGTCATCGACAAATACGAGCGCATCTCGCAAGGCATGATCTGTGAAGATTACCCACGCAGCGACCCCAACTCCGCCGTCCAGTACGGCCAGCTCTTCTCCGGCGACGTCGTTATCCGCGCCAACCTCTCCGCAGACGCCAATCGCAAATCCAAGCGCTACGATGGCGGTTACCACTGGATCAAGGTGACATTTGACTCGACAGGGGCAGCCGATCGCGCATGCTTCTACTCCCCGCAGGAAATCGACGGCCACCTCGTCTTCTGCGAGCTATACCACGGCCACGGCCCGGCGGAGGATATCCCCGTCCCCAAGGACTCGATGGATACTTCCAGCTCGAACCAGTTACGAAGCCGTGGACCCCGAACCCTGACAACAGCACACTCGACCGCGTTCCTGAGCAGCAATGATATCGGCCGCGGACCCTCAACTCTCCCTCGATCCTTCGCTATGAACAATCTCGCCGGCACGGTCAACGACAGCCCCGAAGAAGAAGAGCTATCCCTCAACGAATCAACGACAACCGCCACGTCCGGCACGGCCACGGCAACAGTAACAACAGCCGCAACGGCAACAGGAGCTTCAACTAGCTTCGGCTCCTCATCAACCCTCACCCAACGACCTGTCCCCGTCACCAACGGGCCCGCAGAACCCAAACCCGAATCCGACTTCATGACACACATTCCTACCGTGCGACGCACGAAACTCCGCCCCCTCACCGAGGCCTTACCTCCACAACCAACAATGACCGAGCGAGTGCTCCGCTCAATTCCCATTCTGAGCTGGTTCACCGGCGACATCGTCGGTGACGGACCAATGCTCCGCGAAGACGGCACCTTTGACAACGATAAATCGGGCGCGTACTGGCGCTTCTGGTATATGATTGATATGGTCCTTGGTACGGATTTGTGCGGATTGAAGGAGGAGTCTTGAGGTGGATTTATGCAGGCATACCGCATATTCTACTGCTGTGTCGCGGCACGGCTTACTCTATCCTCTATCCTCTACACTTTATGCCCTCTGCTCTACGCTCTACTCTGTGCACGTACATATCCAAGCGCCGAAGAAATCAAAAAAGCGCAGCGCAGCGCGATGCAGCGCGATGCAGCGCGATGCAGCTTTACTGGATTGGAGGATGACAATGGCTGGAATTGGAACTGGAACTGGAACTTGAACGAATTGGGAAGCATTAATAGGCGTCGTGGTTGGAATCATCAAATTTGCTTTCTTTTTTCTTTTTTCTTCTCCATCAAGGGAATCGATGTATGTTCCCTGACACTCTCACTGTATTCCTAGATTCATTTTTCTACACTACATCTGAAGAACAAGAAACACATCCTTGATTGGGTGGTTGGTATTGATGAACTTGATCTCTTGGGTTGCTGTGAGCTTGTAGTGGATTTATTAGGCGCTATTTACGATGGTGCTAGTCTACGCCAACGAGCGAAGGTAAAGAGTCAGACAGAGGTAGCTATTCTGGTCCTTGGGAGTCGAAGAAGTCGTTCGCACTTTTCAGTACTCTCTTCCCTCTGTGCTCTCTGCTTCCCCCACCAGCCCGCAAAAGAAAAGTAAATCGAATATAATCCATTGACAAACAAGATTTCAATTGAACAGAATACTAAGATAAAACAAGCATTTATCGGATCCTCTCAACGACGCAGAGTTTAGAAAAATTTAAATTTTGTTTTAAACCCTAAAGCCATAGCCTTACAGCTGAAGCTCAAGCTCAAGCTAACCAATATCAAATTTATTCGACCTTGTTCTCGAAGTTCTCACCCTCAACAAGCTCGGGAATATCATCCTCGTCATCATCCTTCTTCTCACCCTGAGCCTTCTGCATGTTCTGGTAGCTCTCGGCCAACTTGCGCAGAGAGGCGAGGGAGTCCGGACCGAGCTGGTTCAGGATGCCGGGGACGAGCTCGGTGAGTTCCTTCTCCTCACCGTTGCCGTAGAGGGCGAAGGTGTTGGAGGGGACGGAGGCGTGGACTAGTGGAAAGGACGGGGATTAGCTTCGTTCGGTTTCGCGTGGAGGAGAGGAATGGGGAATGGGGAATGGGGAATGGGAGGGCTGAGCTTACCGCGGGGATTGGCGAAGTGGATGACGTTGCCGTCCTCCTTGAACATGTTGACCTCCTCGATGCCCTGGATGGGCTGGACGTTCATCTTCTTCAGGGTGGCCTGGAGCTTCTTGTCGTCGGCACCGGCGGTGCGGGTGACCTTCTTGACCTTACGGCGGGGAGTACCCTTGCCTCTGCGAATTGTCAGTTTGGATCTTGAAATACTTCATGTGGGTGGTGGTGGGTTGGTGAGGGGAAGAACGGAATGGCGGGTTGGATTGAGTTGTGTGTGGTGTGGTGATGGCGTAGTGCCGCTCCGCCGCTCTCTACCCTGCTCTGCTGTGTCCCGGCCAATGATTTTAATTCGATTCGATTCAATTCGATGAGCGCGAAATGGAGCGGGACGAAGCGGAGCAGAGGGGAGTTGAGCAGCGGCGGGATGGTGATGATCTTCCCGAATTGACCGAACCAATTGTCAGATGCAGATGGAGTTGGCGATGTATTTTCGTTTTCACACTCGGGTTGGCACATTCTCATTCTCATCCACATTCAAGGTCGCAGGGAATCCATCGGAGGGGCAGAGGGAAGGGTGGGAGGAGGAAATGATTCGGTAGAAATTGAATTGATACATACCCTGCAAAGAGAAAAGGTTAGCGATCGTGTTCCAGGTAGATCCGATATGGATATGAAAATGAGTCTTGATAGCTCTACACAAGCTGATCCACCAGACAAGAACAAGAGCAACTTGCAGCAGACAGAGTCGAAAGATGCGATCATGGCTGTGGTGTGTGGTGTGGTGTGGTGCGGGTTGAGGTTTCAAGCTCCAGACCCGACCCAGCCAACCAGACCCCAGCTGTTGCATCAACAGCTCCCAACTCCAGCTTGTACATTGCAAAAAAAAGAGAGCAGAAACGAGAGAAAAAAAAGAAATCGAACGTACCAATCCGCACGCTCGCCTGCATCTTCGCCAGCTTGGCCTGATCCATTATGTCGGTTGTGTGAGGGGTGATCGGGGGATCTGGCGGAGGTGTGTGTTAGTGGGAGTTGAAAAACGAGGACACCGGAGAATAGCAAATGCAAATGCAAATGAAATGCGAATTCCAATGCTGACAATCTCGACAATGCTGATGTGCTGACGTACCGGTGGTGTAGGAGGGGTTATGGGGGAGATCGGAGAGAGTCCAAAGCCAAGTTGGAAGGTGAACGAGGATGATGCGCCTCTCCGGTTTGTGTGGGGTCCTACAGACTGCCCTGCACTTTTTTTTTTCGCTAATACCCCCGGTTGGATTCGGGTGCTATTTTACACTACTATAGTATTATTAGGATTATATTTTAGGAGGATTCACATTATTCTGCTGTATTCTCTGGCCTGTATGTTCTTTTCTGCTAATGTTGGTTGTGTGGAAGAATCAAGAAATGCGACTCGGCTAAACCCTAACGATCTTTCTCTTTCCGGACGCCGGAAAATCGCTGACTACACCTCATCTGACCCCATCCGACTACATCTACAGTTATAAAGGAACTTGACTTCAACTTCAACCGCTCCAATTAACTCTCCTGAATACTGATACTAAATACTAAATACTACCTCTACCCCTTAACCTCCCCCTGCGCCCCCATCCCCCCTCTCCCACAACGTAAAATACTTCTTCCACGGATGTTTCTCCCGAAACCCCAACAGCCGCTTAATCTTCGCATTCGACAACGGCGCCTCAAACTCCTCCAACCCCCTCCGAATCGGCGTATTCGGAAACCTCTTCTCTCAAAAACTCCTCCGTCTTCCGAACATTCGTCATCGTATCATTCGTAGCATTAAAAACTTGAAACCCCAACCCATCCGTCCGAACCGCCGCTTCGCACATGCCCCCCAAATCCCTCGCATCAATATAAGACCACCCATGCACCTTCCACTGATCAGGCTCATGAACATAACTATAAAAGATTTCCCCATTATACTCCTCCGGTTCAATCACCCTCCCAATTCGAAGGATATAAATATCCACACCAAACCGCGCTGCAAATCCCCTCGCCACACGCTCATTGCACAGTTTCGCCAACGCATACGTATCAGTCGGATTAACATCTTGATCCTCATCAATAGGGAAATAAGGATAGTTCGCATCCCCCTGTGCAAAACTAACCCCGTAAACAGTGACACTGCTCGCAATGATAATCTTGCGAATGCCAAGTTTACAAGCCGCCTCCACGACATTGTACGTGCCCTGCGTATTGGAGCGAAATAATTCGTTATCTGGGGCGATCATGTTCCTGGCATAACCAGCCAAATGCACCACGGCGTCCGGACGAGGTGGGAGTCCCTCGGGAAATGGTTCGTGGAGGGTCCATTGGCCGGATAGTGCGTTGAATACTTGGCCGCTGTCGGATAGGTCGGTTTTCAGAGTATGCACGTCTGGGTGCGTCAATGGCATTAGGTCCAGGTTTAGGATTTGGTGGCCCGCGGCTGAGGAGCTCGTTCATCACGTATTGGCCTGCTTTGCCGGAGCCGCCGGTTACCACGATTCGGCTCATGTTGGGATCTGGTGGTGGTGGGACGCCTGGGCGTAGAAGGGTGTAGGTGCGAGTTTGAGTCTGCCTGGCGATGCTGGGCTGGCGGGTGGGAATCTTTGCGAAGTGGTGGAGGTGCAGGTGGAATGGGCCGGCGTGAGGTTTTGGGACGGCGAGTCGAATGGCTGTGTAGACGGTCATCATGATGACATTCGTGCTTCGAGTTTCAAGGTTGATTTGCCTCCACGGGGATGGTCACGTTGGTTCACAAGGGTATGGGTATATTAATTGGATTGAGATGGAGATGGAGAGGAAAGGGAATGTAGGTGGATACTATGCATTGTGTAGCTGCCAGTGTTTCAAGTGAACTTGAAGACGTTGCATCTTCGATTATAACCAGTCTTGTCATGGTGATGTGATGATATAGATTAAGATTGTACTAAATGGCACCCGATGTCAAAATTATGTTATCCGCCCAATCAACTCCGTTCGGAAATCTGGGTCTCAGTCCAATCCCACAGTTTCCGGCCCATCTCGGCGTCTTGAACAAACTTAGTGCCGTCACACCGGACGCCGACGGGGCTGTAGTAGGCTCCATTGACCACTTGCTTCCTCGGCGTTCCGGCCGCCCAGAGGGTATTCAATGCACCGCTGCTGGTGTTTCGGAAGAAGTATGACGAGACTGCAGTTAAGCTGTATTTCAAAAGTGAGCTGGTCGCCTTGGCATGGGCGTACAGATCGCTGTTGACAGCACCCGGATGGACAGACACCGAAAGAATATCCGGGTGTCGGCGCGCGAGCTCCGCGGCGAAGAAGATATTCGCCGCCTTGGAGGCGCCATAGCGATGCCAGGTACTCGTCGACAGAAGAGAGGGCGTAGAGGTCAGCTCAGTAAATGTTATTGGGCTGATTACATGGGCGGCGGATGCCAACGTGAGGACACGGACATCTGGAGTCGCATTTCTATCGCTAGCACGGATCTCGTCGACGGTCTTCTGCAGCGTCGGGAGCAGGAGCTTCGTCAACAGATGATGGCCGATATGGTTGGTGCCCAGCTGCACCTCGAATCCTTCCTCGGTCTTGGTGGGCGGGTTGCCCATGGTCCCGGCATTGAGAATCAGGAGGTCCAGCCGGTCACTCTCCGCGTGGAATTTGTCTGCCGCGGCACGGATGGATTTGAAGGAGCTCAGATCTGAGGGGATATATCGGATATCGGCGGGGGAGGCGAGCTCGGACTGAATGGAGGCGATGGCATCGCGGGCCTTGGTCTCGGTGCGTGCGGCTAGGTAGATGCGCGAGGGCTGGTGTTTGGCGAGCTGGAGGATGGTTTCTTTGCCGAGACCGGTGTTTCCTGTGACGAGAGGAGTCAGTTAGACACTCAGGAAGTACGTGGCATCGCCTGGAACTGTTTTACATACCTCCGGTGACGAGAATAGTCTTGCCTTCCAGGCTAGGGAGGTCGCGCTCCGGCTTGAATGAGGAGCCTAGGAGGCCGAAGGTGGCCTCGCTCAGGGTAGGGCCGAAGCTCGACAAGCCTTCCAAGGGGTGTTGCAGGCCATAAGTTACGAAGCCGGTGGTAGCGAGGATATCACGGAGATCCATTTTGAGCGACGGTATGTGGTAGCTGTAGATGTAGCTGTAGCTGTAGCTTCACGGCCGGTCGTGGGGGGTGGCGGATCGCCATGACGCGTGGAGGGGCCGAGGTGTCATTCAGTGGGAACAAAACATGTGAGGATGACCCTGATGTTGGAGATGAGGGGAGGTCATGAGTGAATCGCAACCTGTGTCCTGGTAGAAGGGATTGTGATTGCAACTGAAGTGATTCGTGAAGGAGTTGCCACAAGATAAAGCTGAGGTGAGCAGAGAAGAAGACCTTAAGGTCCCTTTAAGGGTAGGGGCTGGTCAGGTGTCGATCTGATAAGCGCAGGGTATTACATTGCATACTTCAACTAGACCTACAACTATAGAGATTTTAGAGGTATAGAAAGAACTTGAATACTGTAGTTGTACTTATTATATACTTGCTGCATAGTAATATCTAAACTAAATACATCACATCGCTAGGGCTGAACCCCCCTGCAGCGCTGCGCTCTGACAACCTCCCGACCTGCAGATGCACCTGAGCACCTCCTCTGCTTCCTCTCCTCTTTCTCTCCTTTCCCTTTTCTCCATCCACTCGCCATATAGGACACTCGGTCTACAAAACCTACTGCACAATGCATTTCCTCTGCTTGCACGGCGCCAGCACCAATAGCGAGGTAGAGCACTTCATCCCACCTTGAATCCCCCCACTAGTGCTGACCCCGACAGATCTTCGAGATCCAAACCGGAGGATTGCGACAAGCCCTCGAGGCCAAGGGTCATAGATTTACATTTGTGAACGGCAGTCTAGATGCGAGCGTTGAAGCCGGTAAGTCTATTCATTCTTCATTCTGCAGCCCCATTTATATATACCTGTCCAAGTTTCCAACTTCCAATTCCACCCATGACAAAGTTACAAAATAAAACTTTGAACCTTGAAGGGTACCAACTCAACTCACCTTGACCACAGAACTTGAAGGTGTCGTCGAAGGACCCTTCTATAACCACTACCTCCGCTCTCCATCTCTACCGGGCTCATCGCTCCACGACGCCTTCGAACACACCCATCAACTAATCGCCGAAAAGGGTCCCTTCGACGCCGTAATGGGTTTCTCACAGGGCGGAGCCCTCGCCGCAGCTCTACTAATTAACCACGCGAAAACAAATTCGACCTCGCCACCTCTCTTCCGTGCGGCTATTTTTCTGTGCAGTGGAACACCCTGGGAGGGTTCTGGGTTGGAATATGTGGCTCCGAGACAGGATGTGTTCCCGATTTCAATTCCGACGGCGCATATCGTTGGTAAATTGGATCCGCTTTATCCGGACGGTATTAAGTTGTTCAATCTTTGTGAACCGGCTAATGCGGTCTTTTATGATCATGGATCGAAACATATGGTTCCTTTTGATCCTAAAAATAATAAGGAGATGGTGAGGGTTATTGAGGAGACGATTGCCAAGGCCATGAGGGGGTGATGTGGGGTATCAGCGGTGGTGGTGGTGGTGGTGGTGGAAGCGTTGAAGGTGTTTTGGTTTTACTATTTCAAGTTTTTTTCCCTCTCTCTTTTTGTTTCCTCTTGAACTGGCATCTACTGTCCGGGTGCTTACTATTTGTATACCAGTCTCTGGCATTGCATTATTACCTAGGCGAGCGCTTTCTATCACATGCATCGATCGTGCGTTTCAGCTTTTGGCAGGTACAGATCGAACGAAAAATAAAACATTGTAGACGTTTCGGCTTAGGATTGGTGCTGCTTTTGCTTTTCCGGTCGAGAGAGATATTTCGACCACGCCGCTGCAACAATCAAAACCACGAACCCGAGAATCAAAGCGTACCCCATCCAGGAGTAGCATCGACAGCACGCCCAGCATCAGTAGTTTGTTCATCAAGTCATAGACCAGCCGACTGGCCGTTCTCGGCGGGGATAACCTTGGAGAAGAAGTTCTCCAGATCCTGGATCTCCGTGGGATCAGCCGAGTGACCGAGGTTGCTGTCGCAATTAGTTAGCATCTCCGCTATCCCGCACAGTAATAATTGATTATATCCAGGGGGAGGGACGTACCTGTAAGTATTGAACTCGACATCGGTCACACCAAGCTCCTTAAGCTTCTCTGCCGACTGGCTACCGTACTGGTACTTAACAATATCATCATCCTCGCCATGCGCCAAGAAGAAAGGCGTGTTCTTGTTCTCCCACTGCTCAGGAATAAAACTCTTGATCCGATCGCTAAGGAGCAGGTAGCACGACAGACCAAAGACACCACCCAGCTTCTTATCGCCTGTGAGGCCAGTGAAGACTGACATCGCCCCGCCTTGAGAGAAACCGCCCAGGACAATGCGTGTCGACACGATCCCGCTATCCATCTCTTCCTTGATAAGGGTGTTGAAGTAGTCGCGAGAGCGGGTGATACCGGGTTCATCTTGGGAGCGAAGCTGGCGGCGTTGGTATTAGCAAGTCTTCGGGAGAGGGCCGTATTGTGGTTGTATTGTTGGATGGGGTGGGACTCACGTCGCTGCCGAGGCTGGAGATGTCGTACCAGCCAGGCATGCTCATACCCATGTTCTGGAAAGATGTTAGCCGTGTCATAATAGGCGATGCGCTGGTTTCATTTTGTATGCGATTGACGTACGACTGTGATGGGGATGGATGGCGCATTGGGGAAGATGAACTTGACTTCGTCGAACATGCCGCGGCGGCGCCAGTTCTGAGCGAGCGCCATCCTGGATGGACAATCAGTTAGTCATGATGTTCTTGAGGTTCAATTATTGATTGTAGATTGCTTCGTACCATCCGGCGCCACTGTAGACAGAGAGAGGGTGGTTAGCGGATTCTGTTTGGTTGTTTCAGTTCATTGTTGACCAACCTGTCGCCCAGACCGTGGGCCATGATCACCGTCGCGGTGTGCTTCTTCAGAGCGGGGACAACGTAGGGGGCGCGAGCAGCCATTGTGAGGGTGATATACTAATATCGGGGGTATCAAGAGAAAGAAGAAAAGGACTCTATGGAAGACGGAGAGAACAAGCGTTCCTGACGAATTGATCCGATCCCGCAATTCAATATTATGCCGGCACTAAATTACCGCGGTCTCCTTCAGCTTCACCGCTGTCTGCACCGCCTAGTATCAAGTATTCACTTCATCGAATAGTTAATGAATACCTAGGTATACACCCGTGACCAGCATGGTTCATGAAGATGGGCGAACATTCAGCACGGGATACATTTATATTTCTCAAATGATTTCATACAGCACATTCAACACTAATGTACTCCTACTGGGTATCCTTCTTCAACTCGAATCAATTTACTCACTCGCCCTCTTTCACCACATTCATAAACACCTCTTCAAGCGAGGGCTCAATCAGTGTATAGTCGTCAAAGACCTTCATCCTACCCTTATTAACAGCGGAAACAGACCCTGCCGAACCATCACCGTCCATGTTTCCAGATTTACCTAAACCAACCCCCTTCAAGAGCTCCATGGCAGACATAATCTTCCCAAGATCCCTCTTTTCATACTTGATGAAGAATTGGACAATTCCCCTCGCATCTGTGTACCGCAATATAGGTAGCTGGAGCTTCGTAAAGACGTTGGTTGCACTGCCACGCGCGGCATCGGCACTCACGCCCTCACAGCGTGCGGCTCGCAGTCGAAACGCGCCTCCATAAGTATCATTCAGCGTCTGCAGCGGTCCGGAGACTAGAACTGATGTCCGCATGATCGCGACTTGCGACGCTAAAGCTTCAGCCTCTTCCATGCTGTGCGTCGTGAGCAGAATGGCTCGGTTCGCACGGATCCGTTTGAGCGCCCGCCACAAGATCCGCTTTGCGGAGGCGTCTTGGCCTGTGGAAGGTTCGTCTAGCAGGAGGAGAGGTGGGTTCCCTAAACATTATGATTAGCATTTTTCGTGATCGATGCCGCAGAGAGAAAAGGGCATACCGAGGATGGCAATGGCAACTGTTAGCTTTCTTTTGGTTCCGCCGCTCAACGCTCTTGCAGTCGTCTTCGCATATTGTGTGATATCCAGAGCCATGAGAACTTGATCCACATTCTCTTTCACACGACGCAGGCCTTTCACCGTGGCATAGAATTCCAGTGTCTGGCGAACTGTCAGGTTATCAACCGCGTCATCTTGTGGACAGACTCCAATATTCAATCGAGCTTTGCGAAGCTGCGTTAAAACCGAAACCCCGTTGACAAAAATATCGCCAAAATCCGGTCGGAGCTCGCCGCGAATCATGTTGATTACTGTAGTTTTACCTGCACCATTTCCGCCCAGAAGTGCAAGCGTTTGATTCGGGGAGATGCTAAATGATACGTTCTGCGTAGCAAAAGATCGACCGAAATATTTACTCACGCGGGAAACGTCCAAGATCGGAGATTCTCTATTGTTGTTCCTGGCGACGCTGGGACGACCCGGGGTGTCTTCAAGCATGATGTCCCGTCTGCTGTCGAAGGAGGTCAGACCATCGTCCACCTGGTGGTGTAGCCTAGCTGGGAGTTTTCGGCGCCAGCAGATGAGAGAACGGAACCAGCCTGTGCCGGCATATTCATGGATACCGAGAACTAGAACCAGAAAAATGATCTGGTACATAAAGTTGGCGTAGACACCACCGTATAGAACGTATGTGAATGGATAAGATGTATCCGCGTCGCCATATTTACCGCAAAGTATGTCAAAAGTGTTCATGCCGATGAAGAGTGCGCGGACGAGATTGGCGGCTGGGGCGATTAGACCGAGGCCAGCTTGGAGGGCGTCGTAGGCTGATTAAGAGTTAGCAACGTGTTCAATTGTGTGAGAAAGGTGCGAAGTACGAACTGTATTGTCGGGTGTCAGCAGGACCTCCGAATTCGTCCGCTATGTAAGAAATTATGTATAGCACGAAGAAGAGGATGTGAATCCCAAGTGCTGCCGCGAAGCTTCCGCGACGGATGATCTTGGAAAGCAAGTAGGTTCCGAGATATGATGAGATTCCGAATAGGATAAAGGCGCCAAAAATACAATCGGGTCGATACCAGACAGTGTTCATCGGTCTAATAAAGAGAAGGCCGTAGACGATCAGGGCTGGAACATTGTATTAGAATATTTCATCGGAGATGGAAGAAATGTCATACTTTGGATAATGATAAACTGCATATCGAAAAGAAGGTAGGCTGTCCAAAGAGCAAAAGGTGAGACACCATTGCTGTATTCTAAGGCTCTCACATTTGAGATTCGTTCGTACACTTGTATTGTCAGTAATGTTTGACTTGGAAAGTGGAAGATCGAGGTGGGTTGTCATACCAGGATAGATGATGGCAGTCGAAACAGATGCCATGAAGACAATCACAATCAGAATTGAAACTGGCATATTCAGCTCGTTATGCACAGGATTAACATGTCGCATCGTGCTAAGTGCGGTTGTGATTTGACGAGCTCGAGTATCGGAAGTCGAGTTGGCAATGCGATTTGTTATGAGGCTAAACCCCATGAGTCCAGGTCCTGTGTGATAGAGGCCGATGAGCTATTGTAATTTATCCATTTAACGAAAGGGTACATACCAGCAGAGTAATAGTCCGCAGAGTGATAGAATATCGCGGAGTCGGGAGTTGAGGCGTATAAACCAAATCCAACATTGCCCATAGATGTCTCCACGGCGTTGTTAAATTCGTCTTCACTACCGACGAAGGTGCGATCCTGGATGGAATCTCCGCTGTACTAGTCAGTATAGGTCATGTTTTTCTTGGATTGCAAGACTTACATGCTACCCGCGAAAAGATCATCTTGAATCCCACCCTGAAACTGGTTTGCAGGTCCCAGAATGTCTCCCGAGGCAGAAGTGTATAACGCGTTGTCAAATGGAGGTATATCCATGCCAACCGGATTGGCATATTTGTTATAGCTTTCCTCGCATGTCACCAAAGCATCCCAAGTATAGAAGTACTTCGTCAATGCAGCGGCGATAATGATGGGCAGTAAAAGGTTCACCGCATAAACGATGATTCCCGATGCCCGATATAGCAGCTGATATCGCTTTCGAAAGAGAACCCAGATCTGCCACAGTAGTCCTACTGACTGCCTTGTATCAAGATTAAGCTCCTCGGCTGTATATTCACTCTCAAGCGCCAGAATCTTATCCTCCAGTGCAACCTCGGTGTTTCCAGTGGGTTCTTGACTCTCGCCAACCATGCCGTCTCCACCATCTCCATCAATGGCGGTCCCATACTCCGATGTTGTTCTTAAGAATACTTGTTCTAAAGTGGGGAAGGTAACATGACAAGCGAGGTCGGGTTGCAAACGCTCCAGCTCGATTACCTTCTCCGTAGCCTCAGCAGAGCTTGCAGCTTTCCAGGTCGTTTCTTGCTCGTCATCAAGACGAATTCGATATTTGTCGCCGTATTGTGCGCGAAGGGCAACACTGGATCCTTGACAGACTAAACTACCTTTGCACATGATCACGATATGATCAGCGAGTACATCGGCCTAGATCATGTTAGAAATACCTTCAATATATGCATGTTCAGATGTTTGCTTGCTCACCTCATCGAGAAAGTGAGTAGTCAGAATAGTCGTCCGATGGCGACGGCCTTCTTGGATGATGTTCCAAATGTTGCGACGAGACAACGGATCCTTTAAAGATCAGTATTTTGATCAGGATAGCACTGAAAGTGCACTTACTAGTCCACTTGATGCTTCGTCAATACAGCACACCTTCGATCCACCGGAGAAGGCAATGGCCAACTGTAAGCGCCGCTTTTGACCTCCACTGAGTGTGCCAGCTGCAGATTGAGCCTTTTCAGTTAAACCGCACTCAGAAATAACATCGTCGATATATTGAGTATTTGGCGCACCCCCCGCGGTCTTGAGACTTGTCCAGAGGCGAACGTGCTCTGTCACGCTGAGGACATCCCAGAGTACCTTTTCGAGTCAGCAAGGCTGTATGATGTGATTATGGAGAACATACATTGTGCTGCGGACATAAGCCAAAAGAGCGCCCGTCCTGACTTAGTTGAATCCTTGACCCTGAATCAACTTTCAATACCCCCGAAATACACTTCAGCGCAGTGGTTTTCCCGCTTCCGTTGGGGCCTAATAGAAAAGTAACGGATCCAGTTTGCACTTCAGAATTGAAATCCTTAACGGCTTGTTTGCCACCAGAATAGGTCTTGGACAAATTGCTCAGCTTTAGCGCAACGTCATCTGAAGTTTCGGTCCATTCTCGGCTTTGAGGAACGCCCCAGCGTAGGTGCTCGACGAGAAATACCAACGCACCATAGCCAAAGATGTGGACAAGAAAACACGCAAAGTAGAGGTAACCATCCATGTTTGGAACTTGTTTGGTAATTCCTGCGTCGGGGAATGCCCTCAGAGAGTACTCTGTTGTTGCAATATCACGGATGAGCGTAGCAAAGGCGTATGGTGGAAATACTAGGGAGAGTCCCAGCATCTGTCCCGGATCTTTGAACTGCGTCAAGCTCTGAGATATACTCACCAGAGCAAGTGCAAATATTAAAATGCAGGTCCACATGCCGGCCACAGATGATCTGGAAAAGAAAGACCCGATAAAGTGGGCGCAGATGATGAGAGCGAGACTGGCGAGAAGCATGAGGATGAAGATCAGACCCGTAGATGTACGCATAAAAAGAATTTCGCCCAGAAGGATAGAGCAGATGATTGTTCCGGGAATGTAGAGGATGGAGAAAGACAAAAAGTTTGAAAACACACGGGGTGCGGTCGTAACTCCTTGGGCCATGAGAAGATCTACGACCCCGTTTTGTCGTTCACCAGCCACAGTACTGCTCATATGGTAAGTGGAGACCAGGAAGATGAACACAAATAACGGTGCAGCAAAATATCCAACAATTGAGAGCCAGAAGATTGAATGTGGCATATCCGAGTAGCTAGACCCGTCCTTGTCGAAATATCCACTCCACATCTTCTCGGTCGGTCTTTTGCTATCTTCAAATCCACCGATGTGAGAGTCCAAGGCCCATTTTAGTGGCAGAAGGCGCTGAGAGAGAACGGATTGGCCCGGCGTATAGCTGTACGGGGTGTTCTCAAGAAAGTCCTCATCGATGCCCAGAATGTAGTTGGCATGAGTGTTGTTGAAGGCCGTGAAAACTACAGCAGCAAAACAGTCACTGGTGCCATGAATAGACTGTTTACAGCGATCGAATAGCAAGCTGGGGTCATTCAAAAGCTGTAGATCGAATGATTGCATGCCTTCGTCCTGAAAAACTGCGGCAATGGTGTTGTTCAGCTCTGTATCTTGAATCCCATTCGTGGCGACGACTATCCTTTGAGATGAACTCCTGGAAATGGCGTCGGGCAGATCCATGACCGTTCTCCCGGTGTGTGAGATGCCGTTGGAGCCCTCATTTTCAAGCTTTATCTCCTTGAGGAAACAAAAGACAATTGTTATTGCGATCGGAACCAAAAGTGCCTTGATCAAAGAAGAAATGGGCGATTTGTAGAACACAAGAAGATTTTTCCAAGTTAGAATCCAGGTTTGTCGTAAAGATCGATGTAGTTGCACCATTTTGATGGCGATAAAAGATGTTGAAGAGGCATTCTTCTGTTCCGAACAGGGTCGCATAGAAACAAACTGGCATCTTGGCTTCTGCCTTGTAAAACTTGGGGCCAAAATAGAGTGGCTTAGATGAAGGTGCCTTGCTCGTCCCCACAAGCATGAGACATTCTTTCTCGTTGGGTGAGGCAAGAAGATCAAAGGATCTAGGGTTTGAGTTGAGGGGAGATCCCTACTGGCCTGGGGAAATGGCCCCAAGGCGGATTCGGGATCTTCTTTCGCCCCGTAGCCCCGCCTGGGCCAACATCCATCAGAGGCCAAGAACAGGAATAAAAAGGGACCAAATACGCGAACGAAGATGTGTCTGTAGATCGGAATCATATTGTACCTAGTTATCTTAGGTTAATCAATCAGCCGACTCGCATGATAATACGTTATATTTGATTAGACTGATTCTATATCAGAACACTCAATACTAGATACATCCAAGTTTCTCATCTATACAAATACAGTCATGTGAAGCAACAGAGCGGACAGAGCCAGAAGTCCACCAGGTAAAGTGATTCCAGCACTGCCGATCTGAGGTGTTGGAGACGAGGTGACCTTTGAAGTGCCAGAGGCCTTTGCAGTGCCAGATGCACTTGCCGACGAAGTAGAGTTCGTTGTCGCCGAAATCAGGGTATTAACCTTATCCCAGAGCTGACAAGCACTGAAGTCAATAGTTCCAGGGATGGTTGAGTTGGTAAAGAACAAGCCAGGGGAAGTCCCGTTCTTGGAGGGCTGGAATCGGGGCCATTTAATGGCATCGGTTGAAGGGGCGGCGTTCTCTGCCATTGCCTGCCACAGACTCACCATCTGATCGCTCAGATGATACTCTGCAGCGGTAGAGTTGCAAGAAGCTCTACCGGAAAAGCCAAAAGCCATGTTACCGAAGACATAAGAAATCTCCGAGGTGTGGGTAGCACCCAGCATAGAGACTTCGGCCTGTGAGATCGATTCCATCCAAGCACAGGTAGTGTTGTGAGTGAACTCGTAAGTCCATGTAGGAACGTTATTGCGTGTAGTCGCAATAGCGCCACGATATCCAGGGCACATATAATCAGAGTCGGTGATGACTTTGGCAATAGCACCAAGAACGGCGTACTCTCCCAAAGACACGAACTTTGACAGAGGGTAGTACTTCTCAACTGTTGAAGCCATAGGACCGTAGTTTGCCTTCAGGAAATCCGGATACCCGGCCTCAGTGCAAGCTGTTTTGTTCGTCTCGCACGTTCCGCCGGCGTAGATGACGCCTTCCTGTTGGTCTAGTAATAAGTTTCATCGGTTAGCTTGTGCAACGAAACCTCGACGGAGAGAAGTGACATACTAAATCCAAAGATCGCGGGAACTCGCGAGCCACGGCTGATAGGCTCTTCGGGAATGACCTTGCCATCCACGTAAGGACCGAAGGCATGAGTGCGAGCACTAGTAACACCACTGATACCATATACTCCAATGCCGTAGCTCATATAGCCGGATTCGGTATCCTTTGTAAAGGCCTTAACGAGGTCGCTCGCAGACTTGGATTGAAGGCAAGATTTCTACAGAGAAGTTAGCATCTCGAAAAAAGAAGTGGTTGTAAGGGTTTGGTCTCACGTCGCTGGAGCCACATTCAAGGATACTAGCGTAGTTCGCACCGGTGGCTTGCAAAGTAGCATTAGCAGCGACGTTCTTGCCACCTCCAGATTCGGAGGTGAAACTGTTGATGAGTTGAGGGGCCTTCGGGAGAGACGAAATGATGAAAGCGTCCTCGGCACCGGCCGACTGTCCGAATAGGTTCACCTTGTTCTATTTGGAAAATCATGGTCAGCTTCACATTCCATCGAGATCGGAAAGTGGTGAGGGTTAAATACCGGGTCGCCGCCAAATTGAGCAATGTTATCCTGTATCCACTCCAATCCAAGAAGCAGATCCTGGATTCCCTGGTTTCCATAAATCCCGGCCTTTTCAAGTGCCATAAAGCCCAGGGGTCCAAGTCTGTAGTTGATGGAAACGAGGACTGCGCCTTGATCCGCAGAGTTGCAGCCATCGTATAAAGTGTTGGAAACTCCACCATTTTCGTTCGACCCTCCGTAGATCCAGACCCTGACGGGGAGTTTTGAATCTTTGGTGGAATCGGATGGAGTCCATACATCTAGGAAGAGGCTAATCCAATTCAAGTTAGCAAAATCACCGGCAGGAAGATGAATCATGGAACTGGATTAAAAGCGCACCAATCTTCGGACTCGGCTGTAGTTTCGTTAAATACACTTGTCCATTGGACACAAGCAGGTGCCACGGATGTTGCATCAAGTTTCCCCCCCGAAAATTGCTTCTTGGCGACGGGAGACTCGAAACGAAGCTCTCCAATTGGAGGCTCGGCGTAAGGAATTGCTTTGTAATAGACTGCGCTTGCATCTTCACATCGTCCACCTGTAAGGGTACCGGCATCGATCGTTACAGTCGGCTTTGATGTGGCTGATGCGGCCAGAACCGGCAGAAGAGCTGATAGAAACAGCTTCATGATTATGTATATGGCTGAGAAAGAGAAAAGAGATAATAACAAAATAACGGACAGACTGTTGGAAGCCCAACTCCTTTATAAATGGCCTCTGGCCCCCGGATCCGTCTTTTCGTACTTGAAGTTGTTGGCCCCCAAATTAAGAGCAAGTTGGGGGGGCTAGGAAGTCACTTAATTTGGCCCACACCAGCCTTGTAGAAGCGGGTCAATTTGGTGTGAAGTTGTACCCATGGGGGTACATGATTGGATCATGACTGCGCCGATCATATACTATATAAGGCAACAGTGCGAGGGCCAATCATGTTAGACTCTGACGAACTTGTTTTGCTTTCTCTTCACCGTCCCAAGCTAGGGATTGGCTGTACCATTTCCATAAAATTGCAGAAAGATGCGGCCTTGTGATCCACATGACGACGATTGGGTTGCATGCTCGGCAATCAATAAGGCTGAGGAGAAAGGCTTAGCATAGCTTGTGCTTCAGACCAGCAATCATTGAGGCGGAGCTGTCCATGGAATTACGGAGTACGCAAGCGAAGCTCAAATCTTGGTGGGACTCTCCAGGGATGAAAGTATTTGATCGAATCTAGCAATCGCAAGTTAAAGTATCAAGCCTTTAAGCCAGCACGTCGCATTTAATGTACGGCCTGGTTTGTTGTCTAGACCGATGGGCCGTTCCCTCAAGTCCAGATTGAAGTGTTCCTCACTTCGTGTGGGAACTCGTAGTCGCGGGAAACTATATCCATACTATAATCAATGGAAATCGGATTGACCAGTCTTGAGTCCAGCCATAGATCATACTCGAACGTCATTAATACAACTCGGACAGAACCAGGGGAGAGATCTCAACAGTAACTCTGCTGTACGGAGTATAATCCCCGGCTAAAGTAGATGAATTACGATAATGCCGCAGAAAGCCTGACAATTAATTCCCCCCCGGCTTTCAATTTAGTGGACGGAATTCATACAAATTGCTCGGCCCAGGCGACTTCTCATTGGTGCTCGCTATGCAGACTAAAAAGAGTTAGGCGTCATCCAACTGCCCCCATTGGCCCCCAACCGACAAGTCTTAGCGTAGTTTGAAAATTGGGATCAAGCGTGCCTCAGTTGCGCTGAGGAAAAGTCATCTTTTATCTCGAATCTTTCAACTTTTATTAGCGGAAGAAGAAACTTAAGATGCTACGATCGGCAGGGGCCACTTTCTTAATCTATGCCTTATACCGTCTATTCTTGGAAGCAGCTGAATTGCAAAGAGAACCACTGGCGAGATTGAAGACTCCTTGTTGAGGGAGGTGGACTGTCCTTGTACCGATCCTGTTCCAGTTGGTTACTTATCAATCTCTACTGGTATGCTATCAGCAGCACAGTGCCCGGTACTTCATTTAAAACCATACCTTGAGTTTTCCGGAACACCAAGATATTTAGTGCTGGTTAGAAGACCACCCCTTGCACGGAATAATCCGTTGTACTCCAATACATACTCCAGGGCTGTGCCTTACTCGGAATACGCAGACCGTTCGAAACGCTCGGGGCTACAACAGTACCAAAATAGCCCCAGATTGATTTCCCCCCTTGGTAGTAGTCATTTGAAAATTTCTGCGCAAACTACGGCTGTGCGATTCTTAAGGGTACTAGTAGACAATATTAAATATTATGAATGCAATGAGTATATACACCCAAAAGAAAACACATCTCACTGGAAGTACTAATAGCCAGCTAACTTGCGTAGCTCTTCCCGAGTGGACATGATAGAAGCATTGATCAGCTCATCATCCACAACTTCTTCTTGCCACGATATAGCCAGGACAAGGCAGCCGTCGCCGCCAGTGACAACCGAAACGCCGATTGCATTACCAATCACACTCGCACATTGCGAGAATGCCATGCCTTGAATGGAAGGCTGATCAGGAGCCGAGCCGGATGAGACGACGCCAATATTCGATACCTCGAATGACTTATCCCTATCTTTCCCGACCTTCGACAGACAAAGTTCTTTTTGGTAGTTGTTGACGAATTTGAGGAGGTTTGGCCCTACGTCTGCACCCTTGCGGTCCAAGGTATCTTGGATTGTCTGTCGCGAGCGGCGCGCCTCTTCCCAGGGAAAGGCTGTGGAGTCAGCGGGAGCGACGGCGGAGCGTGTGTATGACTCTTCGATGTCGGCTACGAAAACGCCCATTGAATCTTCCTTAATGATATCTGGCAGAAATCGGCGAGTGGAGAAAGCGCCGGTACAATTCAGTCGGAAGAATTGATCAGGGATATGCTTAAATAGCGATCGAGCATAAACAGTTTGTATGAGCGCAGTGATGGTTGTTCGTTCCTGGCGACAAGCTTTTCTCAATCGCTCCACCAACCCCTGGGCAAAGGGGACTAGCCGGACACGACTACTCGTCGGCGGTTGGATCTTCGACCCAGTCCACAGCCCCGGATCTCTAGGCGCATAAACCTTCGCCTGGAAGACTTTCTTGGCTAGGAACCAGAAAGAGAGGGGCATTGGGTGGATTTCTTCCATATTAGGCAGCATCGGGATCTGCAGACTGGTTACTGAGCGTGGTGTCTCGCCATCGGATGCTGTCTGCGTCTGCAATGCTCGTAAGAAAGAAGTGTGAAATGATTTCGCGGATCCCCCATCACCGAGAGCATGATGCAAGATCAAGGCTGCGGTGAATTTATGCGTGTCTTGCTTATCGACAAGAACGTGCAGTCGCCAATAAGGATTAGGCGCGACGAAAGGTGTGTTGTGTTCTTCTTGGAAAACAGCCTGAAGATCGAGATCCGGAGATATGTCGCCTTCTCCAGGAGATACATCTCTTGGGATGCCGTGTTCTCGCTGCGTGAATCGTACCACCTTATCCAGGTCGATAATGGGGAGGCGTACGAAATACGGCTCTTGCGTATCGTCAGCTGCCGGGATGGCGGAGAGCGAGGGATGCTCTGAGATGACTGATGCACATGCCCTAAGCACGTAGTCCTCGACTGGCAGCGTGAAACTCTTTGGTAGCTCGTATGTTGCTGCCACGGCGAGGTTCAAATAGAAGCCAATCTGGTGACGCGCGGTGGAGTATTTTTCCAACCTCCCTGCAGTGGGTCAATTGCAGGTTCTGTGTACGGCGAAGAGATTAGGACAAGACTCACCAACAGGACGGAGTTTCTCAAATTGATCCATGGCTACTCTGTAATAGTAAGGTGATGATGTCGCAGCCTCGCAGGGATGAGACCAACTCGGCTGCCTGTTCCTGTTGAACCGAGCAACAAGTCGGATCGGATCTCGGAATGTCAAAACTCTTGGCTGCCCCACATTAACTTGCATTACTATATTTATGCACCTGCAGACCAGTTTTTAACGGCTTAGACGCTAAACTGACCAAGTTCTTGTACCGCAAAAATGAAACTTGATCACCGGACTGGCCAAAATCCAGAGCCTCTCATTGGTAAATATCCCTCTACCCCAAAATATTACGATCGAGGCCGGGATTGACTACTCTGAATTGATGGAAATGGTGGATGAGAAGAAAGGGGTCAAACGGCCTGTTTAGATAGCACGGGAAGGCACCTGGATGCCTGGCCAAGTAGATAGTTGACAAAAATACCCCAACATACCATCTACCCACTGGGTTGCCCACCCGAAGGCTTTGAAAGGATAACCAAGTCAATTGGATCACCCCCCCTTCAGATCAGGATTAATCTGTTCCTTGAAATCAATAGCTGCTGACCATCTCATGCTGGTAGCGACCTCGCGAAGATAATGACCCGCAAAAGGGTGAGCCATCATCTTCCGAGCCTCATTCTCTCGCCAGAACCTTGTTATCCAAAGTTGCTTTTCCACGAGGCGAAACGCAGTTCCTGACAACAGATCATCTGAATCGCAACTCGATGGAGGAGTCAAAAGTCCAATTTTTTGTCGATTTAATCGCTCTTCGTCTTCGGAAGGCGGGCGTTGCAGAACTGTTGTGGATAGACAGTTAATTTGGGTTAATTCGCTGTGTGATTGCGGACATGGGCTCCATTCATTTGGAAATTTATCCTTATCGAACCCCAAACAACGCGAGCTGACAACTGCGAAGGTGGCTACATGAAGTGAGTCCGATAGAATGCCGATCCATCTGTTTATCTTGTTCGTCTTCATGTGGTGGCTCATTGCTGGATCAGAGAATGGCCAACATGCTCGGAGATGCCCTTCGCGATCAATTCCAGTGCCTTTCAATTGCAGAACTGCTTTGATCATCAACTTTCGGAAAGCTTTGAGATCAAGGGGCGCGTCTGTTAACAATGTTTGGGAATTGGCTACATCCACAGAGCCAGGGGAAGAGTTGGCATCAATGGACGAGCTCGATGTATCGCAATGCTCTCGGACCCAGCACGATCGGGCGCATTCTGCATTTGGAATTGAATGTTCACACATTACTGGACTAGTGTCTTGTCCTTCGATATGATAAAGTCGTATGGCTTCCCAGAGACTCACTCTGCGAGCATTCCCCGTGCAAAGGCTAATTTCGAGCCCCACTTGGAGTTTGAGAAATGGTTCAAGGACAGGATCAGGTTGTTGACATTGCCAGATAATGTTGTCTTTTAACGTGATCTGATTGCGGCGTCTAAACATCCGGTTCACACCAATACCAGATCCTCCATAACCCACACGAGCCCAGACATCATAACCTTCCATAGTAGTGTAATCCTTGCGTGTACCAAGAAATTCAAAATGGTAGGAAACCCTTTCCTCGACCACAGGGCTTTTCGACTTGCATCGTGCATTGACTGTAATCACTGATTGAGATTTCGCATCGGTTCCAATCATGATGAGTGAAAAGTTGTCCAGCCATATGTGGTCTTGATCTTCCACGTAGTCTGGAACAGTTTCAGTCCAGTGGCAATCAATTCCATGTAAAGATTTCTCGCTCTGATAATTTGGCGGGAGAGGAACAACATATCCCCTTTGGGTCCTAAGGAGGGGTGCCGACATTGGAGTTCCCCCAACGAGTTGGACAGGGCCCCAGAGCTCTTGCAAATCGCCAACCGTAAGAGATATCTTTAGACTGCCCTCATTCAGCCCGTCAGATGTAGGGCCCAGAACCCAGCAGGGACCTTTCAGATATTCATCCAGACATGCCAGCTTACGGCGTCGATAGGAATATCCAAATCCAATGGGAATTCTATCCTGTGAATGTCCCCACAGGTTGAGATCAAAAGGGCAGACATGTGATCCAGAAAAAGAAACAAGACCGATAGAAAGGGTTCTGGCCAGTGTTTTCAATTGAGATGAATAATCCGAAACTCGCTGATTCACTAGATCATGGCCGAAGATCGTAGAAAGCAAATATGATGCTTCTCCCAGGGAGCCTTGAGAACAAGAAGATAAAAATGATTCGATATCACCCAGAGACACGTGAACAGCCCTTGCGATATTGGAAGAAGGGCAGCTCTCAACAAGGATAGTAAATTCATCCCCACAGAGGGCCTCTGTCCTCAGATGACGAAGTGCGTCGCCTGCGCTTTTAATCATAGTTATATACTCAGTCTCACACAAGTCTCCTAGGTCAGGGCCGGAGCCTATACCACAAATTTCAGCGGTATCAGCCTCAACCTTATCTAGGTTTCCATAGTACGTGGCAGGATCCAGAATGTGCTCGAGATTTCTTGATTGTCGTTCAACATCGATGTGCGAATCGATACCGTCAAAAGATGCACGGTGCTCGCCTATACGAGACTCGATGGTATGGTTGTTTGAAAGAATGGACTGGGATATGTTTTCCTGGCATTTTCGGGATGTTTGATCAGCAATAGGTGATCTCTCGGTTGTTTGAGAGCATGGAGTTAATAATTGGGTCTCTCCCTGCCCCACATCAACTGGATCTGTGGACGGATCGAAGGTTGTATTAGACCTTTCGCCAAGCCTGACCTGGTTTGTTTGTGCTATCATGTTTTGATTCTGGTGCCCTCCATTCTGACTCTGGACAGCAAGAGGAGATATGCCGTAGCTTGCGCTGGAATTTGGGCTTTCTTCAACGGAATGAGCCGAGCTAATATGCTGCATGTGACCCTCTAATGTGTGGAAAGAGCGGCTGCATGCTGGCTGGGGACATGTATATGAACCAGGGGGGAAATGTGATCTCTCAACATGCCTTCTCAGAGTAGACGATGTAAAAAAGCCAGATTGACTAGTACAGCCTATCCATCTGCACCAAAATGAGCGCTGCACCCCCACCGGCAATGATAGTGATGTTTCAGTGGAATGAACAGAACGGATATGAGAGTGAAGGTTATCCTTTCTGTTAAAGATGCGACTGCATTCTGGGTGAGGACACGGATGTGACAAAGGGGCTATATGTTGAAAGTTTAAATGTCTTTTCAGATCCGACAGTCTAAGAAAGCGATTGTATGGACAGTCAGTCCATCGACACTGGAATAGACGCTGGGTTTCATCTCTTTATTTGCCATATCAGTAACGGCGTGCATTCTTTGTCGGGGATCGGTGAAAATCTACCTTCCATTTGCCGGGTCATGAGAAAGATCATGGGAGTTCAATGACGAGCCAGACGAGGTTGCTGTCTGAATAGGGGTCCATGGATGGCTGAGCTCGGCATACTCAAGGGATGGATCGAAGAGGCTGCCAGTGTGAGGCGAAAGTAGAAGATGTGGTATCTTGGGATGATCTGTCATATCCGTGTCCACAAAATCATGGTTCGACCAAGATTGGATTGATTCGGGCATTGAACCGGGGGTTGGATACTTGGGCTGATCTGTCTTATCCGTGTCCACAAAATCATCATGATGGCTTGACCAAGATTGGACTGATCCGGGTATTGAACCGGGGGTTGGATACGTTAAATCTTTGTCCATTGTAGAGATCGAGCTACAAGAATAGGATTTGGGTCCTGAAAATTGGATATGCGGACTCGGAGTTCATGTTCTTAAATACCACCCAGTGATATAGAATCAGCCTCCACACGGCCTCATTTGGCGCCCGAACAGGGCGTTGCTGTGTGGCTCTGCGTATTAGAAAGGTTTGACTCCTCCAATAGTCATGCTTATCTCCGGCAACCCTGCACAGCCACATCGGTTGCAACGCAAACATTTCCCACCGCTCCTTCCCAAAGCACGAATCATCATGAACCTCGGCGAGAGTTAAGGCAGGATTGAAAGTAAGCCTCAAGCTGCCCTGGAAATGGGTTGGGCACCAACCTCAGCCCAACGACCAGTGGCGATGAAGCGCCAAAACTTGGAAGCATAGCCGGGCAGAAAGGTTGGACCGAGGTCCAGATTCGACAAAAATTCGATCAGGAAAATATATCGGAGGAAGAATGGAATAAGAACTACGACGACGACGTCAAACTTCACGCGTCGAGAGCAGAGACCATTTCGTTATTCACCTGGGCACACCGATAATTGGTCGGGTGGGACCGAAGAAATCGCATCGCACATCCGTAAAGATACCAGTTGAAAAAATGACTCGAAAATAACGTCGCAAATCAGTCACGGATTCCCGCCACATATTATAACATTTGAACCCCAAAGCCATTAATCAAAATCCCGAACAAGTATTGTAACCACCAAGCTTTACATGAGAGCAAAGGCACCCATCAAAGCCGCACCGAAAACTCCCCACGACGCAAGCTCCAATGCTCGTCCACCGTTCTCCTTCGAACTGGAGCTCGAGCCTTGCGCAGAACCCGAGGCAGTAGAAACGTTCGCCGTCCGCTTAGCCGAGTCACCCGTAAACTGAACTGCTTGGAGCTTGGTATCATTGGAGCAAGAAGACTTGTCAATTGTAGCGTTCGAAAAAAATTGAACATCAGCACACTAGAAAGGAAAAGCAATTAGTCTCCGAATGGTCAAAATAAAACCGACAACCAGCAATAAAATCACAAAACCTACCGCATAAAGACCACCCTGTGGATCCCCATTACTCTGCACCTGCAGTGTCGCATTCATCCCGTTGACGACATCTACTCCAAGAATCTTCGCATTATACTCGACATCTGCCAGACAGAATTCGCCGGCCCCTTGGACGCCGAAAGTTGGGTGTAGGGTGATGTTATAGTTTGTGCCCGGGTCATTGCCCAGACCTAAGAGGACAGTTAAGGCTGTTTGAGTGTGGCCTAGCTTGAGGTCGATGGGGATTGAGCCCGAGAGGGGGATTTTGGTTCTATCGGTCATTTGGGAGAGGCTGCCGCAGGGGAAGGTGGCCATTGTGTCTGCGTTGAAGCCGCGAGATGGTGGGGAGACGAGATGGAAGTGAGCGGTGGCCACACTGGCCATGGCGAGGAGGGTGTGGATTTGCATTTTGATCCTGGATGTAGAGATGTTTGATGATTTACTGGAAGAAAAAAAAACAATGGAAGAATATTGGGACGAAGATACTATATGAACAAAAGGGAAGAGTAGTGTCATTGTAAGACCTTCCTGGCTCTAGAGATATTAGCTGTGACTTCCGTTTTGGGATAGAACCCTGACCGAAAAGAAAAAAAATAAAAATAAAAATAAAGCAAAATAAGGAAGAGTGGGAAGTGTGGGGTAAGCCATAATGAACTAACCATGGAAGTAGGGACCCCGAGATTGCAGTCTTCTGTAAGACGCTTCATCCTCCATCAGGCGGTGCCAAGACATCAAAGTAATTTGCTCAATACTGCGCAAGCCATCGCAAGCCATATGCATCTTCGATGTCCACATTTATTTAGTCTGAAGCATCCGAGGCGAAATGATCAAATTCGATCTATTATCTACCACAACAGTGTTCGAGTCTAGGCACTAACATAATAATACCTCGTCGCGGCATCGTACTCTAGCACAACTTCGGATAGCATCTGCTGCACCGGAACAACAACCTGCCGCCACAAATGCACTTCATAAGACTGGCCCATCGTACTGGGTAAAGCCAGTGCGCAAAGAAACTTACTCTCTCCATTCTGAGAAGGCTGGACCTTAGGACCCAAAACGTCAATTACGTTCTCGCCAGCGGCGTGCAAAGGCCAAAGTACAACGGCTATATTCTGTTCTTCGTGGCGGAAGGGAAGTTCCGTGGGTGGATTACACACCACTGCCATACCCGGACGAATTGGATCGGTGAATGAGATCCCTGTTTTCTTCGATGGGTCCCGACTTGACAGGCTTGACGAAAGAGGGTCCTGTGGATCCGACTTTGTGCCCTGTTTGTTGCTAGTCTTGATAGACTGCTTCCGCTGAGAATCGAGATGTAATGTCCACAGTTCGAGGTGGAATGCATTAGCCTGCTCTTCGGTTACACCGGGTGTTTGAAGGGACCGCTGAACAAAGTCCTCAATTGGTAGGCGGAGGAGTTGTGCTCCAGTTTCCCTCGGGGCGAGCTCGTATGGTGCTATGGAGGGATTGTCAGACTGATTTGAGCCGGTCGAGTGATTAGTACTAGTATTAAATTCAAATGTTCCTCCTTCAGAAAATGCCAGATCTAGAGACGTGGAAATTTGTACCTTGGTGACAATGTAATTGCGTAGATGTTTATTCATCCAGGTCATTGGGACATTCGGGTTATAACTACCCGGGAGATCTATTAGTTGGTGGTGCAGCAGCCAAAAGCATCTCCGCGTAGCGAAGAGTATTCTTTGTTGCAACCGTATCTAAGAAACTGGGATCTATGCAGGCCAGAACGCCGGTCTTGCATTTTCGGTTACTCGAGGGATCAAACACGTTTTTGAGAGTCTTGGTCAATGTGCTTTGGCGAAAAGGAACATAAGGTTTCTTCGATGACCTTGAAGAATTCGCATCTGTGATACTCCGAATACAGTCCTTGAGAATGGACAGACTGATGTTAATTTCACGGGTCTCTTTCATACGGTCGGCTCCGTGCTCTGCGATATCGCGGGCTGTCTCGGACCCGGCCAGATCAATGAGATACAGATATCCATCTTCCACGACATCGGCGGAGGGGTTCACGATTCGAAGGCGGCACGCGGCATGACTGCGCGAGGATCCATTGTTTTTCTCCGTGGATGCCGTTCTGCGGAGTGCAGCGGTCTATTCGATTAGTTGGAGAAGTTCACCGGTGAAGGTAACCTCTGGTTCGAAGGCATTTGTTAGCTGTATGTCGCCGAAAGAGTCCTCGAGTAGTCGGATTTGTGGTGCAAGATCGGTGCCGGTGCTGGTTCTTTGGCCGGCAAGGAGCAGGTCTGTTCATATTCGCCAAATTGGGAAGGTCATCAACTGCTATTGCGCACATCATGATTCCATGAAGGGAAATCTTACCCCGTGCAGTGTTTCCTGCCAGTTCGAAGATGGAGACGTAGACCTTTCTCTATCCAGATAGGGACCCATCGAATAGATCGCGTGCAACAAGTCGCTCCAATCGGCTAATGCTGAATGTCTTGCCAGACCCTGTTTGCTCGTATGCGAATAGTGTTCCCACATTGCCGTCCCACACCTAGGGCAGAAGTGGCTGGACCATCTCCTTCTAGATGGCGTCGGTGGTACAATCGGCACCGTACACCTTTCCAGGTCGAAAGCATGATGACTGAACAGGTTAGTCTGGGGTGGAAACACACTTGTCATCCAATGGAGGTGGATATAGTCTCGGCATGGCCGCCGAGCGAGCAGATTATTACTTCAAGGGGTGGAGTAGATTCCACTCACATTCAACGTCGGCAACCCCCGAACGACCCTCTTCAACTCGTGGAGATCCACAACGCTAGTATCTGTCTTCCGGGTAAATACAGCAGGGACATGTCCAGAGGAGATTTCATCTTCCAATATTGGCCGGATACGCGTCGCGATGATGAGATCCCTTGCGGGCGGCTCAGGCTTATGCCCCGCATTCTGTTTCGCTGGTGGGGGCACGAACCGCTTAACGAGACCTTGGTGGCGTTGGGCATTATCAAGGAGGAAGTTTTTTCCATCATGGGAAGCTAATTGAAGAAGAGTTTCAGCTATTATGGTTCGGATGTAAGATAACAAAGTCAACGACTATGGGTGGTTGTTGTTGTTGAAAACGTGTCAGAGTACGGTGTGAAACGGCGCGTGCGGATTCTGCCCTCTGCCCTCTGCCCTACGCTGTACGACTTTACGCGCTGCCAAACAACAAACAAAAAACAACCAAAAATGAAATCAAGACGCAGGTTTCCGTTTGAATCCTTCTGAGCCTTGTCGTGGAGTATCCGCATTGGGACTAGCGGGATGAACCCTGGAGATCCACGCTAGTCCTGATATGGTTAGATTATTTGCTCATTCTTGCGCGGAATAGCTGAGTCATCATTTGTATATGGTAACATTGAGTCTTGGCATTCAGATTGAGTGATGCTTGCATCGAAAAGATAAAATTGGAATAAAATCAAGGGTATCGTCGATATTCGTGATTCAGTGGGGGTGGTCATTCCCAGCGATGTATCGACCAATCGCCAATTCTCCGAGAAACGCACCTGCCAGGACAGAGCAGAAATACCCGATATTTTGGGTCATGACAGCGAGCATTCTGTGGATATCGTGATTAGCATGACTCTGCAGCGGGGCAACCTTGGTGGTAATCAAGTATGACAACGTACAGAAGATAGGATATACCAATGATGCAAAGAACAAGTCCCGCACGCGGAAAATCCACGCTGAACCGCCACGGAATCGGCCCATCGGCAACATTATGCACGACTTTGACATTTTCTTCAACGCCATATGCACTGATGAGTGTAGAGAGTTTCGCATTGGGGTCAGCCTCAATCCGCTCGGATTCACTCGTCCTTCCAGCAATTGCAATATAGCGCCGGTTGAGATGAGCAGCACGCCACCGTCGCTCCATGACAGCTTTCAAGGCGAAGAGACTCCGATCAATGATGGCGAGGAGAATCAGGAAAATGCATGTCCCCGCGTAGGCACCGGTGGAGCTTGGTGTCCAGGTATTTGAGAATAAGGGTGTCGTGTGCGAGTTGGTGAAGACCATTGGCATGCTCATAGACGAGCTAGAGCTCGAGTCCGAGGACATGTCCATTCCGTCCATGGAATGATCCATGGTGAAGGTGGGAGCGGATTTAGGATAGGAGCGAGAGTAGATGGAAAGTAGAAGATAGAAATAATCTAGACACTAGCAGTCCGCTAGTGAAGATCAATTTGCACAGGCTGGAATGATCGGATTGGAGGTGAGGGCATTCTTGCTAAGCAGAAACGGCGGGTCTGCCACATGGTGACCCGTCCCGATTAGAAAGTCCCTCAACTCAACATCTCCGCCGACCATTTCTCTTCTATTTCTCTTCTAGCTCCCTTTTTATTCTCTTGCTGTTTCACTTCCCCTTCTATTTCCTCCTCTATCCCAAGACATGTCACATATCACCTAGATCACCATGTCGTCAATGGGTGGCATGGCCATGGGGTCCATGTCCATGGGAAATGGCGTGCCTAGCATGTTTGCCCTGCAGCAAATATACTGGGTAGTGGTTGGCAGTGCTATTGGTATTGCAACATTCGTGAATGGTCTTAACCGCCTGCTCGCGCGATACAGGTACTTGCAGACTTCCACTGGCAGTCAAGTAATCATCATCTGACTTTATAGGCTTCAGGACCCATCCTCCACACCTGCTCAGCCGAAGTCGTTGTTCCTCAGAGTGTATGCCACACTAACCGCGATATCTCGCGAAATTAGCTATGCCAAATTTCCGCCGATTTCACTGGGGCCATTGGTTATCCACTTCGCGCCGCTAGGGTGGATATTGATCATTCTCGCCAACCTGGTGACTGTTCTAGTCCTCTGCTTCTACGGAATCGATACTTCGGATGTCTGGCAGTGGGAAAGTGTTGGCTACCGAACAGGTTTTATCGCTATATGCCAGCTCCCGCTTATATTCCTCTTGGCCGGACGTCGGAATATCATCGGCTACCTGGTAGACATGAGCTATGTCCGCTTAAACTGGTTCCATCGCTGGACTGCTCGCACACTGTGGCTGACCTCGACAATTCACATGGGCTTTTGGTTTCATGACTGGGGACGCTACGACTACATCGCTTACCAATTAACACATGACCCATTGACGAAACGGGGATTTGCGGCCTGGTGCATCCTCACCTTTATCGTTATCTCTTCGTCTGCTCCGGTAAGAAAGTTGAGCTATGAGGTCTTTGTTCTCCAGCATCTGATCACTTTCGTCGGTCTCACTGTTGCGATATGGATGCATGCACCCGAGGAAGTCAAAATATGGGTCTGGATCCCCATCGGACTCCTTGTCTTCGACCGGGTGGTACGTTATGCCTGGGGGGCGTATGTCAATATCGGCATCTTTCATTGCAGCACGTCTAGATGTTCTCTCTTCGCCCATCACGCGACTTTTACCCCGTTTCCTGGCAACGTGACACGGGTCATTATCCATAACCCGGAGACCCACTGGAAGCCTGGTCAACATATATTTTTAACATGTCACCGCATTGCTCTGTTTCAGAGTCATCCTTTTACAATTGCATCTCTCCCGGAGGATGGGAGGATGGAATTCTTTATCCGCGCACAAGGCGGAGGAACGAGAGGCTTTGCAGATTTTGCAGAGAAAAGGAGATCGTTGGAGGGGGAAGTCCGATGTGGCCCTATGTTTATAGACGGCCCCTATGGTACCCATAGGCCGCTGCGACAATTTGACAGCGTAGTCCTCTTTGGGGGCGGCATGGGTGCAACCTTTGTGATACCATTACTCCGAGACATTGTTTCAGCATGGAAAAGCGAGCAGGACAACCAGTTTCCCAGACGAAAAAATCCCTCATCGGTTACGAGGCACATTCGATTCATTTGGGCCGTGAGGTCTCGCGCGGAGATGAACATGTTCGAGTCTCAGATTCACACCGTTCTGGCTGATGTCAATGAATGTCGACGTTTGAGTCCCGAATTTAAAAAGGAGATCGAGATCAGCATCTACATTACCTGCGACAAGAATTGCCATCTTGTTCCACTACCACACAGTCGCTCTAGCCATGAGAACACTCAATCGAGCATAGAATTGTTCGACTTGCCGACAAATTCCCGGAATAATTCGGTGAATACTACGTCAACGGACAGAGAGGCGGAAATGAACTGTCAGGATAAATATCAGAAACACACAACTCCAATCCGGGAAAAAGTATGTCCAGACACTGGCAACTGCCATATTTCGGCACTCTCACGGGACCAGACTAGCTCGGACTCGAATCATTCCGCGGAAGAATCAACACAACTCCTCCCATCATATACAAACACAAGCCCCACCATTCTATCGGGTCGTCCTTCACCGCACGCGATCATTCGGAAATCACTCGAGAGGGCCCATGGTGAAAGTGCTGTGGTTGTCTGTGGACCTCGTGGTTTGGCTGATGATGTTCGGCTGAGTGTTGTTTCTCTAAGTGATGAACGTGCGGTGCATAAGGGTACAGAGGCGCAAGGAATTTATTTGCATGTAGAGAGCTTCGGGGTCTGATGGGCCTGAACGGCGCATAGAGAAATATGTAAGTATCCACTTTCGCTATGATAATACAATGTATTTCTATGCCGGCTCTATCGGAATGAGACTCGGAATTCCCGCTCATCTCCCTAGCCCCTTGCATGGTGCATATAATACCACGCATTACTGGTGAGTGTACTTCGAGATGGCACTTTGACAGGCCAGTCGGAATATCCACCAGTATAAACCGTCGCCTTGAAGTGTCCCCACAGCCGCTTGCAGCCTGGCAGCGCCTGAGTTCAATATCCATATCTCCACCGGCTTGATGGAGAGTCAAATCAAATTTTAGAAATTGCGCCCGATCTGCATAATGCCTATACGAGGTATTTGGAATGTTTATATCTATACGGAGTACTAGTACATATACTGTCTGGCTAATACAAGTATGTACTGAATGTCGGATCGCGTTTAGCATGCATTAGCGCAAGATGATGTAACCCCAGTGTTTGTACAATTTAACAACCAGGTGCTCAGGTGTTCATGCAATCACTGGCACTGGTATCAGCCACATTGCCCAAGTGGCAGTAGCTGAGAACTTCCAAGGTTTTAGCCTTGGTTAGTTACTACTAGTAATGATTTGCATAAAACTTGACTTTGAAGTTAAAAGTTCTCAACTTGAAAGTTGAATATATCATATTCCTGGGTATCTTTATGATCTTGAGTAATCCTGGATTTCTTTTAAAAGTATAGCATAAAGAGAAAATTATAAACCGACAAAATTTGAACGCCAAGAGCAACGAAACGAGCATCTAACTATCTAGTAAATTTTGCTGAAATGCTTGGTTGTACTTGAGGTTCTGGGTCGGAAACTTGGAATCCAGCATGAGATGCATTTTTCGTCTCTGTACAATAACTATAGTATTTATAGTACAGGTTTAAAAAGATGCGATCAGGATGGGATTCTGAGGCCTAGGACCAATAAAAGCCTTGGATCACACAATTATCGTGATCTGGCTGAAAATTGTGATCCTATCTGTGTATCTGCAGTACAAGCCCAATATTGTGATCCAGACCAAAATTGATCCGTCTCATTGGCCAGACAATGTACCCCCAGTCTAAACTTGGCACGAAGAGGCTGCCAGTGCCAAGGAGGGAGCACACTCCCGAGCGAGCCTTGTCTTGGCAGGACTGAGGCTCGTTTGCTCGATCCATCCGACCCCCAGCATCGGCCATCGGATCGACAGACCGAAGACATTTGTAAAAATGATGGCGGGATTTTTAAATTACCGAGCTTCTCGTCATTAATACGGCTTCTAGATTCATGTTTGCTGGGTACTCCGTACTCACCCGGTATTTCCAAGGCCATGTGAGAGCTGGGGGACTGATCCTGGACCTCCAGCTTCTTTTAGCTTCATAGCCGAGAAATATTCCAATGACTTTGATAGCTACCTCGAACACTCTTGGGGTGTTGAGGCATTCAAGTTCAAGTTGCTCTGAAACTATATATCAGTGGGTGTATGGCTACACTGCATTGGGCTTTGGACAGAGATAGCCTCAGGACCAGGACACAGTAGCGCCACAAAAAGGTTGATTCCCCCTATTCACCCTGGTCTCCGTGTGGTTTAGACTCTTGAATTACCTGGGTTAACCCCACGCTAGTCACCAAGGCTGAAAATTAGCCTCTTGGCTTCCTCCAACTGACTCGAACCATAAGAATTCGTAAATTTCAATTGTGGTATCAGCCTGTATAATATACTTTGTCTGTCACCGGCAAGCGATGCTCGCGCATTGAAGATTCTGGCTGCATGAAAAACATCCTCTACTCTGAGTTCCTTACTTCCCCTTTGCTCAATGCTAGCAGTCTGCCAACATGACGACGCCAACAGAGTCGGCTCTACCGCTAACAACTCCATTCACATTTGAAAACTGCGACCCATCGTTGGGTCCATATTCAATTATCACCGCAACTACTTCTACCTACAGTGTGTGGACCGACGAATATACATATTACGGCATCGATCCAAAAGAGACCGGACGCGCATGCTATCCAACCGGCTGGGATGACTTTTCTTCCACATATTACTCGCCCGCCACGTGCCCAGATGGATTTACATTGGATTTCGCGACCGAGGTCACGAGTGGGACCGACATAGAGACCCAAGGAACATGTTGCTATTCGTGAGTGTTCACAAAAACAGCCAATTTGATTCCTCCCATATATGAAGCTAAGGTTGGGAAATCGGATACTAGGAACTTTGCAATTGCTACCGCTTTTCCGGACCGGTGGAACGACTGGTGGCCATGTGTTAGTGACCCAATCAACAGTTCCTCAAACGAATACGGGGACCAGACGTGGATATACACTGTGGCAGGCTCCATTTCCATCCGTTGGAGGTCGACCGACTTCACCACGACGCCGACCGTACCAACAGCCACCACTCCACTACGCACAACCGCGGTCACAATTTTAGCTAAGGAAACAAGCTCCTCTCCTGTGATTGAGGAGTCCGGTTTGCCTAATGGGGCAAAGGCTGGAGTTGGAGTTGGCGCTGCTTTTGGTGGGATTATTCTCCTCGCCGGTATTTTGGGAGTATTCTTCCTTCGACGAAATCGCAGGAATGCCCATGAGTCTCACGGTACTATCGACTCGGGCTCGAGCCCAGAGATCAAGTACGCTACTGTGAGTTCGGGTACACCCGAGTGTTCAGTCAGCACAGAACCCAGTGTGGCACCCCAGGAACTTCATGGGTCCTCTTGGAATCCAATAGCGTCTTCTGCTGGAGATGTCCATGAACTTCCTTCAACATCCCCTCGTGTCTGAAGTCAGTAGGACACCCAAGCTGGCATATGAGAGTTGTGATAGATGGAATTGGAGAAATTGTTAAAAGACAGGATTTGCGTTTCGTGTACAAGGTCTACAGCATTTTGCTTTGATATATCTATTACTTAATCAACCTCGGTCCAAAAACGACCCAAATTCTTCGAATCCTCTCAACATGACAACCTCGTATCAGTCGCTCGTCCTGTGTCTGCCCATTGCATACAAAGTTTGGAATCGTTGCTACTGAAACAAATCGGGTTGGCTCACCAAAAATGGACAGACATCATACAAAAAAGGGCAATGAAAAGCCGAGAAAGTATCACATCTTTGGTCTGCCCTTCTCTTGGAGAACTTCGTGGATCAATCTGACTGCTGTGGCTGCACAACCATACGAAGCTTGATACCCAAAGCCACCATGACCGTAATTGTGCACCACCGCGAGATCGTCAACTTGCTCCTTTTCCACACGCGGCCCGTCTGCTCTAGCAGGACGTAGCCCCACCCCATGCCTAATAACATCCAGTCCTTCAATGCCTTGGCCTTTGTTCACAAGTTCGGGGCATAAATTAATGGCCCTTGTCATGATTCGAATAGCGAGATTGGGCTCCGGGAGTGGATCCCAATTGTTCTTCTGATAAGAACCTCCAAGGACCGTGCCACCTCCTGCGAGTATATAATCAGTCTTGGGATTTGTCGGCGATACGAAGTGGAAATTATCATATTTTACCTGCAGCTCGAGCCATCATATATGCAACTTCATCTTCCCCGTCATCGCATCCGGACACAGAGTACATAGCGTGGGGATCGTTGCGCACAAGGACTACCTGCCCACGAATTGGGAATAAAGTGTCATCTTGGACCCCGCCAAGGGATTTGGAAGATAATCCAGTGCAGTTGACAACGACGTCGGCTTTTTTGCCTGAGTGATGTGCATACCCTGCTTCAGTCACATGTTTGAATGTCGCTCGTTTGAATATAACACCATTCTTGGAACATTGGCGAGGAGCCAGGGCAGGTATACTGCAGTATTGATGCATACGGACGTAAAGCGTGACCCATTATCGATTCTGGAGTCCAGATTCTCGGCTGGGATTTCCTCAAACTATTACATTCCATCAATCTCATGTATCTTTGTGAAAGGGATGCCAACCGCTTCTTACATTGTCCACGAGATCCTTGTACCATGGGTCTTTTTGCACAAGTTCTGCGAACCATTGCCCTGTGGCAGAGTTGACGTCTTCTGAGCGGCTAAAGACAAGCGTAGCTGTTTTTTTTATATTGCGTTAGTGGCATAGTATCGCTGAGACAAGCTCACCCCGTCATTGTCTCATGAACTCTGAGTTGATACGTACGTTGAAAACAGATCCCTGCCTCGGGATGCTTTTCAGCCAGTTGCTTCAAAACTGGCCAAGTGGCTCGTTCCCATTTGCCATGGGCGGTGTTCGGCTTTCCAACCCTGTACGCAAGTCAAATGAATTCAAGTTATTGTCTCACGCTTCCAGTAGATCGCAGTCAAACAAATGATTTGATAATCGAAGGGACTAACGGGAAGAAACTCGCTCCTGCCCAAGGAGAGCAATATTCAATATCATAGTCCCCCGGCATATGTTTCGCCACCACCGTGATGTTCTTCGAAGGATCCCGGGACAGAAGCAATGCGGTGGTAAGCCCGGAAACCCCAGCTCTAGATAAATTCAGCCGACTGGCATTTATTATAGACCAAGTCCAAGGTTGTCATTGAATAGGAACATACCCAAGGACGACAATATGATCGGATATCATATTGGGCAACGGTTCTTTGCAAGACAACAATGAAGGACCTGGGTTAAGTGTGGATTTCGTTCGAACTTAAGCAAAAGTCCGGAGAAAATGAGGGGTATGGAGTCTCACAGAGGATTGCTTATCTTAATCACTGCGTATGTCTCAGCTAAATCAAAAAGGGCAATTCTCCCCAGCGGAGCAGCAAATATGCGTAGTTGGGTTCCCAACGGTCGATACTGACTCTATAATCAATTTTAGAAGATCGTCACGGCCACCATCTCAATTAGTTCTCCGGCATGCGCGGAAAGATAGAGTTCAAAAGAGGGGGAAAGCTTTGCTTCTGGGTTTCGGTAGAGAGGAGAAGTGTACCCAGATGATTGGCGACCTGCGACAGCAAACACCCGTGGCGTGCCAAATAAAGCCTGAAAATGGTTGATCACTCCGGGAAGTTAGTTCAGCGCGCTCCGAAAGCGCGCTTTCAGATAAGGTTGTTCTTTGAATGGTGCTGATTGGGTTGTGAGTTAGAAATCATAAGGGGCGAATTCGAGACCCTGATACACAAGTGCGGGGAAGCTCGGTATTTGGCCGCGAACATTTTTGAGTCTCGAGATAAGCGTCATTTCTCCGGTCCCGTCTCTACAAAGTACATTAAAAAAACATAAAAAGACACAAGTTGTCCTTCAACTGATAGTTACAATTTCTCTCACAAACCCGTACGCTCCCAATGGTATGATTTTGGCTTCATATTCGAGACCTCTTAATTGATGTCCACCATATCAGTTTACAAACACATGAGAAACAAAAAAAGAAAGTCTATAAATCATGACAGTTTATTCAGAGAAGCAAGACATCGCAAGAGATGTTGAGGCTTCACTGGGTGATGATCCCCTCAAAGGGCAGATACTCCCTGTGAATGAGGGGAGCACACATCGTGGCATTAAGTCTAGACATGCACAAATGCTCGCCATCGGTTTGTTATTTCTATACACAAATCAAATGTGACCCCTTCTTACCTTCATTTGCTGACTTATTAAACAGGTGGCACCATTGGCACTGGTCTATTCGTTAGCTCTGGTCAAGCCCTGCAACTAGCGGGCCCTGCGATGCTTCTTGCGGGATACACCACAATCTCGATACTCGTTTATGGCATGATTACAGCCACAGCAGAAATGAGCAGTTACCTTCCTGTCACCGGATGCTCAATGGCCTACTATGGTAGTCGCTTTGTCTCACAGAGTCTCGGTTTTGCAATGGGATGGCTATACTGGTATTCCTTCGGAATTCTCATTGCCTACGAAATTACTGCAGCCTCTCTCGTCATTGATTACTGGCCAAACTCCGTTCCCATCGGTGTGTGGATAACGATCATGCTCATTGTGATTGTAGGCTTAAATTTCTGCCCGGTTCGTTACTATGCCGAGACGGAATTCTGGTTTGCGTCTCTGAAGGTCTTCATGATCATCGGATTGTTGCTACTTTCTTTCATTCTTTTCTGGGGCGGTGGGCCAGATCGTCAACGCCTCGGGTTCCATTATTGGAAAGACCCAGGGGCAGCAAAAGAGTATCTCGTTGGAGGCTCTGGTGGGTATTTTTGTGCGTATTTATACGTCACCACATTCTCGGTCTTTGCTTTCAACTTTGCACCGGAGCTCTTGGTCATTACGGCTGGCGAAATGCAAGATCCTCAGGCAAACCTACCTAGAGCCGCGAAGCGTTACTTCTATCGCCTGGTCATATTCTATATCGGAGGTACCCTGGCAGTTGGTGTGATCTGCAGCAGTAACGCCTCGGGTCTGACAAACGGCACCGGCTCCGCGGCTTCGCCTTGGGTAATCGCCATCAAGAACGCGGGGATACACGGTCTGGACAGTGTTGTCAATGCAGTGATCATCACATCCGCATGGTCCTCCGGAAATTCTTACCTATACATGTCCAGCCGAGTTCTTTACTCACTCGCGATCAGCAAGAATGCGCCGGCAATCTTCACCCGTTGTAACCGATGGGGTGTTCCGTATGTATCGGTGTCTGTGTGCTCAATCTTTGCTTTATTGGCCTATTTAAACCTCAGCAACAACACTAGCGAGGTGTTCAATTGGTTGATTAACCTTACTAATACTGCTGGGTTTACTTCGTGGGTATGTTGCAGCATCATCTTCCTACGCTTCCGCGCAGCCTGCAAGGCCCAGGGTATTTTGCTTTCCAGTCTACCTTACCATTCAATCACTCAGCCATGGATGGCTTGGGTTTGTCTGTTTACGTTCGCAATTCTCTGTTTGTGCAACGGATTTACTGTCTTTTTTCCTGGTCACTGGTCTGTTTCTTCCTTCCTCACAGCTTACCTTGGCCTACCGGTGTTTCTTGCTATTTATTTCGGCCATCGCCTCTATTCTTACAAACATCCATGGGCTTATAAACCTGAGGATGTGGATCTGCGCTCAGGGCTGGACAGTGTCCGAGAGTTGTCCATGGGAAGGGATACGGTGAATGTTGAGGTGGAAACATCTAGGTCAAAGAGATGGTTCAACAAGGTCAAGGTATTATGGGAGTAGGATCTTCCATGGAACCACATGTGCAGCGCTGGCTTTTAAATCATTGCAGTGATATGAGGCTTGTACAGATCCGGAACAAAGCCACACCATTGGACACAGCTTCAGGATGCCTATACAGACACCTGGGCAATTAAGTAGACTGTAAAATGAATTTGACTCCACGTTGAATATATAACCTATTATTTCTCTCTAAATTCCGAGGTAATACAAGTAATACAGCTTGATACAGACCTCTGAAATACAACAGGGTACAAGCCTAGGAGCAAGCCCCTGGGGATTATTTTTACTTATATGACAATTACCTTGATATTCTTTAAGCATAGTATCTAACCTAAACAACGGCTCATGGTGAATGAAATATCGTGTAGTAGTATTGAACGAAAATGATAAAACCGAGGGGAAATGAAGCGAGCTATTGAATAAGTCACTCCACTTAGCAGCACATCGTATGATACCTAGGCATATATGGTACTGACCGCTTTTATTCTATCGGTTCACCAAATGAGCATTGTTTAGCTGCGAGATATTCAATATTTCCAAGATCTTGGCTTTTCGCGCAATTCATCATTTTCAAATTTAGGAGAGCAAAGCAGCCAGATCTATTTCAAATATCCTTCGAATCATCTTATAGTTGCGCGGGTGAATAAACTTTATGTGTATAAATATTGACGCTGAATTATGCAAAACTATCCGTGAAGGTCGAATCTGTGTCTGCGGCTCTGCGGGTTTTGGGTTTGGGCACTGACTCAAACCCAAACACGCAGGCAGCCCTGTTTACCTAAATGGATCTCCTGGTAAAACAACCGATCACACCTGGGATATCACGAGTATACCTGTGCATCTAGGACCTATGAGAGTAAATTGACTCTCATCCTATTTGCCAAGATTCCATGGGACTACTCCGTAATCATTAATCCCATCCCATCCCATGGGACCCATAGAATTCCCTTATTTCTATTAAGATTATACCCTAGCCTTATATAGTTAGCGTACTCCCATCAGAATCCCATCGGAATCCCATCGAAATCCCATAGGTCCCATGGGAGTCCCATGGAACCTATGGGATTCGGAATCTAATGCACAGGTTTAATCACGAGAATTGTTGTGCCCTGATATTCTCCACACGATCTCTCTCCACTCTTACTCACAATTCAATCATCCTTCTTCAGCCATCAATTACCTCTTCTTTATCATGTCCGACATTCCATCGCCAGAAATGAATTCTACATGCCACTGCCCCGAGGAATACGATTCGGATTCTTCATATCCTTTTCATTTTGACGCCGGTAGCATCGCGCCCGAGGACTCTTTAAGCCAAGTCGGACACCGCCCTCAATCCCCTTCTCGTGGGGGTATTTTCGACCACTGCTCTCTCACAAGGCTTCCCGAATATATATGGTTCACGGATGAAACTAGATTAGAATTTCTTTCATGGTGGAAGTTTCAAACGATACTTGGCAAGGATGGAGATCGAAAGGTGTGGGATACCAAACGCCGCCGAGCAGACATCTGGCTTGAGTACTATCGGGTGGCTGATATATATACTGGAAAGCCAATGATGATGTGTAAATTCTGTTATGCTACTCTCGACCACCCAGCTACTACGAATCCTGGAAATAAGGGTCCAAGTGGAACATCTGCCATGCGCAGGCACTACGATAGCCCAACATGCTGGGCAAAATTCTATCAGAACGAAGAAGATTGCGGTCGGGATGAAGATGGCGATGAAGTTTTTCCAAAGCCGCATCTGGTGAGACTATTCTTTACCACTCTAAAGCCCATCTAATATCCTCTTCTCCATCAGGCACGCACAGCCACCGAAGTAGCTGGCCTAACACCGGCCCTACTGGCGTTGCATAACCCTAGACGAGAGTTCAATATACGCCGTTGCCCTGAAGGAGACGATGATCTGTTGGATCTTATGGAATACGTCAGTCTATGCCCCGCGGGCACTCCTATCCAATGGCCCACTGCAAAGGAACTTGAACGTTACTGTCAAGAGAAAGATAGAGAACTGGAGGAGGCTGGAGAGAAGGTTCCGGAAGAAGGAACCGGTTCATGGAAGGCATTGGGGCCCACCGCGTGTGATTGACTTCACAAGTTGAAGGATTGAATTGAACAGAACTGGAAAATTAGGATTTTTGAGTATTTGAAAATCTTTTCTCGCAAATTATCGAGTACCCCTTCAGTATTCTTAGATTCTGGAATAGAATATTGAAAAACCGCACGATTATTCACCCCCATATCCGACAAAGAAAGCTACATCAATGGATTAAATTTTGCAATACCATGTGGTCAGGTTTTGGTAGACAGGAGAAAAAGTAAGAAACTTGATTGAAGCAAAGAGTCAAAACCTCGGAACGTCATTACGCACACGAATTGCGCAGGCAGATCTAGATTGCACGGGCATATTCTTCGTCCGCGGACAGAAATATTACTACGCCAAGCATTACCTCGGACAGTACGGATATCGTAAGCCGAGACGATTTATTGGTGGGCTTTCGAATGAGCCGTGTCCCTGTTGCAATATTTAAGAGGGCAATTTCTCTAATTATCGGAGGAAACTTCCATCCTCTTCTACACGCAAATTTCACCAGCTAAACAGCTAAAAGTCCCTTTTTTTCCAATCATGCCCTGTGTGCCTTTCTCTATTGACGCCCTGAAGGGGCCTACCAGCAAACGTGGCACCAAAGACCTTGAAGCCGGATTCGCACGTCGGTCAATGATGCTGGTCAGACGCCTACTAGGCGAAGACCGCCTGATCGAGCTTCTTCGCTAAGAGACGGCCGCCAACAACAAATGGTGGAAAAAGGTCTATGAAAGCTCCAATGAAGAGTGGAGGCCAGCTCGCATCGCCCTCTCTGCACTAGGGCTTACGTCAAAGCAATTCATCCAATGGTTTCTTCCCGCAGAAGGCGGCATGCTTCCTGAGCCGGAGAAGCTTGCCACCCATCCCGAACATTGGGTCGTTCGCCCTTCAAAGAAGCCAAAGTCAATTTCTACCACCTAGATCCTACTGGGAACAAATCAAAGAGGATGCTTGTAATATCCTAGGGCGGAAGACAGCCCGTGGCCGACGGGTGAGACTAGATGATACAGATATGGTGTTATCGGTGAACTCCCAACGGAATATTGACAAACACTTTGAAGGTACTAGTGTTGATTGGACAGCGGTGGAGAAACAGCTGCTAGTGTGGGCCTATCTATTCCGTCGTGGCAAGAAGATCCGGCTTCAGATATCGATCAACTACATAGAGGACAGCTGACCTCTTCCTTCTAGAACGGACAAGCGAGGAAAGTCATCGGTGACTACACGGATGCTTGCTGAACGAGACGCTCAGGTTGACGCCGAGTAGGTCACCGGCCAATATTCCGTCTGGCGCGATGTGTATCGTGTTATGCGATGTCCTGGGCCTCCATGTCGCCACGAAGGGCAATACTGCTGGCAAGATCCAGAGGGAAAAAATGCATCATAGATTGAAAACACACCATCTGAAGGCCCTCGTCAAATATGCGGAGCAAGGTGGGGTTCTCGAGACCCACGCTGATGTCCCCGATAGTGTCCACGAGCAGCCCAATGCCGAGAAGAGCCATCGACTGGACAAAAAAAGGAAAGCTGCGGAGAACTCTTCAACGGGTTCAGTGTATCCTCCAATCAATATCAATGTCCTCCCGGCTGGATTACCTCAACAATCGATACAGACTCCTGCTAATGATGCCATGTCCACCGGGCCCGGCTGTACTGAATTAATCATAATCGTCTACAGCTAATAAAGCACGTGATGTGACCCTCGAAAACTGCCTCGACCTTACGCAAATCTATGAAGATTAAGACCCAGATTTCTTTGTCAAGCATGGCGTGAAAATGGGTGCTGCTCGACGGTTCGTGCGTGACATCGGCCTTTGGGTGAAGCGACGTGGAGAAATCACTTGTCTCGAGATAGCAATAACTTAGTTTAATTACCTCAGTATTCGAAACGAGTTGTTGTACCTCAACAGGCATGCGAGAAGAAATTCAACATATAGTATTTCCTTTCTGTTCACCTCTTTATCAACTCCCGAAAATTGTCGTGTCATATATGATATTTTAGATATAAGTGACCGGGCCTGTAGCAATCGTCTCTATAGCTCTTCATTTGTACAAGAATAATACTTATTCTTAATTCTACTAGTAAGTTATTCAAAGATCTTTACCCTACTACAGTGACCCCAGCGCTTAATTATTTAACAGTTGAAAATAAACAGGATACTGAGCTTGTATTACCCATCTGTCTAGTTGAGTATTGGATCTTTATAATTAGTTAGTAAATAGTTATTAACTAGTTTAGTATCACTTACTCCTTGAAGTACTTCTTGTACTTATTTATCAGTTATAAGACCTTCAAGATTCACAATATAAGTATAGCCACTAGGGTATATTTCAGAATATTCAGGAAGTATAGCAATATATTCAATAGATACTGCACTAACTGTATCCGAGTTACTTTTTGTTAGTGGGATAATTGGATCTGCAGAATTTTAAATATTTGGTTCCTAATAATTAGTTTATAATTAGTCAATAACTATTGATTCTTTTTGAGATTGTAGTATATAAAATATATTTTTATCTGGTTCGGATCTGTCGGATTTGGGTTACTTGTATATAAACCTTCTGATTCTGCTGGAACAGAAATATCTTCACTTTCTTCAGTGCAAGGAGAATCAAGATCTAGTAGATCATTGATCTGATGATCTTGATATCTTTCCCAAGCTGGATTGGCTATGATGAGTGAATTGGAAGATGAGATAAAGGGATAAGTAGTTAGTAACTAGTGTAAGATGGGAATGCTCGTAGGCTGTCTGCGTTGGCAGACGGGTCGATCGCGAAGAGACAACACCACCACACTCGCAGAGTGCAAGGAGACGATAGGCAAGCGTGACGCTATAGAGATATCAACAGAACGAATAATAGAACCTTTCATAAGCAGTATACCGATACTGCAACCTCAGTAACCTCAGTAGAACATTTTCATAAGGGGAACATGCATGTTGAATTGATAATCTAGAACGAACGCTACTTATTCTCCTGAAACAAAACAGGAGCCTTGTTGCTAAGGCTTCTGTCACCTGACCCTAGGGTACCGATGTTGAGAGCGGAAATCCCCATTACACTAGTTAACAAATACAATATACTAATAGTTACTACATACCATGGTAAATACGGGATACAATACTGTACCTTGGGAATGTAAGGCAAAAGTCATGTGAAATCACGTGAAAGGTGGATACAGATGACAGGAGGTAATGTACAGATGACGGTAAACTGACAGAGATCTTTATTCAACATATTGAATTATAATTTATGAAGTATACACGATGAGTGGAGGATAAATGCACACTGGCATTGTCTTCCACCAACCAAACCCTATGGGGTAGAACCTACATATCGGAGCATGTTGCATACCGGACTCGACAACAAGCTGTCAGCCACAATCAATAGTGTCAAAGCTAATCCAGAGTCCAGATCTACGTCCCTTGGCAGTTCTAGCCTGGTTCGGGTGCATGTAACGTGGCCTCTTTTCTACGGCAAAATTCCAGTCAATTTATTAGTAGATACGTGGGAGTTTGCTTCTCGGTCGCTCTCTAAAAAGGCCGCATTTTGTCGCAGGTCTCCAGAGGACTGTTCAATTTTGGATATTCAATTTGACACCGTCTTACTCCTATCTTGCTGCTATTTATGCTGCTTCAGTTCTTGTCCCCCTAAACCCCCCTTTGTAACAGAACCTACTAACAGAACCTTCTAACAGAACCTACTAACAGAACCTACTAACAGAACCTACATACCGGACCCTACATACTAAACCCTACATAGCTGTAGACCAGCTCTCATTGCCCAATCAAATTAAATTGCAAATCAAATATAGTAGTCGGTAATAGTATCCCATTATATGCAACCTCTAATGAAAAACTTTATCTAATCTACTTAAAGACCTTCAGCTCCTTCTAGCGACATCAATATACGCATCATATTTTCTACTCCTTCTACTAGTCACAAAAAGTCATCCCGGCCATCAGCTGAACACTATGAAACTATCTCTAATTTCCACCATTTCATGCGCGCTGCTTGTTACTGGCTTGCCTTCAGATCCGATGCGACTATTTGGGGAGAAGTGTTCCAACAATCAGCTCTCCTGTTGCTCAAACCTGAAAAGTACGGCCGAGGCTAACGGGAACAACGTTGATCAAAATGGAAATACCATTGATCAGACTGTGAGCGGCCTAACTACCATCGGCGGAATCACTGAGGTAATTTCTGAGCTCACGGGCGGCACCCTCAGCCAGGTTTCGAATATTATTCCTGTTAGCATCCTCTCTGGCTGTGCCCCGTTACTAGGTGTGTATAGCTTTAAATTATCTGTGAATTACTTTAGATATCGGCTTCTAAACCAGGGCTCTAGGCAATTCCCAGATCACGTGTGTCAACTATATCGCTTGCTGTGTCCCTAATGATGATGATGATGATCATGGGGATACCAGAGATGTTAGTATATCCAAGACCATTCTGTCATGGCAAACTGCTAAATATTTTCTAGGATGAGAGAAAATGTCAAGTCTTTAGAGACACCAAGGTTAAACATAACAATGGCCTCCTCAATTTCCCGTAGAGGCACTAGCAGTTATGGGAGGAGTTTCAGGGCATAGAAATTAAAATTGGAAGGGCCAGTTGAGGAGATGGTCTCGGCGAAAGTGGAGAGTTACATACAGTCTCCTCTTATTGGTTGTGCCTACGCCCTCGTTTCCTATGTTATTGTATGTAATCTTGGGCTCGACCCTAGTTTGTCCGATTTCCGGCAAAGTGTTACAATAAGATAAGACTTTTTAATTGGGAAACATTGATCGCACCTACCACTCCATCACTAAAGCATAGTATCGAGAAACTCTAGTCACTACGCGGCGGATTCCCCCCCTTACTCCGCGCGATAACCTAACCTCGAAGCTTAGCTCTATATGGCCTTCAGCCGGTCGATATCTTATGTACTCCTACGCATGAAATATCGGGACTAAGATTCCTTCTACCGTCCACTTTACGGGCTTGGGAGTTTCGACTAAAAGACTACACTAACCTTAATCATAAGGATAGCGAGGATCATGATGCTACGACCACTGGCTTTAAGCTTAACGATTTCGATTTCCAGATTAAAGGTAATATCTTACACCCTATGCTGGCTAGCTCGGACACGACCCCTATAATAGATGATCGCCGACCCCGCGTTAGCTAGCATCCTAATAGTACCTCTCTTATATCGCTTGTCAGTAAAGCGATCCCCCCTAAATTAGAAATAAGGAATGGTTATCGAGAGGGTGCTATCTAAAGCTTTAGCCAAGGCGGACCACCCTTATAATTCGACCCGACGCAAGCAGACCCTCCTCGATGTTAGAGGAGAAGGCGGCACGGGAGAGAGCTAGATCGCTAAGGTAATTAACGCCGGTATAAACCTTATCGGACGCCGACATAAGGTGATCATTATGGCGCCGACGGGTGCCGCGGCTGATAATATTAGCGGCAATGCCTACCATACGTCATGAGGGATGATGACAAGGATTATATGGGTACCAGGTATTACAATTCTCTCACTTTGAGAGGAGGAATTAGCTTCAGGCTTTTTCCACAACTTGGAATTCCTTCTCTCTTCTAATGGTTTACAGCACAATCTACTTATAAAATTTTGTGAGGATGTTCGACTCAAGTAATAGCTTGAGGAGAAGAAACAAAAGGAAGCTGAGATGAACTAGATACAAGTAGGCAGTGGATGCCGCAGGCGTAAGGCATCCACGAATGGTAACATCACCAGTTCGTTACAAATTTAGCAAATACCACAGAAGTGCAGTGAGGAGGAGAATAGTATATTGGTCTAAATACCATTGTGGGCCCATATCTAGATCTCCCGGCGGGCAGCATGGTAGTAACTTCCAGTTCTATGACTTCAAGTTATCATCATTAAAATCAGGTCTACCGGGGGGGACGAGGGACGTACCTTCAATGGAGTATGTATTGCGCACGGCCAACTTGAAGGCTGAAGGGCAAGATATAGAATTTTTTCGCACTCTTGTTCCGTTGGCAAGAATGCCAACTGGTCAGTTACCCTGGCCGCATTTCTTGTCTCGGGAAGTTGGTTTCGACCACCAAAATAGGCAAGACCCCCCCTCCCGCTCTTCCTCTATCTACTTCTACTGAGTATTCATATTAACCCGACCGCCAGGTATAACATAGACGGGGATCTGCTTATTTCCCTGACATTGGATGTGCTGGTCAATACTCCTGTCATCAGTTTTCATAACCAATTGGTGACCTGCGAGTAGCCCATACGGCCGCGGCCCTGTCAGCGGCCCACGCGAGAAAGCGGGCGTGCCTTCCCCCAGGATAAATGTAATGGCGCCCCTCCTGCCGAAGACAACATCTTCTTTTCTGCTCCCTTGTATAAACTTAACAGAATCAGAATGCAACTTCTTCTTCTTTTTATTTCCGAACGTACGCGAACTTGTCAGTCTCATGGAGGTCAACAATACCACCACCACCACACTTACCATCAACCATTGCTGCGAATTAGAAGGTCAGCAGAAGTATCAACAAGAGCAACCATCTGGATGCCAAGGTCGAAGTAGTCACCCCCGTGTATGTTTGCCATGATCATGTTCCTTGAACGGGTATCAGGACATCGGCTAACATATACCGAAAGGCCCACAAGCCCTGCTCCTTCTGTGGGCTATACCCACCGAGTAGGTTATGCCCCAGGATTCCGTTTGGTAAATATGCATAGCTGATTTAGCTAAAACAGACCACCTGCATGACTGCCCATATAACATCAGTTCGGGGAAGTAAGAATCGGAAATGCTTGAACCCCTTACACTAAGAGCGAAGAGGGATCTCATTTGGTGACAACATATTACTTTGTCTTTGGGGCCGCGGTATGTTATAACCTCTCATGATGAACCGGAGATCACATCAGTTAACCTCTTGTAGCTTCACGACCCTCCGGGTCGGAAGACCCACATGGACTTTGTCTCTCTCCTCCACCACGTCCTCCACCATTACCGACACATCACACGACTATGAGTGGAAGATAGAAGTGATACTTTCCTCCCTCTTCCTCTCGCTTGGCATCTCTTGCTCTGGGCCATCGTGATCTTCCAACGGGAATCATATTAAGCCCAAACAATGATCTGTGTCAGACCTTCTGGAATACCGTATCAATGCACTGTCAAACAACATCGAATACATCAAACACATCCCTCGGAGGATTGATATGGTCCGAGAAAGTTCAAACATATCTCCGGATCCGTCTTCCGGGCCCTTCTATGTAGTACCTCCCACGCCACTGATCATGAACCATGATGAAGCTACCAGACGCTCTTCTCCGGTGCCCGTTACGTTTACCCGTGTGGTGTACAGTTTCAATCTGTCTTTCTGCACCCAATGGGTGGTTTTGTATGTTTTGATGTATTTGTGACTGTTTTTGGGTCACGTGTGATCGAGGAGAGAGTAAACTAGACACACGAGCGAGGTGGCTTGCTATATAACTAGTAGAACTATACCAGGGCTTCTACGAGCTGGTTTTCCCTCCTTAGGAAGTAGACAGAACGGCGAACTAGTATATAGTCAAGAATTCTGGGGAGATGGTACCCTAAAGGCCACTGTATGCGGTACCTCTCTACGAGTGCCACGGCTGAGTCACTCTCCCTTTGTGAGTCGTTTGGGACTTGACGTGTGTCTAACCGTGGATAAGGTGCACATTGTAGCCTGGAATAAATTGAATCTGATTTGGCTTGGAAAATCTTCCAAATCGCTTCCAAACTTGAACATCTGATGTCGGAATCTCCGGGTGAGTGTACGGTTATTCTAAGAAATAGCAGTATACCCTTGGTGATAGTGACCTCCGGTGAGTCCCCTCCCCTATGTGCGGCAACTGGCCTATAGAACGCAGGTTGGACTATATTTATTGCTAGAGAAACCGTAGCAAGATGAGGAAAGTAATATTCGCTCTGAATAGAGTTGATAGCTCTTGGGACACTAGTATGCAAATCTAGTACCTAGGCATATATACGCTCCCCGGGCCATATCTGGCTGAATGAAATGGTTGTTGACATGATTGCAACAACCTTGAACCAGGCTTAATACTACCGTATCGTTGGTGCCTTACACAGATGGTATCCCAACCAGTGGGATTTACATCCGCGAGCTATAAGTTCGCCTCTTCTTTTTCTCCATCTCCTCAAGGTATTAATTTTGTCTGACATCTACTGCTACACTGCCTGGTGTCAACACGTATCTTGATCTCTGTGAGTATGTGAGCATCCTCAGAGACATAGCAAACAGAGTAAGTTCATTGAGCTTCATTGAATGACGTATGGGTACTAGCAGCCAATCAATGAGCAACTTGAAGAACACAGTTTCTCAGAATTTTCCCCGATAGTTCTGATACCCCTAAACGACAGGGAATATGCCGGTGCTCGAATCGCAAATGAGCCGAAAAGATGACAGTAGCTCACCGATAATCTTCACATGCAGTAAACAGTCTTACATAAGCAGGAATGCCAAGGACCTCGGCACTTTTTTTGGCGATGCGAAATGACGATGACGTCTAAGCCAATCATTGAGCTGGCAAACGGCGATGACCGACCCCATCACCGACCGAGGAAAGCAGCTGAAGATCTGAATTCACCCCGAACCAGCACGAGCATCTCGTCCGAGGCCCTGTACCCTCAAAAGTCGGACATATCCACGTTTCGGGGTTGAACCCCGGTATATAATTGTGCGCGTGCTCCATCTACCCCGGAGTGGCTTCTTTTTTTTTCTTTTTAGCTCCCCTTCCCCACGAATCCTCCCTCCCTCTCCAGCTTTTTTTTCTCTTCCATTCAAGTTCATTTTTATACCGACTTTCGCCTTATCTTTACCCTTACCCTCCCCCCCGGTCACCATGGCGAAGACCTTCAGCAAGGAGGATGTTGCCTCCCACACCAAGGACAACACCCCATGGATCATCATTGACGAGGATGTCTACGATGTCTCCAAGTTCCAAGATGAGCACCCTGGTAAGTCTCACATTCCAGCGAGACTGCTGTATCTGGGCGTGCGCGCGTGCGCGGCGACTGCAGCGACTGCAGAATCACATGGATCACATGGACCGCATCACATGCTAACAAAATTATGGCGAAATAGGTGGAAAGAAGAGTACGTCATAACCATGAGCGACCTCGAGTTGCGCGATAACGACAATCTCGATATTAATATTGACCGTGTGCTTAGTTCTCCAACGTGTCGCCGGAAAGGATGCTTCCAAGCAGTTCTGGAAATACCACAATGAGGGAATTCTGAAGAAGTACAAGGGCCAGCTGCTGCTTGGTTCGCTCGACACCAAGAAGGTCGCCGAGCCTGCACCGGCTCCTCCTACTCCTGCGCCAACCCCAGCTGCGACTCCCTCTCCGTCCGAGTCTTCTTCCGAATCTTCCTCCGCCGGTCCTGCCAGGGCCGAGCCCCAAGATCCTTACGGTGACCTGATCCCGTTCGCCGATCCTTCGTGGTACCAAGGTGTAAGTATTTCTGATGTGGTGTTTTTTGATCTTGGCGAGATTGAAAAAGGGACACCCCAGACTAATATTCTTTTTGTTGATCACAGTACTCCTCCCCCTACTTCAACGAAACCCACGCTGCTCTCCGCGACGAAGTCCGCCAATGGGTTGAGTCCGAGATCGAGCCCTATGTCCACGAGTGGGATGAGGGTAAGGAAGTCCCCGCCCACATTTACAAGCAGATGGGTGAGCGCGGTTACCTGGCCGGTCTTCTTGGAGGCGAATTTCCCGCCGAGCACACACCCCACCGCATCAAGGCCGTCGCGCCAGAGCGCTACGACTTGTTCCACGAGATGCTGCTGACCGACGAGCTGTCCCGCGCTGGCAGCGGTGGCTTGGTCTGGAACTTGGTCGGCGGCTACGGTATCGGATGCCCGCCTCTTGTCAAGTTCGGTAAGAAGGAGCTCGTAGACCGAATCCTGCCTGGCATTCTGGCCGGTGACAAGCGTATTTGCTTGGCTATCACTGAACCGGATGGAGGTAGTGATGTTGCTAGCCTTGGCTGTGAGGCTAAGCTGACCGAGGACGGCAAGCACTACATCGTCAACGGTGAGAAGAAGTGGATCACCAACGGTATCTGGGCCGACTACTTCACCACTGCTGTGCGTACCGGTAAGCCCGGTATGAACGGTCTGAGTGTTCTGCTCATTGAGCGCGAGGCTGGTGGTGTTAGCACCCGCCGCATGGACTGCCAGGGTGTCTTGAGCAGTGGCACCACCTACGTGACTTTCGAGGACGTCAAGGTTCCCGTCGAGAACCTGATTGGCAAGGAGAACCAAGGTTTCAAGGGTGAGCGATTTCCCTTCTTCCCCGACTATCCTTACATACATGAACTCTTTACTAATCTGCCTTCCTACACAGTCATCATGACAAACTTCAACCACGAGCGCATCGGAATCGTCATCCAATGCGTCCGCTTCTCCCGCGTCTGCTACGAAGAATCCGTCAAATACGCCCACAAGCGCAAAACCTTTGGCAAGCGTCTAATCGACCACCCCGTCATCCGCATGAAGCTAGCCCACATGGCCCGCCAAATCGAAGCCACCTACAACTGGCTCGAGAACATCATCTTCCAATGCCAGTGCATGGAAGAGACCGAGGCGATGCTCAAGCTCGGCGGTGCCATCGCCGGTCTTAAGGCCCAGTCTACGCAGACCTTTGAGTTCTGTGCCCGTGAGGCGAGTCAGATCTTCGGTGGTCTGAGTTATAGCCGTGGTGGACAGGGTGGTAAGATCGAGCGCCTTTACCGTGATGTTCGTGCTTATGCTATCCCCGGTGGAAGTGAGGAAATTATGCTTGATTTGAGTATGCGTCAAAGTTTGAAGGTGCATGAGATGTTTGGTATGAAGTTGTAGATGGGATATTTGGGCTTGCATTATATACCAAGAGACACTTTGTTTTGCTCTTCTGTTTCATATTCTCCATTTTGTGGATTATATCGCTTTTTGGGTTCATGTTTTCCTAGCTTGGATGCTGGGATCCTCTTTTGTTGCTAGATATCCCGTCCGGTGTGACGCATTTTCTTATGATACTTTGTATGAATACATTACTTTCTGCACATGCTAGTTTCATTTCTTCATCAAGCAGTAGGTTTCTTCACATGTATGCCAGTGGGCTATCTGAGTCTTCAGCGCAATTCATAACGGATTCTATTTTAGGCATTCCCACCAATTGATCGTCTCCCCCTCGCCCAATGCTTCCTCATCTCCGGTGTGATTGTCCTTTCTGTATCAGCGAACTCTTTCAACAACCACGAATCCCACTCCCAGTCGACCCAGGACTCAAAGCCAGGCGGCGGACCTCCCTTCCAGCGAAGAAGCGGCGAGATGTACTGGCCCTGGAACATTTTAGACCCCTCGCCGTCCCAATAATCTCTGTCGCATCGAAACTGTGTATCACCAAAGTCAATCAACACGACCTCTGGTCGGTCCTCGCCCGTTCGAATAAGGATGGTATTTCGTGGGGCCAAATCGACCAGATCCACGTCTTTTTCGAAGATCGAACTTTCCAGATCCAACATCTTGCGGAAGATATGTTGACGAACTAACTGCGGCAGTTGCTCCGGCATTAGCTGTAGCATTGATGGTCCCTTGATGTATTGAACTAGGACCATTTTGACCTCGCGGCTGAGACTTGAACCCGGCACTGGGATACAGAGAGAATAGGACCCGTGGAATTTCGGAATACCCTGGCCCTGGTATTGTGCAAGTGTTTGATATGCGCGCACTTCTTGTTTGTGGAATCATTCCACACAACGAAAAGCGTCCAGATAATGGTCGTCGCCATCACAGTAATAGAGAGGATCGAATGCCTTTCCAACCAGAAGCGTCTGGGGTGACAGCTGCAATTCGGAATATCTATGTTCACCTGAAGATCCACATAATACAACTGTAAATACTTGAGCGCGTGTTGCGTCTCCAATCTGGAGAGGTACTACAACTTCCAGCTCCAGGTGATTTCCTCCCATCGAGCCTGTATGTGGGTAACGTCTTCTGCATTGTTCCACTGGGGATTGTTCAATTTTGTCCGTATCTTCTTCATACTCTATTCCTCGCTTTCGGCTGTTATGGCACCTGGTTTGCAGGTTGCCGGCCCTCGCTGGGCTTGGATCCGGTGGGATAGGATCAGCATATGCACTTAGTAGAGATCCTGCGTAATATGGCAGCTGTAGCTTCAAAGCTGGCGCCATTATTTGCGGCTCTGTGGGTCTGGGGATGTAGCATTCGCGAGACAAAAGAGGATGGCAGTGGGAGCATCTCGAGAGTCAAAGGGTGGTTGATGTCAAGGACGCGTGCCTTCCTAGGTTGAACCTATCTGCACTTTCCTTTGCACCTGCCATCTCCAGGACTTAGATTGCTACTACTCATAATATTAGTAGTAACTCTGTGGCTCTTTGTGCTATATCTTTAAGTTGAATTTCGCAAACAGGTGTTAGTGGCTTTGGGGTAGTTCAAAATACTTCTTGGGACAATGCTATTGGTGACATCTGACAAGATTATAAATATACCTAGGTATTGCAAAGAGAATCTTCATACACGGCTTTGCGTCAGGCTGAGCAGCAAGTTCTTAGTCTCCAGTAAGCTCTGCGTCGAGCTATTGAACCACTCAGTAGTATATAAGGTATTTCTTGACGATAACAATATAAGGTATTAAGTATATAATTTGTTGAGGCCTATCATATGGAGGACAAAGATGATGAACGGTATAGATGGATGAAGATAGGAGAGCCCGAGGCATCCACTTCAACAAAACCCGAACTGAGCAGGGTTATATCGTTTATTTTTGTTCAGGTAGTGCCGGTCGCTCGGGGTTGGCTCTGGTGGGATATGAACAGATGCTGTAAATTGCGATCCTGGAAGGTATGGCAACAATGGCTTCCAAGGCGCTTCGATTTCAGACTCAGGTATATGGTCCGAGTCTTCGTCCTCATCCACTGGCTCCCTCTCATTCGACATTGGAAGCCCTGTCAATGAAGCAATGAGTACCAAGCTCTCCCTTGTTCGAGATTCCCCAAGCTGGGCGTCCAAATTCGGGCGTCCACGCCCGGGCGAGAGTGGTCTCTCCGAGAGCTCTCTTCGCCAAGGACTCGGACTCACCCATGGATGTCTTTTTTGGTGCTCGCGAGTGAGGCAGGTAAGTTCAGACTCTCGAAAGAAAGAGCTCTGTTGATCCGGAGGACTGCGATGGACCTTGGAAGGAAAGTGTTCGATCTTCAAGAGAAAGGCTAGGATGACAACTTGAATGATGGCAGTAACTTGGGGGTTCTAATCGTACACCTCGAACTTCCAAGGTTTAAGCAGTTTTAGTAGTAATTTAATGAGCCTCGCCCGTAGACACTGGCAGAACCTTGGAAGTCGAGATGGTTCCAGGTGGAGTTGAGGAGTCGTGCCCAAGTTGATAGGTAGTAGACATGATATATATCAGCCTCATCTCCAGGGCTCACACTGGCACCTGGGCAGTAACGGCATCGGCGACTCCCACTGGCAATTTGGGGGGATGCACCAAAGGACATCTAACAGGATCTTGGAGTATATTCCATAGCAGGAATGTCATTATCCCATCCATGCCACCATTCACATAATAAGTGTAGAGTGTTGTTGTGGCAGCCGCCAAAGTAAACAGGAGGCCAGGCCACTCAGAAAGACCAAAAGTGCAGTTCCCGCCAAGCCTTTGATGCCTGAGGTTGAAGATTGGGAACTTCGAACTTCGCCGCGAATTGTATCTCCGACTCCTCGACCTCCTCCAATCCTCCATTTGCTGACACTGCGTTCTTGGGTCCCCAGGTATAAAAACCGCTTGCCCCCCGGTGTCCAGTGCCCTCAAATCTCTCCTTCACCACTTTCACCCCTTCTTTCTTACCATCCGGATTGCGACCACCCTCACCGTAGGCGGTCGCTCGGTGACAGCCCGCAAAGGCCCGCAGCTCTCCTTCTGCGAACGCCCTGCCATTGGCATCTTTCTCTCGTCTCGCCGATCGCATTCGCAGTGTTGAGAGAACCGCACTCCATCTTGGCTGTTTGGAGTCGAACCGGTCAACCATCCCGTGAACAGTCGTGTCTTTGTCTTTGAACACGCCGCTGCAAGCTTTCAGGTGAGTCGATTTCCAGATTACCTCGTCTCCCTTACGAATCATCCTCAAAGAGACTAACTCATTCATTTCGTGACAGCGGTGCTATAGCGACCGAACTTCAAGCTTTAAATAGTCTCTTTACCCGCTCCACGTTTCTCAGCGATACCCTCCAACCAACTCCTACAAGATGTCCAACTTTTTGAACCACGATTTTGGCTCGGAAGATGAGGACGATGACTTCAACCCCCCTCACGTCGATGATTCTGATGCCGAGGACGCCAAGGTGAGTGATCAAACAGAATGGCTGCCCGGCCAAGTAGCTGATACAATCTTGGATAGCCCGCCAAGGTCGACGACGACAACCGCACCGCCTCCTACGGGAATGATGACGCGAAGCACAACGTGGAAGAGGAAGACGAAAAAGATGTTGCCGATGATGACGACAATGATGACGAAGATGAGGAAGATGAGGAGGACGAGGAGGAGGAGGAAGAACAAGAAGTGGTTTGTACTCTCATTGCTGCGATGCTCATGGGAAATTATGCTGATCCGTGTTTATGATGTTAGAACAATCGTCCGCGTAAGCGCAGAAGAGGTGGTGTTATGAATTTCATCGAAGAGGAGGCTGGTGTCGATGAGGAAGAGGACGAAGCCGAAGATGAGGAGGACGAACTGGCCGAGTTTGGCACCGAAATGCACCCCGATGACCTCGATGCGCTACCAGCGGGCGCTGAGACCGATGACCGACGCCATCGTCAACTCGACCGACAGCGCGAACTCGACGCAACCATGGATGCCGAAAAGCAAGCACAGATGCTGAAGGAGCGATACGGACGAAACCGCGCTGCGGCCTCAGACGCTCTTGTTGTCCCGAAACGTCTATTGCTTCCTAGTGTCGAAGACCCCAGCATTTGGGGTGGTCGCTGCAAGCCCGGCAAGGAGCGAGAAGTTGTTTTCTCTATCCAGAAACGAATTGAAGAGCGCCCAGCAAACTCCCGCAACCCCATTCGCATTATCTCCGCCTTTGAACGTGGAAATATCATGCAGGGTTGGTTCTACTGTGAGGCTCGCCGACAACCCGATGTCATCGAAGGATTGGAGGGTATCAACTTCTACTACCCCTCTCAGAAGTTGACTCTAGTCCCGGTCAAGGAGATGCCGGATCTTCTTCGCGTGCAGAAGTCGGAGGAGCTGCTACCCGGTGGCTGGGTTCGCATCAAGCGTGGAAAATACCAGGGCGACTTGGCTCAAATTGAGGAAGTCGAGACAAACGGTCTTAATGTGACTGTTCGACTAGTCCCACGACTGGATTATGGTATGAACGAAGATGCCAATGCGCTCGTCGGCCCTGATGCCAAGCGCAAGCGTGGCGCCGTCAGCGCCGTTCGCCCTCCCCAACGACTGTTCAGCGAAGCCGAGGCAAAGAAGAAGCATGGCAAGTTCCTTTCATCTACATCTGGTCTCCGAGGCAAGTCATGGAACTACCTCAACGAAAACTACGAAGATGGTTTCCTCATCAAGGATATGCGGGTAAACCTCTTATTGACCAAGAACGTGAACCCGCGTTTGGAGGAAGTCACAATGTTTGCCCGTGGTGCAGATGATGGAACCGCTAACCTGGATCTGGCCTCGCTGGCCGAGACATTGAAGAACTCGACAGCCGAAGACGCATACCAACCTGGTGACCCGGTTGAGGTGTACCGGGGTGAACAACAGGGCTTGGTTGGCCGAACGGTAACCACTCGTGGCGACATTGTCTCTTTGGAAGTCACCGAAGGAGATCTGGCTGGCCAGACCATCGATGCTCCTGTTCGGACCCTCCGCAAGCGCTTCCGTGAGGGTGACCACGTTAAGGTCATTGGAGGAAGTCGTTACCAGAATGAGCTGGGTATGGTGGTTCAAGTCAAGGAAGACACTGTCACCTTGCTCAGCGATATGAGTATGCAGGAGATTACGGTGTTCAGCAAAGACCTTCGTCTCTCTGCTGAGATGGCTGCGGATGGCCAGCTCGGTATTTACGATGTCCACGACCTTGTTCAGCTTGAGTGAGTATTCGAATCAATGTGCACAAATCGATCAAAATGCTAACCTGATTACAGTGCTGCTACCGTCGCCTGTGTCATCAAAGTCGACCGTGAATCTCTCCGTGTCATGGATCAGAACGGTTCTACTCGCAATGTGCTTCCCACGCAGGTTGCCAACAAGATCACCCCTCGCCGGGATGCTGTCGCAACCGATCGCAATGGTGCCGAGATCCGACTAGGTGATACCGTTAAAGAGCTCTACGGTGAACAGCGAAGTGGAGTGATTCGTCATATCCACCGTTCATTCCTCTTCCTCCACAACAAAGCACAGGCTGAGAGCGCAGGCATGTCTGTGATGCGAACAACCAACGTTGTCACTGTATCAGCGAGGGGTGGTCGTCCCGCAGGACCTGACCTCACCAAGCTGAACCCTGCTCTCGCGATGCAAGCCCCGGGTGGTGGACGTGGTGCTAACATGCCGCCTCCCCAACGTGGCCGTGATCGTTTGCTCGGCAAGACCGTGACTGTTCGCAAGGGCCGTTATAAGGGCTTGGTCGGTATTGTCCGCGATGCAGACGATAACACTGCTCAAGTCGAACTCTATACATCCAATAAGCCCGTTCATATCGAACGAGATATTCTTGTCCCCAAAGAGTGAGTCCATTCCCCTCTTATCAATGTCTCCTTACTAATGTTTCTTAGCCCCATTACAAAACAATCACTCGACGTTGGCCGCGGCAGAGGTGGAGGTGGAGGATCTCGCGTTCCATACGGTACGTCGGCTGTACCTCCTGGCAGGGATGGTGGCTGGTCAGGCGGTCGTACTCCAATGGCCGCGGGAGATTCATCAAGAACCCCAGCATGGGGAGGCGCTGCTTCATCAAGAAGTAAGTTTCAAAGCAACCCTCCTTCCAATACAATACTAACCATAATTTAGCACCTGCTTGGGGCGGCAACAGTGGTTCTCGCACTCCCGCATGGAAGAACGACGGATCACGAACCTCCAACCCCTGGGAAGCCGGAAACCGCACTGCGTACGGTGGTATTGGCAACCGAACTCCAGCCTGGAACTCTGGCTCTCGCACCCCATACGACTCCGGCTCCGGCTATGACGCCTTCGCATCTGGATCTCGCACCCCTGCCTGGGGCAACGCCGGCGCCGGTAACCGCACTCCCGCTTGGGGTGGTCTTCCCAACAGCCGAGACCAGCGTGATTTCGACGATGCCCCCACCCCTGGCGGCTACTCTGCTCCCACCCCCGGAGCTTACGGCAGCGCCCCTACACCCGGTGCTTCTGCGCCCACACCCGGCGCCTGGGCAGACAATGCCCCGACTCCAGGTGCTTATAACGCGCCAACCCCCGGTGGAATGCCGAAGCGTAGCGGTGGCGGTGCCTATGACGCGCCGACTCCTGCAGCCTATGATGCTCCCACGCCAGCCGTGGGCGGCGCGGCTGCTACGCCTGGTGCGGGTTATGGCGACGATGATGGTGGCCCGCGTTACGACGATGCCACACCAAGCCCGTGATCTAATTCTCTCTCTTTTCTCGTCGCATTTTAACCTGCTCTTTTATTTTCATACCGCTCCCCCGACTCACTGAAAAGCTAGTCGATTTTGCCTTGGTTTAGATAGGATGGCGATGGATCGGCTTCATACCTGTACTCTACTTTGATCATTGAATGTAATTTCTTCAGAAGCAGTGAATGCTATATCATCCTTGTTCGTTTCATTAAGTCTGAGTCGAACAAGGATCTCTCCTATTTGTTATAAGAAACTACATGCTGTGTTTGCTCGGATGCTTGTCCGTAGATAATGGTTCTTTGTTGCTTTCAGTGGTGACCACTTCTTGGAGTCTCGCGTCTTATTTCCCCCGTCAATCTTCTCCAACCTCCACTTTTTTCAATCCACACCCTGCGACGGCCCATATCCACCATGGAAAAAGAACGTAGCTTCAAGTTTTTCCAGAAAATCTCCGAAACGTTCTCGAACGTGATGACCAAGTTGCAGGATAATGTCCCCGCGGCAGACTCGCAACCAAAAACCATGCAAGTCAATAATCCAACGGGATCAGGGGTTTCAAGCTCTGCATGGGCTACCCTTTCGTATTTGATGGCAATTTCTCAAGCAATTCCCTACGTCGCTGAAGTTGCCTTGGTATCATCCTTGCTTAGCACTACAGAAGAGGCAGCGATGCAGCAACTTCGATATCTGTTAGGTGGCTCTGAATTTGGACCGTTCGCCCGTACGTTGGTCTCGGAGCTCGCTGGGCTAAATACCAGATACTAGTAGCAGTAGTGGTAGATGTACGTATGTCTTTACTGACATTGATTTCTAGACAGCGTTGCAACGCATTTACAGAAGATGGTCATCGGCCCCGCGAGCCTTTTTGTAAGTACCGAATCTTATGACGACCCTCACACTTCTATTCCTTTGCAGTTGATCACACTCGCACCTATCCTGGCATTGTATGCCGCTTCTCGCTTTTGGAGTTGAGGATGGGTTGTGTTGGATTTGGTCGTTCTTTCGAAATCGAGCACTACGCGTTATTTGCGCAGGAAAAGCTGCCGCCGGCTGAACTGTCGTGAATAGCTTTTCCTGAGGCGTATACGCCAAGTCCGCACTGGATTCAGTTGCATTATTAGCAATCGCTATTTAAAGTGTGTCCAATGCGGAGTGAAAAAAAGGAAAACCAACCAGAGTCATAGAGATACAGATAATACCAAAGTTCATTCCAGTTAAAGCCATCTTACGCGGTGATGATAGCCAGGATCCGCTGTTCATATGTAGCCAAAGAATAGCTGGGACTCCGAAGCTAAACCAGCTTGCAAATAAGGCACTCTGAAGCATCTGGGTAAGTCTATAATTATCAAAATTAAGGGAGGCGGGTCGTAGAGCATACCATCAGGCCAAGCAGATTATTGAAGACTGGAATCGCTGATGCGATTATCCACGCAATAATCCAAACAGCAAGCCCCATTCCAACCCAAACGCCAACCGCGATAAAGTCTCTCTTATGCATGCGCTCTGTTCCCGCAAAAATTCGGATATAAATGGTTTTAACTGCGACATGGCCATAGATGACGCCGGCGATCACAATCTGCCAAGCAAAATTAGTACGAATGACATAGATGGGAGAGATGACATCTTCGATGATTAGTTACCGTGGGTAAAGCTATTCCATAGGCGATCTTTGAAATAAGGGGACCGGTTGACCCCAATGCGGGCGAGGCGACACTATCACCAGCATACCGATAAACTACCAGCGCGATTATCGTGTAGAGTGAGATATTTACAGCCTGTAGCAACGCCAATGCTTTTGGAAACTCTCTCGGGTCTTCAAGCTCAGCCATCATGTTGAAAAAGGTGTTGTGACTCGCTGTGGTGTGTTTTTAGTCCAGGTTTGAGTCTTAGCCAGGGTTGAATCAACATACCGTATGCAAAAACTATGTTGCAAACTGATATGACAGCATTGGCCAAGGAGGCGGTTCTCGTCACGTTGAAAGTGGCTGACGTATTTTGAATGCCAAGTACAATCATGGTCAATATAACAGCAGTCAATATGCTGACAAAAGCTAAAGAAGGGCAAATTAGTTAACTCCGTACCAAATAATCAGCAACAATCACCACAATCAAACTCACATGCGAGAGAGAACCATGTCATATTCTTCATGGTTCTTGGAAGCGCGAATAAGAAAGAAATCACTGTTCCAACGACCCCAAAGACCAAAGAACAAGTTCCATGCTCAGTAATTGTGTTCATAGCCACGGTAAATGTCAAAATATGACTGGACATGATGAATATGAGGTAGAGCATATGCCCGGTAAAGAACAATTCTCTCCCAAATGGACCGAGGACAACTTCACCAGCGTCGGCGATGCTTGAAACGTGAGGATGCCTTAACTTGAACTGTCCCAGAATATACCCAGTGTAGGAAGCCACTATTCCCAGGCCAATCAAAATGATTATACCCGGAGCAACACCCAGGCCAGCAATCGCTGCTGGAAGCGACAATATGCCCAATGAGATTGTCTCGGCTACCATGAGTAGACCGCATTGCCTGGAAGTGTCAATGATCAGTCAGAGCAAAAAGCAGCAAAGCGGTAAATCAATCAATTGGTGCATACTTACCACCACTTCAATACTTTGTACTTGACTTCCGCGAATTCCTCGTCACCAAAGGCATCCTGCCGCTCAGGCTCTCCCTTCTTCTCATCCTCAACTCCAGCCAATGAACAAGGAGGGTGGCCTCCATGTTCTTCCTCCGAAATGCCGTGCGGTGACTCCATTGAAGGAGGCAGATCAACAGTTTGCGACTTCATCGTGAGTCATGAAATCCCATGTGTCTGAGTTCAATTTCGCGTTGAGAATTGCGAGGGGTAATTGGCTCCATTTTTTTGGTTGATTTGAGACTGGACTATCGGGGACGCATGCCGGCATCGGACTTGTTCCTTCCAAGGTGGAAGCCGAATTCTCGCCGATTATGTTTAGCCTGGGGCTCCACTGTCTCCTTGCCGCGGGACGGTTACCGCGCCGATCTACGCTTACTGACGGCGCGCACAAACTCATTTTGAGACATTTGGATACCTGTGAAATTCGCTATCAGGTATCTGGTTTTTGCCTCTGTGTCTGTGTGTGAATCGCATGGTTTTGTATCATTTCTTAAGTACTCTTCTTGGTACCCCAATGAGATTGTTCACCGGTTCGCAGTGGAGAGCGTGCGGAGACGACTTTCGCGGGGTACTGTGGACCGGGAAATTTCCCAGTGGCAAGAGTCTTGAATCATTTGAGAAAGAGATATGATGTGCATGATGAAGGCCTGCAAAAGGTATGGATTTATTCCCGAAAGATTGACAGCGGAGAGCGCAATTCAGTACCCCAGTCGCTGCGCATCGGGCCGGTTCTGCTATACTTGACAAAGTTGGGCCAGGATCATTAGAGTAGCCAATGGAAGTAAATTGAACCATAGTACCATGGACTTGGTTTACTGCCAAGAGCAGATTAATATACTGATTATCTACCAGATATCTCGAATACGCGATAGGTGGGAATAAGGGGGATGGAAATAGATTTGAAGATACCCGTAATACCATCAAGGACTTCAACCCCATATTTTCTTATTATTGGACATCGGATTTGATACTAGTAGTCACTAGTAGCGATATTCTTGAAACACGACAAAGATCGGCACTGGGACCGATGGATATATTTGAAAATCGCACAAGCCAACCTTGGAGGGTTCAACCTTTGCACCCGAGGCGCCAGATAACGGGCTTTTCTCATAGATCTGCATGGTGGCTACATCTATGAAAAGCAGGAAACAAGACAGACGGTGAAAAATGGCGATTTGTGTGAATATTGAAAGGAATGAGAGGTATCTTCGCTAACAAAACTACAGGATGTAGGAGGATTCACGTGATACAAGACAACTATTGCAAACAAATCTTCCTCATCCTTCACCCCCGCGATTTTACAGTCGGCTCGATGTCGTCCGCATGCAAAGGGTGTCAAGAACGACCGGTATTCCAGGGGGCGAAATACCCATTATCTTCGGTCGCCGTGAAATAGATGAGCGGAACATCAACAGTTGATTCAATCGGGACAGCCAGATCAGAACTGTGTTCCGCCTGGCAGTCGTTGTTTCACCATGAAGATGCGACTTCAAGTCCGATTTGAATGCTTGGGTTTTTGCGAATATTCAAGTTCATTTCATATCCGGGTACAAATGTGTTATGTCCACCAGGGCTGCGGATAAACCTGGTCGTGTGAGGGGTTCTCTCGGGTATATAATTCCGAGTGGAGATGGGTTGAGGTTATCCGAGCAGGCAAGTTCGCGTGGGAAGGAATGACGCGCAACAAAAGATTCCAGCCACGGTGAGACCTGGCAGATTCTACTTTGTAGCATTCAATCGAGCCGACATCATCTCCTCTGAATGTGTATCCTACGCTTGAATATCACGCTCTCGCCAGCGAGGAGTGGATATTTCTCCGATGATGGACAGGTGGTGGGAAATCCGCCACGGAAACCCGGAAAAGCATCGCCTCGGGTTGGCGCCGAAGAACGTGGGGTAGTCGCCGCGACGCGGGGTGGAATATAAAGACAAAATGGACGCCAGTCCTGATTTATCCCGATATACAGGCGGCACGATGGCGACCATGACAGAGACAGAGACCGTCACCAGGGTGGCGGTGCAAGCATCCCTGAGCAAAGACGAGATCGCGGAGCGTTTGTTCAACGGAACTCTTCACGCCGACTACCCTCCGGTTGAAGAATTTATGACCATCGATGGCTTGCTAAAATCGCATGCGGCTCAACTGGATCAAGCACGCAAGCCGCTGATATGCTACCCTGCTCGAAAGGCCGACGATTTCGAGGAACACACGGCCCGGGACCTCGACCAATACACAGATCTTGCTGTAAAATATTATATGCAGCAGGGCATAAAGCCAGCGGTATGATTGAAAAATGCACTTGACTTAATTTCAATTTAACTAATAGCCATCCAGGATCCAAGTCTGGATGAAGCGCCAGTCATTGCAATGCTCGCCGGATCGAGCTTTGAAGTTGTCCTCACCTTTTTCGCGCTCAATCGTCTTGGATATGCGGTTTTGTTCCTCTCTACTCGTCTCACAGCTCCGGCATACACAAGGCTACTGAACATGGTGAACTGCAACGAAATGATCAGCCTGGACCAGTACGCGCCAATTGTGAAAGACATCGGCGCCGAGAAGCCTGGGTTCACCCGCCGTCGTATGCTGGCACGGGATAATTGGTTCAACAAGCCAGCTGCCACACCTCGATTTGAGCGGTCAGGGGTAGACCTTAACAAAGAGAGCAAAAAGATAACTTGGATTCTGCATTCATCCGGCAGTACAGGATTTCCGAAGCCTATCTTCCTGACCAACTATCAGACTCTTGCCAATTGGCGCAAGAGCTTCGGCCTCCGGGTATTCAACATCAGTCCATTATTCCACTCACACGCCTTGATGGAACTCGGGCGAGCACTTTATACCAGAGCCCCGGCCTACCTTGGAAACCACTCCCTCCCAGTCACATATCAGAACCTTTATGACGCATTGCAAGTTGCGCAACCTCACCAGATCAGTGCCGTTCCATATGTGATCAAGTTATTGTCAGAAAGACCGGAGGGAATCCAAGAACTAGTCAAGCCAAAGCTTGTGATTTATGGTGGGTCTAGCTGCCCTAGCGACCTAGGAGACAGACTTGTTGCACAAGGTGTTAATCTGAGCGGCAACTATGGTGCGACTGAAACCGGCCAGATCATGACTTCGTTCCGCTATCCTTCCGATATTGAGTGGGAGTATATGAGGCTTCATCGTCCCGTTGCCGACCATACTCTGATGGATGAAATATCGCCTGGAGTCTTTGAATGTGTTGCTTTGGATGGCCTCCCAAGTAAAGGCCCTTCCAACTCTAAACCACCATTTTCGCCGCAAAACCCGGAAAATAGCTTTCGCACGTCTGATCTATTCACACGCCACCCCGACCCCAAGAAGAGCAATTATTACAAGTATCTGAGTCGACTTGACGATAGGCTTACCCTTGTTAACGGGGAGAAGGTTCTTCCGATTCCTATCGAGGGCCGTATTCGCCAGGAAGAATTGGTTGGAGAGTGTGTCGTTTTTGGAATTCAACGCACGGTTCCTGGAGCGCTCATCTTCCGAGCGCCAGGAAAGGCTACCCACCTGAACAATGAGCAATTCTTGAATCAAATCTGGCCGGCGGTGGAAGCAGCGAATGCCCAAGCCGAAACATTTTCGCGCCTTCCAAGGGAGCTGATTGTGGTCAAGGATGCAGATGTTGTGTATCCTAAAACCGATAAGGGAACCTGCATCCGTGCTCAAGTCTACCAGGTGTTTGAAGATGATATCAAAAAAGCCTATGCTGGTTTTGAAGGCACTGATCAGAAGAAGGGCGACCTTACCCTCAGTGTACCTGAACTAGAGGAGTGGCTGCTTACAAGATTCCGAAAGGATTTGGGTGTGCCCCTTGCAAGCCCGGAAACCGACATCTTTGGAGCTGGCGTAGACAGCTTGCAGACAACCCAAATTTGGAGGTGCATTGTACGAGACCTCGATCTTGGAGACAACACGGAAAGTGTCAGCCAAAACATTGTTTTCGAAAAGGGCACTGTTGGCGATCTTGCGAAACATCTGTACCACTTGCGGACCGGCGAGACCTTTGAACAAGAGAACGAATTGGAGGTCATGGAGGAGCTCATTGAAAAGTATTCCCACTTCACCCAACACCATCCCACAATTCAACAACAACCTCAATCAGAAGTGGTTGTTGTCACGGGAGCCACTGGTAACTTGGGTGCATTTGTTGTTGCCGAAATTGCCAAACGATCAACTGTTTCTGAGGTCTGGGCTGTCGTCCGAGCCTCAGGTCAAGCTTCCGCTGGAGCTCGACTTTGGAAGGCTATGGCGGATCGCAATATCTTCCTCACAGACGAAGAGGCAGCCAAGGTGCATGCTGTTCCTAGCGATCTTTCGAAGCTTAATCTCGGCTTGGAAGGATATGTTCTGGATCACCTTCTGTCCACTACGACCTCCATCATCCACAGTGCTTGGGCTGTCAACTTCAACCTGGGAGTTCGATCATTCGAGGAACAGCACATCCGGGGAACATATAATCTCATCAACTTCTGCCTGCGATCTAAGCTTCCTTCACCAGCCCGATTTTTCTTTTGCTCCAGTGTCAGCGCGGCGAGCGCTACCCCCAAGCCAGCCTCCATCTCGGAATCTGCCGTTGAAAAGATCGAGCATGCTCAGAAAATTGGCTATGGACGATCGAAGCTCGTTACGGAGCACATCACTCGTAATGCGATGCGGAAGACCGGCATGCACGCGCGAGTCTTCCGAGTTGGACAGCTGGGTGGTGACACCGTGACCGCACAATGGAATGAGACCGAAGCGATCGCGCTCATGTTCCGCAGCACTCTGACAACAGGAGCGTTACCGGAGCTCAATGAGCGACCGAGTTGGTTGCCTGTGGATCAATGTGCTACAGCTATCTCAGATTTGGCACTGAACCCCGACAATGCCAACTCTTCGGACGCCGACTTAGTGTATCACTTGGTCAACCCACATTCATTCAGCTGGAAAAATGATCTGCTCCCCGCTTTGAAGAAAGGATGCGCGTTGCCGGATTTCGGGGTTGTCTCGCCACAGGAGTGGCTCAAGAGGCTCGCAAACAGCGATCCCAACCCCGAGACGAATCCCAGCATCAAGCTTCTAGATTTCTGGAAGGGGAAGTATGAGAATGCTCCGACGCCGAAGGCAGATGAAGAAGAGCCAGCAGGTCTGTTTTTTGAAACAGACAGCACAATTCGTGACTGTCCTTCGCTTGGTGATGTCAAAGACCCTGTTGCTGCAGGTCTGATACAGAGATACATTGAAGTATGGATGAAGAGTTGGACCCGCACATAAACTAGATACCTCAATTACGATTCTTTTACGGTTACAATCCATGAATTCCTTTTCAAGTCCAATAAAAGAAAGTAAATATTTAAGTCATCTTCAACGTAATCCTGGTCCCGAGTGATTGATGTTCTATCTAGTAGACTAGTTACGAATCGCTCGATCAATGATATCTGCAACCTGAAGGCACGCTTCGTCCTGGAAGCGTGTTGTAACAACTTGAATAGCACACGGCGCACCATCCACCTCACCGGGAATATCTGAAAATAGTAAGAAGATGTTAAGCGAAATTTGCCAGAAGAGTACTCACAGTCTGGCTGCACACTGTCCGTTGTCTTCATTTCTGTCGGATCTAGCTCCTTGGAAGCCTTTCCAAACGGAATAATACAAGCAGGATACTAGAATCAAAATCAGCCATTTTCACAGATATGATCAGAATGAAAGCAAAAGAACTTACGTCAAGCACGTTCCATATCAAAGAATAGGGTGGCCATCCGAACGTATCATAGCCGACCGCCGTATTTTGAGCTCCGGGGGCAATAATCACATCGAGCTTCTGCTTCACCCATGTTTGTCGCCAGGCGTCAGAGATGCGGCTTCTAGCTTCATGGAGCTTCTGGATTTTTTCGAATGTGTCTAGCTCCATGTCCACCGGCCATGGCCCCGTGAACATAGGAGACGCGTGCTTTGCGACTGAGTTGACAGGTGGTTCACCACTGGGCGCAATATGATCGATATGCGGGCCGTACACAAAATACTGAAACCCGACACGATTGGCATATGCCACAGAAAGATCGTCGTCAGTATCATTTTCAATTGAGACGATTTTATGGCCGGCACGCGCAAGCTTTTCAACTGCGTTCTGCAAAGCTCGTTTGACGGGCGGGTGAAGAGGGAATTGCTTGTCTTCGGACAGCACTCCAATGGTCAGACTCTCATTGTTCTTAAGTTTGGCAGGTTGAGACGAATTCCACGGGACGGCAGCTGCGGTTTGATCGTAACGCCATGCGTGACCATCACCTACAACTGCATTCATGAACAGCTGTAGATCCGAGATGCTGTGTCCCAATGGACCGGCAGATGGAGCAACGATTGGAACCCCTTCCAGAGCGCCAGAAACCTGGCCACCAAATGGAACTCGGGATGTGGTTGGCTTAAATCCATAGACTCCGCAGCATAGTGCAGGGATGCGAATTGAGCCTGCGATATCGGTCCCCACGCCCAAAATAGACCCGCGGAATGCAACCAGCGCTCCCTCGCCGCCGCTTGATCCACCTGCCGTCAGAGAAGTGTTGTGCGGGTTGAGGGTTCGGCCGAATATGTTATTGTCCGAGTCCCCAGTCTGAACGTTTTTAGCACTATAAATACCAATAGAGGCTTTAGGAACTCACCATCATGGTCTGAGGAATGTTTGACTTCACGTATAGGACTGCTCCTAGTGCCAGAAGCAATTCAACCAGGGCAGAATTCGTCGTTGCCGGCTCATGCTTGAGAAATTCCACATAGCCTATAGTAGACTGCACACCCTTGACATTGAAACTATCCTTGATACTGATAGGCAGGCCGTGCAGCGGGCCAATGGGGTTGCCTTCGCGCTTTAGATAGGCGTCGAGACTTTTGGCTCTCTCGAGAGCTTCCGGAAAGAATGTTTCTGTGAGGCAGGATGTCTAGAGATGACCATGTGGCGTCAGTATCCGAGACAACTTCATCGTTACTTTTTCGTTAAACATACCACTTGTTGCGCAATGGCTGCTCGTTTGCAGAAGGCTGTGGTAACCGCTAATGAACTAGCTTCGCCTAATGCTAGCTTTGCTAACAGTTGAGCTGCGGTATATTTCTCTGTGAGATCCAACTCAAGCTCAGATAGCAACCCACTCCGACGCGGCAGATCGTGTTCTAGCAACCGTGGTGGTACGGCCAGCAGATCCGTGCTGAGGGTCCATTCGGAGGGGATTTTCTGCTTGCATTCACTTTGCTTGCGAGCAACGAGCTCTTGCCAGTTTTGGCTTGGTGCAGCGACTTCGGTTGCCATGAGGAATGAACTGAATTGAACAAACTCGATGTTTTCACCTGTTGGCTACTTCAACTTTATATAAAAATATCTCGTGTAGTACTAGTAGTATCTTATGATGATAAGGATAACGATGAGGGGCAGTCCATCGGTAGTTTCCCCACCGATTCTCGTTGATTCACCGCGTCTCCACAGTATGAATCCCTTGCAATGTTTCGGTGCGTCCACCTACTAGATTCGGCTAAGTGCATATTATGTGACACAGATTGCTTTTACTGCCTCGGTACACGCAAGCTCCTCAACTACCGTGAATCTATGCCTTCGCAACCACGTTCTCCGGCTTGACACCAGGGAAATTGGTGAGATGATACGCGTCGATCCAGATCTTTCCATCTTGGCAGCTCATAACTCCCAAACACACAAGCCCATTCAACCAATTGTATGGCCCTGGACCTGCCTCAATCCGCAGATGCGAGAAGAACTCCACATCATCTTGCGATATCGTCGACGGAGGAATCAAAGTCGGATCGGTTTCGACTTGCTTCGCATAGTTTGTCCCCGGGCCAGGACGGTAAAGTCCATGCGCGCGAATGTAGAGATAATAGTTATCATTCGTTCGCACCGTGTATCGAGCATCAAGTTTCATGGACTGGATAATGGTCATTATAAAAACTCCCAAAGCGATTTCTAGTTCTCATACATGCGTTCCCTTGATAACGGTAGCCCAATCCGCACCTCCCAGAGGCAAAATATTGCCTTCAATCCTAGGTCCCTTCAAGCTACCGCGTGTGATATTGACGATGCTTCGAATGACTCCAGAATCATGTGGGGCTCCGAGATCAAAGTCCTCGGTCGTTTCGCACTCTAGACGGTACAGAAAGGCGATGGAAGGGAGGCGCATTTGCGGGCCGTCGGGGAAAAAGGCATTGCCAGGCGAGGGAGAAGTAGACATGGTCAGCTGATTGAAGATGAGTCAAGTTTCGTTATTTTTCCCTTTGTGAACTCACATTTCTTGAGTCTGGAATGGCTTTTAACTCATCGTCTTGTGCTTCATGATACTGCGGAATCCGCGGGTTCCAGAAGTGTGGAGTCATTTCCCCCGCGCACATCAAAACCAGCAGGTGGACCCTACCACAAACGTTTATCAGTTATCAGTTATCAGTTATCAGAGAAAGCTTAAGGCCGTTGCATAGATTGGAACTGATGTCAAGGTGGTATGAGGGTCACTAGTGAGGAACAGGGAAGTCCAAGAGGCTGCAGCTGATTAGCCAGGAACGATCACCCTTGGCTGCCGGTTACAACACGCCATCGCGCCCTATTTGAGATAGCTTTTTCCTCTTATTGAATCAGCTCTACTTGCTTTTCTTTACAGAAGTGAAAATTCCTTTTCATACTCCGTACTATCCCCCGATTCTTTTGTCCACGTCTTCTTTACGACACCATGCCTTTTGCCAATATGCTCCTGGAAGATCCTGCGATCCCAGCTATAGAGCGACAACAAGCTTTAGATCGCATCTTCGCAGATCCGGGGATTCCTCAAAATACAACTACATCATCCTTTTGGCTCAAAGATCCTCATGCAAGTTTTGCGACTCGGTCCTCAAAACCTCTCCCCGCCGAGGCTGATGTTGTTATCATCGGGTCAGGCATCACTGGCGCATCCATCGCACGTACCTTACTTGAAAATGGCATCAAGTCCAACTCCAGTCGGGAAGTCCCGTCTGTCATTATGGTTGAAGCTCGCGATATTTGCAGTGGAGCTACCGGTCGAAACGGTGGACATATCCTGGAGACTGCAGACGAATATTCCGAGCTAGCGGACGAGCACGGGGAAGAGGTTGCGAAGAAGACCCTTCGCTTCCGTCTTGCTCACCTGAATGAGATGCTCAATGTTTGCGAGGATCTTGGATTGACGGAACATGTTCAGGCACGCAAAGTACAGTTTCTGAGCGCCTTCTTTGGAGAGGAGGCCTGGAAAGATGCGTTGGAGCGATTGAGTCGATTCAAGGCCGGCATGCCAGAGGAAGCTGCCGAATGGATCGCTTACGATAGAAAGTCGATGCCGGAAGATTTCAAGCTCTCTCGGGCTCATGGTGTTATCGCTGGGCCAGCAGGCGCACTGTGGCCGTACAAGTTCGTGACTAGTCTTCTGGCTCATCTACTTTCTAAACACCCCGGTCAATTCCGCGTTGAAGATCAAACCGCCGTCACATCGATTAGCGAGACGCCATCTTCCACCTACAAGTATCGGGTCGAGACAAGTCGAGGAGTGACCTCAGCTCGGCATGTAATTCATTGCACAAATGCACACGTCACCCATTTAGTGCCCGGCCTCCGTGGTCGTATTTTCCCGTTACGCGGACAGATGTCCGCTCAGACACCTGGAAGCAATTTCCCCTGCCAGGCTGCCAAGCATTCTTGGATGTTCAGTTATGACCGTGGCTTCGATTATCTCACGCAGCTACCGAGTGGACAAATGATGTTCGGAGGCGGCTTTGCCCGGAGTGAAGGTGGTGGCATTGCTGATTTGGGAGTTGCGACGGATAATGAAATGAGCCTGTATTGTGATATCCATCTCTCGGGCGCTCTCCCGGTCGTCTTTGGACGCCAAAACTGGGGCGAGATTGACGGTGATCCAGTGCAGGCCATGTGGACTGGTAACATGGCTTTCAGTGCAGATGGTTTCCCCTGGGTCGGACAATTGCCCAGTTCTGTGACAGAACGACCTGGATCTACTAGTGCTGAGACCGGATCTGAATGGGTGTCTGCAGCATTTGGTGGCGAGGGAATGGTCCAAGCATGGCTGTGCGGAAAGGCTTTGGCGACTATGTTGCTAAAGCGGGATAATAGACTTTCTCCAGCTGTCGATGGGGACATTTCATGGTTACCAGCTCAAATGCTCGTAACCGAAGATCGGATATCGAAGTCCGTTCTTTCGAGAACAGTTCCATCGTCGCAGAGAGCTTCGCTGTGAGAAAGCATCCACATACGACTTAACCAACTTCTCGTTGTATAATTAGTTGCTGCCCAGGTGGGACCTTTATTTTGGGTATTCTGCTTGTCCTCTTCGGCGCTCTCATGCAGCCTAAGTATTGTTATCTACCATATTGATAATCCCAAGATAGAAACCGTTTTTTGAAGGCATCTAATATTTCACGTATCGTACCTCTTGAATCACAAGATAATATTAATGCGAAATTGAAGAGAGGTTGATCTTGAATGAAAATGAGCGATTTCCATTCACGTAAGAAAAGAACATCATAACATAAGTACCAAGTCCAAACCTTGGAAGGTCATTTGTACATGAATTTTCACATATACATAAATGTCATAGGAATCTCAGAAAGAAATTCTCAGTGTGCACCCAGGCTACCCTGTTGCTCAACTAGTCGATAATATCTCACAGCTAACGCCCGACGAGCTGTCTTTCCCCAGAAGATCATCGGTACTGCGAGAAGTGTAACTCCGAAACTAATAAACCCACAAGCAATGAACATGTTTTGCAGCCCATTTCGTGCGATCCAGGGTGTGATAGCGAATGGAATACCAATACTGCAGGCATTGCGAAGGAATGCAATTGCTGTAAAGGCGTCTCCGGTAATCTAAAATGAGTGTCAATAATCGGTCTCTGCAAACCTCAGCGAATGGAGTGGTATTTACATCACGGTAACTATCGATCACCAGAGTCAAGGAAGCATCACCAATACTGCCGAGTCCAAACCCGAAAAGGGCGCCACCAACACTAGGATAGATCCAGTGCATTCCCTGGCAAATCGCGTTGTTAGCACGATACACCATGACTGGTAGCTAGGGGAGACGGAAGAAATATCCATCCTGCAGAAGGCTGTATCACCGACCGAACTTACCCGTTCAATTGTAGCACCAAACATGATTATACCTCCAGCCATCGTCAGGGCCGGAAGGTGAAGAATATAAAGACGCATCTCCGGCTCGTAAAATCCATTATTTCTGCGAGAGAAATAGAGGATCGACCAATCACCCAAAACACCGCCGTAGACTGCTCCGAGTAGGTTTCCGATAAACGGTCCCAAGCTCATGAATCCAATTTGTTCGGGAGTGAAAAGATATGGTGGGAGTGGAAAGACCAAGGATAGCACACTTGACAAAATAGTCAGCCAAATGACGCCAGCGGCATACTGAAGGCCCGCAAACATCACCGCGGGGAAGGTAAATATGGTTTTGAAAGGACGATAATAATAGGGCCAGATCGATTCTGGAGTCGCGGTAACAAGAGCCAGACGTTTTCGCCAAGAATTGAGGGGAATGGTTGTGTCTAACTGGTGACTCTGGGTGCTTGGCTCGTCGGACACCGAAGCCTTGGTCACCGACGGTGCCTTTTTGGTGTCTGGGTCGCCTGTGCTCTCAGGATTATCATCCTCAGCAGTTCCGGGTCTGGGACTCCCTGAAATTACAGGCGTATATTTTGTTTCCTCGTAGAGAAAGATGAAAAGTATCACAAACAGGGCGTTGAAGATACCCAGCGTTGTGTATGACCAGCGCCATCCCTGTCTAGTTGCTTGAGTACCCGCCGCCATCGGTGTAAGAAAACTCTGCAACCATATTAGAAAATTCATTCGGCCTGAGTTTGGCAATTTGGGAGGATTCATTGCATACACCAATCATCACCATAGTCATGTAGAGACCGTTCATACTGCCACGATGGTGCACGAAGAACAAATCTGCAATCTGAGGAATGTCAGCTAAGACTTGAATTTCAAGGTGAGAGTATTTCGTACCGTAATCATTGCAATTGTTTCGTTGACTGCCCCTCCGAGCCCTTGTAATAGGTTGCAAATGTAGAGCTCTGTTATAGTCTCCAATTTAGACATCCAAAATGAAGTCGCGAGTAGGACTGAGGCGGAGACGATGTAAACGGGACGACGGCCAAATTTCTTCGCTACGGGAATGAAAATCACGCATCCCACGGCAAGGCCTACGAAGTTGACCGACATTGATTGATTCAGCTGCTCATACTCGACCTGAAGATCAACTATCATTTGCTGCCAAAAGATTGGTTGGATTGAAAGACTATCCAAAAGCGTATACAATGAGTACGACTCGGGATAAATCGAGCACCTGAGCTTTCACTTACAGGGTGAATGTAACAATCGTCATTCCCAGGACTATGGTCCAGTTGACAGCCTTGCGGAGGGTGCTCCAATTCTTCCTCGTCAGATCGAAAGCAAACGGTTGCACAAAAGACTAAATACTCACTAAAGGCTCATTGGGATCGCTCGTTGGAACAGGATCGAGCATAATAGTCCGTTGACCACCGGACTCGGACATGTCCTCTGATTGTGAGATTAGTCGTGCTTTCTTTTCTGAGATCTGTGCAATGTGCCTTACCCCGAATGAGTAGGAAAGTCCCAGGGGGCGCAAGGGTGTCACCCCCATAAACTGAAGTATCAAAATGGGATTCCATTGTGCAGCTTGAAAGATATTGAGCCTTAACCCACAGTAAACTGAGCGAAGAAGTGTTGAAATGAGGCGATATTTAATCATTCCTCTCGAGTGTGTAGATGTGATTAGCACCGAGTCCACATGATAGGGGCTTAGTATAGTTTCAAGCCACTACAGCGAACATAGTGATCATTCACTTCAATTCGGTGAGATAAGCCCTGGAATCTGGGGGTGGCAATGAATCATCGGGAACGGAGTGCGGAGAGAACGACATCTAGTCCTTTTGTGGCGGCGACGCTATCCACATTTTGGGTGCAGGGGGTCGGCCTTCTTAAAAGAGTAAGGAGCGACGCGATAAGCGGAGCGAAGTACGCGAGATCGTCACCAAACTCCGGCTAGCTCGTTTCGCGTTGATACTTCATGATACGTCGGAATTTCATGACTAAAGTATTCTGATGAAACTCCTTTGTTTGGTAGGCGGACGCACCTTTTTTGGATGACGCCTAGGAATCGCATGTAGACTTGCTGATAAACAGAGCGAAATGATTTTTTATTCGTTAAATTCGAAGATTCCGCTTTTCCTAGCATATCTCTAGGTACTAATTGTGCCCGATCAACGATCATCCATCGCAATGTCTACCAGAGATAATAAGATCAAGCTATTTCAAGCTCATAATGGTTCGCATACTCATCCTATGGCTATTTTTTTGATAGACTAACGTGAACACCAATTATTAGAGGCCTCTATCGCAGCGATCGCTCGAACTGTCAATGCAGCCTTTTCTTCTGACCCGCTGATCCAATGGCTCCGCCCGAATGCGCAACCCTGGGCCCGACAAAACCTCAATATTCAGAAATGGCAACATCGCCGTGTACAGTCAATCATGGCCAATGGGTTGGTTTTTCAATCATATGATGTTAGCCAGATTGCCCGCGAAAATCCACAAAAGGGAGAAGCAAGACAATCGTCTCAGAGCTCAGATAGCTCATTCGGGAAGTCGGCTGAAGTGTCTCTGTATGAGGAACAAGCTAAAGCTGCAGGGTTAGAAGATGCAGGTGCTGTCGTCTTTCTTTTTCCACCTCCAGGAGAGATTGGGTGGTCCTTCTCCCGTACATTGTTAAAATGCAAGATTTGGCTGCTGGAAATCTTCAACCCTATTGAGGATAAGGATTGCAAAATGGAGGTAATGTTTTCACCATTTTAATTTCTTCATAGATCAGATCTGACATTTTTTAATCAATTTAGAGAGTTGATCTAATGATGTCATCTCACACAAAATCCCTGGATTCCTTACAAACGGAGTACAGACAGGGATTATGGTATCTAGAAGTCGTCGCCGTTCATCCCTGTTTGCAGTCGAGAGGGATCGGCAAGAATGTTATGAAGTGGACCTTGGACTATACTCGAAATCAGCCTCTGTATCTCGAGTGTACTCAAGAGGGGAACATTAGATTCTACGAAAGTTTTGGCTTCCGTGTTGTCGAGGAAATGGTATTGACGGATGAAACTTCCCATAACGAAAGCGCTACAGTGAAGTTATGGGGCATGATACGGACGGGCGAAGACAGTGCACAATAGAGGCGAAACATCTTGTACTCTGTCCATTTTCAAGATTATTTATTAAATGAATAGACAGAGCCCTTCCGCAAGCTCATAGCAATCCCATCTCAAGGCCTCTTTCCCGGGCCAAGTCATCCACGTTCAAGTCTGGATCATTCCTTCGCCACATTTCCTCCAGTAGACTCAAGAGGATCTCATCCTGCCGTGATCCGAATGTACAAGTTCTAATAGCCTTTTGGCATTGGGGGTTCTCTGCCAATACGGTAATCTCCAACCCCGCCACGAATATTGGGAAGAGAACGGCATTCTTGATAAAAGCATCTTCCGTGGGTCGCTCGGTGCACGCCAGTCTCAATGCATCCATATTAGCCATGATGCGTGTTACCAAAACCGTTGCATCTGCGCACGAATTTGGCTCTTGGCGCGTTGACAAGTCGCAGATCTCATGGTCATCTTTATTCCGCACGGACCGTAGATGTCGGCGAAGCGATAAGATTCCAGCTAGCCGATGAGCCTCCCACAAATAGCATTGCAAGAAACTGCCCGGTTCGCCTGCCCAGTCCCAAAAATGCTGCTCTGTGGTATCTATCCCGATACCTGCGAAGATATCTAGTAGCGTTCGCGGCAGTCCACTTACCGGTTCTACGCCTCGCCTCGGTGTGGCTGACTGGCAGTACCGACGCCAGATGCCGATGCAGGAACTCTGACGGCCTATGGAGGAAGGATGGGTCTGTCGACCAATCGAGAAACAAGGCAGATCCATCACTCCCATGACCTCGAGTAAATGACTGCGGAACGTGGAAGTTCCGCTATCGGATGCCCCATCGGAAAGGCCATGGCTTTGCAAGATATTGTGCATGCCTTCTAGATGCATTGTCCACGGCAATCCATGCATCAACTAAATAGCAGTTTATTAGCATTATCCAGGTCACCACTTTCGCAAGCCAATGGAAGGGTGGCCGCATCTCATATCAGGGTAACGCACACCAATGCTACACAGCAGCAGCCCGGCTGTCAACGTTCCGTCCAAGAGGCTCGTGCTACGGGCTAGTTCAGATCTGAACTTCCGTAGAGATGTGTCAAAGTATTCTAGAAATTGCGAGCTATGGTGGTTGCTGAGAGATAGTTGGAACGTGAGGCAAATGGTGTACAGAGCATCAGATTCCTCGCGAAGCTGGGGAAGTCGGGGCTGCAGCATAGATTCTCGCGCAGTAGTCGAGTGGAGAACGTTGATACCATTTTTCAAAACTATTTTTGCTTAGCATCAAATCTTATGGAACTTCATGATTAGACAGGAAAGAAAAACGGTAATACCACTTACATTCATTAAAGATGACCTCTTCTTCTTCCTCTCTCGCCGTCTTCAAGCAGACTGGTTCGCCAAATTCAGGACTCATCACGTCGAGCTTCACTATGCAACGCGTCAGATACAGCCAAATTACGGAGTACCCATCCTCGAAGAGAGACCCACCAGGTATCTGACCTTGAGGCTCCAACCTCATCTTCTCCCGAATCAAGTCCCGCTGCCTCCCCTTTGGCCTCGGCGGCACGCTCTCCTCAAGCGGCTTGTCTGCTCCGGTATATCTACCGCGCGAGGCAATACCGCTCCCCCATCGCAATCGCACTTCATATCCCTCGCATTCAACCCCCCGGCGCGCACAGCCCTGGCAAGTTGGTCGAGTGTTGTCGCAACGCCGACGGCGGCGCTTGCAGGTCCAGCAACCTTGATATGAGCGGGTCGACATTCCAGATTGAGGAAGGAATATATCAGTTTGATCTCGGTCAGATTGCCTGGTTGAGATGTATCTCGTAACCGAGGCGTCTGGGAGAAGCTAAGAGTTCATTTAATGCGCGGGCAGGAGAATGCGGGGGAAGTGGAGCTTGTGGATTAACTTCTGATAGCGCGTCTGGCTTCCTTTTTGGGATGATAAGGACCAAAGGACCAAAATTGGGATGCTCTAGTACTATGTATGGCATTTCTTTTGACATGTACTAGTAGTAAAATAGACAGCTCAAGCATATCATATAAATGAGAGATAGCAAGATATTCTAGCACGTGAATCTACTTCTGTCAACTTGAACTACTTCCAACCCATGTCATTCCAAACCCCCATCTCCAAGTGCACGACTACTATCCCTGGCCTGGGTAGGCTGGATGGTCTACAATTTGCCAACGGCGTGCAGCAATTCAGCGGTATTCCCTACGCAGATCTTGCCAAAAGATGGACTCGATCTATCCTCAAAACTTCCTGGGAGGGTCAATTCCATGATGGGACCAAACAAGGGTAGGTATAGAGTTACCTCTTCGATTCATCTCGAGCATCAAAAAGAAACCAGAATCTCATAATTCAATCTCAATAGGAGTAATTGCCCAAATCCCACCACCCCAGGTGACGATTCCGATGAACTTGTGCCCGTCCCTCCAGCACCACACTTCACCGAATGGAACGTGGACGAACTTTCCGCCCTGGTTCTTAACATCGTGATTCCTCACGCTTATCAACCCACCACCACCGACAAAAAGAAACCCTTCCCAGTCTTCGTCTATGTTCATGGAGGCTCTCTCCTCTACGGCGGCGCCAACCTCCCCATCTTCGACCCGGTAAATCTAGTCTCCCACAGCATCACCATAGACCAACCCATAATCTGCATAAACTTCAACTACCGCGTCGGACTAGGCGGATTTCTCGCCGGTTCTACAATAGCATCCTCCCTCGCTCAAGATGGACACGCAGGTAGCGGAAACTTTGGTCTAACAGACCAACAAACCGCCTTCTCCTGGGTGCAAAAGTACATCGGACATTTCGGCGGCGATGCATCGAACGTCACCGCAGTGGGCGAATCAGCCGGTGGAATATCAATAAACAACCAACTTCTCTCAGCAAAACCGCCCGTCTTTCATCGCGCGGTTTGTATGTCGGGCTTGGCAGTTTCGATTCCTCCGTGGACGATTGCTCAGCATGATCGGTTGTTCGAGGCTGTTTGTGCGCATTTCTCGATCGATTCGGGTAGTGATGGTGTGATGGATAAACTCCGCGCTATTCCACAGCAGGATCTTGCGGATGCAACGCCGCTTATTCAAGGTGTGCCATCCGGCACGGGTAATCCTTGTATAGATGGGTGGTTCTATCCCGAGGATCTTGATCATAGTGCCGTTCATGCGCCGCCGCTGTGGTTGGAGAGCTTGATGATTGGGGATACGTACCACGAGGGAGTTATCTTCCATCTCAATCTACTTGAGGGAGAGGAAAGTTTTGCCTCTATTCGCAGGACGCTTCAGTCTCATATTCAGGATGAGGGTGAGACGGATCTTTTTCTCCGGGAATATGAAATCACCGATGATCTTTCGCCGGCTGAACTTTTGGTCAGGGTCGAACATATGTGTGGTGATGCTATTTTCAAGATTCCGAACTACATTCTCGCGGAGATTTGTGTTGGGGGAAAGTCTGAAGTGCAAGAGAGCTTCTACTCGTATCACTTTGATCAGAGGTCTCGCATTAAGAATTCGTTTGAGGGTACAGCGTATCATGCTCATGAACTGTTGTACCTTTTTGGAAATTTGGAGAACGAAATGAATGATTCGGAGCGCGAGATGGTGAAGGAATTCATGTCGGCTTGGATACGGTTTGCAAATGGGCTTGCACCGTGGCATTCGAAAGGGGAGAAAAGATGGATGGTCTGGGGGCCAGATAGTAAATTCGAGTTGAAGAATGAGGCCGAGGACGAAGATGTACGCGGATATGAGAGAATCAAGATGATCTTGGGGCTTGGGAATGGGACGGTGTGGAAGAAGTGGCTCGCTGGTGTTGACTCGTTAGTAACAAGGCGCTGGAAACTAGAAATGTAGGTCAATAGGGGATAGCTACTGAATTATTGAATACAGTACCACCATGGGATAAGTGTCTACTACTTCTTTTTATAAGAAGCGCAAAACTCGAGTGTAAGATAGGTAGCCATGGCGTGGTTAGTCTATCCTCTCGTTATTCAGAAATAGTTCTCCCCGTCCAACGCTACCATAAGAATACGCATCATCTAAAAGAGAGAGGAATTGAAAGGTCCTATGATGGTAAAAAGGAAATTCTTGCCGATCCTGTCTATTGCTGCCGTCTCTTTTTAAACCCACGAAGAATTAATACCAGTGAGAACCATATCTGCAGAACAAGAAAGAAAAAAGAGAGTTGGAAGAGCTGGAAAAGCTGGAAGTAGAGGGTGCAAGGGAAGCGGAATCCCGAATAGAGTGTTAGAATACATGGTACAGAAATTGAACAGAAATGGAAAAGAAAGAAAAGATTCGTATCAAGACTTCACCCGTGCCAGCACGCGAACATTATCCACGAAACCCTTTACCAGCTCTTCGTATTGGTTCTTCGGGTCACCGGCTGCAGCAAGTTGGCCCTGTCGCTTAAGCTCAGCGCCCGAGATTTCGACTTCGAGCTCATGGTCGAATTCATTTTTCATTGCGGACTATGAGGAGGTCAGAAGGTCGGTTCAACACAGTAACACAACGTCGAAGGGTAGTAGAAAAGAGAGCGGGAAGGGGAGGAGGGGGGATGTGGGTTCGAGTGGGAGAACATACTTCGGCCCTGGCCACTTGGGTCAAGTCGACTTGGTAGGCTTGATGTCGATAGCTCATACGATCTTTGTTGCGCTCACCGCGACCACTGCTTGCGTCCACGACGGGCAGATTCCGAATATCACCTTCGTATTCCATTTCCAGATTCACGCTCACTCGCCAGTCAAAAGCCGTGCGGGGGCTATAAATGTCCATATCTGCGACTCGGCACTTGATGATTTTCGCGAGGACTTCGCCGGTTCGTTGGTCTGTTGTCACACGAACTTTGGGTTTGTGACGAGGGTTCAGATTCGACCGAATGACTGGGGTAGCTCTTCAGGCGAAACTTCGTAGAATGTATCGCGCTCCTTCTTGTGGGCGTATGAGAGTTGGATGCGAGGTGGGATCATAGAGTCCTTCACGGTCTGGTTGAGGAAATTGTTATAAGCACGGTGTTGCTCCTAGTAAATAACCGTTAGTTCCAGATTCCACATTTCAGACTACTCCGATTAAGTTGTACTTACGACTGTCATGTTGCTCTCGAATGATGTCCTGAATCCCGCAGTTTCCTTGCTGATGATCGCCTCGGTTTTTATTGGCAAAATCAGCCTCTCTCTGCGGTCTTGGTCGATAATATGACCCAACTTCGCTTCCACCTCAATAATCGCACCAGCTCCGGTGGCTGCTGCGCCCGCTGGTCCCGTGCCAACATCATTTCTGGCGACCACATGTCGGAATAGGAAGTCGCAGAGTTCATGTGTAATCTCTTCGTGCGGAATGAAACCTGTTATCGAGGGCTCCCAGATGCCAAGAGCTCCTTCTTGGGCGGGACTTCTTGATGCAGGCTGGGCCGGGGTAGGGGGAGGGGGAGGACCGTTCGGGACTGGTGCAGCTGCTGCTCCCGGTGCCCGAGTTATACGTGATGGCGTGGCGGACGGTGGTGGTGGACCGGTTGTGGAGGATCTTCTGCCAGCTGCCCACGATTCCTGAAGCGATTGCCTCGCGTGTTTTGGAACTGGGGGCCGGGGACTGGGTATAACAGGACATTTGCCCTTGGTACGAGCTGATCGTTGTGCATAAATGGGAGGCTCGTTGTACCGCCGCCTCTTTGCTTTGGGGGGTTGACTACTGACCCGGGAAACAGGTTCATGGTCGACCTCCATCTTCAAAGGATGCGATCCACTCCTTTGTCCGGAGGGCGAAGAGTTCATTTGTGAATGAACAGTCGCGATCGGTGAAACGCGTGCATCTGATCCCGGCCCTGATCCAAACGGAGTCGAAGGGCTTTCGTTCCACTTCCTTTCTTCCGAAGATCGTGTTGGAACCGCGCCTGTCGCGTCAGACGGGGCTGCTGTGCTATTTCGCCTCGAGGCGGCTCGGGGAGTGGTATGCTCGACGGATTCTTGCTTGACGCCGGGATGAGGTTGAGATGCGGAATCGGAAGTTCGACTTCCTGGTGAAAAGTGACGCTGGGCTGATGGTGAATGAGTCCGGGACAAATCTCGGATCTGCGGGTCTTGTATCTGCCGAGGGCTGGAGAGAGGGTTGTGGGAGTCTTGACCTGAGGATTGTGGACGCGCCGAAGAGGGCGATTGTCGAGAGGCTAAATTTGGGGGAGGGCCCAAAGGTGTGCCTGGTACGGATCGATGGGCGGAAGGAGAAAATTGATGTTGATGCGGTGGAGGTGGTTGGGGAGCGGCGGAGGGGAAGTTTTCTTTGTTAGGAAAGGTCTCGGCCGGGGCGCGCGGGTTCGCCATCACAGAATGAAGGGAATGAGACCGTTGTTGAGCGAAATATGACTGCTGCTCAGGAGGAACATGGGGCCCAGCGCTCATCGGCTGTGGAGTGTATGGTGAGGCCAGGGGACCCGCGGGGTGTTGGGGGTGCGAATTGTACACCGACGCGCCGTACTGATCACGCGCGCCAAGTCCATATGGAGTCGAAACACTCGAGGGACTCTGAGTTTGCTGAGGTGGTATCGCCGTATTTAACGGTGGGGGACCGGCATTGAATTGTTGGTAAGGAGACGAATGGGCAGGGCCACTGTAGGATGCGGCTCGCTCTGGGGAGGCGTGCGAGGGGTGGTGTTGGCCAGGCGGAGGGCGATTGGGATAGTCGGTCACAGGAATCTGCGCGCGCTGCTGATGAGCAGGATCGACCTCGATCGGAGAACTCGAGGATTGAATAGCCGCTTGACGGTTGGAGGCACCGCCGTCGGTGTTCATGATCGTGCGCAAATCCATCGCGCCAGCTTTCACCCGCGGGAGACCACGACGGCCACCAGCGCGAGGCAAAGGTTATGGTTGAGGACAAGCGACCGGGGATTGCGACATGCAGAGCGAAGGGTGAGGGCGGGCGGTGGTGATGGAGAGGGTGCCCAGGTGGGATATTCGATACGTGGACAAAGGAGAAGTTCTCGGACCGCAAGGAGCTCGGGAGGATCCTCCCGCATTGGGATGAGAGCTTTGGACTTAGCAGTAGAAGGTAGATGTAGTGTACTCCAGTTGAATAAATTGAGATATACTAGTGCTAGGTATTGATATTATTCTAGTAAATAACTTGAATTTCTATTTTCTGTTCCATAATCATATTCTTGGATCAAAGGTAGCTATCAATCTACTTCTTTGATGCCACTTTGTAGCTACGGGTCACGTGACTGTATGACTAATCATATAGTAAGTCAACTTTGACAGCGACAGTGGCACTGACAGATATCACTATAAAAAATGAGGGAGTGGAATATAATTTAACGAGACTAGTATCAGCCACCTCCGGGGGGTATCTTCAAGCTGTTACTTCAACTCTGCCAGCCTGGTGTGCTACGGTTTGCTCGGAAACCTGCTAGTGACAGCCCGAATATATACTTCGAGTCTACTTCGAGTTGTACTTGTAGTAGCACCATTAACTCGAATCCGGTGCCCAGGTGCCCATCGGATGGATGTCAGTGGGGTCACAGCCAGAAAGCCAGAATTGATAGCAACTAGGTAGTAACTAGGAACAGAATACTACTGATACTAAAAATTGGACCGAGACTCGGAGTGAGTGAATCGGACAGCGACTTGCCAAGACAAGAAGCTACCACAAAGTGACCACTTTATGCGCACCTACGGTATTTACTACCACTGGTAACTAGTAGTATGTCTGAACAAAAGAGCTTTCCATAGTCCAAAAAATGAGAGCCGCGTAAGATTATGTAGGAAAGCTTTTCAAAATGTATCAAAATTCACATCTTGGAAAATTGGAAGCCGTGCTTGGGCTCCGGGCGGGCGGGGCGGAATCCGCTCGAGGAGCGGAATTCCACCGCTGGCAGCTCGCGCTAAGATCGTGGCGTAATCATCACCAGGAAGCCATCCATAACCGTTCACTACATCTTATAGATGGGATCTTAGTCCCAGAGCACCCTAAAACAAGTCTCTGATGATGATCCTGATGTGTGAGATATCTCAGCTATCAAATTTGATGATCGATGATTACCTTACTAAATAGTAGTTAATGAATAGTAGCCACTGGATATGCTTATCTCCTCCTGTCTGCGTGTGATTGAAGCCTAACTGAGAACAAGCACTCTTGTTTGGTGTGGAGCCACCTGCAGTGAGATCTTACCCTTCACCCGGCCAAGATTCCGTGCCTCCCATACATCACGGGCAGCATAGGAATGGGTTGAAGAAAGGCCTGGGACATCTCCCAGCGAGAGGTTGACAGTATTTACATCCTTCAGCTCACTGAGGACCAGCACGACGATCTTCCCGCCGCTTAATGGACCAGCCCAAACCTGGGTACTCTTCTCGATGCTCAAATATGGAAGATATTCCACTGCTTTACCGAGAGAGTCCTGTGAGATGGCGATAATATCTTTATTTCTCAACACATCAAGACTCTCAACTGCTAGTCTTTGCAGATCCGCACCAATAATCAGCGGTGATTTCAAAGCAGCCCAAAATGACATGTGTGTTTGTTGTTCGTGTAGCGTCATGTTCCCGTTCCCGATCTCAAGCATGTCCATATCAGCCCATGCTCCGGGTTTTTGGAATGGGCTAAGCTCTCTCATTTTTCGAATTATCGTCAACACACTGCAGCCGGCATAGCCGATATTCATGCAATAAGCTGTTTTACACTGCTCATTCAATCAGCGTCTGCATTCTCTCATTTTAAAGATTACACCCACGGCACAGTCTTTTCCGGTGTCACTGAAAGTATAAGTGATATCTCCTGACATTCGGTATGATTGGCTTATCTCTGATATGCGCTAGAAATTAGTGAAGACGTATAAGAGCAGGGGAACTCCAAGGGATACTGACCATCCGCCCAGTACCACGGAAATTGATGACCCCACTGGCAGATTGAATAGAAGATACTCCGACCAGAACCTCGAAGTGCATCTCTCATAGCTGCAAAGCGAATCTGCGGGCTTTCAGTGTTGGCCTCAAATCCCCCACAGTTATCGTATTTGAGGTAATCAACGCCCCATTCAGCATATGTTGCCGCATCGAGTTCCTCATAACCCCAGGAGCCTGGATAAAATCCACAGTCATATATTCTGTAATTCTGAATTAGTCGTTCATTCAGCAAAGCAGAAGGTTAGACATAAGATACCCGGCATCACTGTAAACCCCTAACCTTAGCCCTTTCTTATGCACGAATTCCGCAATCCCGCTGACTCCACCGGGAAGCTTGGTTGTATTTGGCTGCTGCCGCCCATTTTCATCTCTTTCCAATGCTTGCCAGCCTTCATCCATTACAAGGTAATTGTACCCAGCATCACGTAGGCCTGTACTGACAAGTAGGCTGGCAGTGTTCTCAATGACTGATTGGTTGAAGTTGCTTTTGAAAGTGTTCCAGCTGGGGAGTGATCAATTAGGGTTTGCCGAAAGACTGATATGACTGATATCGGTATGAACATTAATTGAATACACACCTATTCCAGCCCATTTGGGGGTGGCAGCCGAATTTTCCAATGCACCTGACAGTGTACATAGGCCAAAGAAAATCATTGACCCCATCGCGCTCCCCATTATAACTGCAGACGTCGAGCGTTGAAATAGTCGCTCGCGTAAATTTCGGGTAAATGATGGACAACCTTAACGAGTATCTCTAATTATTATACTATTTATGTCGACAGATTGGCCTTGGGCTATTTGTGAAATTTGGTATCGACGGCTCATTTACCGGAGCGAGCTCCGGCACTGCGTTTCCTACAAACATTAAAATGGAGCAGGGCAGCTACTTACTAAAATGTTCAACTCGGTTGATTCAATACCAATAATGTTGAAGTATATTATTATTTTTCCAATTTTCAGTGCCGTCCAAATGGTGGTCGCAAGCGAAAAGCTGAGCTATATCGCTGAGCCATCACAAGTCTACGTCGCACCAAAGCCTGCGAACATCACGACCTTACTAGACTTCATTGATTCTCGAGACGACCTTTCAAATTTATCGAAAATTTTACGAGAACCGGCAGGATTTGCTAAAGCATTTGACACGGCCCCGACTTGGTCTTTCACCTTCTTTGCCCCAAGCAACGACGCCTTCGAACATACCGGTGCTTACTATAGCTCGTTTGCCAAAACGCCGTAAGACACTTTCCAGCAATATTTCAAGTCCCATTCTATATGAAACTTGGTCATTGATCTCTCTCGTTAGAAAGGGAAAATGGTGGATCGGTAACTTGATCAACCACCATTATGTGCCCAATTCGAAGTTGACAACCAGCAACTTCAACACATCTCTATCTCGTTTACAGGTGAGCTCATTCTATTTCTACATCAGTAAAATGTAACTAGGAGGTTATATTTGACAATCTCACTTAGACCGCAAGTTACCTTTATATCAATACTTTTGTGCAAGGGAGCGGGGGAATAAAGATCAACAATGTCGCAACTGTCACTGGACCGGATCATCCAGTAACAAGCGTGAGTACTCTCTTTACTTCAAAATTTGCCAATAGAAGCCCTCTAAAAATATATATCGGACATTGAAGGGCGTTGTTCATATCATCGACCGTATCCTCGATCCCTCGGCTCAGATTTTTGAGTCAGATTTACCGAACGTTGCACAGACGTTCATTGCAGGGAGCTGCTCCAACCCTAATCTTCCATACTGTTAAGTAAATCTTCTTCGGAAGGCCTTGACTGAAATAGCACTCTGTTGGGGCTTCGGCATTGGAAATATGAACAAGGAACGACCCAATAGGTCTATCTTGTTGATAGGATAAATAACATCCATTTCCAATTATCACTCCACCCAGAACACGTACATGCTTTAAAATATTACTTCTCAAATCTACTGTTTCCCAACGATTCCGTACTCTTAATTTTCTGATCTACTAAGGGGCCTTCCATGGTATGGTCAAATTGAACCATCATGTTTCTTAACATTTCAATAATGTCCATTTTTCATCATGTATATTCTTCATCACTTTTCATCTGCTCCGCAGCTACCTTAATCCCTTCTCCATTTTCCTTACCCGCTATCTGCCTTGCTTCCCAGCCATCCTTGTACGTGAAAGAAATCTCTGGGATTAGATATTCCCCTCGTCTAATCCTCATCGCGTTTCTCAAGGCGGCGGGTGAATTACCGGGGATAATATGGACTGGGATAAGTTCAGTGCAAAGCCTCCCCCGCATTTATCGTGCAGAGTCTCCTCACAAACGTCAGCTACCCCGCCAGCCCGGCTCTCGGGGTAATCTCCGGGGATGGCTCCGACCCGCTGGACTTTGATGGCCTCCTGTGCTCGGAGATGTACACCCAGGATTGCGCGTTGGGAATAGTTATAATTCCCCCGAAAATATTCAGGTGACCGGAACTCGGGACAATCCACACCTTTGAAAGTTTACTCTGATTGTGGCAACTCGTGGCACCATGAGGGTCAGTACATTCATTGATATAGTACTTATTTTTGCTATCTTTTAAAATTCATTTAACTATAAAGTCTCACTAATTACTATTAGATGATACTTTTCTTAGTTTCCTTCGTTTCCTTCGTTACCCGGATTTGCAATGCAAGCGTCAATGATGTCCCAGGCATCTACGGGCCACTTCCTATGGTGGCAGTCTCCAATATCAATAATATCAACCCATATTTGAAGAGATCACCAGGGGATTTCACCCATCCTGGGCTCTGGCACTCTCATGATGATCTGGAGCGTATTCGTACCAATGTGCTATCCAACAAAGATCCCTGGGCCTCCACATTCGCCAATTTTAGTACTGACACCTTCTCCCTGTCAAACTACACTATGCAAGGACCACATGGTATCATTTCACGAGGAAAAATCAGCAACTACACGGCATTTGCCCATGACGCCCGTGCTGCGTGGCAGAATGCATTGATGTGGTACATTACCAAAGATCAAGCCCATTGGGACCGCAGTACCACGATTATAGATGCTTGGGGGTCGAACTTGACAGATATTATTGGTATTGATCGTTCATTATTAATAGGTCTTGATGGTGATCTTTTCGTCAATGCCGCCGAAATTATGCGATGGGAGGGAAATTGGACTGAAGCGGGTGCGTCTTGGCGAGGAGGCTCCGGGTTTAGCAATCAGCTATATTGGCTGTTCTCTCGGCAGGCAGCAGTCATTGGACAAGCAAACTACGGCATGGTTAGTATAAAGTCGTTACTGAGCTTTGCCGTATATTTGGAAGATGTCACAATGTACAACTATGCCATGAACAGTTTCATCAACGATCCGTGCGCTAGCCTGTTTGCCATGTACAATTCGAAAACTGGACAATCTGTGGAATCGGGTCGTGATCAATGTGCGTATTAATTTCCCACATTGACAGAATGATGCTACTGCAATAGTTTGATGAATGTGAGCTAATATCTAATACGATGTAGCTCATACGATGTCTGGTATTGCTTGGACTGCATATGCGGCCCGAGTGGGCCAAACCCAAGGGGTAGATCTCTATAAGCTCGGGGATGATCTATTACTGAAGGCATCCGAATATACCGCTGCATACAACCTGAACGAAACAGTTTCTTACGATCCAGATTGGCACAGGTGTGAGGCAGTCCTTGTTGGTGCTCCGTGGCCCACTATATCCGAGTACAATAGGGGAATATCCAATACGCAACCGGTTTGGGACATCATGTATTACCAATATGTTGTCAAGCGCAAATTAAAGGCGCCATGGACAACACAGGCACAGAGAGAAGAGGGTCAGGAGGGGGCTGTGTCAACTAATGACCACCCAAGCTGGGGTGGGCTGATCTGGGCCTATTAGATGAATCCCCCGGATATGGCCAGACTGAAGAATCAAAGCTCCATTGGTGTATTTGAGGCTCGAACCATATATTCAAATGGTATGTCGTCCTAAAAAATTTGAAGATACTAGTGCCTGGGATTAAAGTTGCTGTTCAAATCTCTCGCTTATTGCGCATGACTCCAAGTTGTCTCGTAAGAAACCAGGACGCCCAGAATATGAAGAGAATGCTACATGCGCACCCATATAGCCTAAGAGCGCGCCCTGTAGCCCGAATAAATATGGGATTAGGAGATCCATATAACCATATTAACGCGATAACTTGTAGGTATTTACCCCGTTGCCTACTTGTTTTTCGGTAACATAGCACCCTTGATGGTGTCTTCTGGTCCTCGTGTCTGAGTATGGTAAAGCAGCTAGCTCGGTAAATAGACATTTCTTTCAAATTTAGTATGTTCTAGAGTATGACTTGAATGGAAAGGGGATGATACCACGGCTTCACGATGTTGATGGATGAACTTTCATTTTAGAATGTGTCCGAGAAACCTGAAGCGCGCCAAAGAGGCATCGTACTACTTCTACATTTGAGGGGATCTCGTCTGTGATACCGATTAAAAAATAGCTCTTTCCTCGTAACCTTGGTTGTACTAGTAAACATAGCGGAAATTAGGATTTTGTTGATCTGTAAGATCATCAAACGCCAGCTCATGAGAGATCTCAGTCGATCCCTGCTCCTTGGAGCGGTTTTTTGCCATGAGAATAACACGAGTCAAAATCACGATCCCAATAAAGACAGCATAAATGACAATGTGAGCCAGGAAACCATGGAGGTACCGAGGTGCATCGGAGTTTTGGAAAATCTGTGGTGCGATAAGGTTGCCAACAGCCCACCCAATGAAGATTATGGTCATTGTGATACCTTTCTTAGTTTGGCCACCAATATTGCGGGTGACTAGAGAGATTATCATGTTGCCTTCTGCAAGGAAGAATTGTGTGCAGTAAAAGGCGATAAGCATTCCGCCTGCGTTGGAGGGGGTAGGGGTAACAACCAGGATCACGATCGTCCCGACGATGGCTGGGATCGCCCACAGCTAGTGCATAATGTTACCAGCTACCCTTTATGCAAGAAGGGAATTACTTACGATCATTGTAAAGCATGTTTGCTGGAATCTTTGTGATGCCCATGCAGACCCGATCATGACAATGATAGTCCATGAGCCCTGAGCAATGTTGAGAAGGGTTGTTTGAAGAGTTGAGAAGCCAAATTCCTGGACAATGAGGTTGGAGAAAACCCCAAGCCCACCGATGATCAGATTAGCGACCGCGATCAGCATGAAGCAACACCAAACAAAGGGATCTTTCAGAGCTTCGATTATTTGATCCTTTTTGTATTCCTTGTTTTCGATGCCGGTCTCATTGTGTCGTACTCGCTCGATCATCAGTAGCTTGTCTTCCTCGCTAAAGCATTTCGCCGATATAGGACTGTCGGGAAGAAGAGCCCCGATAAAAAATGACCAGACACAAGTTGCCAGCCCAAGGACTAGAAACATAAGTTGCCAGTTCTTGATCGGCCCGTCGGTAAAATGGGAAATTCCAAAGGCTATAAGTCCGCCGATCTGTATGTGTGTAAGGAATTGGGATTTAAAGCGACCGAGTGAGATTTGAAATTACCATCAATTGAACTCCGCTCATACAATACCAAATTGAGTTCAATAAGGATTGCTCCTCTCTTTTATACCACATGGCCGTCCTTTTTGACATCAGTTGAGGTATTCACATCGGAGATAAGAATACACACAGTAGCATCATGGCAGGTTGAATACAACTTTCGAAGAAGCCCAGCAGGAATCGAACTGCCATGAGTGAACCAAATTGTGTTGATGCAGCAGAACAAGCTACAACGGCACCCCAGATAAAGACATTGCAGGCTAAAGTCTTAGCCAAAGGGAGCTTCTGAAGGAGGAAGTTCTGTGGATATTCGCCGACAAGAATACCAATGTAGAGGATCGTTCCAAGCCACGAGTACTAGAACACGATTATCAGTGCCAGTCAGAAGAACAACACATAGATTGAATAAAAACTTACATCCTGGCCCACAAGGTGGGCGTCGTTTTTGATGCCCATAATCGAGGCATAGTTGAGAATACCCTTATCCAAAGATTGGAGGAAGTAGGTAATCACCTGTATAACTAAGATGCGACCGGATATTTTCCAGAATAGTCGTCTATCTGTGGCTTTATCGATTTCGACACCCAAGCCGGCTGCGTAGGGATCTTTTGTTTCTTTTGCTTCAACGTGGCCACCCATTACCATGGATTTGGATTGTAACTCCTCGTGGGTGAAGCTCGTCCCAGTGTCGCTTTCCTTTGAAGCCATGCTACACGAAGACAAACCAGACACAGTATTGAATGTGGCCTCAAATGGGTTGTTGTTAATAATCAGCGGAGTCACCTGGAAACCGAGCTCTGTTCATATACTTGTCGCGTTACCAGGGCATCCCTGACAAGCATGAGTGCACGTCTTATGATGCAGAGGATCCAACTAATTTTCCCTGGTATTTTGGAATCGATATTGTGGGCGTCGGAAGGAACTTGAAACGCGGGGGATTTGCCGCACATTGCTCCGCAAATGGGCTTGGTGGCAATGGCCGGAGCTCCTCCGAACAATGCTCCGGACTCCGTACTGTCAAAATTCGAACATCTGCTTCAATTTTGCTCCGTAGTAAGTACTTTGATGATACTAAAAAAAGGCCTTTGTCGGGTATCCACATATCAAGACGAAGAGTTGATGTTGAATGCAAATGCACACCATGCCATTGCCCTCTTGTTTCAAAGTATATGATTGCCCAGCAGGGGTTTCGACAAACCAGGATTTCAAAGTGGAAGTCCGGCCAACCGAAGATTATACCCAACAGTGGACTCTGATACCTTCTTACGCTGTAGAAGTCGCCAGTGCCAATATCGCGTCGAACGACTTTCACCGGTATACCGTCGCACTGGCATCATTTGATTTGATTGGTCATGTCAGGATAAGAGTCACGTACACCGCATCCCCGGTACACTCGGCAGTGATTCGGCCACTTTCACTCGGTATTGAGCCTGAGTTGGAAGACAACCAAATCATTTTATTTACACTGGAGAAAGCTCGAGATGTGATGCTCGAGCTGAATGGGAACAAATGGAAGGCGTTGCACCTTCTTATAAATTCGATCGAGAACAATTCTCCGACCGAAGATACCGAAGACCTTTGGTATTTTGCGCCAGGGATCAACCAGGGATCTGCATATGCAAGGGTGACCGATGGGGTCAATCTTATGGTTCCATCGGGAAAAACAGTCTACCTAGCAGGTGGAGCCTTCATCACCTGCCGGTTAAATTTCGTCGACGTGTCGAATAGTGCGGTTCGAGGCCACGGGTTCATACTAGGGCCAAAGGGAGGTTATACCTACCGTGAACACGGCGGTGCAATCCACATGAGTTATGCGAAAAACATCCGGGTTGAAGGAGTAACATCGATAGGTGCAAACGGATTCAGCCTATCTGTGGGAGAGTGCCACAACGTGCTTATTGACAGGTACCGATCCTTTTCATATGCCGGCAACGGTGATGGAATCGACGTTTTCTGCTCGACCGGAATCACAATCCAAAATTGCTTCTTACGAAATTCGGATGATACCATTGCGCTGTACTCCCATCGCTGGGACTGGCATGGTGACTCGAAAGACATTGTGATTCGGGATTGTGTTCTGCTCCCCGAACGTTGCCCACGCGATCAACATGGGCACCCACGGCAACCCTACGCGGCCAGAAACTACTAGTAACATAAAGATCAGAAATATAGACATTCTCGATCATGATGAAAATCAGTTATGGTATCAAGGCTGCATAGCAATCAATGCTGCGGATATGAACTTGTTCCAAGATATTCACGTTGAGAACGTTCGAGTCGAGAGAATCACGCGGGGCCAATTGTTCAACATCCGGGTCATGAAGAATGAAATGTGGACCACCGCTCCTGGGCGCTCAATTCGAAATGTCACTTTCAAAAACGTGGAATTGATGGCAGGTAATTCAGGTCAAGTGAACCCGTCTATGATATTGGGTTATGATGTCGATCGAAAGGTTGAGAATATTACATTCGAGAACCTCAAAATCGGAGGTGACATCATTCATGAAGAAATGAAAAAGCCTAGATGGTATATGGTGTCGGATTTGGTACCTTTGTTTGCGAATGAGCATGTACAGAATTTAAAATTCAGCAAAACTAGATAAAAATAGAATCAATACACCTCGTTGTGAGATTACATTGTAACTACAACTCATTTATTACTCTTAGAGACACCTTCCCGCCCGCCCGCAAGTCTAGAATACAGCCACAAAGTGGTCGTCATGACTATATTGGTAGGAAATATAGTATTGAGTTGCGATATGGCGATACTACTACTACTACTACTATTACTACTACTACTATTACTACTACTACTACTATTACTACTACTACAACTATTATTATTTACAAAGCAGCGCGTACCGCAAAAGTAGCGCGTGGGCCACCAAAGCAGCGCATGCTACCAAAGCAGTGAGTGTCACTAAAACAAAACCTAGAGATCGAAGTTAATGAAAAAAGAAATGAGGCGATTCAGAATGTGTGCTGCCAAAGTAATGCTTACTGCTAAAATAAACCTAGAGATTAGTGAAATCTAGAGATCGAAGTTAGTAATCTTAGGTAGGAGGAAGAGAATATTTGTAAAGGTAAGATGGTTAGTTGTATTGTGGCAATAGCGATAGCACTATATATCTAAGGTAAGAGTGTATAGGTGTGCCTACTAGCCTGCTGTCTGGTGGGTGGACGCGTCCTTAATATACTAAATTGAATATATTGAAGCTAATGAAAATAAAATATGGATAGAGTAATATGGTTGAGACGACCATATTGGCCAAAACATACAGTCGTCCCGACTATATTGCTATGTATTCTAGACTTGTGGGCGGGCGGGAAGGCATGGATATAAATTCCTATGCATAGTGCGCAAAGAGGATGGAGTTTAGGTAAGGCCCTTGGCAAGCGACTGGCTCCCCGGGCCGAGAGCTAGTTCCCCCGGAGTCATTGCTGCACCAATCTCGATATAGTCACCGGAGGCCCGTGGGCGCGCCCGCGCGTACTTTGTATCGATATACTTTTCAATTTTTTTGGTCCTGGTTGTGCATAAAATGCACAATGTACAGCTGTGGTCCAGAATGTGACGTAGCACCGCCCGCCTTCTATCGGATTCTTTTTCCAGCCAGTTCCTCAAATTCCCTCGATGTCGACGTCGATTGCTTCCCCGCCAGCCTTTCAAACTGATACCACATAGCGGCAAATATGGAGGACATACCAGTGGTAAATGACCTTTTTCATTTTTTGATGGGGCCATTTTTAACGTCTCGACTAGGATCCCAGATTTCTACCTGGAACGTGGCGGTACAAGCACAACTCCGTCGGACTTTCAGTCGTGAGTACCGCCTTTTCAATCAAAGTATGATTATTGTCGCATTCTTACCTGGCGTTGTCTTCAGAGAGACCACCTCTCTTGCATCCTCGATCGCGAGGGGACGGTTTGAAAACGGGCGACGGTCAGTATTTTCTAGTACTTCAGTTTGGCAGGTTGTCCAAGGATACTCACCTGAGGCGTAGATACCAAGCCACAAAAGACGATGATTACTGGTGGGCTACCATCCATTTATTTGGTTATTCACCGAGATGACTAACATTATCAGGGGTCCTTCTGACGAGAAGCAATTTGAAGCATTCGAAATTGGGTAAATCGCAACCCCCACATACCGTTCATGCCCTACCAACTGCATTTGATTTAACTCAAACCGAATTCAGCCACATGGTGTTCCTCGTGTTAGATCACTACCAAGATAATCCTCTATTTCGCGCTCCTATCGGTGATTTGCCCAAGGTAAATAAAGCCATACTGAGACATGCTTGCTTGGGCACCCTTCTAACATCGGAATACAGCATATTCTAGACATCGGAACTGGCCAAGGAAGTTGGGCAATGTTAGTCAATGAATCCACGTTCTACAAGAGCCACTAACAATCTCTTAAGTGATGTTGCCGATATGTATCCGTCGGGTATGAGATTTTCTTGAATCAACCCCTTCTCCTTCTCGAACTAACACAGAGTTAGCTACCGTTCGTGGTGTTGATCTCTTCCCCCCACCTGTGACATGGATGCCGCCCAACTGTATCTTCGAAGTAGACGATGTGCTTCGTGACTGGACATGGAGAGATCCGTTCGACTTTATTCACATACGCCTAATGTATGGTGCCTTCCCCCCAGAGGGATGGGACCAGCTATACAAACAAGCTTACGCGTGAGTGGTTTTTATCCTAGCTATCTGATCCATCTAGGAAGGCATTTTAGCTTAATTTCTTGTACAGGGCTCTTGAACCCGGAGGGTGGATTGAACAGATGGAATTCGATGTGCGAGTCCGTAGCGATGATATGACCTTAAAAGAGGAGCATCAGCTATCGAAGTGGGGCAACATATTCATTAATTGTGCCGAACGGGCGGGACGGTCCCTCAATATTCACGAAACGATGCGCAGCTCAATAGAAAAAGCCGGATTCGTGGAAGTGCACGAGAAAAAGAGCAGGATCCCCCCTAGGAGCTTGGCCTAGGGACAAGGTACTGAAGGAGACAGGACGACTTCAGTATGCTCACTGGAACGCCGCGTTAGAGGGCTGGGCAATGTGGCTTCTGACCCATTTTGGAGAGCCTGAGCCGTGGACGAAGGAGGAAGTGCAAGTGTTCTTGGCCAAAGTGCGCCAGGAGCTGAAGGATCCGCATATTCATGGGTATAACTGGATGTAAGTCTTCTGATTTGCTCTGCTGACTGTCTTCTGTTAATCAGATTTAGCAACCGCGTGTGGGCGAGGAAACCAACAGAAGAGGAACTGTTCAAGAAGAGATAAACGTTGAGCCAAGACATCGCCAGGGCCCGTAAATCTGTCGAAGAGCATAAGTCTATTCGTCACGAATCTACTTTTAGTCCACTATACTGACCTATATTGTGTTTTAATCCAATTTCGGTTACAAAATAGTCTTATTCTCCAGATAGGCTAAACAGCAGAAACAACATAGATATTTCGGGTAGACCCTGCTCCCTATTACAAGGCATCTCTAAGAGATTCTGTAGAGCAAGGTACCAAATCCAAGAGCATCAAACCCGCCCGAGGTCGAGGCATAGTTTCCACCACCTCCCTCAACTCCATCCGTACTGTTTGCATTGACCATATTGCGATAAGCGTCGGTCCACGACGAGTCGAGACCTTTCAACTGGCCATAGTGGGCAGAGAGCAACTCGAAACCAGGGCGAATCTCTCCTCGCGAGCTGTTGGAGATGACGGTCTGGTTGCCTTCATAGCTTTCGTACATGGTATAGGGGACGTCATAGCCGACGTTATACTTTCCGACATATTCAGCTCTATTGCAAGAGTTAGTTATCTGTATATTACTGTTGGGAGGCTAAATTTGATCAAGTGTCGATACTCACGCGTTGAGTATCTCATTGCTATATGTGGAAAATAAATCATCACCTTGGTTATATGCCTGCTGGGCAATAATACCAAGAAGAGCCATGTCCAGCGTGGCATGGCCTTGATCACGGCCAGCCTCTTGACCCTGTGTCAGGATTTTGTTTGAACCAGATTCTGTCACCGTATAGTTTTCAATGGCAAAAACAGGCAGGGCTCCATTCGAAGGCCCACTGCGGAAATAGTCCAAGGCGTAGTCGTACATCGTCTGGTTGTCGGTAAAGATGCCGATAGCAAGAAGAGAAGCGAGGTTGCACTGGTCCCAGTTTGCGTAGTAGTGATAATAATCATTACCGTTATGCTCCTCCAGGAACAGCATATTCATAGAAGCGAAAATATCACTCAACATAGTCGCAGTGGCAGTCTTATTACGACTAGCCCAGCCGGAGTAATCCGACATGATCTCTGCAGCATTGGCCATCTGGTACCCATACAGACCAGACGCCAGGTATTTGTCACTGGTACCATCAATAGCTGTCAGGGTCATAGCCCAAGAGCTGAGTATATTGACCGCCGCGTCTGCATAACTTGTATCGTTGGTGACCTTCCAGCGTATAGCAAGCTGGTAAGCGGCCGCCGTGTCTCGGTACAAAGACGGGTAGTTTTCTGTATCAACACCATTGGCACCTCGGTATACCGTTGCTTTAGGGCTGGGTAGGTAGGACGACTGAGCAAATTTGCTGGTAGTCAACAGAGTCCATGCTGTATTCCAGGGCTCATCACCGTTTGTGACATGGGTGTTGATGCGCTCAAAATCCCGGGTCGTGTGGAGCGCGCCGGGGTGAACAAAGGCCGTCCCAGTGGCCGAGAGGGCAACGAGAGAAATAATACGAAACATAGCGTATAATACAGACGAGGGAAAAGCCTGGTGGTCTCAATTCAAGCACTCGTAATTTTGCTTTCAAAACACTGTGACTTGATGAGATCTATCGCGTTTACATAGTCGTCGCGTCGTGGACTCTTAGGGGGTACTTTTCAACACTCAAATTGTGCAAAGTACCTTGAGTGTAGAGATCTGCGGAGAGCTAATGACCGAAAAAAGAGAATTGATCAACAGCCTGTGATTTTTTACTCGCCAGATAATGTTTCAAATTAAAAGAGAAAAATGGGTCGAGGTCGAGTAGTCTCCATCGTCTGCTCTGGGGGCAAAAAACTGCCGGAGACCCTCCGGCATATGCGCCGGCCAAGTCGCGGTAAATCGTGTCTATGCGACGAGTGTCTGCATTTTCTTCAGGGCTGCGATTTTTCTAGTGAAGTTGTTTGTTTTCACAATGTTTGATGAAGGTGGAGTAAGACTTGTATCTCGGAAAGCTTTTCAAAGCAACTCAGCTAAGGAATGTGGCGGCCACAATGTCGATTAAGGGACCGTAGTCGAGATTTCGGGAGGCCGGGCATCTACCGGAACTTCCTCCGCGCGAGGTGAAATTCCTATGGGAATAAGTGTTGACAGCTTAGGCTCCTATTGCTGGAAATAAAGACAATCAAACTTTATGGATTGGCCAGAATTGAGTCGCCAATTTCAACATGTCTCCAAGCGAAGCACCCACCACAGTATGTCTGAAATCAGTTTCCCAAGTAGAATCTAGGGCTTGAACTTCCAAGGTTCGGATATTAATCTTTCAATTAGGATCTAGAGGTTCACCCAAGCAAAATTAAACTGTACGGCACAAATGGCGTCCAATGTCGAATTCACGCCATCTCAGAGCACTTGATGGACGCTCTTTATTCCGAGTCTGTCGTGGCGAAAGTATGGAATATAGCAAGCAAGGCAGTTTCAAGTGTAAGAAACCCCGCGAGAAATGTGGAACTTGAAGAACTTCAAGTTGAGAAATATGGTAGCGCTCTGACACCAAAGGCAGAGCAAACCACCCATCCTCTACCCTGAGTACACCGATGAGGATGGCATATATGTCTACCGCACTCTGGACTTTTGGACATCAGGCTTCTTCCCTGGATCTATGTATCTTCTTCTCGAGCGGTTTACTCGCCATCCTCAAATCACCCACCGATCGGGACAAACAAAAGATACACTGACCCCATGGCCACACCGTCTTCAATTAGAATATCTCTGCCGCTGGTGGACCACAAACCTGCACGCAAATGCACTTAAGCGAGACACCCATGATCTAGGCTTCATGATCGCACCATGGGCAACGAAATCATGGGAACTTCATCGTGACCCAGCCGCGTACAACAGCCTCGTCATGGCGGCGCATTCATTGGCCAGCAGATTCAATACCACGACACAGTGTCTCCGCAGCTGGGACGTCTGCATCACGAATCGCTACTCATTCACCGACCCATCCCAAGACTTCCTGGTAATTATCGACAACATGTTGAATTTAGACCTTCTGTTCTGGGCCGCGCGAGAAACTTCGAATAAGGGGCTGTTTGACGTGGCTATGATGCATGCCCGCACGACGCAGAAGCATCATATTCGAGATGATCACTCGACGTTCCATGTCGTCAATTTCGATTCAGAGAATGGCGGCGTGAAGGCCAAGTTCACTAACCAGGGTTTCAGTGATTCCAGTTGCTGGGCCCGAGGACAAGCATGGGGTATTTTAGGCTTCATGCAGACATTCGAATGGACAAAGGAAATTTCTTTCCTTGTCACCGCGCGGGACTTGGCTGACTACTTCATTGCCCATTTGCCTGAGGATGGGGTGCCGTATTGGGACTTTACGGCGCCGATCACAGAGGTGAGCCCGCGTGATACATCCGCCGCTGTGGTTGCTGCTTGTGGTATGCTTCTTCTGTACAAAGCGTTGAAAGGCAGTCCAGATGGTGACGTCTACTTGTTCAAAGCGATGAAGTTGGTTGATTGCACCGCTAGCAAGTTCTTGAACTCGCCCACATCTCGGTTCGAAAAAGTGACTTCTGCCTCTAAAGTTCCCGTTTATCCAAGCGGCTGTATCGATGGACATGAGGGAGACGGATTTAGTAGTATGACCGTCGTTGATAAATCTGGCTCGAAGATCGGGGAGAGCATTCTCGGCGGTGCCACCATCAACAACTATGAGTTCGCACCAAGACGCTGGTCAAACCATGGTTTGGTTTATGCGGACTACTACTTTTTGCTGTTCGGAAACATGCTGCTTGAGTTAGGTTTGGCCAAACTCGATGATGCTAAGCCTGGAAAGAAAGTGGATTCTGTCAGGTAATTCTTGCAAATTTGCGGACTGGAATAGGGCGAAAGATTAGACGTTGTGAAAAACAATACAGTTGTTTCCGTATTCTCGACCGCGGAGGGTTGAAAGATGGACATGACGATATTCAATGTAAACCTTAGAACCATTGTTGAGACGTATCCGAGGACATCAACATTTGGTCATCCAGTGCCATCTCAGCATAGCCGCCGGCTGAACTAAGCCCCGCCATACCGGCTGATTCGCTGTCCTGGACTAGGGGCAAGGTTAAATAGATGTGACAAGTCGTCCTGTGAGCCCACAATCCCATTGTCATAGTTAGTCGTTGTGTTTTGCCATATGTTAAACTGATTGGGATTTGGCGACTGAATATCCATCTGCGAAGCAATACGGTTTCCTGCAGTCTGTGTAGGAAGCGAAAGATGACCATTGTTTGAAACTGTAGGGAAATTTTGTTGGAATGCCAACGGGAGAGGTGGAAAGGCAAGGCTAAACGATTCAAGTCCGAGGGGCTCTCGATGGTTCGACTTGTTCATATATGCAGCTGGTGGCGATCCGTCTGCGGCCCTCAGCGGAAACAAGCCTCTGTCCGAGGGAGAGGTATCAACTGTGGATGCCGGTGGTTGCTCCTTTGACTCGTCCGAGTACGCAGTCTGCCGAATATCCAAACTTGGACGGTATGTGGAAGCGAGATTATCACTTTGAGCTTCGATAAGCCGTTTCGCAAAGCTGGAAGCTAAATTGTCACCGCGCGGCTCTGCTGTCTCACTGCGACCGGTCCATCGCTGGGAGATTTCAAGCAAACTAGCGATCAAAGTTTCCAGAGCAGTTGGAATAGGAACACTGTTATATCTTGCATGAGCTAGGAGCATTCGGCCGGCGATGAAAAGACAGAAAGAAAATTGCGGGTTTGTGAATATTGGCGAGAAAGAGAGGAACTGCTGCCCGATTGTGGCGATCTCGGACGCGGCCTCCAGACATGTCTCGGCAGATGAAGCAGAGGGAAGTCTGACTGGACACATCTGCCAGTGGGCGGGTGGCCAAGCAATTCCTTGGTGTAGCAAAATTACTGCAGTGTTGTGCGTTATATGAGCTAGAGTGAGATTCGGATCCATAACCCCATCGCAGTTAAGCGCACAGGCTTCTCGCCACTTTGAAGGAAGGTATAACTTCCATCTAGAAGGTCACATGTCAATAAAACACTAGTGAGAAATTAAAGGCCTATTGGCGCTCACTGAATTAGTCGCAAATCCAATTCCTTGAACTGCATCAGCCACATCTGGGCCTTTTGCGCATCGTCAACAATAAATGCATGATGTAGAAAGAAGTTTGCTACCAAGGCAAGAGATTCGGTCGCTTCGATATTGTACGCAAAGCCACCGATTGAATCTTGGCATTCTGCATCTGTCGACCGTTTTCCGTTCGAAATTGGGGTCGTTACATTGTCTTTCGAGTCCGCAATACCAAAATAAGGCGTCTGGATTTCTTGGCCTTTCTGCCATAGTGCTCCTTCACAAGGGAGACGACGTTTTACGTCGTTGTTTGTCAGGCTCACTTTCCACCCAGTTGATATGCTGCAAAAGCGGTCCATTAAAAAAACCGTCCAGAATATTCTGCGACGCTCCTCTGCTTCGCTCCATGACTGAGAAGGGGACAGAAAGACCATTCGTCGAATCAATGTTTCTCCGAGACTCGCTGCAGAATGTAGCACATCTTCCTCGACGTTTAGTTGTAAGTGCTCAACCGTACTAACCATACTGCCCACTATAGACCACGAGGAAGGGCCACGGCCACGCCCGATCTGTTTTTGTAAGCCAATGACTTCGAATTGGAAGAGTGGGGCTTCTTACTCACAGTTTCGAATGCAAGAATGACCAATGCCTGTAGATTTTCGACCGAAAATGACTCGGTGCTGTCTAAAATGACCTTTCGGCGGCTTTTCTCTGCCATTTGGGATTTGGGCTCTCCGTCCGGTAAATGATTATTTCGTGAAAATCGGATGCAGACAGCTATGATAGCATGGAGAATGCATGTGATCCGTGGGCGCTCATCTGCTAATTGGATACGCTCGCGAAATCTGTCCATATGAAGAATCGGAATCCAGGGGTGGATGTTGACATGGTAGAAATCGACCAATTCATTTATGATTTCGGCCGGTGGCATCCAGTTGGAGTCGCTATTGGGGTTAACAAGAAAAGATGGAGAATCCACATCGTTAAGGCGTGGCCGCTTTGCCGGACGCTCGACTGGCTCCACGTCGGCCGAGTCTTTTTCCAACTCTTGTGGGATTCGACCATTCCCCCGGGATAATGCAGCGAGGAGCAGGGAGGATTTGAGTTTTTCTCGGCGCCCTGCCAGGTCCGGAATTGTGGGTGGTTGCTTGTATGACTCTGGGATTGAGGTGTCCGGACACATTATCTGCCACATCTGTTGCCAAATCATCTCTTGGCCGAGAAACATGTTCTCAAGCGTTTCGATCCGGCGGCAAAGTTGATCAACGACGCCTGCACGGAGACCTGGCTTCATGTGCCGATCATCGTAAACACAGGGGACGTTATGACGAATGCATTGTGCGCAGGGTTGAGCGCGATTACATCGAGCCTTCTTCTTGCGACACAGCTGACAAGCCGGGACATCCTCCTCGGGTTTTGATGTCTCTTGTAGCTCAGGGCCATTGGTATTAGAGTCGGCGGCACTGGGGCCGTGATTGGGTTTTGGCGGCATAATGATCTGATTGACTTAAATTCGGGAATGCAGCAGCCAAAAGATATGACGGTACATCGCGACAAACAAACACGAACTGCTCCTTGGTTTATCAAGCGGCTTGACCTCTACGGGTGATGGTTGAAGAATGAGAAATGGATGACTGACCTCCGCAGTGATCGTGCGAATTCCGACTGCGGAAGGCTCATGGCGAACGCAAGCCTAGCTTAGGCGCTTCGAATCACCCCATGGGTAAAAATCTGGGGTTGTTTGGCAGCTGGGCACCAATCAACATCATCAACGAAGCTCAACCGGTCCGGAGGAAAGGCCGGAGGTCACCCCCGGAGTTTTTCCTCGCTGGGATTAGCGTGGCACATGACCAGAGAGCGTCGTCAACTGGCCAGTTCCTTCTGGCTTCCTTCTGGTCAGATTGTTAAGACATCGGGAGATCAAGGATAATTTTCAGTATATCGTTCATTCATTCATTCACTCATACCAAAAGTCAAAAAAAATAGATGATTCAACACAGCTCCACTGATTTCCACTGATTTCCACTGATTTCCACTACCCGCAAAAACTCGAAACAGAACTAAAACGAATTTGTGAATAGGGGGAGAAGCCAAATAACACTGGGTGGATACCAGGATTGGAAAATGTGGAAACCCCAGTATGATGCATCCGCCGAAGCAACAAGAAAGAGCATGGATGGAGATCAAAAAAAAAAAGGGAAAAAATAAACAAAACACAACCATCTAATGCAGAGTCGGATATGACGAAACGCAAGATCCTTCAATGATGATAATAGACAAGCATGGATGGGAATAAAAAAAGAAATAGCAGCCCTCCTGGCAGAAAACTTTTCCTCCCTTCTCTTTATCGTCTGAAGGGTTTCCTCGTTCTCCGGTGTCCGGCCTTTATAGAGATACACCCCAGATACCGCGTCCACCGCAAACTCCAAGCCATTCCCGTGGGTTCCCAGATGAGTTGGTTCCGCTTTGTGGAGACCAGCTGATATTAGAAACTTCGTAGTCACATTGCCACGCGGCAGCCGGACCGCGCTCAGACGGTGTTGCTGGTGTTCCGGGATTCTGTGCGGGAGGAGAAAGAGGCGCGGCATTCTGTTGGTTGATAAGATCCCAGATGAGAACGAGACTGTCGTCGCCGCCGGAAGCCAATATACCCCGTCGATTTGGTGACCACTCAACACAGTTGAGGGGAGCGGAGTGGCCCTTGAGTTCGAGAAGTGCCTGGCCGGGCTGTCGTACATCCAGAACGCGGACTACGTTTGATTCTGAGGAGAAAGTGGCGAGGAGATGGGCATCGTGTGGGGATGCTAAAAGATGTGTGAGAAATCGTTCAACTAAATCAGTGGATGCAACGGCACATACCTGCGATTCTCAGCAAAGGAGGAGGAGGGAACATCCCAGAGGATGAGGGGCCGGATGGGCTAGAGTTGCCAGGACTCATCACAGCTTAAGAGAATATCAGCATGGTAGTTGAATGTGAGCTCTCCGGGTCTACTCACGCTTTTCTGTCTTATCCGTTGGCTCATATATGATGGTGCTGTGCTCGAGGCTGCGCAAATCGAACATGCGGACACTGCCGTCGGCACCACAGCTGACAAAAACGTCAACACTGTTCGCACAGAAACGAACATCGTAAACCTCCTTGTCGTGCGCAATCAACTGGGTTTTGGCTGTCAAGGTCGGAATATCCCAGATGGTACATGTGGTATCAATACTCGAGGTGATGATCAAGCTGGGGGAAATTGTGTTCCAGTCAAGCGAGGTAATAGGGGCCGTATGCTCGGGAGATTTGGAATTTGACAGGAGAGCCAGTGGGGAGAGCTTGGAAAGGGGTGCCTCTCTTTGATTGGTAGGTCGTGTAATGGAATTGGAGCTCTGCAAGGGCTGGGCGCTAGGAAGGGACCATAGACGGAGGTGGTCACCCGACGTTGCCAACAGATCGGTTGATTGCTTTTGTGATGATGGAGGCTCCCAGAGAATACGGGTCACGGGATAAGAGTGAGTGGCCTCGGCAGTCTTGACATAGTCGAGCTTGATTTCACCCGCTTGCGCATCCGGGGTATCGGGATCCGGCTGTGTCCAATGTGTGTCGATAATTTGAATCTGAAATAAAAAAGTTAGAGCTAGGGGAGAGACGTTTCTCATGAAGGCGATCGCACATAGTTATGGTTGTCTTCTAAATAACTCCCGAGAGCTAATTTGCCCCCAAAGGAACTGGAGCTTCCCGTCATGGGCCATTTGCACCAATCAACCGCATATATAGGCCATGGTGCCACGTAGTTGCTGTTGGTCGGTATCTGGGTTTCTCCATTATAAGGGAGCGATCCGGGGCTCATCAGAGAATCCCCCAGCAAGTGCTCCCCGGGAGGTCGAATATCGGCCAAGCCCAGCGGCGAATACTTGGAACCCTGCGGGGTCTGGGGGTGTACCCGCCCGGCGAGGACGGATATTTGGAGCCTTCCATACCTCCGTGTTGCTTGTATACTGACTGATCGAAACCCGCAGGGCTGGATCGCGAGTGGCCGTGCGAGTTAATCATGCTTGTTCGATGGCTGGCCTGTTGTGCGGACGGCTGTTGCTGCTGCTGGAGGGTGGGAATGACGGAGGGAGCGGTGTTGACCGAGACTGCGGACGGGCGGTGTTGATTCCCCGGTGTGAGCGATCCTGGAAGCGCACTGTTGGAGGTTCCTGGGTGCTGCTGGTGCTGCGATTGCGAGGAGTGGACGTTGATCGAGGGCACTTGGGCGGCGGCGCTTGCATCGGGCGTAGTGGGGTAGTCTTGTGGGGGCTGGCGCGATAAATTCGGATTGATCAACCCAGTTGAGGGAATATGCAGCTCCTCAGGGGTACGACCAAATATGGCCGATCGCCGATTCGAATCGTAGGAGGCTGGGTTGGACATGATGCGGAGGTGCCTCTCAAGGCAAATGAATGGGGCTCCGTGAGAGCTCCACTCCCCCGAGGATGGAAGACGGTTTGAATTGGACAAGAAGCACCAAATTGGGGAGAGGAGAGAGAGGAAAATAAGAAGAGAAAGAAAAGACGAGACAGGCGAGGAACAATCTAGTGTGTGTATGGAATCGAATTGTCGAGGGAGGTTGAGACAGTCGCAGCTGGGGGGGAACTGCCCCCGGATGAGTCAGCAGTCACGGACCACTTTCCACCTTTTTGGAGTGTTCCGAGCCGCTTTGGATCTTGTCCTTGTTTACTCCGTTCATCCCAGTGTCATTCTCATTTACACGGCCTTTGTTTACATATTTTTGTCTTCCTTCACTTACATTGTCCATTACAAGTTTCAAGTGACCTTCGCCAAGTGTGATCTCCCACTATCATGCCTTCAGATTCGACCTCGGCCCTACTATTGCTTCCCCACCTCCAGCATTCTCGTTCGAGAAAGTGAAGGATGCATTTGAGCCAGCTGTCTCGGATGTTCTGACAAAGCTCTCTGAGCCCATAAGGGGATCTGCCCGTATCGCTACACTCGATATTGCCCTGGCGATTCCTGATCTTCAGTCCCCATCGTGCAGGCCCATTGGGAAGGTCTTCGCCCAACTCCAGCAGTACCTCACCAGCATATATACGCTTGTTGGTGCTACCGCTGCAGCTCGAGATGTCGAATTAGACTCTCCCGGTGGCATTGACACCCGTGTACTATTTCTGGATCCCTCAACTGCCGCCGATGCACTTTTGTCTCAGGCGATTGTTGGCGATTTGGGTTTCGGCCCAGTCTTTGGCTTGCACTCACTAGCAACCTCGGGCCGACGGTGGGACCATCTGTGGTATCCCAACATTGAAGCTGGCAAGACATTAGCCACTTCCTTCGCCCATAGTCTTGGAAGCCAGGTCGGGAGCCACCTCGAGTCATCACTAGATGCAGTGTCTAGCAGCTCAAGCTGGACAGTCCCCGGTCCGCTTTTGACCCCGGAGCCCACGGCTGCAACCCCTCATTATTCAGTGATCGTGGGAGGAACTTTTGATCACCTTCATCTCGGCCACAAGCTTCTATTAACAGCGCTTGCGCTCTCTCTGGAACCGGCAACCCCCGCAGATAAGCATCAGCAAAGAATACTGGCTGCAGGTGTGACTGGGGACGCTCTTCTGGTAAATAAAAAGTATGCAGACTATCTCGAAAGTTGGGAGGACCGTTTCCAAAACACCGCTACTTTCCTTCGAGCCATCATGTCTAGCTCGGGGAATGTCACCCCGCGCCTCGATCGCACCACTGCACCTGGCCCCAACGGGAACTTTGTGGTGGTAACAGTGCAACCCAACCTCTCCTTCAAGTTCACGGAGATCTGGGATCCATTCGGTCCCACCATTACAGAGGAGAATCTTACAGCGCTTGTGGTGTCCAAAGAAACCGCATCTGGAGGAGCAGCCGTCAATGCCGAACGGAACAAAAAGGGATGGAAGAGTCTGGCCATCCTTGAGGTAGACGTGCTTCAGGCCGGAGAGGCCACGGACGTCACCGGCAGCAACTTTGACGGGAAGATCAGCAGCACAGACATCAGACGGCGGCGCATGAATCTGGCCAAGGTCTGAGGGGGGCGTAAAGAAATATTTTCCAATGGACAGGAGTCTCTCACAAAAGAGGGGAGGGGAGGAGAGGGGAGGAGAGGCCAGGAGATGAGAGAGGGGGTGGATTAGAAGTGCATGCATGCTTCTTGTCTCCCACTCTCCACCTCATTCCCAACCTATAGGTACCGGGAATGCTTGTAGATATGTACAGTAGTAGGGGGTGCATTCAGAAATCGGCCAATTTCACCCAATCCCCTTGACTCCACCACACGCGAGTTCCGTCACTCTGCAGATGTGACAAAAGGAGCGGGGCCTGCATTGGCTCCTTGGGCTTCTCCGCCCATCGCAACTCTCCCCCACCACCACTCACTCGCTCAGCTTCGTCCTCCTTTGCTGCAGGTTCGCGCTGTTGGTGCTGGCTGGCCGCAGCCTTCAACAATCATGTGATTGTATGGAACGCGTCTCGCCAATGGGGCCGACCAAATCACGATGGCCCTGGGCCCTGTCCACCGAAATGCACGCTAGGGTCGAGGTGATCATCCCGGTCGCGCGCTATCACTAGGGCCCGAATTCGCATGGTGAGACAAGTCACTCTGGGGTTCGACGAGTCTACTGGCCTCGAGAGCTTGTTCTGTTTATAGCGCCCAGTTCTCCCCCCCGTCGTGCGCCCGTCCGCACACCCCCTGGTGAACTCGTCATTTACTCTGCTGGTCTGTAAAAGACCCGGGTGGCTGCCCTTGCTCACCGTTCTTTTTTTCTTCTTCATCTTCCATGTTGCTGTCACTCGTCCAAAGCAGCCGGATTGACGGCTGCGCGCGCCGATCATGGCCCAGTCCCGTCACATTCAAGATCTCGCCGATGAGTTACTGAGCGAAGTGCTGTATTTTCTGGTGCCATCTCAACCTGGACCCGGCCCTGGAATCCGTGCCCTAAATGGCGGCAGCTATAAGAACGGTGTCAAGCAAAACGGTATCGATCGCCGATCATTTGGGTTTGGAGAAGCTTCGGATCTAGATCGATTCCGACTCGTCTGTATACGGTTCATGCGAATTAGCACGCCGCGCAAGTTTTCGCATTTCAACCTGCGCTTCTCCAAGGAGGGCTTCCGCCGGTTGGACGAGCTTCTCCAGATGCAGTTGGCCTGCTACGTCAAATCTATGACCTACCTGGTGCGACCTTTTTATCAAGGCAATTGTAAACATCTGCTCCTTCCTCCCAACATCCCTCTCTTTTCTTCTCCGAGGGACATGCGCAGACTGACATGAATATTACTAGCCTGGGCACCGATTTTTCGTTCGTTCGCTGCGAAACATGCATTCCCCGCGAAGGTACATCGGCGTCGGCTACGAGAGCAAATAGACCTGGTCGGCAATGGCACCGATCTATCACATCTTCGCACGGCGATCGGCTCGTTTCCCGCACTGCAACAACTGAAACTGCTCCGTGTGCAAGATGGAGCAGATGAACTCCTCATTGATTACCTAGACGTTCATTCTCCCACAAATGGCAGTAACAATTCCCTAACTGCTACTCACTTCGGCTGGGAAGCCGCATGTGCACGCGCAATAAGAAACCTCGGAATTTCAGTACTAGACTCCCAGCGCACATCCATCCGCTTCATAGGGCCCCAAATTAGTCCCGAGGCAACCCTCCAACTTCTCCACGCCCCATCGGCAACTTTCGCCGCAGTGGGGCACCGAATCACAAGTCTCGACATTACCTTCCACTGCAAATCGGACATTTCGTCCACAATGACCGAACTATCGGACGTTTTTCGAAACTTCTTCCTTGAAGCAAAAAACCTTGTCGCAATCCATATTGGCTTTCTTCCAAAACACCCCCTCTCCCTCACTCTCGACACAATATTCCACGGCATCCATTGGAAAACTCTCCGTATGCTCAGTCTGCAAGGCTGGCACATTACAGCACAGGATCTCAATTTGCTACTCCGTCGTCACCGTGCCCACCTCCGCGCTCTCCACCTAGCCTCCATCTCCCTCCGAACTGGGAAGTGGGCCTCGGTACTGAACGTCCTCCGTCACGAAATGGAACGTCTCAATCGCTTTGAGTTGAGGGAAATTGGATACGACGCCGACTTGATTTCTATCGGTATGGAAATTATCGAACCCGTTCCGCTCCCACCACAATCCTCCTCTGCAGCAGCCCAATGGTTATCGGCGGACGAGTTGGGTGATGATGGTTTCCATGTAAGCAAGGACCAGGAGCGGCATTGGGAGACGTGGGTTCTTACTGGGAAGTGGCAGAAAGAGCTAGGGCAGGTTTCAGATGGATATCAGAATGGACATGGACACGGCGATGGGCCTATAAATACGACAGAACCAGATTAAACATCAAGCATTAAGCATAAGGCATGGGATGGAATCAAATGGGAGGGGCAACCTTTTTATCATTCGCGCATACGAATTCCTGGGCGTTGGTGGCTGTTTTGCAATTCAAATTCCTGATATTGAACGTTCCTGTCCGAAAAGTTTGATTTAACTGGACTCTTTCGTCAAATATGCCGTTGGGCAGTACCAGTACAATTAGTATCAAGCAACAACTGGTATCACCAGATTAGATGTATGACATTGGACACACTAGAAGATCAAAGTTCGGCCAAAATCCGAATCGTGAAACTTGAACTACAAGCTGATTCCTCTTGCATAAATCACGTAGGGTATCTTGTAGCAGTGGTATCACAGGCACAAAAAGGCAATCTCCACCAGTTCCAACCCAATCGGGCAATCGACAGGCGAAGAGAATACCAGTAACAAGAGAAAAGAGCATCAAAATCCGAAATATTCTTACAAATTCGTCTCCAACAGGCCGTAGAGGCCGAGAATACGAAACTTTTAAATAAAGATATCACCCATCTGGACTATTCAGCAGATCGCATCAGCCGAAAGCAAAGGAAGCAAAGCCAGGCTCAGATTCTGATAACGGGTCTCCAAACCCTCTCACTCATTTATAGCAAGCATCCCAATCACCCCCAGCCCTCGCAAAACTCAGCGCCTTCACAAAGTCGCCTCTCTGACACCTGCCCAACCCATCAGCCGCACACCCATGCAGCGGCACAACACGATCATTAACGAGAGCCCGAACCAAGGGCTCACTCTCACCACGACAGCTCATCATCTCAAAATAAGCCCGCGCACCAAGCGGCACAGCCCAGGCAGCCGAGTATCCACCCGAACCAGCTGCAGACTGAACATGCTCAGTCGAGAGCGGGCTGGTACCGTTATACAAGCCCAGTGCAAAAAAGATCGGAATCATACCATTATCGTGCGTGAAGTCCGCATAGATCGCCTTGTGCACCGGGAAAGAAGCCGCACCTGGTGCATCGAGGGTGCGGTTTGTTGACGTTGAGTCGTGTACCGGCGTGTGTGTCATTCTCGCGATCAGTTCGTTGACGAAGCCCACTCCTTGTGTGGGACCGAGGGCGTTTCCGGCGCCGTAGCCGTAATATTTGCTGAGCGATTGGAGATAGTTGTATTGGCTCCATTCGGAAGATGTGAATAGGTTGCAGAAAGGGGAAAGGATGCTTCCGTCTGTGGTGGTGGAGATTGTGTCGAAGGGGCACATGTCCATTAGATAGATGACCTCGTCATCGGTTAGAGATACACCTGGTAGGCTCTTTTCCAGGCGTGTGGCGATTGAAGGGGTAATTTGGTTTGTGTATGCGTCGTCGATGTCGTTGCCGAGCTCGCTGGCTTCGAAGGCGGTACAGGTATTGTGGTTTAGGGTGTTGTTTGATCCTGCATCTTCGGAAATGACAACGTTGATGGTTGGAGAGGCCTGGTTAGGTTTTGCGTGGGCATCTCTTTTCTTGGTTTGCTGGAGTCCCTGGATGAAGTATCGGCCGGACTCGATGACGCGCGATGAGCCTGATGATCGAACGAATGGGATATGGTCCCGTGCCAGGGCGGCGTATCGTTCATAGAACTTGATGCCTGAGCTGACCATTTGGCGCTCGCCGAAGGATGTCAAGTCATCACTGCCCATAGTGTAGTTGTATGACTTGAGAAAAGCTGCCTTGCCATGAAATGCGGTGGCGTTGGCCTGGATGGTCTTGATCAACTTGGCATACTTCGAGCTCTTCGAGGCCGTTGGATACCGAGCGCCATGTCGGGAGAGGACTTGGACGAAAGTGACTTCGCATTTGTCTGGGACGGAGTTTGAGACGGTGTCATCTGAAACGGAGAAGTATGGGGAGTATTGGCCCCAGCGGTGAGAAATATCGGTGAAGCATTGATATCCGTCGACGCCATCACAAGACTCGGCACGACGGTGATGAGATCCTTTCCCGACTCTGTAAGTGAGATTTACCCCAATATCAGAGACTGAATTAAAATCCACGGATCTGCACCCGGGGGATTCATACCCAAGAGTCAAGTACGTCAGAAGGAGAACCGCGAGGGTCATTAGAGCAGCGATGGAGGTGACCCGCCATTTGGCAGATAGACAAGGTTTCCTTGGCTCTTGATCATCGATGGGGTTTTCTAGAAGACCTTGCTCTTCAGGCAGAGGGTTTTGTGCTTTTTTGTCGTACCCCGCCATTTCTCATGCACATCCCTGTTTGGAGGCGGATCTCGGAGTAGGTGAGATGGGAATCTAGTTCTGTGAATGACTCGCTATCTATGGAATGCGTATCAGAGATGGGATGGGAGACACGAACTTAAATACCACATGAATTTAGTGGATAATAGCAAATGATTATAATTACACCCAGGAACTTCCCTCCCTTCAGCAGAGCTGCTGCGGTTGACGACGCTTATTCCTCGTGCCTGATGAGCCCGTGAGGCTAAAACGTCCTCTGATTGGCTGATCGGATGACCACCAGCAGGTTTAGGGCACGTGGCATGGTAAGTACCGACTACTTGTCTCTTCACCCCATTTGCTAGCACTTTTAGCTCTGTTTCAGGTAGATATCGATGTACTCGATACTTTTGTCTTAACCCAGCACTCTATTTTGGCTACCTATAGGTATTAAGGATCTCTATTACGCGTTCCTGAGAACTACTAGTTGTTAGTATATATCTCGATATCTTAGTCTCCTTCAACACCTCCTGTCGAGTCGATCTCGAGTCTCAGACCAAGTCCTAGGCCCAGTGCTAGTCCGAATCCGAATCTGCCGAGTCATGCCATCTCCAGGCTGTTCAGAAGCCGAAATGTCCCTCGCACAGAGATCCACCGGCTGATTAGATAAATTACGCCGTTCGGGGCTCTAGCTACTCAAGCTAGCCACCGCGATGCAGCCAAGACTTCATTATCGCGTGCTACTATTAATTATTTACTCTACCGCGACCGCCGCTCTCTTGTCAATCTTGCTAGACTCGGAAGCGATGCTGCATCGGCTATTTAGCTCATTGAGGGACATCACCGACATTAGTTTATCTTGTGGGGAAGCGGTCAACCGTTGGCCGATCCTCAAAAATGACTAATCCAGGTGTATACCATCAACTACTCATGAAACAAAACCGTGTCTGCGGAGTAAATACAACTAGTAGAGTGTTTCTTCAAGTCCAACTTGAAGTTTGTCAAAGAATAAGAAGTTGGAAAACTGCATATCGTGCCAGTGGGTGTTGAGTCTCAGATGCCTCAAACATCCAGGCCGGCACGAAGACGGTGGGCTCCTCCCTTTCAAATTACGTCCAGTCTCCGCGGCGAAGACTAATTGAGGTCCGCTCCGACTTTCAGATCAAGCAGAATTCTCAGATTTTTATGATAATCGTTGACTGGATACATCTCATTATCTCGGGACTAACTTAATGTTGCCCTGTGATACTGGAATAGATGCATACCAGTTCCATTCCGAAGAAAATGTTTCCAATCAAATTTGACACGAGGAGTGAAGTAGCTCTCAAAGTGCATTTTAATTACCGAGATGTCTTTCAGATTGTGTGTCACTTCAGTCAAGTTTCATATGAACGCAGTTCAGCTAATCAGAGTACCTAGGTATCCTGGATCTAATGAACGGCCTTCGGCAAGAAGAAAACTTGATGAGATCATTGCTCAACCGAGGCATAATCTCATGTTGAGTAGGATGGCTGTTTAAAATATCAATAAAGATCGATGTATTCCGATGAAACTTTTGTTGATTGCGACCGAGGCCAGGACCGCTGCATTATCTAGCATTACCTGGCGATGCGCGAATATTAACATAAAGATACCATAGCCATACCAAGACGGTCCCAGCACTAAATAGTAGCTTCAAATTTCCACAGCAATGGTTGGTTAGTTCATAGTGATTAGTTCACCGTGATAATATCTATGATGATTTTGTTGGCATGTACAAAGCAACTTGGTCACTTCAATCATATAAAACCACTGGGACTACAACTGGAATATCGCGTCTACGGGCCATGAGGAAAGTATATTACAGAATAGCATAGATGTTGGCCACGTCGAACGAAACATACCGGCCTTTGGCCTTGGAAAAACTCGGAGATGATATATTCAAGTTGGGGCAAAAACCATTATGGAAAAGAGCCGACATTGCACCATGCATGCTTCTGGCTTCAAGTTGCTTGTTTTGCCGCAGAAAGGCCGGTCTTGTGCATAGGATTGCCTGCACTGTTGAGCGCAAGGCCGAGGCGACTGCGAAATGTTGGCAAATCAGCCGATGAGGATGTGAAGGATATCATATGAAAGGAAAAAAGACCCAAATCCACGCTACCGGGTCAGATCTAGCTCTTCTTTCTTCCAATAGCTTATGCGATACCCATGCATGGCAATCAAAATAAAAACTTTAATCTCGTGAGTTGTATATATAGATCGGCACTAATAACGGTTAGTTGCATCATTTTACGTGAACTATATTCGGTCCGGACAGGAAGACAAGTCCGTGGCATGTCGCTGGCATCATGCAGCGCAACGACGATAGTTAATTGGCAAACTATCTCGACGGGGAATAGGATCCTACCCGATAGGTTATAAGAAATACCCAGATCCTTCGCAGCCCAGCCCTAGCATTGCTCCACAATCTATTTCACTAGTTGCCCAGATTCATGCACGAACAACCTCAAGCAAGACCCACCGCCACAAGCGCAATATGCGCGCCACCAACAAAAAGAAAGACAGTTAACAAGTTAGTAGTCTAGTGTCTTCGAACCGCAACAATTAAATAATCGAGCCAAAGAACATTTCAAATCCTTCAAATATTGATTAGTGCGAGATTGAGCGAATTTATCTCTACCATTGACCTCTCGAAACCCGCATGAAGCAAGGGGTGTCATGAACAGAAGTACGACCTGTGTCTGTGCCCCATCCCACAATAGATGGGTTGGCACCCCACCAAAGTATGCACATGTACGGAGTACATACCCATGCTAATGGATCGTAGTGGATCCGAGAAAAACCTATCCCCGCCCGGCTGCGGTGTAGATAAAGTGACAGCCTACGCGATCGAGGGTACGTGGACATGGAATCCGTCGACCAAAGTAGGCTAATGCATGTCTTGCTTTAACGGTACGCCCGGGCTGCGCGGACGAGCTGTCATGGTAGATCATGAAAATCAAATCCACTCTTTCTCAATTGTTTCCCTTTCTCCTGATTCTACAAACCCACTTAGAATGAAAAGCAATACATATAAGTGAGTATAAAAAGGCTAGTCGTTATAGTTTGTGGAGACGGACATTATACTCGCAAGCGCGATATAAATCTATTTTTATAAGAAGTGGATAAGTTTTACCCTTTCCCTCCCTGGGGACTTGCGGGTGGTACTTTGGTCAATGGATATATGACAGATGACAGATGACAGATAAAACAGCCCCAGCCGACCCGACTCCAGGGACAGGGGATGGTTGCAGGGGCAAAGCGTGGATGATGCTTCTCTGGATTTGCAAATCTCAGTTCTATAGCGGAGTCATATTTTAAGCCACGAATGCACCGAACCGAGGAAGAAATAGTCCTTGATAAGAAAGACATCAAGGAAGGGATAAGAAAAATGATAGATGTCAATAATATCAATCTTTTCAACGTCGCCAATTGAGGTATCACCGCGAAACCAGACACCGGGTAACTATGTAAACGAGGTAAAAGGGAAAAGGACAGGGCGGGGAATTTGCAGTCCGGAAATGTAAACACCAATTTGTGCAGATAACTCCAGACAGATGGAATGGGATATAGAATGTAGCCAAACTGAGAAGGAAGCAGGACAGAGAGGATAAGAACAAACAGAGAGGGGAAAACAACAGGGTAGAAAGGCGAATACCTCCGACAATACCAGCAGCAAAAGAGGACAGACAATGCAAAATACCAGTACAACCCAAGTGCTTTTGTAAATGGCACCGCTAATCCGACCATGCTCCACCTACTCATGGCCACCAGTGGCCAAGATCCTTTTTGTGCATATGGACATTATAACATATAGGAGATCAACAAAAGAGATACAACAGAAAAGGAAAAGATTAGAAAGATCAACCGGTTCTTTCAAATACACGGAACACCGTCAAGGCCGAGACCAGGCTTGAAATGGAGGTAGAGGAGTTCCAGAGACAGGCGGTGGACCCGATGGCACAAGATTCCTGCCTGCAGGCGGGGCAGGGGAATACGAAGCCGGGCTACCGGGCCAACAAGCCTGCGGTCGACCTGTATCAAGCATCCTTGGCGCTTGTGCAGGCTGTACGGGAACTGTGGGGGCAGTACGAGATGCATCGGCGGACCAGGTCCCGGCGTCAATATGTAGGCCTGGCGAAGAGGGACGTGGAGGAAAAGTGTTGAGAGACATTGAGCGGCCGACGTGGTCGCGGAAAAAGTCCCTTTCTGAGCGGTAGTGGTCTCGTTGTTGAACCAAAGCGCGGATTTCGTCGGCTTGGCGACGGAGGGCATCTGTATGTCGCTGAATCTCGTCTTGTTGTGAAGTTAGGCGTTGCTCAAGCTGCATCTCGTTGCGCTTGCGATTTCGGAAACGTCGCGAAGCATCGCTGTTCGCTTTACGCTTCTCTGCTTGTGTGGAGGAGCCAGACTTCAGATCTAACACACACGGGATCAATGACGAAGACAGACTTGTGCTTTGGCTAGTTGGTTCTTCCTTCACGCGCGGTCCGGACGTTGCTGTGGTCGTGTAAGGCGCTGGTGCTGAGTAGGGCTGTATGCTGGAGGGCATGGACGCGTTTGAAAGGGCCGGTGAAGCGCCATAGGGACCAAATGTAGAATGTGGTGGAACAGGGCTCGTCTCTTGGGAGTTTGGGGTGCTCAAGAGGCCAGGTCCAGAGCTAGTTCGTCGAGAGTGAATACTCGTGGTTGAATGAAGTGCTGCTGAAGTTGCAGGTTGAGTGACTGGGTGCGAGCCTATGGGTCGAAGTGTTGATTCGAGTGGCAAAGGTGAGCTGGAGGGCGGCTGACGAGCACTCAGAGGTGGTTCATGTGTCACCAATGGCGAGTGCGAGACACTAGATTGCCCAGATGCTCTGCCGCTACCACTGACGAATCGTGCAGAGGGCGAAGTAGGGTTCATTAACGGCCGCGAATGAGACCTGGGGGACAATGGCTGTAATCCATGCAAACTTCGAGGAGCAGGCGAAGACCCTTGGCGTGGTCGAGGGACGAGGGCCCCGGCAGATTCAATGGCTCACGAACTCCCTTCATATCAGCTGCCTGCGCTGGATGGTTCAAGATGGAATGAACGCCAATAGACCTGGCTGAGTCGAGTGGTGGCTCAACTGGCCCATATGGGTGCCAGGACTGTGGACGAGCGCGCAAAGGCGGGCGACGTGAGGAATGGCGACTTCCAGGTCCATAGTCGTCCGTCCCACTGCGAGCATCCTGGGAGTCGTCGGACAATGGGCCAGCGCGCAGAGGGTCCTGCGACATGGACGTAGCTCGGTTGCGGTCCTGGGGGTTAGGGCATGACCGAGTCCCCCCTCTCTCTGAATCACTAGGGGTCTCACGAGTGTGAGAGAGGGAGGGATTCGGAAAGCGAGGATCCGCTGGAAAGTGCGACAGCTTTGGCGAGCGTAGCGACCTCGGGTAAGGCGCAGTCAATACGCTGATGCCCAGGGTAGCCACGGTGAAGGTTGGGAATAAATAAGAGGTTCTTGAGAGCCCAAGCTAGCTGGGCAGGAAGCAAGCAATCAATCAATCTTAAAGATGACAAGCGTAAAGAGAAAGTTTCAACCCAATTGCCAGCAAACGATTGGGTCGCAGATTGAGATTCGAACTTCGAGGTTTAGGTTAAGAGAGATAGAGAGGTCGAAAATAAAGGGCTAATATTTCCCACCGAGTTTAGAATGAGGAGCAGATCAACCATGTGTATGCACAACGGAAGCGATCCGAGGCCCCATTTAGCAAAAGGGTCAAAGCTAAGGAAAGGGGAGGGGGAGAAGAAGGCGAGAAAGAAAATGGAGCTTTTGTAGAGCCGTTGAGATTCAGCGGTGTGCGAGGGAGAGGGGGGGCATGATCCATCACCTTCCGGGGGCGGGCTAAGACAGAGTTGTCTGTGTCTGTCCGACCCAGCGTGTCGGATAGCGTTGGGCAGGATCTCCTAGGACGGTTCCAGTTCTCGAGTGCCTCGTGGGATCGTGGATCAATGGATCGTCCTAGGTGATGCCAGTCAGTCACTTTCGCCCAGCCAGTGCTAATTTCTAGTACTGTCTCCACCTAGCGTGATGGAGTGATGGCTATGCTATGGGCCATGCCATCTCTCATTTCTTTACCGATCGCCGGGGGGCGCGAATCACCGGCCGAGAGACGACTGGGGAGCTGCAAGTGCGCGGGTGCCGTCACCGTGGACATGGACAAGGGACAAGTGGAGAAGATGACGCTTTGGGGCGGGGAATGGGAGTAGTATGCCAGTGCCCATGGCTATCAGGCCAGGATTAGATCCATGACGCAGAGAGGAACGACTCATTTTTCACCAGGGGTCCTGTCATTTTCCGAGAGTTTGGCTCTTGGAGGGGAAGCTAACCAAAACTAGAGACATATCCTTTCGACGAAAGGGGAAAGGAAATGAAAAGGAAAAGGAAATAGCTTGAAAATAAACCAAAAAGGGAATGGGGTTAAGAAAAGGAATAATGGGTACAACAAAGCAAACCTAAAAGGCAACACGTTCGTTGTACAGACTTGCCTCGTCCTAAGTACCGTCCACTCTCTGCATTTTTGCCAAACATATAGTACGAGATGCAATGCCGGACATTCGAATCAAACTCTGCGCGAGGGACATTGAAGTACCTTGTAGGTACATACATAATTCCATTTAAACCTTGAGGAATTACATGTTATGCGTGCATCATTGTCCCCGTGTCGGTCTCGGCACAGGGGAGGTGAACACCGTTGGGACCGTTGGAGGAGGATAACAGGGGAAAACAATGACTCCTCCACTAAACGCAGTGGGTGCCACTATGAGCTGGAGTGGTTCCTTACCGGTCCTTAGTAGGACCTGACCCACCAAAGAAAGTGGATTAGATTTGTGGGTTTGGCACAGCGTGGGCCTAGTCTGCGACGATGGTCGGACTATGGCGCCCAGGATGCTCGTTTCCATGGCGCTGGGATGAGGCAACTAGTAACGAGGAGAAACTGGCTAGTGGCCAACTACCTCTAAGAATGAACAGATAACAGCTACGAGTACTCCGTAACGAGTCAAGGGCTGACGAGTTGGCTGGCCTCAGGAGGTTCGGCTTGAGTTCGGACCCGTTAGATCGGAGGAATACGATGATCATAGAACAGAGGGCCGGCAGCCCTACGTCACTCTGAAGATTACATTGATCCCGAAAGGAAATTAAATCAACCTCTGGAGTTGATTATCAATTTTGACATCAGCAACTCGTGTTACGGTGATCTACGAGGCATTGAGACCCAACGGAATGACGGCAACCACCGAGGGACTAAGTTTCTTTTCTCAATTAACACCAAAACATTTCCCGCCCAGGAATGAGAAGAACAAAAAGAAGAAGAAGAAAAGGTTTTGTCAGAGAGCAAAAACAAAAGCACGTCTACTCAGGACATACGGAGTACAGCCGGCTAAAAAAAAGTGACACCTCAGCACGACGATCTCCATCCGGAAGTGTGGAAAGGCAAATCCGCAGCACTAGCTCCCCTGAAGCCTCACCAGTGATCGCGTGCATGAACGGGGCGAGTCCACCAGCAGGGTGGGGAGAGCAGAGATAGCTCAGTGAATGGGGCCTGAATCTTGACATCGATTTAATTTCAATTTCAATTTACCTTGACCCGCCGAACGGTGTTAGTGCGGATGGCTTCCGCGTGACGAGAATTGATGAAGATCGGGCTAGCGACTGAAGTGGCTGCAGCGCAAAGTGGGTTCCGCAATCCTTCGGGGGAAAGAAATGGGGCATCCTTTAACATGGCCGGAGCTGAACCCAGACTCGATTTTAGTCTTACATCCGAGTAGTCTTGCGTGCAGGGGGCTGAGCCCGATCACTTGGTTCCCGGTCACTGGCCCAACGCCGATCGGCCAGTTTCTTCGCTAGTTTTTTTTTCTCCAGGGGGTTGCTAGAAGGGTCTACTATAGAGTTGCTAACCCGCTGGGGAAAGAGGGGCGATATTCTCCAGGAGAGGAGCTCTCGGTAGCTATCTCCCTACAATTGCAGATCGACCGGCAGCTGTCAGGTTTCTATTCTAGATCCTTAGCTTGGGGACGGATTACGAAGTAAGGCGAGAGCATACGAGTATTCTGTAACTCGGTACTTATGTAAATAATCCAGTGTACACCGATTTTCGTTACATCGCACCACACCGTGCATACGCAGCCGCCTTTATGTTCAGCAACGAATCACCGAGTGAGTATGGGTGAACAATTGCGGTCTGATAGATCCAGCGCACCTGACTGGTTGGTTGGCCAGACATTTCTAGCCTTGTCCGACTCTCGCCCCCCTATAAGCACTAGCCGCCGCGTCTCGCAGGTATCCCGGGGGGCTAACTCGAAAGGCGGTGGTGGCGTATGTTCTCAAACCACCGTTCCCAAAGTGCCGGGTCAATGATGCCAGACAAAAACCCCCCCGGATGCGTGTCATGCCAAGGTAAGCGTGATAGGGGCCAAAACTTTGGAGGTTGGGGTTAGTCCCAGGTATCTGGTACGCGGGTTTTGCGTTCCAAGGTTCCAGTCGTGGAGTACCGGTACTTCGAAATTGCTAGCGTGTTGTTTTTACTTCTTGTGTTTCCTCCTCGTGGATGGCGCAAAGACACGGGCCATAGATGAATTCGTTGGTGATTCTTGACGAAGAACGCTGGCATTATGACGTGAGTGGTGAGAGTGTGGCTACCGATTTGTATATTGTGTATGGTGTACTCCATACTTCACAATCGAATTCCAGGGCAGCTTTTGTTTGCTTTTTCCCTATCCCCAATGCATTCTATTTCAAACCTTCTTGTCGGTGCTATCCGCTCAATATCGCGTGTCCGCTGCAACCGCCAGGCAAAAGAAACGAAGCGATCATCAATCTTCATGGCCTAGACCCAGAAATATTTTCCACTATGCTGGTTCTGCGCCATCGCTTTGTTCTTTCTGCGAAACATAATAAACTCTGTCTCGATGGATAGTAATCTCGATGGAAAATCGAACTACTGTAGTACGTGCAGCGTGAGGCAATCTGGTGGCCAGAAGGACAATGTTCTTCATTCTGACCATAGCTACCTGCATGCTCAGCACACCGAGACAATGCTCCAACCCCGGGAACAATCACATCTCCCCGTCCCTGCATTCGACCTGCAGGATGGACCCGCCGTGGCAGTGCAGTGCTTCCCATCACACGCGTGCGATCGGGAGGATTGCAAATCGGCCTGAAAGGCAGGACAGATCAGTTCTACTGTCAGTACGACCGTCTCGATGTCATGCCCGGCCGAAACCCCTGGTTCGACATGTAACCTTCTCCCGCCATCCCCTTGCGCCCTGGAGGTCTGAGCCACTGTGACAGCGAGCCGGTCCGTCATCCCCTCGCCCGTTTGGCGATCGTGACCCACTGTAGCTCATGGGTTTGCTACTTACTGCTTCGAGCTACGGAGTACATTGCACTATGAATATACATATGCGTGGAGCACGCTGTACATTGTATCAATGCCAGGGAATGTATTTGCCACTGTTGAAGGTTCAAAGGGGCAATGCACGGTCGATCGTTTTAGCTACAGCATGGATCGTCTAGTGAATCTGTTCTCCATCACATACTCCTTAGGGATCGCTCTCGCTCTCGGTTACCCCGAGTCCTTCGAAGCCTCGGGAAACAGCTAGCTCGTAAACCGAAACTCATTCTTTGCCTTCCCTCGGACCCCAACATCAACCTTAAACACTCGACCTCCGTATCGCACGGACTTTGGGAACTTCTCGTCATCGTGGTCATCCTTGGCCGAGGTAATGAATAGCTCGGTGCCTACAAATGCCGGACAAGTTGGGTTTCGTGTTGGCAGATCGATCTGGCCGATGACCTTTCCATCGGTCGAAACACGGAGAACCTTTCCACCACCGTAGATGGCTGTCCAGATACAACCTTCGACGTCAATGGCGAATCCGTCTGGCTCGAGCGATTCACCGATGTCAAAGTGCACGCGGCGGTTGCTAATGGCCCCGGTCGCGGCGTCAAAGTCGAAGGCGAAGATTTGACCCGTAGGCGAGTCGGTCAAGTACATCGTGTCATCGGCATGGTTCCACCCAATCCCGTTGGGGATCGTTACTGGTGCCAGCATACGATGCAGACTAAGGTCCGGGTCCAGTCTGAACAACACTCCTTCGGGCGATGGCTTCTTGACCTTGGGGTCATTCATGGCACCGGCCCAGAATCTCCCGTGGCTGTCGACCGCACCGTCGTTGAAGCGCATCCTACTCGATATCAGCCCGTATGCTCACCTCTGCTTTGCCTTTGAAATGGTGGATACGATCGACTTACACCTCCGCTTTCCCCGGGCCATCTTCCTCGCCCCAAGCCTCGCGGATGTAAGTCAGTTTCCCGGTAGACCGGTTCAGCCGAGCGAATCCGCACTTGGCCCCGACAATCAGCTGATCCTGATCCTCCTTTGCTGCGCCCGCAATGTTGGCCGTCACGCTGTGAGATAGTTCGTTAGATATCACATTCAGTCAGACCAGCAACGCAGGAGAGCACGGTAGACAGGCGAGATCTAGACATACCCAATAGCCGCGTCCGTATTGACAACAGAGAGTGACACGGGCCCTTTGGCCAAGTCAAGGCGGTACAGCTTGTGATCCCAGATGTCGACAAAGCGAAACTCGTTGTTGGCTGCATCGTGATAGGGGCCCTCGAGAAGAGTCCCCGCTATGTCGATATAGGGCTAGAAAGGCAAGGCGAGTTAGTCTGAATTTTACTAGTTGTGATTGGCTGTGGTTTAGGTTTTTTGTTTCTTTATTTTTTTTATTTTTTTTTTCCCTTCTCGTTTTTTCTTCTTTGAATCTTCAATTTCCCTGTCGATTCCAATTTCGTGCCGTGGTCATCTTGACCAACACGAAAAAGAAGCCCACAGAAGAAAGAATAAAAAATCGTAAAAAGGAAAAAACGAAAAACGAGAATAAAAATAAGAAATGAAGATCAAGACCAATCAAAGACCAGCTGCAATACGAAGATGGGATCAAAGAGTCTGACCTCCTGCACCGTCCACCTCTGAATTTCAGACATGCCGATCTGATCCACCGGAAGCTGGCCGAATGGGAGCAAAATAGAAGAGAGAAAAAAACCGGGGACTCAAAATCCACTAGTACAAATTTTGACCAGTGGAAAGAATTGGAAATGGAAATGGGGAAATTGATGAGAAAGTGGGACACCGCTCTTTCTGAGGGGGTTCAAGTCAGTCTACCGCGTCGCACAGGCAAGGACCAAGGGGGAGAACCCCTGTTCGTGGACAATGAAGTGGAGCTACGAACCTCGAATAACTGAAAGGTTGGCAGCGCCGATCGCGGGAACTGTCCGAATTACACGCCAGGGAACGATGGTTGTGTTAGCTCGTGGGTTATTCTTCTGGGGGAGACTCGGAGTAGGAAAAGGGGAGCGAGGGAGGGGGTTACGGAGTAACTTGAACAGCTTCAGATTGCCAAGCCCCGCCCCCACAAGTCCCGACGAAGTGGAGTCGGACTGCTATCATCTTCCGGTGGGCGTGGGTGTGGGCGTGACAGCTATGGACGGTTATGGTTACGGTGTGGACGAACCGGTAGGACGAGTGACGAGAGAGGCGGCGAGGTTAGATTAACATCGACTAGGCACTCTGTACTCCGTACTCCGTAGGGGATCCTTCGAGTTCATGAAGTGCGGTGAGTGACAGTTTCACGCACTATCGATTGACCTGCAGCTCCAGAGGTCCCCATCTCCATCTCTAATTCATTAAGCTCGCACTAGAATCCTCCGTCAAGAATGGAAGATGCCATGCAAAGCATAATTTTAACGCGAAACAAATTAAGAAATACCCATGAGTATGCCCAGGATGTCCAGTACATCCCATAAAATGCGTTTTTAATCCAATATGTGGATGGTATACCCCAACTCAACGGAGCACTTGGAAGTTACACCCAGACAACACATCTGTACGAGGAAGCACAATCACCATCATCACCTTCCGAAATAGCCCAAGCGCCCACATGACCGACTCTGCATGCATCTGCACGAGATGGCCTCGGACAGACACGGCTGGGCGCTAACACACAGGCCAGGAGAGTCCTGCCCGACCCCAGAATTGGGCATGCGCAGCCCAATCACCAAATGCGCCGTGAGACAATGTCCCCGACAAGCAAATCATGTTGAATCCCCTCCCCGAAATGAACGCCGCTACTGCACCCCTTCTGCCCAGCACACACGCACACACATCTACACACACCTCTGCTTTCCTCGGCTCGCTACGAGGTAGTCATCTTAAAATCCGGCCCTGCAGCGAACCCAACAAATCTCCACCTGAAAAAAATGGAAACACGACATACATACGAGTACACCCACAGCTTTCTAGCTAAACCCAATTCCTGCATCGAAAGAAAAATAATAATGAAAAGAGTTCAGAGTTTAGTGGTGCGGAACAAGTCATGATGATATGCCGGCCCGAACCTGTGGGTGAGAGTGGGAATGCATTTAAGGCAATGAACGAATTATATGGATCATTTCGACCCAGGCAACCGTCACACCCTGATTCCTTCTGCTTATATTTTGTCCTTTCTCTGTGTCCGGAGTATGTATGTAGTATCTAGGCCTCGCCACTAACCTGGGGCCACGCCACGCCAGGACCAGGCCGGTCAGCACGCATCAAGTTCCAAATTGCAGTTCAACAACCGGGGACGCCAGCCAGCCAGTGCGAGCCACACCGATCATTCACTAATGAATCACGTCAGCAAAGAATCCGGTCTCGGCCTCTTGACTTGACCCGGCCTCATCACCAACATTGATTAATTGACTAGCATTGGCTGTGGATGTGTGTGCGCTGCCTTCATTCCTCCACGTTAAGTCTAGTTAAGTTTGACTATTTCCTTGAGCCAACAAGAATCAATTACAATTCGAGGAAACGAGGCGTCCAAAGCGTCAACAACCCTGCACTTGCACCTGAAACGAGCCCTTCGTCATGGCATGGCGTTCTCATGCAGCTCATCACCCGTCTCACTCCCGCTCGGGGTTTTTGCCAGGTAGACTTGCATGCAGCGCGACTTTTCCGGTTTGCGAATAGATTTGCGCTCCGCCAGCCTCACTTCGCGACGGGCCTTTTACCCAGATGGGAAGACAAGGAGGAGGATGAGGAACCTTGGAAGAGGAGGAGGCACATACTACTTGCGTATGTGCGGAGATACATAGTTGTGGAGGCATGTAGGGAGTCTATAATCCGTGCCAATTCAGTCAGATCCCTACTGTAGATAGCTACAGCACAGCCTGATCATCTGAATCCCAAATCCTGAACCGAGAATCACTGCCGCTGATTGGGTGACATGAAGCTCGGGCTCGGGATTCGTTCCTAGCAAGTTCTCTCGTCTCGTTACGAGTCCGAGGTAATCTCAACCTGCGGCCCTGAGTTTGCTTATGTGTGGAGTGTGGAATATGCAGATGTAATTAAGAATGTACATACTCCGTATATTCCTCTCGCATCGAAATATGCGGCACTATTCTTGATTGGTCTCCCCCTCGAACTGCACGGTGGTATGTACTGCCCAGCGACGTCGACATTTTCCTGGGTTCACTCCAGGTGCACACATATGTACATACATGCACAGGTAACCAGTGATCTACCCATATGTATGTACTCATACCCAAGAGCGTGGAACGTGGTAACTTGTATTAGGGCAGTATGTAAAACTAATGTAATGCGCGACGCAGTTTTATATATTATGCAATGCTAAAGCCGACGCCTCGCAAACCTTCACCACTGCCCATTTCTTTTTTTCTTTTCGTTTTCTTTTTCCTTTCTCGACAAAGACTCTGCATTCACATGTGGGTTTTCGTTCGTCGATTTCCGAATTTCCGGCTCCTCCTCGAACCAGCGGTAAATAACTTACTTGCTGCAGCTAAAATTCCTGCAGGATTGGGCATCAAAACTGGGCCCGGACCGGTTCCGGGGCCTTGGGTCATTTCGTTTCGCGCGATCTCGGGGCCTGATACGGAGTACTTCATACTCCATACTTGCCAGTAAGCAAGATCCAGGATTGCACTTTTTTTCGAAAAGGACTCGGACGTTCTCGTTGTGGGTCGCAAATCGGTCGTGTCGTGTCATGTCGTAGCCATACCGTGCAGTAGGCGAACTGTCGTGTTTTTACTATTGGCGGCGGGATCTTGAGCCGTCGAATTGACGATCGATCGAGGTTCAATGCGGTGAGCATCAAGTTTCCTTTTTTTCATTTTTCATTTCGTTCTTTCTCAAGATCCCCTCGTGTGATGAAATGATATTAGATCTTGCTTGTTTCGTTTACCTTTTCCGGGTGACGGGACTTTCCTGCGGTGTAGGTAGGTATATTGTACCGAGTATGTAGATCCAATTCAAGCACGAGGGGCTCGCAATTGGATCAAACGTTTCAATTTTCCAGTAAAGTTTATCTGTGTCTTGTTTCAACTTGATGGGGTTGCTCCTCTGGGTGTTTCATGCAGGTCCGGACGTCTGTGTGGACTAATTGACGGTATTCCTGCTTGCGATTCGCGAAGTTGCTGGTCGCTCTGTAGCGAATAGAGGATTTGAATGTGATATAGTAGTTCTACAAATAGTACTAGTATTCTTCAGGATGACGACCGTGGGTCATTGGCTGTATCTTTGCACCTGGGCATGCGACGGATTTGTGCAAACCTTTGGCAGGATTCGTAGGTTTAGACCACAATCCAGGGCTCGCTTAGCCACTCTGGTTAGACATATGTTCTGATGAAAATACTAGTACAGCGCAGTCGACGTAAACCTGTCAACAGCATTTTCAACAGCATTGACAACATCTCGTCGAATAATACAAACTTGAATGCGACTTGTCCCGGTAGGTTAAATCGAGTGTGAATTTTCATTCTTCATAAACATAATTGTCATCTAGAACAAGAAAGAAGCCGCTAATCACTATTTCCCAAAGCAGAAAACCGACACTTACAGCCGGCTACCCATGTTGACATGAACAGCCTTGGTCTGCGAGTACGCCTCCATACCAGCCTCGCCCAGTTCCCGACCAATACCACTCTGCTTGACACCACCGAATGGCACGCGGAAGTCGCTGTCATTGCTGCTGTTGATCCAGACCATACCGGCCTCGATGTCTGAAGCAACACGGTGCGCACGCTCGATGTCCTTGGTGAAGACGGCCGCGCCGAGACCGTAGGTGGTGTCGTTGGCGCGGGTGACGGCTTCCTCCTCGCCCTTGAAGCTGGCGATGACGACGAAGGGGCCGAAGACTTCCTCGCGGTAGATGCGCATGTTGTCCTTGACACCGGTGAAGATGGTAGGGGCGATGAAGAAGCCCTTGCCGTCGCCGACGTTCTTGTATGGCTCGCCACCAGAGACGAGAGTTGCGCCCTCGGACTTACCGGCCTCGATGTAGGAGAGGACACGGTCGTACTGGGCCTTGGTGACCTGGGGACCCTGGAAGGTTGCGTCGTCGAAGGGGTCGCCGACCTTGCTGGTGGAAGCGACAACCTCCTTGAAGACGGAAACGAACTTATCATAGACGGACTCGTGGACCAGAAGACGGGAAGTAGAGGTGCAGACTTGACCCTGGTTATACATGATACCAATGTGAGCCCACTTGGCGGCCTGCTCGATGTCGGCATCCTCGAAGACGATCAGAGGGGACTTGCCACCAGTCTCGAGGGTGATGTTCTTCAGGGTGCCGGCGGCCATCTTCATGATCTCGCGACCAGTGATGGTGGAGCCAGTGAAGGCGACCTTATCAACATCGTTGTGCTGGACCAGCGCAGCACCAGCGACACGGCCGTGGCCGTTCAGAATGTTAATGACACCAGGAGGGAAACCAGCCTCCTTGATGAGGTTGCCCAGGTAGAGAATGCTGAGCGGGGTCTGCTCGGCGGCCTTCATGACAATAGTGTTACCGCAGGCCAGGGCAGGGCCGAGCTTCCAGGCGGCCATAGCCAGAGGGAAGTTCCAGGGAATAATTTGACCAACAACACCAATGGGTTGGCGCAGAGTGTAGGCGAACTTTTGAGGGGTGGTACCGATGGTCTGGCCAGTGACCTTGTCGGCCCAGCCAGCGTAGTAGCGAAGGCAAGAGGTGACCTCGCCGAGATCGTCGTTCAGCGAAACCTGATAAGGCTTACCTGCGTCTTGTCAGTATTTTCATTTCTAGACTGTGCCGATTCTGCCCCGACGTCCGTTCCACGCGAACAATCACTCACCGTTATCCCAAGTCTCAATAGTGGCCAAAGTCTCCTTGTGTTGCTCAATCAGGTCGGCGAGCTTGAGCATGAGAACACCACGCTCGGTAGCGGGCAGGAGTTTCCAGGAAGGGTCCTTGAGGGCCTTGCGCGCGGCCTTGACGGCAGCATCGACATCTTCCTCACCGGCGGCATAGACGGAGGTGATTTCCGCTTCGTTACTGCGCGGGTCAGCTATTCAGTTCGCAATGGAGCGGCGGTTGCGGATCTCGCGGCTCGCTGGGGAAACGATCGCGGATCGCATCAAATCACATCAAATCAAGCTGGAGACTTACGAAGGGTTGATAGAAGCGATCTTCTCCCCGGACTTGGAGGCAACAAATTCGTTGTTAATGAAGAGACCGATGGGCTGGGCATAGGAGCGCCCGTTCGGGGCAGTCAATTGCACGGAAAGGTTGGACATGATGGAGGAATGAAAGCGGCGTGGACGAGACAGTGAAGTCGAGAACAAGAACCGCAGAGGTCGGAAGGTATAGGAGCAATTCAACATGCTCCTCGAGGGGTGGAGGGGGGTGGAAGGTTTTAAGAAGAGCTTCGAATCATTCGGATGGACCCTCCCCGCTCTGCGATAACGATAAGAAGAGTGGAACACACTCGGGTAGAGTTACTCTTCATGGGTAACCAAAGACAGAGTGATTCATTGGGTCCATCGGGTCCATGGTGGATCCTGGTTGGCTATATTCGCCGGGTCATTTGTGTGTACCTGGGAGTTGGTGAGGGGAAGTTGGAGACCGATGCATTTTCGGTAAGTCGGTTGACCTCGGCCTGATGACTTGCCTCTTTGGGATGACTGGCGATGATTTACATGGTTTAATTGGATTATTACTTTATTACTTTACGCTTACTGGACTTTTCACTTTTTAACTTTAATGCTTGATAATAGAGGACTCGATTACTGTAAGTGCTAGTCCTCGGATGCTCGCTACATATCTTAAATGTCAATATCATGCCGATCCGTCAACGCCCGAATATCTTGGAAGAAATATTACAAATGAAATCCGATCCAGGTCCTGGTCCTGCGCGCAGTCCGATGTGATGTTGGACTGCCATCGCCCAGGCTAGTTGGAATCGGAGACCTCAGAGCTCAAGCTCGCTGTCCTGATCCGCCTCGGCATCCTTGTCCTCGTCGTCCTTATCTTCGGGATCTTTGTCTTCAGCGGCATTTTCCCCACTGTCCACTGCCTTGTCATCCTTTTTCTCGCCATCCTTGCTCTCCTCGGCAACAATCTCGGCGTTGGGGTCCTCGCCCGCCAGCTCGAGAATGTATCGCCATTGTGCCGGGGTCACTGACGAGACGCTCAGTCGTGATTGCTTGACCATTTGAAGATTCTCCAGAGGCTTGCCAGCCTCCGCCTTCTCCTTGAGTTTATGCAGCGTAACCTGGTTCTCAAACTTGCGACGAAACTCGACATGGACTACTACCCACTTGGGTACATCGCGGACGGACTTCGGATCGTAGTAAGGGTGTTTCGGGTCGAATGCGGCCTCTGGTAGAAAAAAAAAACATTGTTTGTCAGAAGGGGGTTCATGTCAAGTAGATCGTGGGTGTCAAGCTCGAACCATCAGGTGAGTGCTCCTGCACGATTTCCATTACTCCGACGACAGCAGGTGTCTTGCAATTTGAGTGGTAGAAGAATGCGTAGTCTCCCCTCTTCATGTCGCGCATGAGGTTCCGCGCTAAAAAAAAAATCATTAGCATGCGACTCATTGATTCGCTTCAGTATGGGGATCTTTATTTCGGCTCTTACCAACGGGGTTTCGAACGCCTGGCAAAATTCATTAGTACATGTCGGACAGCATTCGTTCATGTAGAAGCTTACCATCCCAGGGCTCTGGTTTATCAGCCGCAGCCAGATCATCAATAGAAAACTTCACATCAACACCCTTCTCCATTCGCGACTCGGGCTCCGCCTTCATCAACCAGTATGAACGACCTGTGTTCCCTTTGGGCACATCGGCCAGAGGTTCTTCGCCCGCATCAGCCTTCGCATCAAAGATACTCGGCTCATCCCCATTGGTAGGCAAGCTCTTGCGCGGGCGGCCACGACCATCCTTCTTCTTCTCTTTGGCGGGGGTTGTCTCGGTACCTAGAGTGTAGCTCACAATTAGCTTGAATGAAGATGAAAGAGGTGAAATAAAACGTACCAGGTTCCTTGCGAGGTCTCCCACGGCCCTTCTTAGGACCCGCATTAGCTGCAGCCTTTTCTGCTGCAGCAGTCTGTGCCGGGGTGAGGATCTTCTTGGGACGACCGCGACCGCGCTTGGAGCCATCACTCGGGGCGACCTTTTTGGCATTAGGAGTCACATCATCAGTGCTCTTGCGCGGGCGACCGCGCTTCCTCTTCTCGCCGGTCTGAGGGGAAGAAGCCTGTGTTGCGAGCTGTTAGCGACAACGACCTTGCATGTGGAGCCCGGGGTGGATTGATGGGACGGTGATCTGAAGATTGGCACAATTGCGCGCCCCCTCCCCCCTCCCCCTCCCCTTCGAAATTAATTGCTTACACTGGGAGCTGCCTCGGCAGATTTGGGCTTCGCTGAGAGCGAGGGGCGACCTCGTTTGGCGGGTGTTGTTGAGGCGCCTTCAGACTTGCGTTTGAACGGCATTTTTGGACGAAAGGCGACGCAGGCTGATAGGGGCAAATTGAAATTGAAACAAGCTCTGGAGGATAAAGAAACCCTGGAAACGAAGGGAGGAATTGATGAGCAATTTAAATGCGATTGCAGTGGAATCTCACTCAGCTGAGGGTTGGACTGGACTGCTGAGCTTCCAAAGTTGCTTTGTTTGGTGAAGCTCAGCGCGACGGGTGGGTCGAGTCCACGTGATACACCTATGTATGACTGCTACATTTTAGTATATACTACTAGTACAAGCAACAAGCTGTATTGATTGGAATATTTAATAAACTGCTGATACAGATATATTTAGGACAGCCCTGGAGTTAACTGTTAATGGAGCCTGGTTCAAACCTCCGGGCTTGGACGTCCACTCTATGCTGAACGTCAAGAACCTTGGAATATATATCAAGCCATGCCGAACCTTGGGTTCAAGTTCAAGATGGAACCTTGGAACTTGAAGGTACTAGAGCCATAGCATAGCACCTAGGTACCTACTTACTAGTAAATAGTAACTATGAAGTAGTACTAGTAGTACTACTATGAACTTCAAGTTGAAAGCCACTGCTAGTAAGTTTGCATATATAGCCTTACTAGTAGTAGTGCTGGCAGTGGAGCTTCAAGTTGGACTATGTAAATCTCCAAGTTCCAAGCCCTGGAGGTTTGCAAGGCCATTTTGTACGAGTACTGGAACTTCGGGCCTCTTCCATCTTACCATCCCGCCCGCCGGGCCGTTTGCAATACAGCAAAAATATAGGAAAAATATAGTCATGCTGACAATATTGTCTACAATATAGCATTTTGAAACAGGGTAGTCATATGATAACCTCGTTTCTAATACTATATTGAAGAGAATATTATCAGTATGCCTAGATAATTGTATTCATTCAGGGCCATTGTATTCTACTACTACTACTACTACTACTAACTAGTATTTACATTCGCGAAGCAACGCATGCTGCTAAAGCAACGCGTGCCAAAGCAAAACCTAGAGATCAGCAAAACCTAGCGATCGAAGTTAGCAAGGCCTAGAGATCGGAGTTAGAAAAAAAAAGTGAGGCTATTCAGAACGCGTACCGCCAAAACAACGCGTGCCAATACAAAACCTAGAGATTAGCAAAACCTAGCGATCGAAGTTAGTAAGGCCTAGAGATCAAAGTTAGCAAGGCCTAAAGATCGTAGTTAGTAAGCTTCAAGTTGAAAGTAACTTAAAGAACATTGAGACGGATATTTGAGCCTCTGAATTGCAGGAGCAGCAGATGAGGACACACTGGAACTTATATCGGGGAGTCGGGGAGTCGTGTCGAATGTTGCAAGGTGAGGGTATACAAGCTCCGGGTCCACTTTTGTGCCCCACGGTGATCATCAATTCTCTCGATCTGATATCATTTAGTCGGCCGAGAGATAGTCCCACCAGCAGGTTGCAATAAAGAAGCTTCCACAGAGGGTCTGCTGTGAGGGAATCATAAGTGAAATTCACTGGAGTGAACCAGACCTGAGTATATCTTGTCTCTTGCTCCTGGAAAGCTGAAAATCGTCATTTGGTGCTGAATTTCTCCCATAACTTGATTCACTGTCTCAATCCCGCAAACGGAAGTCGCAAAACCACATCTGCAGTTTAAGCATACAAACATGTGGTGACGGGTCAATTTGAGGTCCCCTATTGGCCATTAAAACTGGAGCTGTGAATCACGAACCAATATTACGGCCTCTGTCAATTCCGGATAGTGTGACCTACTACTTCTCGGTCGAGAATCCGAAAACAATACAACCCCGTTCTCATATAAATATCGTCAGGGTCCATGCAGAGAAGTTGGAAGATCAAAATAAAATGTCAGACCCAAAGAACCCAAACATCAAGGCCCGAACCACTCCGCAGTGGTCACTCTACCGGCGTGACGCCTTCTGGAACACCAACAATGGCGAATATCCTCTTTTCAACACAGGTATGCATACCATGTCTCGGATCTAGTCCTCTAATATCTAGACTAACCAGTATCGCTTGAATCGAATAGATCCAGCCGAAATCGAAAAACTGGCAAAGGAGAAGCTCTCCCTCGCGGGATGGTAAGCACTATCAATTAGCTCGAGAGCACCGTTCATGACGCGAGAACAACCTTTCAACTAACGATCTTTCCAGGTACTACTCCTCATGCAATGCAGGCCTCTCCTGGACACACCTAGCCAACCGTCAAGCATTCTACCGCCACCGAATCATCCCACGAACCCTAGTGGACACCAACATCAGAGACACGGCAACCGAGATCTTCGGACACAAAGTATCTGCCCCGTTGGGATTCGCACCGATCGGAATAAACAGAATCTACCATCCCACAGGTGAGCTGTCGGTCGCGAAAGTCGCCGAGGAGCTGAACCTCCCATACTGCCTTTCTTCCGCTGGCAGCTACAGCATCGAAGACGTAGGAAAGGCCAACGGCAACGGGCCACGATTTTTCCAGCTTTACCAAAGTCACGATGACGAGCAGTGTATCTCTATGCTGCAGCGCGCCTGGGATTCGGGATTCGATGCTTGCATGTTGACTACTGATACCTGGTCATTGGGGTGGCGACACAATGACGTTTTCACCGGGAACTATGCCTTTTACCACGACCACGGGGCCGGAGACATTGCTTTGAATGATCCGGTATTTCTAAAACGTCTGGAAGAAGCCGGGATTGACCCGAAAAAGAACCCCAAGGAGGCTGGTGCCAAATGGATTGATGAGAATATTTGGCATGGTCGCGCTCATACCTGGGAGAAGGTCCAGTGGACGATGCAGCAATGGAAGCGCATTAGTGGCGGGAGACCGTTCTGTCTGAAGGGAATTCAAAGCGTGGAAGCTGCTCAGAAATGTGTTGAGATGTGAGTGTCTTGGGGTGTGGATGGCCTTTTGGATGAGTTCGCTAACGACCTTGGCGTTGTAGGGGAATTGACGGGATCGTTGTGACGAACCATGCAGGCCGCCAGGTAGATGGTGCTATCGCAAGCCTTGATGCCCTGGAGAAAATTGTCGATGCTGTGGACGACAAGATCTATGTGAGTTATTTCATTGGCTATTTTCCACTTCGTTCGTTTCTCACAATCAATGCGTCCCCAGGTTATGTTCGACTCGGGTGTACGAAGCGCTGCCGACATCTTCAAAGCTATTGCGCTGGGGGCTAAGTTCGTTTTCATCGGCCGCATGTGGATTTGGGGGCTTAGCATAGCTGGCAAACATGGTAGGTTTCTCCAAAACCCGCAGATGATAATTGATTGTCTAATGATCGATTGTGGCTTAGGTGTTCGCCATGTTTTGAAGAGTTTGTTGGCAGAGTTTGATATTTTGATGGAGGAGGCTGGATTTCAATCTATCGACCAGATCAATCGCTCTGCTATAGACAGCCTGCCGAACTCTTCAAACTTGATTGCCGAGCGTTCCGGAATCTAGCGCTTTCTGCATCTGTCTATGGTACCATCGGAGGTTCCGGCCGATTATTGTCGAGTAGTGCGATATCTGGGAATATTTAGGGACCCCACAGACAACACTACACTTCGCGAATTCGCCCAGGTGGCTCAACAGTGGTGGGAAGCTCTGCCACTGCCGGCACAGAGTAATATAGAGGCAGTTGCTTCTGAGGAGAGAGGATCCCGAGGAAGAGAAGACTGTCTGAGGGGTTTGTCGAGAGCCCTCAGCACCATGAGGCTATCTAGCATCCACATCTAAATAGCCTTGGGCAGTGTCCTCCCATATCCATATCATCCATCCATTGATCTCTCATCTCATCCAGTTGCCTTCGTTCAGCAGAGGTGTTCGTAATGCTCATACCTGGCAGCAATGACTAGCTAACGATTTATCTTTTTCTCTCTTTTTCGAACAAACCATATTTTCTGGCGTCGCGGTGCGCCCCAGACAAAATCAGCCACCACCAATGTTCCACTGTCCATTCCTAGGAATGCAAACACCGTGACGTAGACTCTATTGCGCCTGCAGATATAGAAAAGGATGCGGTTCACCTAAGTCCTTTGATCAACCATTGGGCTATATATGCCTCACTTCGGCCGGTATCTTTGTATTGTTTTGTTCTCTACCTTATCGATCTCTCTAAATTTGCGCTACTGTGTAACCTCCAGAGGCTCCCTTGGAAGTATAGTAAGTATCAATGAAGTTGGAGAATATTCTGGCCTAATACAAAATTGAAAGTGCCGGAGACTGCTGCGACGACAGGTCCCAGTGGAGTTGAGAATGGTCAGATCACCCCGAGAGAGAGATCAAGACTAACCAACAGAGTGACACTTCGGTTGCGCGAATGATCTTACAGGATCAGTCTCGCAGAACAAATTGCTGCTGGTGATCTGGCGAATCCAAGCTGAGAATCATACTACGTAGCCTGAGCCTAAATAACCAATCAGGGAACACAAGAGGAGTGATCTGCAGGGGTCGCGCTTGCCATAAAACTCCGATCTATACTATCTACTTACAAGTTCAATACTCCTGGGCGCGTCAAAGTTGCAACTTGAAGTCTGCTACTCAAGCTTAAGAATCTCGAATCCTTCACCTTTTAAGAAAACCAAACGACAGCGAGAAAAAGATGGGCGACTCCTCTGCCCCACGTCGTCGCACCCGACGAGTAAGTACATACTACTCATGCATCTGTGATCTTACTGATAAATGTCAGCCTCGTGGACGTCCACGCCGCCGCCGCCATATACGTTGGCCTACCTTCTATCTGCAGCGGCCGCACCCGCCATATTTACTATACTTGGTACTATATTTAGTACTATATATTCAAGTTCTGGAAATTCTCTTCCTCTTTCCAAGGTTCCTGCTATTATTCGTGCACCAGAAAATTCAAACTGAATTCAAGACAACCTTAACTATCCCTCCACCACAAGTTTTCATTTTCATTCCCAGTCTTTTCCTTCCAAGTTTCTCGCCACCCGCAGTGATGACAGAGCGACGCACATGCGCCGCTCGCAACGAACGTGTTAGTAGATACTCACTGGCATATTTCCATGACCCCTGATCTCAAAGAGAACACGAGCCACTAACACATGTATAGCAGGCACCTTTTCCGGGTGGAGAAGCATTCAATTCTACTAGCCATTCAGGATTTATCCTGAACGTGTCCGGGAGCGCACAAGTCACACTGACCTTTGCAGCGGTAAGTTTTCCATATTTGGCTTCTTTATTTCCGTGGTCTCACTGAATAATGTTAGCCCAAGGCTCCTGTTACAATGGAGCGACAGCGACGCTGGCATCATCCTGCCTCCCCTCCCGTGTACGACCCTGCTGCGCCTCCAATGTTCAATGAATCGCAGGGCCGCTTCGATATCAGACGCCGGCTCCCAGTCAGACGCCCAGTCGGACGCCCAAACAGACACTCGGACAGAAACTCGGATAGACTACCGGATAGCTTTGCTCGCGCGGCTTCGCGTCCCCAAGATGCCACTCCTACTCGACCTCGCTCTCGCTCTCCCCCTCGCGATGCGGCTCTTCCTGCCACCACAGCTCCCACTACCACTACAGCTCCCACCAGAAATGAGGCTCCGACTTGGAATGTGGCCGGCGCCGGCACTCGCTCTCCCCCTTCCTCTCGGTCGTGAAGTTCTTCCTGTGCTTACCTCACCTCACCTCTCCCCTCCTCTCCTTCTCGCGGTGTGGTTGCTCACTCTTCCTCCTCTCTACGATCTGTTGAGGTGTTAATAGCCGAGGTTTTATTTCTCTTTCTACCGAAATCTATTGCATTGCGCTCAATATTACTACTAGTAGACATGACGTGTAGGTTCTCCCATTGAACTTCCCCACACCTTCACAGACATGGATACCTAGTATAACCGGAAATAAGTCTCAGCATCGATACTAGCATTCAGTAGGTGTAACATTCTAAATTTGGATTCCCAGTTGAAAATTATGTCTAGGTTTACATCTTTGACGTTGATTTGGGCTGCGCAAGTGCGCCAGTGGCCACGCTCCTTGTAATCTCGCGTTACCAGAGTATAGTACGTTGTATTATGTACTAATACTGACAGTGTCTGCTTTTGCCAAAAGACTGCAGCTCAGATACGTAGCTGTTCGATGAGCTAGGGCCTGAGCAAATAAATTAAAGTCGCCGAATCAACAGGTGAGTTAGATATATCTACTTTGTAGAGCTACCTGGCGTGTTTGAAATCACAGACAGGTCTTGTTCATTGAAGGCTCACAAAGGCCACCGCATAGGAATTGGCCTTTCTTGTTCGTTATTTTTGCTTGTTATATCCCCCTTCGCGAAAGAGCGCAGCTCATATGACTTTTTGAATATGTCCCATGTTACTTATATCTCATCTTCCCAGCTGTCTGTCTGTTCCATTGCATATTTTTCATCTCTTTCAATATTCACTATGGAGTCTCCAAGCCAGCTAGGAGATTAAACTGTCTACTGATTCATTTATGTTGGAGAATCAACCTTACTCTAACTACTGCGATAGACAAGATCCTGATATGACGAATTTGAATCGAAAATTCGCTAAAGTCTCACTAATAAGATTGAGCAGAGGACTTTGATGTGCAGTGGTCGCACCTGCTATCTATACTACTACTATATTTATTACTATATATATGCTCTCAACATCGGTAACCTAGGGTCATGTGACAGAAGCCTTAGCAACAAGGCCCCTGCTTTGTTTCCGGAGAATAAGTAGCGTTCGTTCCATAGTATCAATTTTAACATGCATGTTCCCCCTTTTATGAAATGATTCCTTAAGGCTGCTGAGGTCGCAGTATCGGTATACTGCTTACAAAAGGTTCTGTCATTCGTTCTGTCAATCCTCTATAGCGTCACGCTTTGCCTATCCTATTCCTGCACTCTGCGAGTGTGGTGGTGTTGTCTCTTCGCGATCGACCCGTCTGCCAACGCAGACAGCCTACGAGCATTCCCATCTTTCAATAGGTATATTCTGAAACCTTCTTACCTTCTTCATCTTATTGTTTGCGCGCCTGCAACTTGAAGCCTTGATCATCACTCCACCGCAACCTTTCTATTTTTCTCTTTTCATTATCGCCATTTTTCCTTCTCCAAATACCGCAATGATAGGAGAACATCAGTCATATATCCCTTCCCCCTTCCCAATCAATATATACGATGCTTTAGTACCGGTAGGTACAAGATTTTCATGTGCTTTGATTGAAAGAAGATGAATCGCTGACGTATATCTTGCAGTCATTGTTCCCGGTGGCAGAAGGCTGTAGATTCTGGTTTAGCTACTTGGGGTTTCTCCCAGTTACGGGTCGTTCTGCATCCCCTGCTCCCGCAACTGCGGCTACGTCTGTTACTATTACACTTTAACTGTCAGACCCATTCCAAGGTTTCACTGGTAGCACGGGTTTTACAACAGTAGACGCCGGAACTATTCTATACACCCACATATCCTCTTGCACTTTGCTGCCCCCCATTATGCTGCTGCCCGCAACGACGGTGCTGCCTCTCGCTCTGCCTCTCGTCCTTAGCATTCTGGCTGCTCTCGCCTTTTCTCACTTTCTCTCTCTTCCTCGCGTGGTTGCCGAATCTGCCCCTTTCTAAGAATGCCCAGGGCTGGTTACTGGATTTATTTTTCGTTTATTTTCTCTTTATTTTTTCTTTAATTAATTCACTGACATGTCCAATTCAGGGGACGTGGTCGATGAAGGAAGCCATTCCACCATGATCATCAATTTATCCGTCCAGGCGACGGTAACTATTAACTTTGCGGTAAGTTGTCTATTTTCAGTTCCTTCATATGTGTGATATAATTGAACCCATCTTAGCCAATGGGTGCCACTGTAACCAGCGTACCTCTCATCATCTGCTGCCAACGTGCCCTTCCTGTCAATGCCGCTTCCACGGGTTTTAGGGTTACCCTAACGTTGGTCTTGAACTTGAATATATTATAAGCGGTAGATATACCCAGCTACTACTACTGGTACTAAATGTTTATCTCTCATGATTCAAAGAAGATGAATCACCAACATCTATCTTCCAAGGTTCAATAAGTTGCAGGCACCTTTGCTGGACGCACAAACATTCAATTCGAGCCATTCAGGATTTGTTCCAAATCCCGGGCCATCTCGGAATATAAGGCTGACCGCGGACTTCACAGAAGTGTGATTTCTACTTTTGGCTTCTTCATAAGTGATGTCACTGAATGATGTTCTGCCTACCCTGATCTGGCCAATCGGGATTGAGGATCCCGGGTTGAGTTGCCAGTGACCAATCGGGGAGACAGAAACTGTTGATCTGCAGGGCCGCACCTGCCAAGAATATCCGATACTACGGAGTATATGTTTACTACTGTTTACTGTTTACTGTTTATACAATTCTTCCATCAATCTTTCCTAGGAGTCTGCCTCTCTTTCTACTTCAATCTAGTGATGGCAACACGGCAGCCTCCCGCCCCGCCCTTTGACAACCGGCTAGTAAGTAGATCGGATACTCACTGTCATAAATCAATGGCCTATGTTTTGAGACGAAGAAAGACAATGTACTGATATTTACTATGTAGAGCTCGGATGATGATGCCGGCAAACGCGGTGGCCAGCACACTGGCGGTCCGGAGGAAATAATGGTCAATACCACTACTATCGTCTCCGAGTCTCTAGGTGTGGCTGGCCTGGACGCCGCCACTGGAGTCGATCCTCCCCCCCCGATCACCATCGAGCAGACCTGAACCCTCTCCCCCCAGCTCCCCACCAGAAAAGCCATCTGCGCATGAAATTCAACCAAAGACACCATCTCCCCGGTCAGCCCGTCGACGCCGATCTACCTCGTCTCCGTCTCCTCGACCTGCCCGTCGACGACGACTTACGACCTTCTCTCTGTCTCCTTCTCGCCCTCGACTGTCGTCTCCACAGGATGACGCCCCTCCCTTTCATACCGGTCCTTCTCGTACGCCCTCACCACAGGATGGAGTCCCTCTCTATCATGCCGATCGTCCTTGCTTGCCCTGTCCACCTCGGAATGGCGCATGCCCTCTCTGCCCACCTCCTCGTCGTAAGAACACTGATAATGACGATATGTGAAGGAGGATTGGTAGCTGGCTATGGTGACTGGCGGTGGTGACTGATGCAGGACGACCACTGGTGTCTTTTCTTTTCTTCTCTGTTTCCTCAATGAATCTCATTTCCGGCGCTGCTGCGCCCTAAGCAAATCTGCCCACACGGCTATTCCGCTTTCTGCTATCAGAATTGTAGATACGTATATTCTCCCGCCCAAGCCCTTGGCACCTTCATAGTAGGGACTTCTGTATTGATAGTGGATCCATTTGGCTTTCTATATCTTTCTCTTCGGTGTTCTACTTCGTAATCGTTATATTTACCCTTATCTTAATTTACGACTCATTAGGTTCCATCTTGAGATCGCATGAGGCGTAGGCGCGAGAATACTTCTCATTTCTAGTAATCTCGCGTAAGCGTGCGGATGATTCTCAGTATTCCTTATACCGTATTTGATAAAGACCGTAGCTTACATGTGTTGAGACCTGAGGGTTCAGGCACCTAGCACTTACCTAGGGAGTCACCCCGTTCACCACAGATGTAGTAGATATATCAGTGAGTCTCCCCATGCATGATCATCTTCTCATTACATCCAGTCAGGAACGAGATATCTGGGCGGCTTTCACTTCCATCCAACCTAGTTTCCCGACAATCAACTTGTAGCGTAAGAATATATTGTCGTTGATGGCATTTCCGGTGAAAGATTCGGTATCTCGGTCAATTTCGAGATCACTTTTGGCGTAGAGTGTCGACATTGTAAGAACAGGTGGTATCGAAACTATAACCTTCTTTTGGCCCTTGAATATTGAAAATCCTTCAATATGGGCAAACATTTCCAGGTAGCCTTCCTGATTGATCGTCAAATCACCCTTTTCGTAGTAGCTAATCGCCATTCGGAGGCATTTTGTGCGTTCTCCGAGGTCGTTGATGTTGCATATGTATATTGGACACTTCCCCAATGAACGAATCAATTTCGCCTTCGATTTTGCGAACGAGTTTACACCGTCGACTTAAATCTTGACGAAGACGCCGAAACCCTCCTGAAAACACAAGGATCTGACATCACTGGCCTCCGCATCCAGCGACATGATCCCTTAAATATCAAAGGCCTTGACTTGCCTGATCTTCTTGACTATATTCCTCTGCACTTTCCTTCTATATTGAGGAAATGACACTGGAGCAAATGGAGAACTACCTTTGGGTTGAGACATTTCATGTGATTCAAATTATTAAAAGATGTTATGGAGCGGAAATGCTCTGATTTAGGAATGCGTCATAAGACATTGGGACCACGAGATTGCTGGGAATCAAGAGATATGATGGGGAGCTGTAGCGACGTTTCCTTGCACGACAATTTCATGTCAGCTGCTTTCAAAGTCACATAGATCTCGATGGGAGGAAACTCAGTACCTTAGTTCATGGCGAAGGGGAGGGACGAGTTAGATTCAAGTTCTTCGCCAGTACTCACTAGTATTTGGGTTAGCAGAATCGCACTTGCCTAGCAAACACAAAACACAAACAACAGCAGCAAACAGCGGTAATTACGTACACTCTTTCACGCCTAGGTGAATTAAAGGCATAGTACTAGTACGACATCATCCATTTATTACCAATTTATAATGCAAGAATTTTTTAACACCCGAAGTGTACCCATACTCAGTAGGCAAATCTCAATTCCAATCATATAGAAGATCATAGACAACTCCGGTACCAGACCTCCATTTTTTTAAAGCGGCGCTGGCAGCTGATTGCTGAATCGGGCTGAGGTAAACGTGAACCCGTCCTATCTGCATCACCCTTGCATGAGGATGCAGGGACTGGTATTTCCAGGTTTTTTCCAAAGCTTGATCATTATGCGACACCTCAGCATGTTCGTAAAGGTTTCTAGAAGACTGAAACTGTGACTTCTAGTAGATTACCAGTATACCACCAGAATCGACGGGAAATTACCTATATTGTCGGTGACAGTTTAACGCCTCCAGCACTTGGGTGCACAACACTAATCTTGTAGGAGAGCTGGCGTAGGTTAGCGCTTAACCCCGCATTTAATACCTGCGCCCGCCTATAGCCGAATGATGCGTTTTCATTCACCGCATCAACCAAGGGTCAATTTTCTATCCCCGACCTCAACATTCATTTCATTCCTCACAATCCTCCTTCGATTTCTCTGCAATCCAACCCTCACTTCAAAGGAGGCTTGTTGGTTGATTCCGGGTGTCTATTTTGACTCGTTGACGACTCTGGTTCCGATGCTACGAAAGGAAAGCTGAGTCCAGCTCCAATACGATATAAATCCACCCACATAGCTCAAAGATTCAACTTGATCACACAAAATTGGGGCAACATCGAGAATATTCAACTTCCACTATCCAAGGAGATCGAATTCATCATGGAGGCCATATCGAGACCGAGCTCGCTCAGTGCCGCTGCCCACCAAATATCCGATGCGGTGAACGGCCATGAAGCAGAGCTCCACATCATCAATGAAAAGGTTCGCTTCGGAAGTCCAACCTGAATAACTCGAATTCGAATACACTTTTTGACAATCATTTCTGACATACGATAGATCCATCGCAACCCCGAGACATGCTACGAGGAGTTCCAAGCTCATGACGTCATTGTTGATTTTCTCGAAAAGCGAGGATTCGGAGTCATCAAAAATGCGTTTGGCTTGCAAACCGCGTTTCTCGCTGAGTACGGGCAAGGAGGTCGAATCGTGACATTTTGCGCGGAATACGATGCATTGCCTCAGATCGGACATGGTTGTGGCCACAATTTGATCGCCGTATCATCTATCGCCGCTTTCCTGGGAACCGTCGCAACGATGAAGGAATCTTCTTCTCCTGGCCGAGTCCAGTTACTCGGTTGTCCCGCTGAAGAGGGAGGTGGCGGAAAATTGAAATTGATCGAGGCTGGTGCTTTCGCAAATGTCGATGCATCGTTGATGATTCACCCTACACCCCCGGTTGATCACTCCCGACCAGAAATTGCTGGAATATCCTATGGTACTTGCCTGTCGGCTTGTGGCGTGAATGCTACTTTCCTTGGCAAGCCCTCCCACGCCGCGGCAACGCCTTGGGAAGGTATTAACGCGTTGGATGCTGCGACATTGTCTTATACGGCGGTCGGTCTGCTTAGACAGCACATTCGACCAAGCGATCGTATCAACATAATTATGCCGGAAGGGGGTACTGCGCACAATGTTATTCCGGAAAGAAGCAGGATTCGATGCAATGTGCGGTCGGAAACGGCAGCACAGATGAACTCGCTCAAGACCCGCGTGGAAAATTGCTTCAAGGGCGCAGCTCTTGCGACTGGATGTACCATGGAGCTAAGCGTGGCGTAAGTCAAAATAGCACTAGGATCTCTAGCCCGCCATTTCAACATTTTGAGACAATTGCTGACCACCCCTCACAGTATGGCCCCTTATACGGATATTCGACCAAATGAAGGATTATGTACGGAGTTCGCCGATGCCATGCAGAAATGGGAACGGAAGTTTGTTTGCAATCTGGAGGATAAAGTTCTCAGCGCATTCAGCACCGATATGGGTATTTACTAGGTTATCTCAAGAATTTCTTGAGACTAGCGCTGACGTCTTTACTTAGGCAACGTGAGTTACGAAGTACCTTCTTTCCATGGGAATTTTAGTATCCCGACGGCACCTGGTGTTGGACTTCACACGGAGGAATTCAGAGATGCAGCGGGGACTCTCGAGGCGCATAAAGTAGCCATGGGCGTCGGGAAAGGAATGGCAGCTACGGGATTTCGAGTTCTCAAGGACGAGCAATTTGCTTCCTTGGTCAAGCGCAATTTTGAGGCAGACAAGAAGTTGAGGTAAAGAATCAACTCACTGCCAGTGGCTTAACACGGCACCAGGAGCAGCAAAAGCCTTCAAACCGGAAGCAATGTACAGTTCAGAATACATTTTAGGAGTCGCAGCCTCTAGGTCCCATACGTTAAATCAATCGTATCTCAACTTGAAATCCTTATCACTTTCTTCAGGGCTTACCCTGTACTCGCTGCCATGATAATTCTCGCCCGGGATCGTCATCCTCGGGGGACGCAATGATACTGAGAGGTGGATTAGGTATATACTTGATATCCAAATTTTAGAAAGTCGCTTTTATTTGAAGGAGATTAAAAAACAACTCTGAAACTTGAACATAAAAAGAATTAATAGACCGAAGCATTTACCAGAAATTAAGACTTGATTAAATGAAAATTGGAGTATTATAAACAGGTCTGAAATCATGATAGAGAAGATAGTACTACTCGACGCCCGGCACACATGATTGGCTCTCGAAGTTCCTCCTTGCATGAGTCTTCTGCTCGAAATAGAGGACGGAAGTTGCTGCAGTTGCTCGGGAGGAGCAGAGCTGAGGCAATGGCGGCGGTGCTGCATTTGAACGCATGAATTGTATGGTAGCAAAAAGGAGTCGAAGTTGGATTTGGAGGGGAACAGCCTTAAGGGTTTACATGGAAGGTACGCGCTACACTACGCGTTTGTTGACGACTGACTGTTGCTAGTAATTGTTTAAAAGGTAGAAGTGCTTGTCTGCCTTCGTTAATTAATACGACACACTCGTTATTCAACTTTGTTTGCAGCCTAAGGTAGGCTCAATGAGCGAATCTAAAGTCCAACCGCTTGCTTCCCTGTACATCCGTACTCTTGATATACTCATTTCGCTCCGTGTCAGACATTTCGTTCCAGATCTTCTCCCTTCGTCCGTTCTCATAGACGTAGTACGCCTTAGCTCCGAGAAAGAGTGCAATCGCAAGAATGTTGATTGCGATGAGGGAGGTATTTCCTCGTCGATACTTAGGCTTGTCATCGTCACGGTAGATGAAGTAGGCGGCCACATCGCCGGCTTGAACTGCCATCTGTAGTTCTTGTATTGTATTAGCATCTGTGTAAACCCAGGGTGGATGTCACGCGAAGTCTTACGTTGTAAAGCGCTGCTGAAACGGAACGATTTCCGACGTTATTCGAGTTTCGGGATGCCCAAGCAACCACAATTGCTATAAAGTTAGTATTTGTATACTATATCCGTGAAAAGGGGTTGCTCTTCACATACCATGACAGTAGGGGTAACTCAATAGGACAGTGACCACGGCATACGTGCCCCAAGTGTTCGAAATGACATCCGGCCAAAATCGCAAAGCAATTACACAAGGCAGAGTCCAAAGACCCTGGAACATTGCGACCAACGACCATGAATTGAGTCGGCTGGCTACCCAAGTGATAATAAGCAGATTGATAATATGGAACACACTCGCCGGGATCGTGAGAAGATTAGTCTGGAACTTATCAAAGCCAACCGAGCGGAGCGTAAGAGTAATATACGAATTGACCGGTGACTGTGGAATATACGCTACCACTCCAATGAGGTAAATGGGCCACATGTGGTAATCCTTGATCGCACTCCAGAGTCTTGTCGGAGTGATGGCTTGTCGATTGTGCATGTCGCCCTTAGACGGATCGTCGCGTAGAACTCGATTCGCCACGATCGCGACTTCGCGATCACTGAACCAGCCCTTCGGTCGGAACCAGGTCTTTGTTTGGACGACCGAGGCTGGCATCATGAAGAATGATGCGAGTCCGATTGAGAGAGTGATTACACCTTCGATAAGGAAGAGCCATTGCCAACCGGCCATTCCGTGTACACCGCTGAGGTGGAAAACTGCGAAGGCGAGGAGTGATGTTACGATTGTGGTGACTGAAAGTGATGTCCAGAAGAAGCTAATCATTGTTAGTTGGATATGAGGCTTGGGGAGAGTGCTGCACATACCTCAGTCGAACTGGAAGCTCTCGGGCAGTGTAGAAATATGACAGCCAAAGGACGATGTCGGGAATGAAACCCCCCCTATATAATTCATGAGAAAGCTTTATCGACGTCTCATTCATGGGACTCACCTCTAGTGCACCCAACAAGCATCGCGTAACGAAAAACGATGTTTTACCACTTAGCCGGCACTGTGCTATAGCCACCACGGACCAGAGCACCATCTGGATAGGAATCCAGCGGTCCGGTCCGAGCTTTTTTGACACAAGCTGCGAAGGGAGTTCTGCGACCAAAAACGAGAGTCGAAAGGCGATGTTACCGTAGTTATAGTCTGGAAGGTGACTGTTAGAATATCTCTCCGTGTCCAAGAAGCAAACAGCCATCCACTTCACTATTTGATTCAAAGATCTGCCCATGGATGGAGCTCACCATTGGTAGTCAACCCAAGATCGGTCAAAAAAGTATCAGAAACCGCCTGAACGAGATTTCCCCGATCAACCTGCAGCGCAAAGAACATAACACACTGTGATAGAAGAGAACGGCGATTAGTCTTCCGTGCCTCCGTCAAGGGAAAATTAACCCGTAACATACAGCCCATAAACAAATTCTCCAGTCAAGTTTTCTCACAATAGCCTTCTCCTCCTCAGCCGTCCAAGTGAGTGAAGGATCAAAAACATGTCGACACTCATACTGTGCCTTTTCATAAACCGTCCTCCAATACTCTGCCACTTCTTGATCCAAGAATGGATTATTTGCATCGCTATTTTCTCCATCTGGCTCTAGAGTCCCATAACTTCTCTTGCGTTCTTGTGGTGTAGTCTCACCAACCGTGGTCACCGCGGTGGTCTTTCCTTCTATGGCGCTCATCTCGCTGTATAAGACGCGATCGCGATGCGGTTATGTTGATTGTGTTTGCACTTGTCTTTTTCCCGAAAGAAAAACAAGAGAAAATGAAATAGTAACCGTCGGTAAATTGCCATTTATAATGCTTTTTTTTATCCTCTGCCGAAACGACCCTTGCTGCACGGCTTGGAATGGCGATAGCGCTGGGTGCCATGATGTGCTATGATGTGCTAGAGGGGTATTCAAGTTGAATAGGGACTCGGAGTGTTTTTGGGACATTCTCCGCACTTGGCGGTATAAGCCTATACCAGGGTCTTGGCCATGTGCTTTTTGTTTCAAAGTCGGTTCTGGGTTTTGTGAGAAGCTTGATAAGGACAGTAAATAGTGGATGAAAGAAGTGGTGCTGGTTGGGCTGCTAACAAGCGATCACGAACAGTGCAAAATGAAAACCAACATGAATAAAATCGATCCGCTATAGAGTTCTGCAAACAATATCATGCCATTTGTTATCAGAAATGTCATTTGGAAAATCTCGTACAATCTATTGCCATTGGGAAATTTGGGGCGGCTTGGCGGAGGCCAAGACAAACGCAATGTGCACCAAAATGAAGACATTGCGATACGGATAGCGCTAGGCTGCCAGTTTCTCAAGTTGTTGGCTGTCATGTCCGCTTATTTAGACCGCACACTTCTCAGGGAAGTTCTATGTTTATTTTGGCGATTTGGAACCCTCCACTCGCTGAATATGTCAGCATTAATAGGTCCCGATCGTCTTGGGAGGCATGGAATTTTCATTCACTTCAAGTTGGCTACTACTGAAAGGGCTAGTAATGGTTTGCAGCAAGGCCATTTATGACGAGATAGCGATTAGTACCAGTACTACTCGTACTAAGGTGCCCTGGTGAGTAGTCTGCACGAAGGTCGTTCCGCCACTAGGAACTTGAACCATAAGGAATGAGGATCCTGCCCTGACGGGATACCCCCGGCTTCTTAGATCCAGTCTCTATGGCCAGGCATTCACACGCGCAAGAATTTAAATATTGGCAGATTTCAACATCGGATTGTTCAAGTTCACCTAGGTAGGCAAATGATCCGATTCCATACCTATGTACTTCTAACATGAAGGTTGTAGATAGTATGGAATAACAAGACGTGCCCAGGTGGGTGGATATATATTTCGGGTGTCCTGACTCGGATGCCAGCTGAGTGGAACGCCTGGTGGTAGCCCCGGACTCGGAGGTAACTTGAAATGAGCCGATGTTATACTGCTAGTATCTACGTATAGAGATTCCCGATGCGAGTGCTGGCTGTGGGCCGACGGAAGGATTAGGCGTACTCTTCAAACGTGGGGATATACATGTCCTTGTTTAGGAATGTGTACTCTGAGGATTAGTTAATCTCTGGCACGCTTAAACAGGCGCTTCATACATACAGTACCAATAACTATTGGATGAATAGTTAGTGGAAGCCCTATTTTATTATGATTTTTCTCAATATTATTGCCCCAGATACACTATACAACTTAAACTCTCCGGTTGTACAGGTGAGGACAGTTCCGGGGAAGCGCAGAAGTTCGTGGAAAGGCCCCACCTCAGTGGGTCTCCGCTCTCGCAGCATCATCAATGCCTCCGATCCGGGACTTGGACTTGACAGGGGGACCTTTAGGACGAATGCAGTCGTTTCGACGACTGGTTTAGACTCGACTGCTCATTGGCTAGACCAGAATCGTGTTGCAGCTGAGACCCCGCCGATCTACGTTCGCATTGGAGCTGATTAATGCGCGACGAAGAGAGAGTGTGGAATTGCGCCATCTGGTCCTGTCTCCATTGGCTCCATGTGGGGGATTGTCGGCCGATTTGGCTGACGGTTGGAATAGTCGGCCGATAGGGATGGGTGAAAGGGAAAACTATTGTTGAAGGATGGAATGAAGATATTCTGAAGGTTCTATTTATGAATGCTATAATATGGAGGGAGATCTGTAGAGAAGGATAGAGGAGAGGAGAGTAGTATATAGAGTGTTGGGGTACCTAAGGGACCTAAGAGACCCCTGATCCAGTTAAGGTGCAGTCAGGCATTCAGGCACTTAGGCACTCAGGCAGAAAGGTTCGCACTAAACAGCCCACTTTACTGGTAGCCAATAGAATTGATTCTGCCACGGGCGGTGGGAGATTGCGTGATGACGAGTGCCGGATGAGGTAAGTCGATCACTCGTGGTTCAGACGGAAGGTACGATGGTGTGCGCGTTGGAGGGGTTGCTGGGGTTGCTTTGGTTCCTGCCTATTTGAATGCTCCCTTCCCCCTCCTTCTTCATCTTCGCTTTCTCTTCTTCTTCCTCTCTTCATCCTCCCATCTCCATCTCCATCTCAATCATTCACAATGGCTGCTGACCGTGCTCCTCCGTACGTTGACCTCTTATACTATACAACACCTCGAGCTATGAGCTATGCTGTGCTATGCCAGCTTGTCATTGTCTCCACTCTCCCCAATGCCACCTCCATTATTCAACCTCATACTGACCTTCATCCATCAGTCTCCGCCTGGGCTCCGTTGCCCCCAACTTCGATGCCGATACCTCCAACGGTCCCATCAACTTCCACAACTTCATCGGCGACAAGTGGACCATCCTCTTCTCTCACCCCGATGACTTCACCCCCATCTGTACCACCGAGCTGGGTGCTTTCGCCAAGCTCGAGCCCGAGTTCACTGCTCGTGGTGTCCAGCTGATTGGTCTTTCCGCCAACGACACCTCGTCCCACCACCGCTGGATCAAGGATATCGATGAGGTCTCCGGCTCCCAGTTGAAGTTCCCCATCATCTCCGACCCCGAGCGCAAGGTCGCCTACCAGTACGACATGGTCGACTACCAGGACACCACCAACGTCGACTCCAAGGGTCTGGCTCTGACCATCCGCTCCGTCTTCATCATCGACCCCTCCAAGAAGATCCGCCTCATCCTGACCTACCCCGCCTCCACCGGCCGTAACACTGCTGAGGTTCTCCGTGTTGTTGATGCTCTTCAGCTCACCGACAAGAAGGGTGTCACCACCCCCATCAACTGGCTCCCTGGTGATGATGTCGTCATCCCTCCCCCAGTCTCCACCGAGGATGCCCAGAAGAAGTTCGGTGAGGTTCGCGTTGTCAAGCCGTAAGTCTAATCTCTTCGATTCTCCAATGTTATCGAACAAATCAATACTAATCTGGCTGCAGTTACCTCCGCTTCACCAAGGACCCCAGCCAGCAGTAAATGGCTACTTACGATGCGACGTGATAAGACAAAACTTACGTTTAGCCGGGTCTGCTTAAAAAGTCCCGCTTGATACCAATATGAAATGATTCAATCTACTACAAAGTGGTAGTCCAATTCCCCTGTAGAGGCTGCGTGGAAAAGTACTGAGTTGCGGTACAACGTACATGTAGAATGTAGCGATCTTAGGTGCCTGTCATCACGCCCTGCATGTCGTACCTGTGTTACTCCATACTGCGATGCATGATAACAACCCGACATGCATGAGAAGGGGGAGGGGGCAATTAAGCTGCCATATTTGTTTCTCGGGGAATTAATTAATTAAAATTTTCAAAATGGAGCTGCGGGCATGTCAATCAATACCGCATTCCACCAGGTTTCTAGAAGGAATCCCCCCCCCTGTCGCCCTGTCGCGGACTCCGCCCAGCCCCGGAAAGGAGAAACGTAGAGTCCGCCTTTTTTATGCCGATCCAACGGCCACACCGTCTACTTGGAATCATTCGTGCCTTCGCCCTCCCCTATTTTTCTCTGGCGATACGGCTGGGAATACCCCCTGGACTCCTCATCACTGGTCTCTCATCCCCCAAGACACACCCCTCCTGTCGTCTCTGCGATCGACCCACCCACATCCCGACCGTGACCCGCCCACAAAACAACTTACAGGAAGAGGGGAAGCAAGGCCAAAAAAAAGGAGACAGGACGCAGCTGTCATATGCAAGTGGCAGATACAGCTACGACCCGACAAACCAGTTAACAAGGGGAGGGAATAACAACCAACAACTCCCTCACAATCGGAATCCCCCTCGCGGTGGGGAATCCCTGTCCACGATGATGTCCAGAAGCCAGTCAAGCCTGGGGGGCTTCCTAGACGCAAGCCGCGATGAGTCTTCTGGGCCCGGGGTGTCCCCGTCTCAGAACCAACAGGCCTCTGGCCCGATCAACCTGTCCGGACTGGTGTGCAATGTTCGCCGCACAACCGGCAAAGAGCCTCACCCCCTAGTTGGCGCAACCACCACCATACTAGGCGACAAATTATACGTCTTTGGAGGCCGAGTCCTCTCGCGCAGTCGCCCTCAGCTGACAGCTGACCTCTATGAATTGGATTTGATCCGTCGCCACTGGACCAAGATTGATGCTGGCGGCGATATTCCGCCCCCACGCTATTTCCACAGTGTGTGTGCTCTGGGTGATAATAAGTTGGTTGCGTATGGTGGCATGTCTCCCGCCCGGGGACCCCCCGTGATCCTTCCAATCCGGGTGCGGGCACGGAGACACAATCGGAAGTCGTTGTCATGTCAGATATCCATATCTTCGATGTGCCCTCGCGGAGGTGGACTCGGGTTGCGGCTCATGAGTCGCCGCAAGGGAGATATGCTCATTGTGCGACCATTATGCCTTCCAGTGCGAGCTTCACCTCGGCCAGTGCCCCGCTCTCTGCAATTCACCATAACCCAGAGTCCAACACACCCCATCAAGGCTCCCTCGGCGTGGACATAGATGGCTTTGGAGGCGCCGAAATGGTGGTCGTTGGTGGCCAAGATAGCTCTAACCATTACATTGAGCAGATTAGCGTCTTCAATCTTCGCAGTCTGAAATGGACCAATACCAGCCCCCTCGGACGCAGTTGTGGTGCCTATCGCAGTGTGGTTACTCCGCTGGTCGGCATGGACGTTTCGGAGATTGGAGCCGCTGCCCCGGATAGAGAATCGCATGAGCCCATTGAACCGAGCGATGAGCCTGGCTGTCCGATGTTGATCTACTCCAATTATAATTTCCTCGACGTCAAATTGGAGTTGCAGGTACGCCTGCCGGATGGGCGTCTTGTCGAGCGACCGATGCAGAGCCAGGCGTCTCCCCCCGGTTTACGTTTCCCCAATGGCGGTATCATCAATGGCCATTTCGTGGTCAGTGGTACATATCTCACATCCTCCAAGCAGGAGTATGCGCTTTGGGCTCTGGACCTCAAGACCTTGACATGGGGCCGGATCGATGCCGGAGGATCGGTCTTTGGCCAGGGCAGTTGGAACCGCGGTATTCTTTGGCCGCGTCGCAGCACTTTTGTCATTCTTGGGCATCGGAAGCGCAGTTTGGTGGATGATTATAATCACCGACGCATCAACTTCTCCCATGTTTGTATGGTGGAATTGGAAGCTTTTGGCCTTTACAACAACCCATCTCGCACCGCCCCGACATCTGGATATAAATCATACAGCTCGCCCTCTGTTCCTGCTTCTCTGCAGCAGAAATTGACGCAATTGACGACGAGTCGCCCTCTCTCTGCTGCATCAGATGAACTCGGCAAGATCGCCCTCTCTCTTCACGAGATGTCCGACATGGAACTGCAAGCTGTCGGCGGAGAACGGATCCCCGTCAACTCCCGGGTTCTAGCCCGGAGATGGGGGCCGTACTTCATTCAGCTACTGCGCGAGTCATCCGAAGAGGAAATTGCAGGCGGAGCCACCCTCCGTCCATCCCAGATGCATCCAAGCCGCAACTCGAGCATCACCATCACTCCCTCTATCGGCCAGAACAGCAGCTACTCCAACGCAACGACCCTGATCAACCCCTCCGTGCCATCCAAAGCACTCCTGGAAAATCTCGAAGCCCCCTCCGCCCACACCCTAACTCCCACCTCCCGCCCACGCGTCCTCTATCTCCCCCACACAATTCTCACCCTCCAAGTCCTTGTCCAATACCTCTACACTTCCGCAATCCCCCCACCAGGATCATCACTCTGCACCCCCCAAATACTCTGCTCTCTCCTCCAACTCGCCCGGCCCTACCAAGTCAACGGCCTCCTCGAAGCAACAGTCGAACGCCTCCACCAAGTCCTAGACGGCCGCAACGCAGCAGCCGTCTTCAACGCCGCAGCCATGGCCGCCGGCGGCGGTCGCGGCACAGGCTTTACCTCCGGTCTCGGCGGGACCCTAGAAGCACTTAACGGCGTCCAAGGACGAAACGGCTCAATCGCCGTATCAGAGACAACGCATTCGCAAAACAGCGTCCTACACGCCTCAGACTCATCTGACACCGAACACGGCGGAGGCGCACAATCCATCTCCGCCTCAAGCAGTACGAACGACCTCGCCAATTTCGCCCGCGGTATTCCCTCACTGCGCATCGACACGAATATATCTCAATCGTCACAGTCCCAGCAACAGCGACGCGGTCGCTCCCGCGGTGATCGCGATGACTCAATTAGTAACGCCAGCACGGCGACGTCGGCGTCCAGCGCTAGTCATTCACAGTCTGATTCGGAGTTTGTGAGTGATAGTGAGAGTCGATCTGCTTCGAGGTCTCATCATCGTCGTGATACGGATATTCGGCCTGGGAGGGAAATTTGGACGGGCGACTTGAGCTCTGTTATTGGGTTGCAGAAGCGTGGTTTGCGTGGCTTGATGGAAGGGAGGAGGATGAGGGAGCGTTCGGTTAAACCGCCTTCTACAAGTAGTGGGTCTACTTCTGTGCCGCAGAGCGCTGGGTCCGGTTCTGTTGAGGTTCATCAGTTGCCTATGCAAGGTGTTGCGGGATGATGGATGGATGGAGTTTTTGCATATGCGGTGCTAGGACTGCTTTTTTCTTGGGACGAATTGTGTTCTTCGCTTTTTCGCATTTCCTTTCCACCCCTTTTTCTGATATGGGCTTGGCTTCTTCGTGCTCATTGTATGGGCGGAGTCGGAATGTTTTGCCTTTTGAATTGTCGATATTCCCAGCTGGCTGGATAAAAATGGAACGATATTATACGCATGGATCATATCATTTTCTCTATTGATGAACCTCGCTGTTTTTTGAATTTAAATTAAGTCGTAGGGAATAGATAATCTGTACAGAACAGAACACGAATGGGACAAAGTCCCGGTCCAACGGCCGCGTAGAAGAACAGCCAATGATATGCCGGCGAATTCTTCTGGCTATCATTCTCCTGTCGTATGGCAATGCGATCACCCTGGAACTCAGATGGCTATGAAGACGACGAAGACGAAGACGTTGACGCATTGGCCAATTTCTTAGGCGCTTTGTCGCCGTATACTGAATTTGTAGCAGTTAGCATTTCCGCACTTCAATGATAATCGAGCCCGTATCTAAGAACAGACAATTGATTCCACGGGGATAGAACTCACTCCTCTCATAAAGAATCCATGATGTATACATCACAATCGGCAACGCGACAATCGAAGAAGTCCACCTATGTCTTGTATCAGCACGGTCCTAAACACCACATCTCTCGAGCCCCGACGTAGCGAGGGCAACACGCAACATAGCCAGCAGAACAGCGCAAACACTTAGGGTGATCAAATGGAGCGGTTGAAAGAAGATTGAATGAAAGCAGCAAAGAGGATTGGATTCACTCACCGCCGCGCAGCAGCTTTATACTCCTTAGTCTTCCGAAGCTCCTGCGGGTTCTTCGGGAGGACACGACGCGGTGGAATGACGGGGCGAGGGCCCAGGTTCGGGTTGTGGCTTGGGATGCGCAGCCTGGTTTGATTTTGAGGAGTTCCGCGTGTCATTTTGATTATGTAGTGATGTGGAAGATTGATGGGGGGTCGGATTGGTATGGGCTGGGGAAATTTGCGGTTGGGTTTGGGTTTTGTTGATGCCTGAATTTTCGGGTGTGAGCCCTGTTTGTAGTTCGACAAAACAGTGACAACGGCGACTCTGTTTACTTATTTCACATCACCATCTTTCCTGTTTGATATTCTGACATACTTTCGCCTTTTTCATCCTCTCTCCTGTTTGACAAACATACCTTCGCGTTTTGTTGCACAGTTACATCCTTTTTTTTGTATCCCCAATCAAGTGTTTCAATCTCCATCATGGGGACATCTGCCGAAAGGTATTTAAGCGAACCTTGGAAGCGAGAACAACGTTGACCACGCTGAGTGTCTGACATATATACTTATCAATAGATGGTTTCAGTCTCCACTGATCACCTTCGTGGTTGGCATAGATGAGAAAGAAGTGGTTGTCCATTCAGCCGCTCTAGCAGATCTTTCCGAGCCGATGAAGAAGATCGTCGATGATTTGTTGAATGAAGAAGAGCCAGATGAGATGACGGACTGGTCAGATATTGACTCAGATACTTTTCGTCGACTCTGTCAATTCTCTTACGATGGGGACTACACGCCGCTGCAGACACAACGAGCTGCGAAGAGCATGTCTGATCACGATGCTCTTTCTCACCTGGTCAGACCTGGCAGCATTGGAGAGACCCCTGGCATGAATGCACCGGGTGGTATCTATGCTGCCACTGCTCATAGCCACACTGCTGCTGCTGGTTACTATCCAGCCCCGGGTCAGATTGATGCTACTTCTGCACACAAATACATTCCTGTCCTTGGCTATGCTGCTGCTGCCAGCGAAGGCGCTGCTGCCATCATCGCACCTTGATACAGTTGTTATTAGAAACATGAGAACTTTCTTCGAATCATCCTCGCACAAGCTCGACTGTACGTCCTGGCCGCCAAGCTTGATATAAAAGCATTGTGCAACCTTGTTATCGCCAGGGTATCCGAGTCTTTGAAAAGCTTCAGGCAGCACGGGCGAGAAGGTGTCTATTCGATTATTGACTTTATTCATATCGTGTACGAGAACACGAGAGTCAGCACCCCAGACAACACAGAGCCTCTGAGACAGCTCATGATTGGGTATGTCAAGTCTATTCAGGGACTCATCAAGGATGATTTTTGTTTTAAAAGCCTGGTGCAGCAGGACCACGAACTTGCTCGAGATCTTCTCCTCAGCATGCGGGACGGGGATAGTCCCGACAGCACGATGATCGCCGCCCCAGTGAAGCCAACAGGGTGAAGTCTAGTGCCAATGATCATTTCTGGTGTTACATCTTCAGTTTAGTGATGTATTATCGGAATGAAAGTCCTTTGATGATAGGTCTTTCCGTTGTCTGCGCAGCGTGATTCGTTCGCTGAGTGACCCGCAGCCCTAGGCAGCGAGATTGCTAGTATGCATGCTTTTTGCTTTCCTGATAGTTTCGAATTCATTCCCTAGTTAAACTGGGTCATTAGCTCTACTATGCAACAAGTGGAACCTTTTTTACAATCGTCACAATCTAAAAGCTCTATAAGATCCAGTTTAAATTTGGTCATCATTCAATTATTCAAACGTCAAGATTCTGCTCAGGTCGATAACTGAACTTTACAGATGTAGCGTCACCAAGCAAAACTTTCTGCATGTAGATACACACCTTCAGCACCGGTTCCTTTGTTTGAACCGCGTTGCTCACTAACAGTAGCAACCGTGTTTCTAACACGGCTCACTAATCCCAGAGGTCCACACACTGCCACACCAGTTTCCCCCTTGGCATGATCCAGTAGGTCCCAAAGAAGAGGCTTCAGCTGAGGCCGGCCAGACTCAATTGTGAAGCAGGCAGATAGAAACGAGTTGCCCATTTTCGGCTGCCTTTGTCGTAGACTTTCGGCCGAAGATGATCCGATGCCTAGATCATCACTTCCTTGAGTGATAAATGTGCTGGGAGCAGCTTGGCTTTTTTCAATACCTAAATCACTGCAGCAACACGGCCCTTCTGAATTCTTGCATTTGCATCCTGCTTTCTTTGTTGATTTCTCCGTCGCATCAACCTCACAGGTCACAAATAATCGCACTTCAATTTCAATTCCAACATTGAGTAGCGATTCGGTTGCCCGTTGTAGCTCGTCCGCAATCCACTCTTTGCACGAAATGGTCCTTATGACCCAAGCAAACACTATTCTGCGTACTGGAAGCCTCTGATTTTCTGACCTATGAGCAATGTCCAGCAAAATTGGTAGAGTGAATGTAACACCAGTTGATCCCGCGACGAGTAGGATGGTGTCGAATGCCGCAAAATCGGAATGTGATCCGCCGTAAGGTCCGCCGATGAGCGAAAAGTGCTTCCTTTTTATTATCGGAACAGCATCCACGTTGCTATTACTCTCTTTTACCTCAGCCCCCTGGGATAGGTCCGTGGAGGATGATTTGGCCGAACGGAGTAGCCGCTGAGTGAAGCCTCGATGAGCTCGCAAGATGAACACTAGGTCATTATCATGAGACGAGGGAATAGAGAGAATTGTCGCCGGGTGCGATTGACCAAGTCCTAACTCGGGAATAGACAGAAGGACATGCTGCCCTGGGCTCCATTTTTTGATCTGAGGGGAATTTATCCGAACTTTCGTGACATCGCCCGAGAGAGCATGAAGGGTGAAGTTTGCCAGCTTCATATTGTTGAAAGCGTAGATAAGGGCCCGGACCAACCGGTCAAAGACAAACAGACCGACCCCGATCCAAGCGTATATCCTAAAAAGCGAATTAGTTGTAGCTTTCAAGCAATAGGTGGATAGTTACCTTGAACTCAGGGCGGTTGAAGGCAAATGGTAGAAAATAGCCACCACAAATCCAATGAAAGTGATGATATGTTGAACCACGAATATCTCATAACGCCAGTTGCGAATTGGAGCAGTTGCGGAAAAAACGAGCCAAAGCAAGAGAATCCAGCTAGAGAACCCTTCTTAAATGTTAATTCCCAACCATCAAGTATGAGGATGTTCAAACATACCTGTAGGGATGCAGCTATCAGTGTCGATCTCAATTTGCATCACACCATATTTTTTTCCATCCATAGGCTTGAACACCACCATGGATGGTAGCAGTCAGTAGCATGATCCTTGCCACCCAACGGTGCAGAATCTGGAGTCGCTCGTACGAGGCACCTACTGCGTATCCAATCAAATTCCGCTTCCCAGCAAGGAGAAGGAGAAGTGGAAATTGAGCTATCGTGAGCCAGCCCGCGCGGAGGCCCTGTGCCTCCCAATATTGAGCGCCAGGATAGTTCCAATCAAAGAACTGCAATCCCATGATGTAGCCAAAATATATTAGAATCAGCAGGATTGATCCAACTGCTGGTATCCGCAGCCACGAGTTTGTGGGGGTAATCTGATGGTAGGAAACTTCTCGAACCACAGCCGTGCAACAAGCTAGGAAGGAGGTAACTGAGTTAGAAGGACTTGACGGTCGTGGATGGTTTGCTGCGGCTGCACGCAATCTAGTCGAGGAGTCAGCAATCTACGTATGATCAACACGATATCTAGTGTAACCGACCGTAACTTCAGTAGACCCCATTGACTCCAGTTGACCATGCCCGCCAACACAATGACAATGACAATGCCGTACCAAAAAGCCCGAGCGATAGCATAATCGGACTGCTGCAAGGTGGTGTCATCGAGAAGCGCGGCTAGAAAGTCCGATGCAACTGTATAATTCGACATATTTAGGCCCGCATCCGTGAGGCCGGGGCCTCCAGACATGCTACTGTCCATGTCCATCTTGACTGCCATACGCCTGGGCCAGGATATGAAGACAGAAAGAATCTCCGTTGACAGAAAAGTGAGCAGAATCCGTCTCCATCAAGGGAGTCGCACCAGCCGTGTCCATCATCATCAATTAATATCTTCATCCAAACGATAGGGTGCACGCAGCCGCCCCACTTCTTTCCGACCCGCCCCGTCGGTGCAAGCGTGGGAAATAAGCAAAATAGTATAAAGCTTGGTCCGATGATGCCTTTCTCCTTGCCGCTTCCGGTTTAGCGCTGAGCACATTTGCGAGACTTTTCGCTTCCACAAGCCTCCTCAGAGTTGTTTAACCACTCGCAGTCTTGCGGGGGACCTCCTATCCTCACAATGGATATTATATCCCGGGCTGGCCCGGTGGAGATTCTGAAATTTCTTTACTTGAACACCTTTTGTATACTCTCCCGAGAGCCACCTGTACTGGGGTTGAAGGATTTCCGCGTTCCCGAAGGAATGATTCTGCCGTCCGTGAACTTTCGGCTAGCCTTTATATTATTGAGGCTTCTCCTCTCCGGTAATTCATTTTGATCTGCGGTCCAATACCACCTTCGGTGCCTTCCATCGAAGTTTGAAATGACATTGTCCGATCCATTTTGCCCGTCATGCAAATGTCTACAATGACTATGAATGCATCCAGTCCGGTGATGACCTCTACCGCCTCGGCCTCCATGCAAATGGCTTTCAATACCGAGAACCTTTCCACGATGCTGTACTCGACTTCGTGGATGCCCACTAGTACTGGTGGCTACGTGGGTACTTGGTTTTTTTCTCTTTTTCCTCGCTGTGATTTGGCGAGCCATGAGCGCGAAGCTTGCCAATTTAGACGCTTACTGGGCTGCGAGGAACGCAGGATACCCTATTTTTATCAACGGTGGTCAGGATGAACCCTCACGGCAGAACTTGATTCAAACATGGCGGCTGTCGGTCAATCTTCCTCGTGCGCTATTGCGAATGGTCAACCAGGGAATCGCATATCTTTTGTAAGTTCCTATCGCGCTGGCTGCCTACCTGAAACAAAAGAAGACCTTATCTGACTATTTTATTAGGATGATTGCGGTGATGACGATGAACGTTGGATTCTTCTTCGCAGTGCTTGTCGGGTATTTTGTCGGTGAACTCATTTCTGGTCGAGTCAGTCGGGCTGATTATGGGAGTTGATGGGACGGACATATCTTGTGGAGAGCGATGTATAAATGGCAGGATCTCTAGAGAATAACTGGTCGACATGTACCAAGTGATACAACTAACAGGCCGATCAATTTTATAAATACTATCCTTGTAAGTCGGCGTTTTTCTCTAGGGCTTCTACCGGGCTACCTACCTTTCTAGGCTAGTCCTTATTGAAGAGAGCCTTCCGGATACCGCAGGTCGTTGATCGCAGCAGCTCGTTAATAACATTATTATTGTCTGAAATATGATACTGTTGCTGATGCAGCTCGCTTGCATACCCCCAAGGTTCGTGACTTTGCTGCTGGCGCCCGCGACTATGGTGCTGCTCTTATTTTGCGGCTGCCGACACCGGTATTGGGGCTCACGCCACTGTTAGGACAAATGCCTCTACTAGCAGGCACACCGTGGCAGGTGCCCGTACTACTCCTCGCTCCAGTACTGCGTCTAGTGCCCTTGTCGCTAGTCAAACCTGTACAACGGCCTATGTTCCTCCTGGCGCCTGTGTTTCGACAAACACTCGTGCTGCTCCTTTCACCCATATCGCTCCTGGTGTCAAACATTAGTGATAGTCTATCGATTGTCCCTGGCATCCATGTCGCTTGTCGCACCGGCGCTGCTTCTCACAAACTGACTCCTGTTTCCTCTGCGGTCAGAATTCACGTCGCTCACACTCCAAACTCCCGACATCCAACTCTAACGACATCCTGCCAGCCTGAGAAAAAGCTGCCTTCCCTTGAACAAATTTTATGGACCCTGCATATGAATGTCCAGGCTATGAACAAGTACAGTCTTGCTCCAGACTCCCAATACAATAAGCGGAAGGTGCCATACGCATCACCAAGAAATAACTCTTGGGAGGAAATCTTCTCGCCAGTCTTTGTAGGTCAGGCTCGGCTTTACCTGCTTGCGGAAAGGAATGGGATTGAACTGCTTTGCAAGCATGCTGTGGCCAAGTTGAGTGCGACTTTGAAAATTTCATCCTGTATCCACATGGTCTCTCCGCCATTATCGAGCTTGTTCAGTTCGTTTACGCGAATACCTCTTCCAACTGCGCCAAAAACCCCTTGAGGGTCTTGGTGACATGCTATATCATCTCAGCCCTGGGGAAAATTGGCCATTGTGACGCTTTCAAACGGCTGTTGATGGACGGGGGAGACTTCGTTGGCGACTTTTGGGAGACAATGTGGAACATGGAAGGTTCCAGCCTGATGGTTGCTGTCAAACCTAACCTACCTCATGGGCCGTAATAGAAATCATCATTCCCGAACCTGAACCCTCTTTGCCGGGAAATTTCTGTAACCATTTGAATCATCAGCCGAATGATTGTTAATGATGGGGCCTTTTGTCGATCAGTGTCTATTTTGACTATGCGCGATCGTTTGTTCATTGTTCTCCGCTCTTCCCTGGCAATTTCAACTTTGTCTCCCTTAGTTCCACTGAGTACTAATTCTAGTGTGCGAGAAGAAATTCTCCCTTTTAATTTTGAACATTCTCTTCTAAAAGCCTAACTTTCTATCCGCGTTATTCCCTGGCTGGTTCATTCAATAAAATCAACAGAATTCTATACATTGTGATTGTTTCATATTGGACATAGATGGGAATACAGCTGCATAGTAGTATCAATTGACCCAATGTTTCTGGGATCGTCTCAAAAGTAGTACTGATACTAATATTCATAGTATGAGGCTCCGCTTTAGGCGCTATGCCAGCAATACCTATACAAATTCCTCGATCGTCAAAATCATAGCCACTGAGTATATGACTGCCAGTGGATACCATACCAAATAGTTGAGTATTTCTGAGACTAGAGGCGTCATGTTGGACGCCGGAGGCTTTTTCAGTATACCTCCGATTCGTTCTTTGCTCTAGCATTCCTTTCGTGTTACACATACAACTATCTTCATGGCTGTATCTCTCCAGTACTCACCCTCCATTTTTGAACATTATTTATATCTCCACGCTGAAACTTGTGCATCATAGCGCCAGTCAAGTAATTCCTTGTCATAAGTAATAGTCATGTTATATAAATTATGACACTCTTCAAATATGGATTCTGCATTCAAATATGTATAGAGAATCTTGGCAGAACGGTTGTGCAAATCGCAGCTCTTCGTGCTCTCCGCGTGAGGTTCTGGGCAGTATTACCTGGATCGTTTCCTGCCCTGGAGTTCGACAACAATATCGGCAACCGCCATTCACTTCAAGTTCCTTCCACATCACGCCCTGGTCTAATTTTCCCTAACCCTTCAATATGGCGGCTCCTTCTGACAGGTAAATGAAGTTATAACACCCGTCATACTCTATTGTCGATTGTCTACCCTCAGTTGCTCCACTGCTGAGGGTTTGACGCTGCCTTTAGTGTCCATCTCTAGTCAAGTTGGTAGGCAAGGCTTGACAGCTTTGTTTCGTGATTATCATTGCTTATCGCCATGTGGCGGCTTCCGGTGTTCAGTGGGCATCAGGCATACCTGGCTAACCCCTTACGTAGTACAGCTCTAGCTTACCCCTCCTCTGGACATATTCGCCATGACCAATAGCTCCTTTGGTGACAATGCAGATCAACCTCGTATCATCGACCCATCGGAAGCAAATTGGCAGGATGCCCCCACTCCTGGTTTACCTCTTTTTGTGGAGGGTTCAAATCCGCGGTGGACCACCGCTTTGCAGAGAGAGACAACTGCAGGCCCGAAGTCTGACGGTCGATCACTCTGCAGTTTCTTGTGTGAGCCTTTCTACCGTAGCATGAAGCGCCTCTATCGGGTCAGGGTTTTTCATGGTCTCATGAGTGTCCGCACCTCCCATCCGATCTTTTCTCAATCGGCTCTGTTATATGCTTTTCTTGCCTCGACGGTGTGTTACGCCGTGTTCGGAAGTTCCAACCCAAGTGCTTTGCTGGATGTTCGGAATTATAGACAAGGCTGGCGAGAAAGCTGATCAAGGGAAGATGGTCAACGGAGTTCAACATTATCAGTGTGATATGTAATCTAGATTCATGCCGTCTACCGAGTGGCTAGGGTCATTTAGATCCCCTTGTGCTAACATCCATAAATGAAACCTATCAAAGTATTTACCATGAACAGTAACGCGGAGCCACCCCGTACAGAGTCTTCTCTATAGCGCTAAGTATCCTTTATCTTCCGCCCCTCCTGGGATGAAGATAGTCGCGCCTTCCACTCCTCCACCAACCCCGCATAATCCCTCGGTCGATGCGGAACAAACAAACCTTCCCACCACGACTCCTTCCTCGCAGTCCTCAAGCCCAAATCCCCAAGCAAGAGATCCAAATACGGCATGACCTCAAAGACAAAGTCGGCAGTCCGCACCCCATGGCCCGCCGGGGAGCGCAGCGCACAGAACTCTGTGTGTAGTGCTGTCTCGCTAAATATTGACTCCTTGTCTTGATGATGATGGTGAAGCTCAGAGCCGTGGTTAAGGTAGACCAGCGCCCACAGGGCTTGAACTTCGGCAACAAAGGATGTGTTGAACGTGGTTACGGTCCCTAGGAAGGCGATGCTATGGTCGTCCCATAGTCCTGGTGGGACAATGAAGCGCGCGAGACGGAAGGGGTGCAGAACGGTTTCATTTTGACCCTCCACATCCTTCGTGTGGTAGGTCCTGCTCTCTGGGCCTGTGTGGAGCATGGGCAGATGCGTATATATGTCTTTGCGAGCCTGCCAAACGAGCTCCTGATCAATTGGGTCCGCAGCCCACGGGAAGCCCATCTCTTGTTCGGTTCCATCTGGCAAGAACCGAATGCCTGGAGATACTTTCCAGCCTGTGCACAGGATAAGTGCCCTCGTGTCAAGCCTGTCGCCGCCGTTGGACAGAACGACTTTATAAGGCTCTAGCCGCTCAACATCGGCAATATGCACCTTCACCAGACCCCGCCGGATCAATCTAAAGAAATCACCCGGGAAATTGATAATACTCACCGCGGTCCCCATCCAGATAGGCTTAAACCAGGGTCTTAGCTTCGCCGTCTCCTCATGATCGCTGTATCGATTGACCCGAACCATATCCCACTCCAGGCAGGCCCAGAACAGACGCACAATAATACAGCCGAGCCATGTCCCATGTAAGAAGTTGCGTATCGGGTGGCTCACCCAGACACAGGGGCTGAACCAGCCCAAGGCACGCACGAGAGGGAGGCTTTCGAGGAGGAGGTTGAATGGCGAGAAAACAGCGGCCGGGCTCACCCACGCGGGCCCAGTCCCAGAGGCTCTAATGACCCAGTTGACGCGGTGTCCCTCTGATGCGCAGGCGTAGACGGTGTCCCACGCGGATTTGCTTCCGCCAAGTACCGTTATTGGTGCGTGGTCGTCACTGGCGCCTTCATGTTGGTCGCCTGTGTTGTCATTGCTGGGTTTAGCGAAGATGGTGTCTTGGTAAAGGGCAAATTCTTTTGCGTGGAACAATGGCGCGCCGAAAGATTGCTGGCCAGAGAATGTAGGAATACGCGGCTGCGAGGTAAGGCCCGTAGCGAGTATCAGTTTCCGCGCCCGTATAGTATTGCTCTTCTCGTGTCCTGGTTCTGTTGTTGTTGTGCATTTAATGGCCCACTCTTTTCCCCCTCCATCATCTCCCTCGCAGTATTCCACGCTGTCAACCTTGCAATTGAACTTAATTTTGTCGAGGATTCCGAAGTGGGCAGCGTACGCTTTCAGATATTCATGCATCGCTCTACCTGACATATGCTCACCGGGTTTAACTAAACCGGGAACGTTGTCCCTCATAGGAAAGTCACCATATTCGTATGATCCCAGTAGGTTATTCGTTCTGAGTTCCGCATATAAGCGTTCCTCTGCCCAGACACCCCCCACTGATGCGGCGGAATCCAGAACCACCAGATTGACACTGAGATCGAGCGCGAGTGCTGATTTGGCGGCCGCGAGACCGTGCCAGCCTGTCGCGATCAATTTTTAATTGTGGTTAGCTACAGAAGCTCTTGATGAACATACGGGGTAAAAGAGTCTAAGGATATGAGAGGGGCGAATTTACCAGCGCCAATTATGGCCAGGTCAGCTATTTGCGTTTCAATTATCATTACTGGACCTAATCGCTTGGTTTTCGCTCCACTTTAACAGTCCTTAAATTGGCATTTGTTGAAGTGAGTACTTTGGTAGGTGCATAGGTAGGCGTCGGTTTGTTATTACAGAAGAGAGGCAGGGTGTCAGCCATCTCCACCGTCCCTCTATATAAGTAGTATTCTGCTTAAGGCGCCCAGTCAGCAGCCACCACGGTGGGGTCTCACCGTGCCAATGTCTGGCCTAACAGTGACAGCGGCATCGAATATGACGCTAGCAGAACACGGACCGGACGCCGAGGCAGTGAGTGTGGTACTTTTACTTAATGTAAGTATCTGTCAACATACATATATGTGTGTGCGAAACACCGCACTTAGCGTGTATACGGGAATGCATGCATAAGCCTCCGAACCAATCAGATAATATATTTGATTGACTGATACGTAGTCTACGATGGCGGCTTATGGGACGCGGCTATTTTTGGGCATGTAACGGTACATGAGTATACTTGCATCAATGTTACTATACAAACCTGGAACAAAACATTAATTACGGAGATATCTATATAAGGCTTAACGTGTCATGTGATTAGGGTTTGAAATCGTTAATCTATGTTTTCAATATGGAATGCAATACTGGTCGCTACTGTACCTACTTGCTGATGACGACCTAATTTTTGCCATACGTCACCTCTACAGGTTCTTGAGTAGATGGTTCTTTCATTCAAAATAACAGCCTTCAGTAGGTGGCGTTCGTAACAAATCACTTCAACTTAAATAGAACGACCAATAACGAGAGATCTTCATTCGAGTGAAAGAATATAGGACCCTTCGTGGCCACAATTTAACATGTGTTTTTGACAGCATCCTAGAGTACTGGTAGTTCATGGTATACGCCTTAATTCTGCTAATCCGGTGAGCCTGCTCTCCCGTCAGCGCCCATATAAATTGCTCGACCCTAATATTTTCGAGCAGTGAACTTATATCTGGGTCACAAATCGCATACTATAATATCTCTGGGAGGCCGGAGGCGTCATGTCGCACGGAGACTTGATACTCTATTCACGCCGCTATATCTACTAGTAGTAATTCTTTGAGCATGAGCATGCCTTTCATTCTACACAATGCCTCCAGCATCTTATCGATCGTTTCCTTCATCCTACATTCGTAATTATTATTTCTCATATTGACATATCACCGCTGAACTAAGTACTGCGTCGTTGATGACTGCACCCAAAGCTAGCGGCATAGTATAGGCTTAGAATAGTCTGCTCCAAAGATTGGTAGAGAACTGGTAAAAGCACTGTGCCCGGTTGTAGCTATGAACGATCGAAGTATGGCAATGATAGTATTATGGCTGGGGCAACTTTGCATATGGTCTTCAGCCTATTTACCTGATTTTCTGCCTGGCGAGGACTGGCCAGGGGCCGGCGCCAATATTGGCAAGAGCAGGTCACGTCTTTCCACCTGGGCATATCACACTTTCGTCTGCTACTCCTTCGCGGTTCTCTCACACAGTAAATGGTTTTACCTATCTTCAATTAAATCGCCAAAGATTCGGCATGGAGACCGTGTTACGGAGGCAAGTGAACTGACAGCAGCAGTGATGCCCGATTACTGAGTAGCTAACATCCATATAGATTTCCTACGTTCACTTTCATTGTCGGGCCCGAAAAAAACGAAATAGCAGTTTACTCAGCCGCGTTCGCAGGTCTCTCCCAGCCCCTCAACAGACTTATCAATGGCTCCATGCTAGAGGCTACCACCAGGATATGCGATTGGTCGGACGTCGACCTGGATACGTTTCGCCGCCTGTCCGAGTACACCTACGAGGGGGACTATACACTTCCTCCTCATTGCCCGGGTACAATGAACTCCGCTGTTGTCCCAGGCCCGGAGATCGATGAGGCCAATGCCAGAGACACTGGGTTGTTCACGCCAGACTTTATCGCGTACTGTCGACTATACACCATCGCCGACAAATACTGCGTTGAACCACTATGCAAGCTGGCTGTCAGTGATTTACGCGAGAAGTTGCAAGTCTTCAAACTATATGAGCATAATTTCTCTGCAATTGTCGAGCTTGTGCACTTCGTGTATGCCAATACGCCTCCGAGCTACGCAAACTACCACGATTCTCTAAGGATCCTGGTAGTCTCCTATATCACATCAATTGTTGGTGTAATCGGTGATTCTGACACTTTCAAAGACCTAGTGTGGGAAGGCGGTGATTTCATGCTCGATCTTTTGGAGGCTACACACACATTTGGTGCCACCTAATAGCTGCTGTCAAGTGAAATCCATCCTGGTGCATTACAGGGAGAAGACAGTTCGTATCTCGGACTCTTTGGATGGCATGATGTGAACAACTAAGTTATTACGATTATGGTAGTTGTCTTATGCCTATGACACCCTCTTAGGCATCCTCTGCCTACGTCTATCTCTAGCTTCCGCCTCAGCTTCCTTCTTCCTCAAGTTATTACTTTCGTCTTACCCTTCATCATCAATCCATTTTGAGCAATTCAACCATACCCACGCCCAGGCGGGTAACTACCAGCAGTACTGCCTTGCCCTATTGTCGAGGCGCGGTGTAGTATGCAAGGACTCGAAATGAAGAGAGCTGGGCCATAATATTTGCGCTGAAATCGGTTACCCAAGGAGAGTGATAACATGGTGATATATCTAAGAAGTGAATTCCTTGGCACGTAGACCCTGGTCTAGGGGAGCAATTGGTTGCTCTAGGAAAGTCCATATGCGGGATAGGAGAAGCTGAATTGCGGGCTTATCTTTTTGTCTTTTTGCTCAACGGTTCGATCCTGCCTGTCAGCGATTAACTTGCTTCCTTTTTTTCTGTTTCCGTTGTCAAACCCTTTTTGTATACTTTGTATACTTGGGTCTTCTTGGTAACTACTCTTCCCGAGGGTCTCCTCTCTCATCCAGACCACCTCACCACCTTCCATCCCTTCCAGGGTCAGGCTAAATGTGATGATGGATGAAGAAAAATGAATTCTCGGGCAAAATTTGGTCTAAGTTGTTGGCCTGTTGTCATCCCCGCTGCGCCTTACTCATAACACATATCAACAAATGACAAGGTTGATGTTGTAATCCTAAAATCAAATAAGGGGGTTTCTAATAGAATGTGCCATGTAAATAGATAAGTAAATAATTTCGCTGCAAGAGGGGCACTCAGGCGCCGAGCGGGGGATATGAGAGGGGAACCGTAAACAATATCAATATCGGGGGAGATACCCTACGCAAATGGCAAATAGGTCTCCCAAAAAATAACCAATAAAGGCACAAAACTTCAAACAGGAGGGTCTTTCCGTCGTTCGCGTCGCTGCTACTTTTTTTGCGCACCGTAAGGAAGGCATGTAGTATTTGGATCAAATTGATACATGGACAAACTGAGTCGGTAACTAGAAACTTGACGAGTTACCGAGATCCTTTTCGAAAACACATAGGCGGGGCCCAACGTCATGAATGCTAACAGATCTCCTGCAACGAACATGATATTCCTGCCAATTCCTCGAAACCGGTCCACACATGGAGCTTTCCAGGCTGTCGGTTTAGCTGGTGGATCATAATATGTCATCGGATGGACGGTGGGTCCACCCAGCCACCGATCATCGTCAGGTAAACAACACTCAGGACGGATGTCCAAGGTAGAGTTTGAAGGAACTAATGGACCAATGCTGACAGGTGGCACTTGCATAAGAGTCAAGTTATTTGCCACACATTATGGACGGCTTCGCCAGACTCAGAATCGCATGTTTGTTGTATCCAAAATTGCGCCCGCAGCAACGATCTTAGGGCCCCAATCCACATGTTCACGGGCCACACACAAGATCTCAATGGTGTTCGCATCAACATGGTGGACTTCGATGAACCTTTTCCTGTGGGGCCATATACCCTCCACTCACGATGGGAGAGGATGATTGGCACTTGGTCAGAGGTAGTGTGTCTTCGCGAACGAGGGGATCTTCACGAACGTCATCGCTAAGACCTACAACATAGCCCACATGTCCACCTCGCGAACCCATTTAACCAAGCTACCCCTCCAAAGAAACAGCTCTTTCTACTCCTTCATTTTTGATTGAATTTCTCATTTCCAGACTACCACTATCCCCTAATATCATCTAAAAATGGCACCCATATCCGCCCGCGATGAGTACGCCGAACTCATGAAACACAACGGCGACGGCCACTACCTCTACACCCCACAAAAATACAGCCTCCTCCACCCGGGCTCAGTGGGATATTTCGACAAATTCGGAATCTGGACCCAAATCACCGATCTATCCGTGAAAGGCCAAGCCGAAAAAGATGGCTTCAAGGGCATCGACGACGATCTCGTCCTCGGCGAACCGGACGAGGCGATGTGGAAAACCGTCTCGTCCGGCAGCGAAGCAGAGACGAGTTTCGGGCTTGAGGGAGGTCTGTCAGGAGCATTGTCCGCCGCCCCTGTTGACGTTTCGGCCAACGCAAAGAATAAGTCTGGGTCTACTGGCAAAGCGGCTCTCATTACGACGGAGAAGGTCAAGAATCAGAGATTCACTGGTGCTCCTGGTCCCTCTATTGCGCAGTGGGTGAAGGATAATGCGAAGACTTTGGTAAAGTCGAAGTACGGGGATTATATTAAGGATTATGGACTCTGGGCAATTCATACTACTTGGTCGACTCCTGAGTGTGCTATTACCCTGGATAGTGCTCACAGTCGGGATACCAGTGCCGGTGTCGATGTGGGAGGAACTGGTCTTGGGAAGATTGGCGCTAGTGGATCGTCGCTGAAGAAGCTTGAATCTAAGGGCTGGCGGACATATGAAGCCAAGGAGGTAACTAATACATTCCCTTCCCCTCTCAACTATCGGGCTTTGAATGCTAATCCGATGCAGGCCGATCAGGGTCTTGTTGTGTCCTATGGTGGAGCGGGCTTCAGACTTCACAAGATCCAGATGTTCCGAGGTAACAATGTAAGTAACTGGCCTTATTCCCTTGGACCTTGGGAGCGGACTAACAAAATATTAGGTCCTGAAGCAGACCGAGAGAACAGCCGGAAACCCCGACGATTTCTACAAGCTCGCTTACGACGAGGCCGGGAACCAGATTGAACCGGAGCTCTACCGCCACGTGCGTGATGAGAATGGGGAGATCGTTGGTGAGATCAAGGTCGACGTTGAGGCCGAAAGAAAAGCAAAAGAGGAAGCCGCGAAGAAGGAGGCAGAGGGAGTCGCGGAAGAGGAAGACGACGAAGTCTTCATCTCGTCTGAGCCTGTTGGAATTACCGCTGAACAAGCTGGAGTTCCTGCGAAATTGGAGACCACCACGATCGACACCAAGCCTGCTGTTGGTGGCGTGAGTGACTTTAACAAGAAGATGGACGAGGCTCGCAAGATTCCTGATGAGGGGTTGAGAAAGGCTGAGATGCTCAAGTTGTTCAAAGCGAATGTGACTACCACCACTGAGACCGTTGTTCAATGAGCGGATCGTCGGTTGAGAGATACTCGGGGTACATCTTTCGTGCTTTGGTGGAAATGATGATTTGTATCTCTACTACTTACTGTACATTTTGGATGTGGAATAGTATAAATGATTGATATCCCACAGGCTCCTACGAAAGACGGACAAGTACCAGGACATACGTAGTTGAAACTGGGCAAGGCAATGGCTTGAAACCCGAAATATGACATCTACGATATCATCATATCCATTGCTAATATCACTAACTCCACGCTATGCTTCGAAATATGCATCATCTTCATAACATCAAGTTTGTTTTCCACGTCCACGGCCGCGTCCCCGACTGCGAGGGGTGCTAGCACGAGAAGAACCGCCCCGGGAAGATCCACCACGAGGGGTCCCACGAAGAGCACCACGAGTAGACCCACGGGGCGTACTTCGACCGCGAGAAGCACCACGAGAAATTCCCTTACCGCGCGGCGTTCCAGGGCCGCCACGACCTCGACCTCGACCTCGACCCGCTGTCCCACGCTGTGACAAAGTGACGTCAGGGGCGGAGGCGATCACCGCACCGGCCTGTCTGTCTGCCTCCGTTGGAGGATTAAGCTTTAGTTTCAGTCGTTGGATCTTTGGCTTTTCTTCTGTCGTCGCACTTGGTTCTGTTGTTTTTGTCGACTCTCGCTTCTTCTTTCTCGGTACCTTCGCCAGTTCGGCTAGAGAGCGCTTCCTCTTGTGTGCCTGGGCTCGGGCTTTCTCCTCTGTAACGTCTTCCGTTGAGAACTCGGATGGAGAGCAGAATGGAATATTGCGGTCGCCGATGAGCGGGGGGAATCCGAGATTATTGTCGATCTCGATCTGCTGTTGCGAGCGAGAAATCACAGGTGGGAAGGGCAGGTTCATGTCCCCATAGGTGTGCGGTGCACGGTACGGAATTTGGCCCGGGGGTGTCAGAAGGATTTCCTCATCAGTGTCATTCACGTAGCCAGTCCGCGTCCATCCACCGGCCTCTAGCTGGGGCTCTTCCATCTTCTTGAAGTCTTTGATGGAGGAAAATTCTGGCGGCTCGGGGGTGAGTTCGCCATTGGTTTCAGCATTAGTTTCGCCATTGACTTTGGCATATTTGTCACTTTCGTCCTCGTCATGGATATCATCATTTGTTTCACCGTTGGTGACGCCGATGGGATTGACGTGGGTCTCCTCCATGTTGGAAGTCCCCGCATTTCCGAGTGTTGCCTCCGCAGCCGCGGGGTCGCTTGGAGTGGAGGCAGTGGGAGTGGCAGTGGCAGACATGACAGGCTCTTCCTCGGACGATTTAACCAGCGAGGGCTGCTCAAATTGCTTTCTCGCGTTTGCGATGAATTGCTCCGGATCCGACGGTAGTGCGAAATCAGTATTAAAAGCAACTACGACGATCTCGTACAGCTTTTGTCCGGCTTGGTCCGCGGTGAGCTTGATCTTCATGCGAGAGGGTTTGTTCATTCTCAGTTGTTTGAAGATCTTATTCGCTCGCTTTCCCTTCACCCGTTTGCTCTTGATTTTCATCGGATCAATATCACTATCGGCCTGTTCCGTAGGCGGCTCCATAGGTGTCGGGGTAGGCGCGGTTCTCTTCTGTCGGGGTTTCTTCTTCGAGTCGAGTGCCTCGATAGCCCGCGTTGTCAGTTTACGAGATCGCGCTGACAGACGAGTAGCGGAAGATGTGCTTGTGGGGGATGCGTCGCTAATCGAGTTGTCATATGCGAACTCTTCCCCGTGTATTGGCACATCCCCCAGTCCGTAGTGTCGAGACTTTCGGGAAATTCCTGATCGGACGTTTGATTCCGTGGGGTTCCAAGTGCTGCTGCTCTTCGGGTGGTCCGACTTCCTGGGGTTAATATTGATTGTTGTGCTTCTTTAGCCGGGGTGTAAACATTCGATAGTCGGGACGGTCGTGCCGGGAAATGGTGACGACGCTTCACAGGAGTCTCCGAAGGAGAATTCTGCAGTTTCCCATTTGTGGTAGCTGTAGAGGAAGGTGATTTTGGAATATAGAGGTAAGGGTTGTATGAAGTATCGGGAGGGGAGGAGGTAGTAGTGAAGTCGATAGCTTTGGCCGACGGAGCCGGTTGATTTGTAGGTTTGCTTGGTGTCGGACCTCTTGGTGATCGACGAGAGGGAGATAAAGTAGGATTACTGATCCGTGCAGGTAAGGATTTACGAAAACTTTTCTTGGGAGGCATCGTGAAGGTGAATAGGGTCCAGTGGATCTGGAACAAAGCAACGGGTGAATGGAGCTGTTCATCTCACGGGAATGGTTAGCATTTACCATCCAGAGGTACTTTGAGAGGTTGCAGGAGTGAATACCTTTTATTTAGATCAAACCAAGGCTTTGAGTAAGACTTTGAGTAAGAGTAGCATGCCGTGGCAGTTCACTCGGTAGTCTCCAGAAATGCGGAGTTCCGTAGGGCAACAGTCTGAGGGGGTCCAGCTGTATCAAGGCCTGAAGGTAGCAGGATGTCTCCAATGCAGCACTATAATGTGAACAACACGATGATTTCACACGCCATGCAGATCAAACAGGATCACAAGATCAACGCTAGCAGCAGCTCGAGATGGCTGTGCCACGGGATGAAGGGTAAAGGTTACAAGAAAAGAAATTAGGGCTAACTTTAGGAACTTCCCAGGTCGATCGGCGCTTATCTGCAATCGCGGCTGTCCGCCTTCGTTCTGCAATTCATCACTGTCCACCTTGCCAACTCCAGTATTCAATTACATTACCCTCACTCCTCCCCCTCTTGCGCATTCTACCTATTCTACACGATGCATCTGTGGCAGGCCACTGCTCCTCTTTGTCTCCTGGCATCGGCTGCCCTGCCGACGGTCGCTGCCTCCGCATGGGGCTTTACTGATGCCAGCGTGGCAGTTCAACCGAAGGGTGCTGGCATCAACGGTGGTTTTAAGGAACAGTATGCTCCCATTGTACTGTACACTCTAATTGAGCTCACTTGGGACTAACCGGTTACTCCTATAGAATCTCCTCTTCCAAGCCCCTCGCCAGTCCGCTCGCCTTCACCGGTGCCGATACCTTGCGCGTCACCTTGACTACCCAGGAAGGTAGCTCTGCGAAACGCCCACACCAGGCTTTCCTGCTTTTGAAGGATAGCCAATCCGGCTTGGATATCTCCTACCCATTCACCGTGAAGGAGAATGGCAAGTCCGCGTGGAATTGGTACTGCGCCCGCCCCTCCCGAAGCTCTCCGCAGCTCTCCTCCGCATGAGCTAACAGCATACTGTACAAATAGACCCAGAAGGAACTTCCCCTCCAATTCCTCACCCTGCCCAATCCCGTCGACGCCCGTGTGGTCATTGGTGGCTTCGGCAGCTCCGAAGCCTATGATCACTCCGTTTTCAAGCTCTCCATCGAGCGCGACGTTAACATCCCCATCCCAACCGCCGAGGCCCCGAGATACGGAAAGCTGCCGGAAATTCACCACACCTTTAAGAACGACCCTACCAACCCTCCCATTGTCATCACCCTGGCTTTTGTCGGTGCTGTGATTGCCTCTCTCCCGGTTCTGGCCGGCCTCGTAAGTGATGTTCTAGCTGTTCTAGCTGTTGGTGGTATGACCAATAGCTAACCAATTACTCTTACAGTGGCTCTTCCTCGGTGTCAACCTGAACCACCTTCCCACCGCCCTCAAGTCGGCTCCTCTCCCCCACGCCGTCTTCCTTGCCTCCCTGGCTGGATTCGAGGGTATCTTCTTCCTCTACTATACCTCTTGGAACTTGTTCCAGGTTCTACCTGCCGCAGCTGTGGTGGGTGCGGTCGCATTCGTGAGCGGTAGCCGCGCCCTTGGTGAAGTGCAAGGCCGTCGCCTTGCCGGCCTCCGCTAGATGCTGGGAATCAAAATTTCAACCACATAGGGCCATGCGCTCCGTTTTTGCATTGGTGCAATCAATGAGGCCTCCGCGGGTGAGACCCTGAACTCAATGGCATTGTGCCTTAGCTGTCATGATATCCGCCTCGTTCCAGATAAATATTATCTTCCATGCACATTCTTTTCTCTGTAGCTTTGTAGATATCTGTGTTCTGAAACAATTCCAATACCTCCAATTGGACCAAGAGAGATATTCGTGTTCTGTTTTATTTTGCTTTACAACACAAGCTGTTTTTTGCTCTGCCAACGGATATGGCATTCATATTCAAGATCATTGGAGCAGGAACTTCTAATACTGTAACCAGCAATGACATTATTAAATGGAATACTGCTATATTTGCCTAATCCTTTGATTATGAGAATCCGATTCCGGGTGGGCGACAACTTGAAGGTATACATACAACCACAACTTCCTCGTAACACACCAGGCCACACTTTGTTAAACACGACTAGTAACCTAACCGACTTCGACTATCGCAATTACATTACAATTCAATTCCTCGCAAACCGAGTCCAATACCCCCACCCTCCGCCAGAATTCTAGCTATTGATGACCATTTGACGTCAGAGTGGCCAGTGCCAAGCCTTCCTCCGCGGTTTTCTCGACTTTCTCCGTCTCGCCGCAATTGTTCAACCTCAACACATCCAACACATCCAACACCCTCCCACCCTCCCACCCTCTCTCCAAATGGGTTCCAACGCCTCAAAACCCGTCCAAGCAGCCGCCGGCGCCGCAAAGCGCCAATATCCTAAAAAGGCAGCTCCACCGCCGAGATTACCAAAAGCTCCCCGCGATTCCCAAGCATCGCGACAACAATATCCCCAACCGCCGCAACCACCTACACCTGCACCTCCTCCCCCAACTCCGAAACCAGGTCCAGCGCAAACACCAGCTCCTCCATCCGCACCGCAGGGACCTCAATATCACTCGAAAGAGCAAGCCTCGCGCACAAAATCTACCGGTAAGTTCGCATCTCGCCGTCCACGACCTCCGCAGTCGCAGTCGCCCTCGCAGTACCAGTCTCAATCCACCCCCCGCAACAAAAACAACCCAGAAATCAGATCGCTAACAAAAACACAGCAATCGACCTAGACGGCCAAGACCCCGACTTCGCCGCCTCACTCCGCTCAATCGGCCCCGTCGACCCAACACACGGATTCCCAACCGCAAACCGCAGCTCAATGCAAACCGTCTTCCCCTCCGCACCAACTGCCGCATGGTTAGTTCACACGGCGCGTCAGCGAGCTTCTAAGATCGCGGATGAGGAGGCTGCCCGTATGAGGATGGGTCATCATGGTGATCGGTCGTTGGCAGATGCTTTTCTGATACAGCAGGCGTTGCAGATGCGGGATGTACAGAATTTGCCGGCTGATGAGATTGAGTCTATTATGGGGTTGAAGGGGGGGTTTATCGATAAGTTGGGGGAGAAGGGGATTGTTTCTAAGATTGGTGCTTAGGAGCGTGTGTCACTGGTTGGTTGTTCAGTTCTGAGGCTTGATGTACGTTGAGCGGTTTCGTTGGAGTTTTATGGTGTTTTGCATTTGCATGATCTGGTCTTTCAGGTTTCCTTGATGTATTATATGGCTGTACTGATCCCTACTCATCATAATGTTGCTCCGAGTGGGCTAAGCTTGGAGTTGTGTTTGATTTCATCACCTTTCATTTTATTTTAGAATCGATATGGAGGTTAAGGAGGGTCAGATGTATCCTGGGAGGTATTATTTCTTTCAATGATTTCCCATATGATGCCGTAGTTGCACGACGGTGACCGGAGTCTTCGGAACAGCCACGCACTGGCGATGCTCGGAATATACAGAATTATCACATGGAGCTGGCGAAACTAGACTAGTACTGCCCAGGCGGCTTTTAGTAATCTTTTATCAGAAAAGATATCGGTGATCATGTTCCAAAATGTTGCCCAGAGGTAGAATAGTAGGAAATCCATGAGGAAGAATCCGATAGCTTACCATGCGAATGAAACTAACCCGTAACTTCTTTCCCTTCCGTTTTTGCTTAATCTTAATAATGAAATTAGTACGACGCAGGGGTTACACGGGATGAATACTTCCAGACGCGGACTACGTCAATTAGAGTGATGACTTTACACTGTCTTGATTAAATTTGCGAGGGTGTAATCATAGTAATGCTATCCGGAGATACCAGTACAACATCACATCTTCGAAATACATGATGGATACAATGGTGTTCTTCTAATCTCAGGCTCACCAGCACCTAGTGTGACAAGATCTTGACATGGGTGGAACAAGGCTATCCTTTTAGATCTACAGAAGTTTAAATGCATTATACTTCTGTGCTCCTAGCCTTAAAATCGTTCATGTCTCCACAGCCGCAATCGACCCAGTATTTCTGGAAGGGGTGGAGTGTGCCAAAATTGCATCAAAATCATGATGCTGATGACAGACTCTCCATGAGTAGTACGGTACTACTAGCAGTACCATCCTAGTCTAGAGCTGCGAGCCGTCCACAAGCTCAGCCGGAATCTCAAGATAGCTCGCGAATTGTCTGCCCCATCGAACAAAATGTTCACATTGATTACAAACAGGAAAAGTCCCCTGCAATCTCGATCCCCAGGCGCATTCACTCCCGAGTTCATACATTGGATGTGATGTAATACTTCCGAAATTGGTCATTTATATCCGGGATACATCCGAATATCCGGGATCGAGAATACCTTCACCGCTTCCATTTTGGACGTAAAAAACGCGATTAGGTTGCTAACTGTCGATTCTGACAGCACATAAGGATAGGCAGGATGAGTCTACTCTGAATACTGTGAATACTCCCAGTAGCAAGTTGATCGGGCGAACCCACTGTCGTGTGACACGGGTGGAGCTGCAGAATGTTGCTAGCGTACAATAATCGCTGGCAAGGCTCGCAAGATCCGGGCCCACCTTGCAAACCTTTGTATATTTTTATTCGGCGTAAGCCCTGGAGTAATGCAGACAATTCTGGGCATTTCCAAGGCCAAGGGTTGTTTCTAACTGCCGCTAGTCCCCAAAGAAGTTTCCCTTGATCGCTAAGCCCCTGCCCTGTGCACTGGAGCCTCATGGACCCTGCAATTTTAACCATGGAATCAATCGTGAACGGGCGTGCCGGTACCTTTGTCTGTACCTCGGTTTGGGTCGATCATATTGACATGTCATTCCAAAAGTTTCCCAATTGTGTTGCCTGTTGAAAATCCCCCCCATTTTCACCCAGATATAAGAGTACAGAGAACAAAGAAAATAGTGATCGTTTCTCCAAATATGAATAGATGAAATTGAATAGTAATCTCGTTTATTTTTGCCCCCATTAAGGATGTGGAGGGGCTGTGAAACAGTCGACCAGAGTATTGTAATAATAGCAAGGGGGCAGCCCCTGCAGCAAGGGCGGCCCCGGGGGAGCCGGGAGCAGTAGTAAGCAGCAATACTACGTGGACTGGAAGTACCAAGCTCACTAGTAGAATGCTTCGAATATGAGGACAGTGTACTATTAGTGACGGGGGAAGAGAGAGAGAAAATAACAGAATAATTCACCAATGAACCATTAATTAATGCATATGCCTAGAGTGGAGTGGGGAGGACACCAATCCAGTATGTCTGCCCGAAGCGGCCAGTGGGCTGAGACACCAAGTGTGAACCAGTGAGGACCCGAGATGATCGTGAAAGAAATGGCCCCCATTGGAAGTAAATAAACTTCCGACGCCGACTTCCGGGCGAAAATCAGGGTCTCCAGCCAAGTCGGATAGGGTTGGGGCTATACCTCTTATTTGTATGTGCCTTGATGCAGCGCTGTTTAGGGCTACACAAGCATCCCCACGGTCACAATCACGGTGCCACCGTAATTTCCGTCCATTGATCTGCGCCTGTAGGTGTCTCTGGTGTACTTTGGTTGTACTGGTTATGTCTTACTGAATCTTATCCTTCGCCCTCGTATTATGTATGTTATGATGTGGCGATCTCCACGTCGCGTGCTTGGGTTCCTTTATTGGACTATTTTGGACCCTGAGTCCCTTTGGGGCCAGCCTCCCCCGAGCCCCGGGGGCGGACCCGAAAACTCTAGGGATAATTATAATTTTGATTGTAATTGTAATTATAAGCATGCGTTCCTATATTTGTCTTTGCTGTAACATTTTTTCTTTTATCGCCTTGGGCTTTTGCGCTTCCTTTCTTCTCTGCCTCCCTCCTCCTTCTCCCTCCGCATTCCAGAGTGTTTCTTCCTCCATTCCGATCTCCTTCTCTCCTTCTTTTCCTTTCTCTTTTGCTTTCGTTCTTCTCTCCTGCCCGTCCGAGTTGTCCTCACACGCGACACCCGTGTGGATCGTGACACTCTTTGTATTCCACTCCCTCATACCTATGCCTTCATGAGATGATCTCGATATGTCAATTTTCGCCTATCTCCCGGCGCTTCCGCCCTTTCTCTTCTCCGCTCTCTTCGTGAGTGGCCTCGCCTCGAAGATCTTACACATCGGCCTTCACATCCGCTCCCTACCATTTCTCCACTTCGTCTTATACTCACCAACTCTCCTTCTCCCCGACCTCTTCATCATTACCTGCGGGCGGGTATTGTTGCAGTTCCCTGCCCCGGATTCTAAATTACAATGGTTGTCAACATGCGTCGGAGGGTTCTTTTCGTACGTAATATCCCCCTCCTCCCCTCCCCTCCTCCCCTCCCCAGAGATTTATTGAAAAGACGACTGGCTTGACCTGCAGATGAGAAGCTAACTTTGCTCCCGTTTGTACAGTCTCATTACGTGGGGCGCCGCTGCCATTCAATTCGGATTCTTTCTTCAAACCGGCGCCGAAGTCGACTGGACCGCCAGCAACAGCTTCCTTAGCGATCCCGCCGCCATGAAGATTCTCCTCACCGGTATCTGGACCGTTTCCGCTGCCGGGCTTGTTCTCGGTCTCTTGGCCTGGCTGCTTCATTCCAGGCTTTATAACTGGACCGGGCACGCGCTCGAGGCGATCCGAGACCTCATGTTGGGTGTATATAGCGCCTGCAGAGGGGGCTATCACGCACGTTACACCTTGATCACCGCGCCCAACAAATCCTGGATCAAGTCGGTTGATATCAGGTCTGCACGCCGTACTGCTCTTCTCGTCTCCGCTTCTTTCTCGTTATTGTTTCTGGAAATTGTTCGCCCCGCTATACCATATGATCATCTATCGAGCGCGCTACCTTTGTCACTACTTGATGCTTTTACCAAAAAGACCAGCACAGTGGAGGGCTGCAGGAACCCCTCGAAAGCGTTTCCTATCTGGACGAATGTTAACCCTATTCCTTTGAAAGATGGCTGGTCTCGCCCCGCATGGCTTCCACAAGACACGCCTGATGGATTTAGTCGCTGGGGGGTTGATCCTAATGCGCGCGCGGAGAAGGACAACCCATCTTGGTATCTATGCAGTGGTGGCGATGACGGCGGATTCTTCAATCCTAAATCGGATCCTTTGAAGATTTCCAACCTTGGCGATGAGATCTACGAGCCACTGAAGAAGGCTTTCAAGGAACACTCGGTGGCTATCGACAATGTTATACTGATAACACTGGAGAGTGGACGCAAGGACATGTTCCCCATGCAGCAGGGGACCCCCCTGTTTGATGGATTGCTTGCTTCACACCCCAAGGAGGACAGGGATGACGCCATCGACCGCCTGGTTGAGAGTACTCGCGTTGCGCAGATGTTGACCGGTGAACATGTGAAGGACAGCCAAGGGAAGCTGGTCAGTTTGGCCAACTCGACCTGGCGGGACACAACAGAGAAGGGCATGGGAGGTCTGAATGTCCAAGGAGCGATTACAGGCAGTACTCTTACTTTCAAAAGTATTCTCGGAAGTCATTGTGGAGTCAACCCCCTTCCGGTTGATATGTTGGAAGAATCCGGTCTCGAGATCTACCAGCCGTGTCTGCCTCAACTTTTCGAAGCTTTCAACAAGGCCAAGAGTCCGGTGCAACCAACACAACCTGAGAAGGTCGACAAACGCAAGGCGGCATCCAACCAGTCGGAAGCCGTGGAGTACCCGTGGAAATCGGTCTTCATGCAGTCTATCACCGACGACTATGATCGCCAGGACGTCCTCAATAACCACATGGGTTTCAGACACAAGGTAGTCAAAAGCACCTTGAAAGACTTCCATTCAAAATACCGCGCCAAGGGCGAAGAGATCAACTACTTCGGCTACGCCGAGACCGAACTGAAGCCATATATCCGCGACCTTTTCCAAGAGGCCGCCATCAATAAAACCCGCCTCTTCCTCTCCCACGTCACCAGCACAACCCACCACCCCTGGTCCACACCCGAGAATTTCAAACATGTATCCTACATGGGCCACGAAGGAACCATCAAACACGACCTGATGAACAACTACATCAACGCCGCACGCTTCGTTGACAATTGGCTCGGCGACATAATGACCATGCTCGACGAGTCCGGCCTGGCCAACAACACCCTGGTCGTAGTCGTCGGCGACCACGGCCAGGCCTTCGGCGAAGACAACAAAGATTTGACAGGAACCTACAACAACCCTCACATCAGCAATTTCCGCGTCCCCCTCGTCTTCCGACACCCGCACATGCCGCGAATTCACATCTCGGCCAACGCAACCGCCCTCTCCATCATCCCGACTATCCTGGATATGCTGGTTCAATCCGAATCCCTGGATGAGCAGGACTCGGCGATCGCATCTGCGGTTCTACCTGAGTATCAAGGCCAATCGCTAATCCGACCCTTCCGCACATCTATCCTCGAGCAAGAAGATGCGAAAAACGGACGCAAGAAGTTAGCCTGGAATTTCGGTCTCATCAACGCTGGTGGTGCCAAAATGTCTGTCACGGCTGCCGGCTCTCCGTACCGACTTATCCTCCCCATCAAAGAGGACTCGGAATACGTCTTCTCTCATCTGGGTGATGACCCCGGTGAACTATCTCCCATGAAGTCATGGTCTCTGTCCACTTTAACAGAGACTGTCAAAACCAAGTTCGGCAGTGAAGCCGCTGCTTGGCTTGAAGATGCGGAGAAGGTTGGGAAGTGGTATGTTGATGACCAGAGGCGAATATGGGGGTATAGGGAAGCTTGAATGAATGAAAATGTATTGGCCGGTGAATGGCTCTGATTAATGTTTCACTATATCCTCTGTTTGCTTTTGGGTACATATGAATGGACTATATTTACTTCTTAATGAATTCTATCTTCTGCAATCCATTGTTTATGATTTTCTCTCCCGGAAATTACTAGTACCGATCTGCTCCAGGGCTTGCGCACGCAATTGTCTACCCCACATTTCGCCATCGTTGGATATTTCAAGTTCTTGGCATTGCGCTCACTCCTCCGAGGCACGAGTATATTCCTCAGCGCTGCGGATTTTCCGATTCTTATTAGCAATGAACCAGAAATTAGGTATTTCCGGGCTTGGCCACATTCACTTCCGGTCCATGAGAGATCCTGGGCCTTGAATGCGAAAACGAAATGCGGGGAAGTTAGATGGATTACTACAATTGCCGGGAGCACCACGCGCTTCTCGGATATCCCGACCAACAAATTTCACCATCTCCCGCCAGTATGGAAGCGAGCTTACCCACAGGGTATAGATTCGCGCGGGAAACGGAGACTAGTCTTTTCCTAGGGTATTCACTATGCGACGGCGGCATTGAGGGTTAGATTTTCGGGATGTGGACTGGGCCATCGTTAGTAGTATAAAGGAAGGCCTTAGGAATAATCGCTTATTTGGTTTCTCATTTTTCATGCTTTCAAAATGCCGCGTTTAATTTCGGCTGCGCTTCTTGCAATTGGGTTGACTTTGGTCAATGGGAGTGCTTCGAATAGTCATGGGGCAATCAAGAAACCCGGGCACTCTGCGGAGACCAGACAGCCCAACTTCGTCTTTATCATGACGGATGATCAGGACTTACATCTTCACTCATTGGACTATATGCCAAAGCTGCAGCGACACATTGGTGACGAAGGCACGGTCTTTGAGCGCCATTTTTGTACTATTGCTGTCTGTTGTCCGTCGCGGGTTAGTTTGATGACTGGCAAGCTGGCGCATAATACCAATGTCACCGATGTTTATCCTCCATATGGTACGAGAAGAGAATATTTCCTTAAAGTCCTCCATGTCTAATGCTCCCCTCAAGGTGGATATCCCAAGTTCATCGCAGAAGGCCACAATGATAACTACCTGCCCATCTGGTTACAAGATGCAGGCTATAACACATACTACACCGGAAAGTTTCTGAACGCACATTCAACTTCCAACTATAACAACCCATATCCTAAAGGCTGGAACGGCACAAATTGTACGTGGATCTACCTAGCTACCCGGGACACGTAAAAATGTTCCAAAATTGACATTTATTTATAGTCCTGCTGGACCCATCAACATACAGCTACTGGAACTCCACTTTCCAACACAACCACGATAAACCCGTTGTATCGGATGGCTACTCAACCGATCTAATCTCGCGCCATGCTCTCGACTTCATCGAAGAGGCCCATGCCTCTGATCGCCCGTTCTTTCTCGGGATTACTCCCATTGCACCGCATGCGAAGACGGCCGAGGTAGAGGGTTCATCGATCCCAGCCTTCACTGATCCAGTACCGGCCCCCCGACATGCGAATAAATTTCCCAATGCGAGGATTCCGCGAGGAGGGAACTTTAATCCAGATACTGTACGATATCCTAAATTTTGTTACCAGAAAATCAAACGCTGACCATATCAGCAAAGCGGTGCCAGTTGGATCTTGAATCTGCCCCAGCTCAACGCTAGCGAGGTTACGTATATGGATGGGTATTACCGCCACCGAATTCAATCCCTTCAAGCCGTTGACGATCTTGTTGAGAGTGTGGTCAAAAAGCTCGAGGACTACGGCCTTCTGGATAATACCTATATCTTCTACACATCCGATAACGGATACCACGCCGGACAGCATCGTATGGTTCCAGGCAAAGGCTGTCCCTACGAAGAGGACATCAATATCCCTATGATTGTGCGTGGGCCGAAGTTCCCAAGGGTCGAAAAGTTGATTTTGTCACGTCGCATACCGACATTGCTGCGACTTTGTTCGATTTGGCTGGTATACCCTTGAGAGAGGACTTTGACGGAACCCCGATGCCTTTGACAGCCTCGGAAATGCGAGGCGCAAAGTCTGATCCGCGAAGAGAGCACGTTTCTGTTGAGTACTGGGGTACGAATCTCCAGGAGGGTGATATCGGCCGCGTCTCGCCAACGGGAGCTGGCGTAGTCTATTATAATAATACCTACAAAGCTATGCGGGTTATTGGGGACTCTTACAATCTTTTCTATTCTGTTTGGTGTACTGATGAGCATGAACTTTACGACTTGACAGTGAGTGATTCCAGCCCCAGCGTCCTATTTTGTATGTTTTCCTTTGATTCAACGGCTCACATTTCCACAGAATGACCCATACCAGATGCGAAATCTGATCAACACCAAGAAAACATTATTGGGTCGAGATATAAAGAAAGTGATATCTCGATTAGACGCCCTCCTGCTCGTACTCAAGAGCTGCAAAGGCTCGGACTGTACACTCCCCTGGCAGGTTCTACATCCGAATAAAAAGGTCACCAGTCTCTCCGAGGCACTAAGCTCCAAGTACGATAAATTCTACGCTGCGCAGCCGGATATCAGCTTCTCGGCATGTGAGCTGGGTTATTTGCCGGGGTCGGAGGGGCCGCAGGAGGGGTATGCGTATCGACGGGGTGGGGATTGGAGTTATTGGGCCTAGAGAAGCTTGGAATTCGCTTTCGAAGGTCCTAGATGGGGCCTAGTACATTATCATTCACGATCTTTCTCTTCCATTCATGGCAGTTTTCAATGATCGAAGAAGAGAAAAGAAAAGAAAATGAACAGGTCATATTAATCGTACATATTGTTGTAAATTTTCCGCTAGTAGCCCATAACAAAAAGGAAGGCCTAATTCACCCAACGCCAAGCTCATCCAACAAAAAAACAGCGCTCATTGGAATAGACGCGATACTAAACAGCACTTTCCCTCCAATTTAAATTGCCTCATCATCCATCCTCCTCAAATCAACCACAACAAAGCTCTTAACTTCAACCGGCAACGGCTTATCATTATAAACAGAGTTCAAAGGAACATTTTTCCCAGTACACATATCGTCATCGAAAGCAATAACGTCCTCGTATTCCGCCAAGTTTCTCGCCATAACGAAGCCGCCCTTTGGAAACGATACAGATCGACAGTGCTGGGATCCGGAGCCGGTGTACGTGTGGCCGATTTTGTGCGCGGTCGGGAAATAGGCGACATCCCATGCTACTGTTGATAGAGCAAGGGCAAGTAGTGAGAGAATTGTGGTTATCATTTTGATCTGATTGGGTTGTTAGAATTGGAATGGGAATGATATAGAGCAGAGATGGCTGAACACACCTGATTGAAATTGATCGGTCACGATACAATTGATGTGACTTGAAAGGTGAGATGTCGAGAATAAACGAGTCTCGTATATTTAAGGGCCAGAGCTTGAGTTGCTACAGTATACACAGGCCATTGACTGAAGATCTGTCAAGAATGCGCAGTTGTGTAGGAAATGAACTTGAGTAATGCGCCCCTTGCTCCAGGAACTACTCTGAATGGCTGAATGTCACCAAGACGCGGGAGGCCCGCCGGGCGGATATTCTAAAATTCTGCATTAGCCAGGGATAATAATATATTGTGTATTGGTGATAGAGCCGCTAGTTTACTGGAATAGGTAGTCAGTTTGGTCTTCATGCTAGCGACGTCGCTAGATGTTCGAAATGGCCTGTATGTGTTTATTAAAGATACCTTAGCATTCATAAGTGGGATTGAATTGTAACAAATTCACGAGTTTAGTAGCTTGGCTTCCTGATATACATCAAAACATTCATGTCGACTGGAGATCTGCAATATTTAATTTGAGGTTGAAAGCCGCGCTGCGGAAGTTGCTTTAAGCGGGTACGCGGGACTCCTCCCAACTTGTGGCATCAAGTATCATGATTCATGTGAAGATCAAGGTAAGCCCTCTTAACCTTAAATATAGGTAATATAACATAATACACTGTTCCGTCGCAAGTTTTGCGATCGTGAACCTGAAAGTGCCCAGGTGGCCAACCGACACTTTCCAGTGGTGATGAGTCCAAAATTCTGAGAAATATATATTTTCAAACCGACTCGAAGCCGGGAATATTCCATCCATCATACATACCACTACTAGTAACTAGTGCAACTAGTACGTGATCCTTTGCGAATTCTCATTGTCCTAAGGCCCAATGGCTATATAACGGCAATTTATGGTCACTACTTAAGAAAAAAAGGGGGGAGAAGCACCCGCAAATCGGAGAATACATATGGGCCTCCAACGCGGTCCGGCCCATAGCGCATATAGTATCCGTCTATGCGAACAGGGCCAGCCCAGTGTTTGGTTTCAATCCATTATTTACCTCAATAAGTCCAATGTCCCTAAAAGCCTGATCAACGGAGGAAATGTCCTCGCTAGATTTGACCTGGCGGTCTGGCTCCTCGAAAGCAACTGCGTGAGACATAACAACTGGCAGGCCGGATGGGAATAGTAACATGCAATCGGAGCAACTCCGCGTCCAAAAAATGTCGCGATACGAGCCAGGCTTCGTGGCGCTGGCGCATTGCGCGAGACCCGTTTGTCAAAGTTTCTCAATTTTCGGCAGGACGGTAAACAAACAGGCTAATATGATAAGGCCTGGCAGGATTAAACATGAGATCACGGGCTAGCATCTGGTAGGCTTTCGTTTGGAAGATCATTGTCAAATTCGAGTATCGGGGTGGAGAGTGTGTTAGTTCTCCGTAGTAACTATCAACGACGAGCTACTAGCTAGTCGATGTAAAGAGGAGTCTGGAAACTTTGTTGAGCGGAATAAACCCCCACGCCAGGTAGGTAGGTCACTTGACGAATCCTGAATCCACTATAGCTCCAGCACTACCATACATACTACTACTTAGCCGTGGACCTGTCTAGCCGGGGAACCGTGCAGATGGCGCGGGGTCCCGCAACTCAACCAGAGAGAGCACGGACTAAAAGCAGCAGAAACAGTAGTAGAATTAACTAGACTCCAGCCCGTGGCGGCTGCACGGCTGGCTGTTATACACCGCCGCAGCGGAGGGACAATTTACAAAGTTTCCACCTAGTATATTTTAGGATTTTTCACGGAGTAGGAGGACGAGGAGCACAGACAGGTCTCGATCTGCTCTAGATCTAGATCCGACCAGACCGGTCGGGTCCTGCTAAGCGCCTCAGCCTGCAGGTGCAATATGTAAAGGGACAGGGATTAGAAATGTGGAATGGAATGGGAAAATTCTAGAAGCGGGGCCGGATGCGAGTGCCGATTGTTTATTGCAATCTAGCTGCTCACGGGATCGTGGTGGAACTGTTCACGGAAGAGCAAAAGTGCTGGTGCAAGGGGATGTTTCCTCGGATTTGCCCGATATAGAATAGTACCACTGTGCCAGTAGTAGGCTCAGGCACCGTAGTGCCCAGCAGAATTTGCTGGTCACACGGGCAATATCTGATACTGGCCCCCTGTCGGGACTGCATTTCCCCTGGATTGCGGATTAGCTGTGAACTAGGGTGGATTTTATTTTCAGATGTTTGTTAATATTTTTGTTCATTATTTTGCAAAAGAGGAAAAATATTGCTGGCTTGTAATCCGGTCGGGTCGTACAATCAATAGGTAACTATACTTCTGGGTAACTATCCTAGTCGCGGTGGCGAATTCCATCAATTCAGGGATTCATTGGGAAAGGAGAGAAAATTGTTCATAGTGATGAAATAACTACCTTTCCGGATAATAAAAATATAGAAATAAAAACTGGTAGCGTGGAATGGGCCATTGAGTTTCCCAGCATCCGGGGGCTAGGGACAAGGACGGATCTAGTACGGGGAAGCCGGATTGTCCACATGACCCGGGAATACTACGAAGTACTCCTCACTAGCTATGGGGTATGGAGGGTATAGAGTATTCCGTGGTACAGTAGCAAGTCACCAAGAAAAATCCCAGATTAGCAGGGCGATCAACAACCACCCGGAACTGTTCCCCCGGGCATGGGGTGTCAGGTGAGGTGAACGGTGGCGTCGAATCTGGGAGATCGGCTTGCCCGAATAAGGCATCCGATCGACTAGTTCTTCCTTCGACTGGTGAACGAGTCCTGGTGAACAAGATGGCCGGGCCAATATTGGGCTGCCATTACAAAATCATTAAATCATTGATTAGGAATATTTTCACAGATGCCTGCGCGCTTGCGTGGATATCGAGCTGGGCTCTGACGAAACCCTGTCTATACTGTACAGGGTCCTACAAGCAGGATTTTATTCAATTCGGTTCTTTTTGCCGGATCGTGAATCAAGACGCTGGGAACGACTCCGTAGGTACGATAGTACTTTTTTTCTTGATTTTCCCTTTTTTTTTTTTTGCCCTGTTCACTTGCCACGCCGTTGGAACGCCTCTAGGGTCCACTACTTTGCTCTGCTGTGATCTGGACTAGAGATAGACTAGACTAGGCCTGAAGCTAGCTGCACCGCCCACGACGCGCATTCCCCGGGCCTGGGCCGAGCGAGCTTGTTCGCTTGGCTCTGCGTTGCCATTTTCAGACAGACTCTGCTGTCCACGAGACACACCCCCTTCGGCAAGATACTGCCGTTGGAATTGAAGGTTTGCTGTTCCCAAAAAATATTTAAAGACCTCGTCGTATGCCTCCTTATTGTTCTCTATCTTCATCATCTTAATTCTTTAATACCATCTTCTCAAGCCTTTGGCTAAGCGTCCGCTTCAACTTTATACTTCACACTCGGTGACTCTATACTCGAACATCTTTCCCCACCAAACTTAATATTCACCCTACTACCTAATCAATAATTCGCCTCACAATGTCTGTCTCCATCGAAACCACTCAAGTCCCCACTGCCCCAATGACCAGCCAGCCTGTCCTTCTGGGCCAACAGGCACGCATGCCTGAGTTCAGTCTTGCCGGCAAGGTCGTTCTCGTTTCTGGTGCTGGTCGTGGACTGGGCCTCACACAGAGTGAAGCCCTCCTCGAGGCTGGCGCAAAGGTCTACGCCCTCGACAGACTGGAGGAGCCTGCTCCAGAATTCTATGAGCTCCAGCAACGCGCCAAAGAGCTTGGCACTGAGCTTCACTATCGCCGCATCGATGTCCGCGACACCGAGTTGCTGAACAGCGTCATTGAGGGTATCGCCCAGGTTGAAGGACGCATGGATGGCCTCGTTGCTGCGGCTGGTATCCAACAGGAGACTCCCGCGCTCGAATACTCTGCTAAGGACAGCAATACCATGTTCGAGGTCAACGTGACTGGTGTGTTCATGACTGCCCAGGCGGTTGCCAAGCAGATGATTCGCTTTGGAAACGGTGGAAGTATCGCCATGATCGCCAGTATGAGTGGTACCATCGCCAATCGGGTAAGCTCCCCTCCCACCATGATTTCAATCTTGCCTTTTCCTTCCTTGCCCTTTGTTCCTTCTCCCGTGTCCGGTTAAACTGGATGTTATCCCACATCTACCTTGTCTCGCTATCAGCCTGTCTCGTATTGGATCCCTATGTTTATTTGCCCCCTCCCCGCCTCTTTACCCTTTTCATCCGTTATTCGAATTTATACTAACAGGGACTATAACAGGGCCTTATTTGTCCCGCCTACAACGCCTCCAAGGCTGCCGTCATCCAACTTGGTCGCAACCTCGCTGCCGAATGGGGTCAATACAATATCCGTGTCAACACTATCTCCCCAGGTTACATCGTCACTGCCATGGTTGAGAAGCTGTTTGTTGAGTTCCCTGAGCGCCGCGATCAGTGGCCCAAAGAGAACATGCTCGGTCGTCTGTCTCGTCCCGAGGAGTACCGTGGTGCAGCAGTCTTCCTCCTTTCTGATGCCTCTTCGTTCATGACTGGCTCTGACCTGCGCATGGACGGTGGTCACGCCGCGTGGTAGAGACAATTCTGATTGTCTTGAAATGATACCCTACTGTTCCATCATTCCTGGGTGGATGGGGGATAAATTATATGCATACACGTGGCGGGCGGGCTTTCATCGCATGGCGTTTTGATTTTGATTTTTCCTTATTAATGGGATGAGCGAGTGCTTTTCATTGGCAGTTCATGGCTTTCTTGGCCTTTTCTTAGGATTATGATCAGCGTGATTGATTCTGTTTCGCGTTTCTTTGCTTATAGTTTAGACTCATATCGATCGCTCGAGTTAATGCAATGATGATCTGACCCACTTTGACTTTTGACGGATCGGCTCCACTCGGAGTCCCTCGCTGTAGATTTCAAGTAAATTGAACAACGCAGGGCTGGTCACGAGCGATGCACGGCCTTCCAATCGTTCCCTTGTTATATCTTCTATAGAAGGTGATTGATATTGTTCTTGGATTGGACTCTCACCGTTCTTTCTGTCCAGTTGGATCCGACCACATCATGAACGAGAACGGATGACCTTATGCCGATCTACCAGAGAGGAAACCCCGTCCCCAGCCCACGATGCTTGCCACGCCTAGGAATCCCCTGCGATTGGAATTCACTGTATTCCAGGTTGGGAATAGTCAAAGTCAGGTGGTAGCAAGGAGACATGGGACTGGGACGCACAAAAGCCGAGCCAAGAATCTTGTCGTCGTTGACTCTGGGGAAGTGGAGGCGACCCCGCGTTTACGCCAGTCATAACTCGCCTGAGGCACACTCGGTCCTCCCAGAGTCTGGGGCGACAAGTATTGTTTGTCCAATGGTCATAGACTTTGCGACAAGATGCTGTCAGTTGTTTGTTGGGCGCCGCGGCGTCCGGTTGATTGGTGTTGCCTCTGCAAGGGGGTGTTTTGCCATCTGTCGCCCGACTGGCCTTGACGATACACTTGCCATCACCATCCAAGTATAATCTGGGATTGGGCACACCTTTAATCGGTATATCCCGGATAATGAAGGGATCTTGACAGTGGCCTCATGAGTCTAACTGGAGTTTTGGAGTCATGACCCTCGGCATGCCTGATATGGTACACACCTTGTGTTGGCACCTAGCACCTCAATGTCCCAGCAAAGTCCGTTACAAAGTAACAAGGCCTGTGCCAAATTCTCTGTGTTTGTTTTGAAAGTGAGCAATCGATCCGTTCCCCGAGGGGCAGGTCACACTGTACAACGATTGTCCCACCAGCCAGCCCGGTCAATCCAGTGGGAGCGAGTGTTGACGTAGAAGATAGAGTCCCCGTGAGCCTCTTCGTGAGTTTGAGTGAATTGCTTTGGAATTCGGACCTCCCTAATTCGGGATCCCACGAGATGCACTCAACCTTGAGGTGTCCGCTTGCGGGCCATTCAAGACAGTTGCCACGAGACTGAGATAGCCCCGGCAACGCGGCATAACGACGCGTACGCAAATCCCTACTTCGGGCTTTTGTTGGCTTTTTTTTCATCATGAACCTTCAAACTTGGATTTTATCAGTTCCTATTGGAAGACGGGAAATCGAGCGCCACAGGGACTGGGGTTGTGAAAGTACCACGGGTTCCGCCCAAGATTGGATCACTGGTGTATTAATGCAGATCAGGCGAATAGGGGCAGGGCATAATTCTCCCGCGAGTGATATTCCTTGACTCTCATGACTCCGAAAGCTGCTTTGTGGCAAGTTATGATTGATCATCTCAATTTCGGCGTTGTGTAAGTCGAAGCATCGCCGCAGCGGTGTCGGGGTGGTAGGTGGCTCGGGAAAATAAGTTGAATGGGGCGAATACTTCTAATTCTTAACCTAGAAAAAGCATCAGCATCTACCATTGACTGTTAAATGGAGATAGGTTGAAAGGCCATCTCGAGACGTGGCGAACATGGACAACAGACTGTCTGTTGAAGACGATCGCCAAGATCTGCCTCCCTCTAGTGCCGCTGCATTTCGATCTGGCAAAGGGATGATACCCAGCCATTGCAATAGTTTGCGAATACAAGCTTTCAAGCCCCAGACGGCCCGCGTGTTCGTCCCGTCATATTGTCTCGTGGCTGAAATTGGCATATCGTCGTTGCAAGACTTCCACGATATGGCAAGACCTGTCTTACTGACCAGAACTTCATTCCACTGCTGTGATTCTGTGCGAGGATATATGTTTGATCGCATGCTACTTGTGTAGCTTTTGTGTTCTCGTAGCAGTCCATTCCATGCAAGGAACTCAAAGGTGCGGGTTCGGCTTCTTGAGGCGCTAGGCATTGGAGTTAGGCACTTGGTATGCGCGGTCACTCATTGACTCACCTAGATCCATCGCGACTCGACGATTATCTAGTACAGCATTATGTGTACCACACCGAATATACTGTTGATACCACTGCGAGTTTCACCTGCTGGTAGCCGAGATACGCCCTTCCGGGGTAGTATCGATGCTGCGTGGCCGGAAGATTCTGGGGTACATTGATGTTCGGAGACTTTTGTGAGTGATTAGCATCAAGCAGTGGTAATTGACAAGCACTGACCTACATCCTAGTTATTTCCTGCTGGTATGAAGGTGGTAAGTGTGCAGTATGTTGCAGTATGTTGCAGTGTACGAGTGAAGTGAGGTTGGGGCGTTCCCCTTTTGGGCCACAAAGTACATCGCTCCTTCCTCAACATTCACTCTGCCATCTCGCTCCTTCCATCTTTCCCTTCCATCTCTCACTTCACGTGGTCTCCTCTTCTTCCTCTTCCACTTCATCTCTTCTGTTCTTTAACTTCCTCTTTTCCTTCAAGTTTTTCATTTCGAGTTCTTCCCTTCTCTCTTTCTCCTCTTTCCTCATTTGTTTCCGTTTCCTTTGCTATTCGTCATACAACCATCGGAATGGCGCTCGATGAGTTCGGACGTGATCGAAGCTCCCCCAAAGGCGATCTCCCGGTCCTTCGTGAGGCCCTCCCTCAGCCAGGCTACGTCTCCACCTACCCCGAGAAAGGCCTTCTTACTCCTTCCTACCACCTTGAGCTGGGCGATGAGAATCCAACTCCCGATGAGCTGACCGGCCCAGCTGCTTTGCGTCGTGTGTCAGCTCCCATCCCCTGGGCTGTCTACGCCGTTGCCTTTGTGGAGCTGTGCGAGCGATTCTCGTACTATGGAACACAGATTTTGTGTATGTGCATGCTTCAGATACCTTCAAAGTGACCCATTGGACTAATCTAACGTGTTATCCAGATTCCAACTTTGTGAATCACGCTCTTCCTCTTGCGCCTCCTCATGGGCCGGCTGGGTCAAACCACAAGACCGGTGCTGGCGGTGGTTCCTCCCAGGGCGTTTCTGGCGCTCTCGGCAAAGGCACCCAGGTTGCGAATGGCATCAACACTTTCAACACCTTTTGGTGCTACATAATTCCCCTCCTCAGTGCCTATATAGCTGATGAGTACTGGGGCCGCTACAAGACAATTTGCTGGGCCATTTTCTTTGCCATCATTGGGCATATCACCCTCGTCATGTCTGCCATTCCTCCAGTCATCACAAACACGACTATGTGCTTTGCTGTATTCATGCTGGGTGTGATTATCATGGGATTTGGAACCGGCGGTTTCAAACCCAACATCTCCGCATTGGTCGTCGAGCAGATCCCCGTTGTCAATCTGAAAGTACGCACCCTACCCACCGGCGAGCGTGTTATTATTGATCCGACCATCACGCAAAGCCGAATCTATCACTATTTCTACCTCTTCATCAACGTGGGTGCTCTGATCGGCCAGATCTCCATGGTCTATGCGGAGAAGTATGTGGGTTTCTGGCTTGGCTTCTTGCTCCCTACTGTAATGTTCATGTTCTGTCCCGTTGTTATGTGGTGGGGGCACAAGCGGTACATCCAAGCCAAGCCCCAGGGCTCTGTCACCTCCAAAGCGGTGCAAGTCTTGTTCTATGCCCTCCGCAGCCGCTGGTCATGGAACCCTGTCAAATTTTGGAAGCGTACCCATGACGGTACCCTCTGGGATAGTGCAAAGCCCTCCAACATTGCCCTCCAGGATCGTCCACACTGGATGACTTTCGACGATGCCTGGGTTGATGAAGTCCGCCGCGGCTTTTGTGCGTGTGCGGTCTTCTGTTACATGCCACTCTACTGGTTGTCATACAGCCAGCTAACCAATAACTTGACTGCTCAGGCAGGAACCATGGCCCTGCACGGCGTCCCCAATGATGTTCTCAACAATCTCGACCCCATCATTCTGGTCATATGCATCCCCATCTGCGACTACTTCTTGTATCCCGCCTTGCGTCGAACAGGAATACGATTCACTGCCATCAGGAAAATCTTCGTTGGCTTTGTACTTGGCGCAATGGGGATGGGCTGGGCGACCGGAGTCCAGCACTACATCTACAAGACCTCGCCCTGTGGTTACGATGCAAATACGTGCGCCAACCCTGATGGAAGTGTACTAAATTCCCCGCTGAGCGTCTGGATTCAATCTGGCTCCTACGTACTGATTGCTTTGTCCGAGATTTTCGCCTCCATCACGACCCTGGAGTACGCCTACTCCAAGGCTCCTCGCGGCATGCGTTCCTTCATCCAGGCAATTTCGCTTTTCTCCAATGCCGTCTCCGCCGCTATTGCAGAGGCTCTGAACCCGCTCTCCAAGGACCCCCTGCTCGTGTGGAACTACGGTGTGTTTGCCGTTATCTCGATTGTCAGTGGATTCCTTTTCATGTGGCAATTCTGGAGCTTGGATCAGGAGGAGGATGAGCTGAACAATCTTCCGGAGGGACAAGTTATCGCCGAAGCCAAGGCCGAGGGACTTTTTGTTTCAGCCGAGATCACTTCTGCTCGCGGATAGACGTAGACATCGCGCCTTCGATATCTCAGATATCCCATCTTGTTTCTTTCTCATGCGCTATTGCTGCGTCTTTCTATTATCAGTCTCGTTTAGCTATTACTCCAGTTACCCCAACCCTTATGGTATGGGCTTTCATAATATCACTTCAAGATATCTTTGATTTTACTCTTTGAAAGTAGAATTTTTAGTTCATCACGGACCACATTTATTAATAGCTCAGCCAGCTAACCCACTTTTGTAGTGCATCTCCCAACTATACGACAAACTCTATGAAGAACATCTCCCCAGATTCAAGCAGCATTGCCAGAATACCGTCTTTAACACGCAAATCCATGGGACGAGACTTCCGGGGCAGCCACAACTCTCTCACACCATTGATTGCGACCCAGTCCTCCTCGAGTAAGGTTATCTCAATGCTAGGCCGTTCTGAAGGGTTGATTGGCTTGATCTTCAGAGCTCCCAAGTTGGTACTCAATTGAGATCTATCATCGGTGAATTTCAAATAATCTGGTACTCCCGCTCGAAAAACCCATTCCTTGATGACCCTGCCAGCATCAGTGTCAAAGAGCCAGATTTCTCCTGATTTGGAAGAAGCAGCGAGTTGTCGGTTGTCGTGTGAGAATTCCAGGCAGTTTGCCCAGCTTACACCATTTGGACCTGACCCCCACTTAAAGAGTTTCGTGGTTAAATCCCAGACTTTGATTTCCCCACTCGTGGTTCCGAAAGCAATGAGCTTTCCATCCGGTGATAACGTGAGTGATGAGAATGACTTGGAGGGGTGTTCTGAGAAGAGAAGCCCCCTTTTGAGGCAACGGTCAAGCTCTGCGATATTTTGCACAGTACCTATCCAGGTATTGCACATTTCAGTACGCCAAGTTGGAAAATCCCCGGCTACGAACAGAATATTCGAGGAAATATTAGCAGACATGAGATAGTAATGATCTTTGCGAGGCTCGTCCAGGCCACTCCTCCCTCGTGTGTAGTATTGACAGAGTCCTTCAGCAGTATCCCATACACTGAACCCGTTCCAATGCCGACATGCTATGAAACGATCGTCAGGCGAGAAATCCAGGGACGAAGCCAATTCCATTTCGCAGCGCATACTATGCAGCACGGTAAAATTTTCCGTTTCCCATAACACGACTGAGCCATCAGCAGTTCATAGGTTCTCATACTTGCATTAATGCCCAGTGTTGAATTCTCGCAAACCCCAGCCCATATTTCATCGTCTTGTATTCTGAACCGCGTTCTAGAAATCTTCTACCAACTAAGAATCGGCCCTAGGGCCGTTCAAACTTGAAGAAACCCGAAAACTCAAGGTCCCCACCGCCGATCGCGGGTTGCCGATGAAAGTTCCTCACAACCTGAAACCTGATCCCCCAGATATTCCGATCGGCGGGCCCCTGAACATCACTCGCCCTGGCTCTAATTCTGGTCTTGTTTAATCTGAAGCATTTGTTTGAATGAAGATGTTCTTTGATCTCTACGCTCCCTCGAAAAAACTATTTGAACACGAATACGAGTGTCTATTATTATTGTTCTGCCTGCTCAGCTGAAACTCCACTCAGCCATCGACTAAGCCGCTAGCCCCGGCCGTTAGCTCCCGAATTTGCGGTGTACAACACAACTTGGGGCCGAAGTCTGCTCTGCTTACTTGCATTACTGTTGGCCGCAGGGCTGAATCTTGTCGGTGTTCAAGCACAAAATTCAGCTGCCTAGCAAGGTTGCACTGGCAGTTGGGCTAATTAATACTGCCTAAATATGGGGTTTATATGTACGGATACTCGGAAGACCGTTCGGAAGGGCCGGTAGTTGATGTTTTAGATTATTTCCAATGGTTCAAGCAGTGTGGAGCGTGGTGGTTTATTTGGCCCCATAATTAGGAGGACCCTAGGCTTCTAGCTCGGTGGCTAGAGGGGATTTTGGGGGCGAATGGGGGTGGCTTGTTAAGATTATCCAGGGATCCTGGGATACACTAGCGGGATGCCCTCTGTTTTGAGGTGGTTCTGCTATTCAGGCCAGGCAATTTTATGGGTCTATAGGCAGATGCATACCTATATGCAGTTATTCGTACTCGCAGAGTATGTACTACTGTTCGAAGTATATTATTTATTAAAATTTCATGAATTCATGTGAGATCAAATAGAATAGAATAGACTAGTTACTCCATAGTCTACTAGTATGTACATTGGGGGCTCTTGCAATGCCAGACTGGGTGATGACGTATCGGGAATTCCCCCGTGATATCTGACCTTCAACCTCACACGACTCCTCCAGCGGAAGTATACTCCGTATGATAGGCATACCGCTTCATTATGTGCCTTTTCACCATCCTAGCTCACCTCAGCCCTGCGCCACACTATTCGAGAATCCTCAGGTCAGGCCGCCTGAACTACTACTAGTTTGGAGTTATGCACCGCCTGGTGGAGCTCGGAAGGGCTCGTTTGTCCTGACATCACCATATCCACACAATGACCATCCACTCGCTGCACCACCATTCGTCGTCCCCGGGAACGCTAATGTACGATGGAGACGAAAGTGATGGTTTGAACCTGCCTCTGGGCAGTGAAGGAGTGAGCTCCCACATTGAATCTCGGCGCGGGCTTGGCCAAGCTTCCGGCGGCCCCGGCGCATAAATATTATGAGGCACCCCTGGCGATGATCAGCCCTCTCTTTCACCCCAGATCCAGATTCTTCCTTCTGGCTGCTCGCGTCGAAGGGACCTTGGATGAGTTGAGATCGCGACAACACATTCATCATGAAATCTGGTGCCTTTATCGCGTCTCTCGCCTTGGGCTTGCTGCCCGGTATGTCCATTCCCATCGGTCGGAGTGATCTGCACTTCACCTCACCTCGGTTCGACTCGACTTGACTCGAGGTCAAGTCAAAAAACGATTCCTCAATTCAGACCCCGCTAACAAGCATTGCTTTCTCCAGCCGCGATCGCAGCTCCCCCGGGCTTTGAACCCGCAAATGTCGTCCCTGTATTCGGCCGAGCTCTACCCGACGCACCCGATGGCTATGTCCCGACCAAAGTTAGCTGCCCTGGCACTCGTCCAACGGTGCGCAGCGCCGCGAAGCTCTCCTCCAATGAGACCGACTGGCTTAAGACCCGTCGTGACAAGTCCCTTTCTGCTATGACGGACTTCTTCGGCCATGTGAAGGTTGGCGACTATGATGTGACTTCTTGGCTGGACAAGCACAAGAGCAATTCCTCTGATATTCCCAATATCGGTATCGCCGTGTCTGGTGGTGGTTACCGTGCGCTGATGAACGGTGCCGGTGCCATCAAGGCATTTGATAGCCGAACTTACAATGCTACCACCGATGGCCATCTTGGTGGTCTGCTGCAATCTTCCACTTATGTCGCTGGTCTCAGTGGTGGTAGCTGGCTGTTGGGCTCTATCTACATTAACAACTTTACCACCATCGATAAGCTGCAGACTCATTCCAATGGTGCTGTTTGGCAGTTCGGAAACTCTATTCTCGAGGGTCCTGATACCGGCGGTATCCAGCTTCTGGATTCGGCCAGTTACTACAAGGACATCGCCGAGGCTGTTGAGGGCAAGAAGAAGGCCGGATTTGACACTTCGCTCACTGACATGTGGTAAGTGGTATCCCCGAGAAGTAATTTCGATAATACATGCTAATGATAATAAGGGGCCGTGCTCTCGCCTTTCAAATGTTCAATGCCAGCGAGGGAGGCGTCGATTACACTTGGTCCTCCATTGCGAAGACCTCAGACTTCCAGGATGGCAACTACCCCATGCCGCTTGTCGTGGCCGATGGCCGTAACCCCGGTGAGCTGGTCGTTGGCAGCAACTCAACTGTCTACGAGTTCAACCCCTGGGAGTTCGGTACTTTCGACCCGACCATCTTCGGCTTCGTTCCTCTTGAGAGTCTAGGCTCGCGTTTTGTCGGTGGTTCTCTCCCTAGCAATGAAAGCTGCATTGGTGGTTATGACAACGCTGGTTTCGTTATCGGAACTTCCTCCACTCTTTTCAACCAGTTCTTGCTCCAGCTCAACACTACCTCCCTTCCGTCGTTTGTGAAGAATGTTTTTAACGACATTCTCAACAAGCTGGACAAGTCTGATGATGATATCGCTTCCTACGATCCTAACCCATTCTATCACTACAACAACCACTCCTCCCCCTACGCCCAGCAAACTGCCCTGGACGTTGTTGATGGTGGTGAGGATCTGCAAAATATCCCCCTGCATCCGCTGATCCAGCCTGAGCGCCATGTCGATGTCATCTTCGCTGTCGACTCTTCCGCCGACACCACCTATAGCTGGCCCAACGGTACCGCCCTGGTTGCCACCTATGAGCGCAGCCTGAACAGCAGCGGTATCGGCAACGGTACTTCCTTCCCAGCCGTTCCGGATCAGAATACCTTCGTGAACCTGGGCCTGAACACCCGACCTACCTTCTTTGGCTGCAACAGCTCCAACACGACCGGGGCTACCCCACTGGTTGTCTACCTCCCCAACACCCCATACACCACTCTCTCCAACGAGTCAACCTTCACCTTGAGCCGTGACGACGCCGTCCGTGACGATATCATCAACAACGGATACGAAGTCGCAACTATGGCTAACGGCACTCGCGACGGCAACTGGACTACCTGTGTCGGCTGTGCCATCCTCAGCCGCTCTTTCGAGCGCACTGGTGATACCCTCCCTGATGTGTGCACCCAGTGCTTCAAGAACTACTGCTGGAATGGCACCATTGACTCCAAGGACCCTGGAGTCTTCGAGCCAAGTGTCCTGGTTAAGGATGCTGATAGCGCGGCCCTTGCTGCTATTGTTCCTACTGTGCTCTCCGCCACTGTCGCTGCTGGCGTAGCGCTCTTCAGTCTGGTTTAGATTTAAAGAATTCGTACATAATGAAGTTCGGTTACATTTGATAATGATGGCGTCATGTGGGCATATTTAATTGATTTGAACATTTCTTTTCTTGGTTGATACTAGTATTTCTAGGTTATTTAAACGTTCATTTTATTCAAAATTGAACAATTTGAAGTCTGGCAAGGCCGGCGTGTATATTCGATACTATGAGTCGGAATCGCAGCATACATCGTTTCTAAAGATGGGTCGGATTCTAAGACGCTGTATAGGCAATGTTAGAGATATGAACATACGACGCATTTGAAGAAGACAATTAAATATTCGACGGCTGATCACGCACAATATAAGATTGCACTTGACGAAAGTGTTGAGATGCTGGTGCCGTGCTCCCATCCCTAGCAGAGAAAGGAGCTCTGTCGCCTCCTCTCCCGTTTGTAGTATCTAGCAAGAAGTAATATGGTTGCGGCTGTTCCCTTGGGTATCAAAGACCTCCCGAGACGCGGTTAATTAAAAGAGCATCAAAAAAGAAAAGGATTCTCTTGAAGGTCATGGTGACTTGAAGATCATCTACTGCTAATACTAGTACCTAGGTACTAGTCGTTCTGAGATTTATCCTTATCAAGTTCAAGTTGGAAGTATATTTTTCGTGAGTCAAACCTCGGACCTCAGGAGCCCCGAAGTGCTACTGGCATTATAACTTGAAATATCTCAAGTTGGAAGCATTGAAGAAATAGAATACGTAGACAGGTATTTACAGACTAGTACTACTAGTACCTACCTGCCTTCGAGATAGACTGTTGCTCATAAATTATAAGAGTTGTCAAGTGTTTAGGCTGATCGCTGATCTTCGGGATGTTTTTGTAGTTCGTGCCGAGGATACGCCGAGACTCAGATCAACAACACGTGACTGTTACCGTGGAAACAGAGTGGGTTGTCGTCCCGTTTAGGAAGGTACGCCCAAACATAGCAAGCGCACTCCACACTGAGGGAGCTCCTTCGAATTCGCGTTGAATGCATCACATCACTTCTTCATCTCCACCTCCTCCGCCACATTCAACGACAACGACAACGACCGCAATCCACTCAGCCCCGCCATGAGCCCCCCCGCGTCATTCAAATCCATAAAGCGACAACCGACACAATCGAGACGCCATATCAACAACATAACCCACTGCCTTGCCCGCCACAATGGCTCGCGCAGCTGTCCTGCCCAAATCCCCCGCCAAGCGGGGGTCTGTACCGTACCCCGAGCTGCTATGAAGACCACTGCCGCCTCCGCTGCCAGGGCGAAGGCTTCTGCGGACGTCCGGAAGAAAACAACCGCCAAGGCGGCGCCCGCCGATTACGACTCTGATGATACCGACGATGAGCTTGACGTATTGACGAAGCAACCGGCAAAGCCAAAGGTCCGCGCAAAGCCGGCTGCGCATACGGCAACCAAGGCTACCTCGTCCTCGACAGCTCGTGGTAGAAAGGTTGCACCGGTGGAGGAAACCCAGGCTGAAACTGAAGACGCACCGACCGCGAAGACTGAACCAAAGAAGCGCGTTGGAAGGCCAAAGAAAACACCAGCCGCTGCTGAAGCCCCTACTACGACTGCGCCGAAGGCTCGGGGACGACCAAAGGGCTCAACCAACAAGACAGCTCAAACCACCACGACATCAAAAGCAACACGGAAGAATACACGTACAGTTCCAGAACCAGAGCCATCAAGCGACACCTCTGATCCGAAGCACATTGTGATTGCGACAAATTCGACCACCATGCGGTCTAACATCCTGCGTGGGCCGGCGAAAAAGAAGACAGTCACTTTCCGAGATGTGATGGAGTCAGGATCAGAAGAAGACGACGAGCTAGCAGTGACTGCTCCTACTACCAAGAAAGCTGCTACAAAAACAACCGGGAAGGCTGGTCTTGGAGGTACACCCGTTCGCAAGGGAGCCACCCGGGGACGGAAACCCTCTAAGAAGGATGTTGCGCAACCTCTTTCCCCTAAGAAGGCTAAGCAGATGGCAAAATCCTTGTCTGCATATGCAAGTTCTGACGGTGAAGAAGATGAGCTCGCCGCTACCAAGGATGATATCAACAGCCCCGTCAGGTTGGTTGTTCATTCAACTGTGAAGGATGCGGCCGAGAATCCCAGCCTTGCATCTCCAGTTCGCAAGATCAACTTCACCCCTAAGAAGGCTTCCAATATGGTCGATGAGAATGGTGAACCTAAGGCTTCAACTCCGAAAAATGGATCTACTGGGCTCGGATCTCCAGTCCGCAAAATCAATTTTACTCCTAAGCGCAGCCAAAACACGCACGGAGACGATCACCTGGCGCTTCCCCCCGGAAAGAATATCGACTTCACCGAATCTATGTTTATGTCAAGCCCCGCGAGACGACCTGAACTTTCCCCATTCAAGTTTAGCCATGCAGATACTCCCAACCGCCATCTCTCTCAGTCTATTTCCGCGCCGAATTTCACACCAGCCCGAGCATCCCCATTGAAGATGTCACCCCGGAAGGGCCAGCTGGGTGCTTCTTTCATGCAATCCCCGGCGAAGAACTCGTCGTCGACTGCCACATTCCCTGCGCGGTCCTCTTTGTTCCTAAGCCCTGCTAAGAAGGGAGCATCACCTTTCAAAAGCTCGTTATTCACGCCCAAGTCGTCGGTGACGAAACAGACTCCTCTGGAAGAAGAGATCAGCACAACACCCACTTCTCTCCCCCAACGATCTCCCATCGCGCCTGCGTCGGGGGAGAGCCAAGGAAACCAAGATATCGATATGGTGGAAGAAGTTGCTCGTGACATTTTTGGAATCGAGTTGCAGTCTTACCGACCCATGTCTGAGTCGCCCTTGATGAAGGAATCCTTTAACGTCGAATTCGACCCTGAGATGGAAGTCGAGGAAACCGATGATAACAATCCAGAGCCTGTTGAGATGGATGATGTGACACAACACTGTGAAGCAGAGCCTGTCTTGAGAGGTGACCTCGCCTCGGTTCCTGGACTCGAAATGACCGACGTGGGCGATACGACTGAAGATAACGTCACTGAAGATCTCTCCGCACAAAATTTTTCAGATACAGACGTCGACGACAAGCTCGAGGCGCTGCAGAAGGAAATTCAAAACGAGCCAGAGGACTTTGGCACGATTTGCTTCAATACTATGGAATCTCTAAAGGCACCCTTCCATGCCTTCGAGCAACCAGCCGTCGTTGAGGACGAACTGATTCTCGAAGATTCTGCTTCCATTCAAGACGATGCCTCGGAGGTGGATGAGCAGCATGAAGTCATTTTGCCTTTTAGCATAGCCGAGGATGCAGATGAGGACTTCGCAGCTTCAGTCTTGCAACCTCCTCCTACCCAACAGGAGACCCAGAACCCGAATCAAGAGGATCTTGGAATGCTGCACTCGGAGCGTTCGCTCAACTTTGATACTCTTGAACAACTCCAAGCAAGTATCGAATCAGACAGTGACCAGGAGAACGATTGCGACGATGAAATCGAAGACGCTGTCCACTCAGTTCAGCAGCCAGATGAAGATTATGAATCTGAGGAGATGGAAAATGACGAGCCAATAGTCATGCCCGCTGAGGCCACATTGGAGATTATGTTTAATGCAGGTTTGCCTGATCAACTGGACGAAGGCGAGCAGAGAACTCACCCCTTTGAGCGCATGCCCTCTATTCCCCCACCGACTTCTACTCCCCCAGTCAGTCATGCGACACCCGTCTCCATGCAAGATGGTGCCAAGTCCCAAGATCAACTCTACGATATCAACCTCGAGCCGCGCATGGATGATGTGGAGGAAAGTCTTCTCGAAACTACTCTGACCGAAATTCCTACTCCGAAAGCCCCCACAGCTGCCGATACACCCAGTATTGCGGCCCGCCGGAAGTCTAACTTTAATGTTAATCAGGGCTTCACCCCACTAGCGCAACAATTTGGGTACTGGGAAACAAACACTCCATCCCAGGATCGTCCTGGAAGGCCGCGCCGACGAGGTGTTTTCTCACTTGTCGGTCCTCTGGAGAAAATGGTTGAGTCTAGCACCCCAGAGGCAGGTGAAGTGTCGTACCCCGACCTTTCACGTACTCCTCTTGCAAACACTCCGTCTTTGTTTGCGGAGTTGCCACTTCAGGAGCGGACCGATGACGGTTCCATGTCACCGGTGTCCGTGGCAACCGAAAAGTCCCCCGCAGCGACTGAATACTCAAAGGTCATGGATTCACCATCTAGGAGTGAAATATTTGAAGACAAGGATCATACTGTTCTGGAGCAAGAACATGAAAAGATTCGTGCCCGCCAAGTTTCATCCACACCCGAGCCGATCGAACACCAAGAACAAGCCATGCCGTCTGATGAAGAAAAGGAGAACAACGAGACAACTATCATCCCCGCCACGCCTATCAGAGCTATCCCCGAGCAACGTACCGTCCACACTATCTCCAAGGTCCCCTTGAAGGGCGAGGGTGAAATTTCTCCATTGAAGATTCCTCGCAAACGCGGCCACTCGCTCTCCGGCGCGTCGCCTACTCGTTCATCGACCCGTGTCCGCAAGCCGGCCTTCAAGCCTTTCGTGGACAGTGCGCCGACACTTTCTCCCACCCGGAAGTCGCCACGGGTTGACAGAAGCCCAAGCCCGAAGCGTCGTTGCAGCACCCCCAGGCGCTCAATGGAAGCATCTAAATCTCAATCTGTTGCGCGCAGTCCTTCCAAGTCCCCCCGCAAGTCTAAGCCTACCAGCCAAGCGCTGCAAGGTGCTGTCGTACATGTTGATGTACACACCACCGAAGGCGAAGACGCATCTGGAATCTTTGTTGAGCTACTGCAGCAAATGGGGGCCCGATGTGTGATGTCCTGGTCCTGGAATGGACGGTCAAGTCTGTCTCCTGTCGACGGAGCCGATCCCAAAGATGCGCGCGTTGGCATCACCCATGTCGTATACAAGGATGGCGGCCTCCGCACCCTCGAGAAAGTCAAGCAGGCATCGGGCCTGGTGAAGTGTGTAGGCGTTGGCTGGGTTCTCGAGTAAGTTTCCCTCATCATCCAATTAAGTCCGAATCTCAACTAACACTGCCCCAGTTGTGAGAGAGAAAACAAGTGGCTCGACGAAGCTCCCTACTCAGTCGATAGCTCGATCATCCCACGCGGGGGTGCAAAGCGTCGTAAGAGCATGGAGCCGCGCGCTCTGAGCAATGTCAACGGAACCATTATTCAAGTCGCCGAACCTTCATCCCCTTCAGCAAGCGGCCGTCGCTGTGGAGCCGACCGCGGCGCAATCGATGGATTCCGCAAGATTACGCCTCCGTCACCCCACAAGGATGTGCCATCGACCCCTACCCAACAATCCTCCTCGGACCAGTACAGTTTCCCACAAACACCTGGCTACAACTTTGCCAACCTCGATGCGATCGGCATGTCTCCCGCCACACCATACTTCCTCTCCAATAGAAACCAGCTGGTCCAGCAGTCTTGCCCACCCAAGCAGAGCAACAAGGGCTTGTTCCCTGTTTCGGTGCCTTCATTTAGCTTGGAGCAGGAGTCTGAAGAGGACGCGAGGCAGCAACAGCGCGCTCGGATGGAGGCTGCTCGGAGGAAGAGCACGTTCTACCGTCCTGCCATTGGCAGCCCTCTAAAGCGGTGATTCTTTTCAGTTTATTTGTTTTCTTTTTCGTCTTACTTTGACCCTTTTGCCTGAATTTAATACATTCTGTCGTCCATTGTAAATATGGGGACTTCTGGAGTTTTCTTCGATGGATTGGAGTATGGAGGATAGCTCATGGGATTCTGGATGGGATCGGCGTGCCATAAGGCCTTGTTTTATTTTGCTTTGCATTATTTCAATATGAGTCAATTACATATATCTCTTTATTTCCACAGAGTGGCTAGACTTTTGTCTCTCATTGCTTGGAGTTTTTTGCATTCGAGTAATATCATAGCATGGACTGGGGGTTGGCCGGCTGTAATTGGAACGTCGGGTGTATACGAAACCACCGATCATGGGTACGTTGCCCTTGAATTAGTGACCTAGCACCCCCTAAAAGTACCTTAACTAGAAGCAAAGCAAATAAAATAACGAGCTTAAGCAAGAATCACATCATGCTCGAAACGACGGAGTAACAAATGCCCTCATGGCACGAGTTACATCACCTTCCTGAGCACGAAGCAATTCCGTCGCCTTGTTTTTATGTACATCTAGCTGTTCAGCCTATATGATGAAAACGGCAGTTTAGCAAGTTATAAATCTGACATAGTTGCGCTCCCGTCCAAGCAAGGGCCCTCTCTTTGGACTATACACATACCAAAAATGAAACATCCGCCGCAACAATCTTAACCGTCTTCTTCACCTCAGTCTCCTTCGACGGCTGAGGTGATTTCTTCGGTGGCCCTCCCTGCCCCGCAGCGATCTCGAGCCTATTCATCGCTCTATTGAGAGCCTCTTGTTCAGCATTTGAGCGGCCCTTTGCGGGACTTCCATCGGAGGAGGCTAGTTCTGTTGTGTTGAGGGAGGAGAGCGCTGCGGCGGCTTTGCGGTCTTCGGCGTTTGCGGGGAGGGGAGGTTGGTCTGCTGCTTCGGTTGCGGATGGGATTGGGTCGGACATATTGCTTGAGGGGGTGATTTCTTATTATGGGCTACTTTGATGTTTGGGTCGTTGTTGGTTGAGATTTCTTTTATGTTTTTGTCTCGTTTCGTTCATGGTTGGAGCCCAACTCGGGGCAACCCCTCACGTCATCGATAAGAACCCCAGAATCTTGCTGCGATAAGGGATTATGTAAGTATTTTGCCTTGGTGCCTGATGCAGTACCATGGTTGAGGTTAGGGAGATCTATAGGGATCTGTGGGGATCTAGATGATATCTTTCTGGCTGGAGTACATATATTGGAAATTCGAAGAAAAACAGGAGATGGGGAAGACATGCTGAATCTGGAAATATACGTGAGAATTTCAGGGGGATCAAGCACTCTGCAGTTCGTTGGTTTCAAGTTAGGTTGCTAGCATGTACAACCTAATTGTTTCCATATCCTATCCACAACTGCAATACTCTTGGTGTAAATTTTCATAAATGAACCTGAAGAAGGCTTTGTTGATTCATCCCGTCTTTTCAAAGGATTGCCGGTGTCGGACCAGACTAGACTTGATCAAGTATGATCGTAGCTGAAGTGCGGAGAGAACTCCGCATTCTCAACGCTTGGCAAACAATCACCAGCCTTTTCAACTTTCGATCTGCGGAAATGTCAGAAATTTTAAAGTTAAGAGAGCCGAGGCCGCAGTGATTCGGAAACTGACCGATCGTTTGCGATCCAGTTGTTCGCCTCGATTGCCCCTCGATTTCTTCTCACCTTTCTTCCTGCCAAGTGAAAGTTCACCGCTACCAAGACAATGGAAACCAAGGCTCACGACAAGGATAGCCTCGCCGCGCATCTTGAATTGAAGGATGAGAAATCAGCTAAAAAAGTAATCGAAGAGTCAAATGTCGACGTATCCGATAGGGAGTACAATAGGATTTTGCGAAAGGTTGACTACCGTGTCATTCCTATCCTCGCTTCTCTTTACCTGCTCAGCTTTTTGGATAGAGGTTAGGAAAGGCATCTCAGACTCCGTTACTCTTGCCTGTTTGCTTATGATGGTTTTCCTGTGACAATAGGAAGCATTGGAAACGCGAATATCCAAGGAATGTCTGAGTCTCTAGGATTGGTTGGCCAGCAATACAATTGGTCGGTACTCCCCGAAACCTGTCTACCAGCAATTACACTCTAACGAATTCAAGAATAGGTGTCTGACAATATTTTCTTTCCCATACTCATTTACTGAACCATTGTGCAACTTGCTCTTGGTCCGATTAAAGCCCAGCATTTGGCTGCCGTCGATTATGGTAGCCTGGGGTATGCCGTTTTTATCGGATACCTTGTTCACAAAAGAATGCAGCTAATAGTTTTACAGGTATTGTGATGACGCTGACTGGAATTGTTCAAAACTACTCGGGATTATTGGCTGCGAGATTCTTTCTCGGTAGGTGATTTGATATCTCGTTCGAAGCTCGGAACCTAACGAAAGTTTACGCCAATACAGGGCTTACTGAAGCTGGGCTATGTAAGAGATTTACCATAAACATTGTGCTTGAGGATTATCCACTAACGCCATATCTCCTTTAGTCCCAGGACTTGCTTTCTACATCTCCATCTGGTATGATAATTCTCGTTCTGGCGAATTTAAAAATTGCCCACTCTAAGCCAAATAGGTACCCCCGTGCAAATGCGCAATTCAGACTCTCTCTTATATTCGCCTCTGCGTCAATGGCAGGCGCTTTCTCTGGTCTGTTGGCATATCTGATCAGCATGATGGATGGAATTGGTGGACTTGAGGGGTGGCGGTGGATGTACGACCATCCATTTACCCATGCATAACTAATTACTTACCGACGATGCGCAGTTTCATACTAGAAGGAATCCTTACGGTTGTGGCTGCTTCATTCTCTTACCTATTAGTTTGGGACGAGCCGGCGACTGCGACCTTCCTTACGGAAGAGGAAAAGAATATCATTCTCAATGCATTGAACCCCATTCAGACAGAGGTTTCTATGAGCCCGCAACTGGGAAGTGAACAGTCGGCCAAATGGGTGCATATCAAAGCCGCGTTATCTGATTGGCAGGTATGTTATAACATTCATTTTCGAGTAAAGGAGAAATGCTGATCGTCATCTCAAAGACACTGTTTCACTGTCTGAATTACTGGGGAGTTGTAAGGAAAATCTACCCGGTTGACATATACTCCGCTAAATCCTAATAGGCGTGCGCTGTTTACGCACTTTCGCTCTTTCTTCCCGCTATCATCAAAGGTCTTGGATACTCGGCGGCCATTGCTCAGCTCCTCACCATCCCAGTTTATGCGGCGGCTACAGTCTCATGTATCTTAATTGGATACCTTGCGGACAAAACGGGCCAGCGCAGTCTATTTACTGTTTTATGCTACGGCGCAATCGTCGTTGGATACATTATTGCTGTAGCTCCCCCGACCTTCATGCCCGGTCTTACATACGCCGGGTGCTTTATCGCCGCTTGTGGAATTTACCCCGGTAAATTAAAACTCCTCATCTCGCTCCAATGACTAGGCTAACAGATCTCAAAGCTATACCCGGTCTTCTTGCGTTATCCTCAAATAATTGGGCACCCAATGCTAAGAGAGCTGTTGGAATGGCTATTCAGATGGGCTTTGGAACTATGGGTGGGGCCGCTGCGTCTAATTTCTATCGCGCTGAGGATGCCCCGAGATATCGCCTAGGCCACATCTTAGTGCTTGCATTTGCTGCGATTGGGTTGGCTACAATGATCTTGTATTATACAATTTGTCGGAGGCTGAATTCCAAGAGGGAGGCAGAGGCGGATAGTGTCTACCAGTACACTGCTGAGCAATTGGCAGAGCTGGGTGACAAGGCACCCAGCTTTAGATACAGACTTTAGGGAGTGCGGAGATGAAGGGGAGACCTCTTGTTCACCGCTCACCCTGGCTCCTATGAAGAACCTGGATTGGGGGCCTGACATTCGTGTTTCCTCACCTCACTAGACATCAAGTTCAATCAAATGCCATCGATTAAGTTCTCTCAGCCGCACCTCAATGAATCGATACGAGAAGTAGATAAAAGCTCCTGGCTAATCTCGAACACACTTCTTCTTACTCGGTCGTCAGAACCAATACCGCACAAGATTCCAACTGATCAAGCATACTGGAGCGACAGCAATGGGGGCCATTTCATTCTATCCACTGCACCTGAGATTCTTCCATATTCCAAGCCCCTCGCAGAAGATTCATTGTCTATCTCGAGAGTACATGCAGTCGACAATCAAGCGGCCGTTTGGAAAGCAGGTGAAGCCTTCATTAAAGCACACCACATGGACTATCCCCATTTGACCAGAGAGCATGCTACATTACAGTTTCTCAAAGACCAAAAGCCCCAGGGTTTTGAATTCCCACGCGTGTACCGGTATTTTGAGACTGGCTCGCGATATTTCCTCGTTGTCTCGAGGGTTCCCGGCCAGCTGCTTGAGGAAGCTTGGCCCAACATGGACGAGACTCTTCGCCAGCATTACATCGGCAAGGTAGCAGATATTTGCAATCGCTTCGCGAAATGGAAGGGAGATATTATTGGTGGTGTGGACGGACAACAGCTACTCGAGCGGTATCTCGTCAAAGGTAACAGCAAGATGGCGGATGCCCTTTCTCCACAGCAACTTCTGAAGAACTGTACCGAGATGTCTATGGACGTCTCTACATTCGTCTTCTATCATTGTGACCTTGGCCCTACGAATATCCTGGTCGATACCTCGACAGGCTCACTGGGCATCATTGATTGGGAGCTAGCTGGCTACGTTCCTATCGAATGGGTTAGAACAAAATTTCGACTCTCAGCAGGAATGGATTTCAACCATGGGGATGATGACTCCAAAAAGGACTGGCGCCGCAGAGTTGCTCAGCATCTGGAAAAGATGGGCTACCGCGATGCTGTGGATGCATGGTGGAAGTTTCAGGACAACTAGTAGCCAATGGTCTTACGTTAAGACTCTTTTTCTCTTAACATTACATTATGCTGAATCATTTGTATTCCCCTTGCTTTCGTCCACGTCTCTGTGTTCCCTTCTTGTCCCTAACCAAGAGGTAAATATCCGGCAAAGGAAAGGAGAAAAGGCTATGGCGAGATGATCTGGCAGGTGAAGCACTTCCTTTTCACATTAGCAGTAAGGAGTAAATAGCATGCAGCTGAATCAGATTTATCGAGTCATAAACAAGACGCAAAATTGCTTGCTGTCCACACATTATTTTTCGGCATCTAGCTAGGCATCTCGATCATCAAGCATCCTTTATGTGGATAACACTTCACTTTTCTTCTCCCCTTTCCATCTAGCGGATTAAGAAGTGCAGTCCTTTTCCCACCCGGATTGAGGAGGAGTGGCATACGAGTAGTAACTATTACTAGGTGGAGACCGGCTTGTGGGATTGGGCTCGTCGTGGAGAAGGATAGATAGGGAGGGACTACAAACGGATCGCACGGGGTAAGAGCTTCGACGTAACCTGGGGAAGGTACATATTGTGAATACCATTCCCATAGTTCAAGCTTTCTGGGCTGAGACTTGTAGTAAACGTGACATAGGCTATCACTCATATACAGACGATCGAAGCTCTGGAAATATTTTAGCTTTGAATTTTGCGTTAGCTTTCGTGAGCACTGACTTTTTCGCATCGCAGTGGAACAACCTTTTTTTTTCAAAAAAAAAAAAAAAAAAAAAAAAAAAAACTGTCTCTGTCAAGTTCGCTCTTTAACTCGAATGGTAGGATGAGCCCGCTGCAAAAAGACAAATTGTTCTGGTGAGAATCAACTCAGATCAACTGCCACGCCATCCGACCAACATCATATCGCCCAGAAGGTGGGACTCATTCGAAAACTAGTTTCAATGTCAAATTGGGGTAGTCTCATGGGCCACATGCCACGATAGCCAAGCAGCACAGGAGGTGTCGGGGGTCTTGATACTGACGGCACAGAAGCCCGGGAAGCAGGAGCATGCAGGGCACCGAGTAGAGTGATGGAGAGGAGGTAAATGTGAAGATGCGATGATATTCAGACATGAAACTACTTGGGTATAGAGGTTTATGACAACAGATCATAAAGAAGAGAGACTTCAGCATTCTGCGGCATATCGATACCTGAAGGCATAATATTTCTCGTCTGGCTAACTAGGGCCATTCGAAAAGCTATGACGCGTTTGCGTTTCAAATTCATATTCAAGTCTAACATTGTATCATGTGCTGCAGTACGAGTATGTAAAACGTGAAATCACGAGTAGATTTAAGAATCCTCTTCTTCATCCACTCGCTTTTTAGCTGGCTGAATTCCTTGACCCTCATGGACTGACCAGAGAACGAACCATCCAATCAGAGATTCAACAGCCAAAGCCCACCACACTGCTCCTACCATGTTATGTGCAAGACCCAGCCCAAGACCCCAGCCACCAAGCAGCGGGCCCAGTGTGCGAGCCCCGCTAGAGATACTCTGCGCAATACCGTGAACCGTTCCTAATATTGAAGGGTCCGTAACACAATTATTGACTAGGATGATGGCTGCTGGCAGGGCGAACGTGCGAGAGATAACTTGCAGCGACACGACCAAGGTAAATGAAGGCCACACAATCCATGGGATGCGGGGAAGAATAACGAGGAAAGGCATGAGAAGGTATGAAATGGGCGAAAAAGGAAGGAACATGCGAAATGAGGTAAGAGTTCCCAGCTTTGCCTGAACACGAGGGTATACAATGATTTGCAGCGGAAGACCAATGAATCCAATTATGGCTGTTGCAAGACCAACGCGTGCAGAGGGTAAACCAAGGCCTCCGCCAAAGTGGAACCAGCCTTGCCGGGAAGATTCAGGGGCACGAGGTGTAGGTAGGAAAGTAAATGTCATGGCATTGAAGGCGCTGGTATGGAAGGCGAGTAGGAAGTGGGCCAGAAGTGTAATCACAATATTTCGTGAAAATATTTGTTTTAGTCCAGGCCGCTTGTGCGGGCGAGGGAGTGGAGGTGCGCGGGAGCGAATGGGACTTGATGGCGCTGACCAAGTTCCCACGTTGCCTTCTAGGTACAAGGAATCGTCGTCATTGGCACGGGTTAATGGCCGATAATGTTTAGGAGTTCTGGTGAAGGCATGAGCGATTCTCTTCCCTAACTTTCGGCCCCAGTCACTTCGATAGCGAGCTGTCTCGTGAGTCTGAAAACAAAATATCATCAGTATGCTCTTCGCGTCATAATTGATATAGAAACTTAGGTGGGGATAACTCACCTCGTCAAGGCCGAGAAAGACAGCAATCACCGACATGAAGATGAAAATTGCACTCAGCACATTTGGAAGTGCATAGGGCCATCTTTGCATCCACCATACTCCGTCCTTTCCTCCAAAGGTGGATCCAGGGCCGAACAGGGATGGGAAGCTGTTCACTGGATCTGCGAGAGATCCTCCCAGTATTGGGCCAATAATGACACCAATGTTGAAGCACATTGGGAGTAATAGAAACGCTCGCGATTGAAACCTAGTTGTATTAGCAGCATGACGATTATCTGGGGTGCCGTTGAACTTACTTCTTCTCTGCAATAATTTCAGCAATCAACGTCCTCATAACTCCCACATTGCTATTCAACACACCGCCGAGTGTCCTAAAAACTGCGGCAGCCATGAACGACCGAGAGAAGCCGAAACCGACACAGGAGATGCTTGTTCCCAACAAGCCGATGAGAAGTACCCTTTTCCGACCCATCCAGGGAGCATCTGCCAGTCGGCCCCAAAAGACGGCAGTAAGGAACTGCGCTGCTGTAAAGCTTCCCTGGAGGACACCTGCCTGTGCAGAGATGGCAGAATCAGGCAGAGAGGGATCAAATGATTTAAGTTGATAAAACATATAGGCTTGCAGAGAGGTCTGAGTGAGGGGCTCGGACAATCGCGCAAAGGTAAGAATCGCCAGCTGCCCTTTCTTTGGCAAAGAGGCCCATGTCACCGGCTTCTCGACTTCTGTTTCGACATGACCATTCTCACTCTCGTTATCGCTGGCGCGAATATCATCGTCTGCTGAGGGAAACCGGCGGTGACCTGCCATGAGCGGAGCAGCGACTCGGGTTCCTGGCGTACCACCATCATTTATCGCTGTGTCGATACTGTCTATTTCATCATCATCATCATCACTAGAGATGTCAATCTGCGGGGAGTCGATTCCATGGCTTGGCAGACGAATGTTGGTCTCGGCCCCATCCCAAGATTGGCGCGTGTGGGGAGAATTTGCCCCCATTCGGTAAAAGGTGGGCACGCGACCGTTCTGAGGGCGGACAAACGCGCGTGAAGATATACAAAGAGTACGGGTAGGCAATCTTTCCTTGGCGCATGTATTCTCCGAGTGTGATAGCAGCGTAGGACGGAGGTTGTAACGGTTGAAAAATCAAAAGACGTGATGGGAAATGACTGGAAAAATATCCGCTCTGACACCATCGTTGGCCACTGGCCACCCCCACACTCACTTCGAGTTCAACGCGGTGTCGGTCGTCGGTGAAGCTGCCGAATTAACCGCCTATCTCCGAATCTCCGATCTCGCCAGTTAACTATGCAAGAGCCTCAAATAGAACATGCATATGGTAGGTGTATTGTGGAAATATAGAAGTATCATGAGGCAAATCACAAGAACAAGGTCCACTGACTTTGCGGAGGTTTTCGCGGTATCTTGCAGCTCGTATACGCAAATTTAAACCTCCGGGGCGTGGCCTAGGCTAGAATTATTGAATACCTCCGAGTCTTTGTAAATAGAAAGCCGATAATTAAATCCCCAGCGCCAAACACTGAATCGTTTACATACAAGGAGACTTGGATGAGCAAATGCCCCTGTCTATTAGGTATATGATCAAAATTTCGAGACTTAGACATCCAGTCTCATTCGGCCTGGACTGGGGTTTTTCGGGTTTGCGTTTTCAAATATCGCAATTGAATCTTGAGTAGGGGGCCTGGGATTCTCAATATCTCCACGGCTTTCTTTTCTGTCCCATGTATCGAGTGGATAAGAGTCCGTCCGATTAGTTTCGTCCATGAAGTTGCTTGAAACTTGAGTGATAGCTTCTTGACTCGATCGGTGCGTGTCTCCGCTCTTTGGCAGAGGAGGGTGATTTCCAGTTTTTCGGAAATTTGGTCGGATGAAATTCATTTTGCATGGAAGCGAGAAAGATGGCCGCGATCGTGAGCCTTGGGAGTACCCACTATCTTTGTTCTGGTCAGCGCCTTGTCCGGGTCTGCCTCGGTTTTTGCTGTTGTAGGAAAATGCTTTCAGTCCAAGTAGTTTGCGAAGGAGGGGCCACCAGCACATGAGATTGGCGACATAGATAGCGGTGCTGGCTTCACGGATGTACCAGATTTGGTATGTTGTTGTGAGAGGAGAGGCGAAATTGAAGTATTTGTTAAGGATCGCAGCAATGATCGTGAATAGACCCAGGCTCATGACTCCTATCAGTAGGAACTTGCGTGTACGCTTCAGTTGAGCTTTGATGAGAAGCGGGATTGGGATCGCAAACAGCACTGCATCTGAGGAGATGTTGAAGACTGCCTGCGTAATGGAGTAATGCTGGTAGGTGGCGCATTGCATATTATCCACTGGCATCGCCCAGTACTGTTGAAATGGTCGACAGTAGACACCGTAGTAGGTGACCATGATAACAACAAATCCCAGAATCACATAGCCAGTGAGAATCTTGATGTAAAGGTTGGAACGCAGATTCATTGTAATCCTCCAATACAGTATCAACATGCATGTCTTCACTCCCCAAGTCAAGAAAAGCATGCACTGTTCGAGACCAATAACGATTTTGCTTCCATAAATTCTGTCGCTGACTTGCTTCGGGTCGGCGAGGACTGTGTCGTAGTCTTTCGGGTCCATAAGGTTCGTTGCATAACGCGAGGATATTTGAATCAACACCAACATGGCCGTGTATATGCACTAGTCGAAAGAAGGAATATCAGTAA